GCTTTTATAATAAATATTATAACCATATCTTACTTATTTGCTTTTTATTTAATAAGTTCTTTAAATAATTTTATAGTAAATGCTTATAAGCTTTTTTTATTTAGGGAATTATTAGCGAAAGAAGCATTGCTTGCAATAATAAATCCCTTTAAATTTTAAAAACATAAGGCAAGATACTTAATATGTAAGAAATATAATAATACTTTATTAGCGATATTATAATATTTTTAACTTAAATTAGTTAGGAATTATGCTAGCTATAATATAATAAAAGCAATGTTTAATTATATAAATATAATAGCGAATAATAGCAAACTAATCTTTTTTTAATATAAGTAAACTTTAGCTTTTAAGGCAGCGATAATACTTAGTAATAGCTTTTTAAAAGTTATAAAAACCTTATAAAAGATATTTATTTTATTAGCTAATTTAGTAATTTTCTTAATATATATAGTTTAAGCCAGCTAAATTTAGCGATTTTCATAATCTTAAATGATTTTTATATTAAGAAATTATTAAATTAAATTTCCTTTAATAATCTTATACTTTTCTTAAAGTTATTATTTTAGCTTATTTATTTATTTTTAGTAATTCTTTTAATATGTAATAATAATATTATTTATATAAAAGAAAATAATAACGCCCTTCTTTATATAGCAGCATAGCTTATACGGTATTTATTAATATTTATATTAATTTAAGGTTTTTATAAACTCCTTTTGCTATAATAATAATAAGATTTAAAGGCTATATAATGCTTTATTTAATAATAAGATAATTCCTTTTCGTTAATTTTTATATAGCATTTATATAAAAATATCTTAATTAATTAAAGCATAAATAAATGCATTTATAATATTATATTATATAAATTTAAGATTAAATTTTGCCACCATTATTATTAATATATAAAAGGATTGGCTTATTAAGGTTGCAATATAAATCTCTTATATTTATCTTTTTATTTACTAATTTCCTTAAATAACTAAATAAGCCTTATATTTTTAAAAAATTCTATATTTATTAAACTTATATATATATACCTATATATAATTTAAAATTTATTTTCTTATTACATAAGGATCTCGTTTTTAAATCTTAATCTATAATTTTATTTTAATATGGCTTTATAAATAATTAGCTTTTACTTATTTAAATAAATATTTAAATAAATAATTCTTTAAATCTTTATGCTATTTTAATAGCTTAAGGAAATTATTTTTATATAATTTCACCCCTTAATAAAGATATTTCTTAATTTATACCTTATTTAATATCTTCCTATTTAATTTAGCTATTAAAGCAGCTTTAATGCTAGCTATAAATGCAAATTACTATAATATATTTACAGTAAATTCATCATTTAATGGAATTTCTTTATTTAATCATATTTAAATAGCATAAGCTAAAAGTATTAATAAAGAAGTTCGCGGCAATATAAGGAGCACTTTAAATTTTATATTTATATAAGCGCTATTTTCTTAATTTGCTGCAAACCGCCTTTTTTAAGCATCCTTTATATTTCCTTTTAAGACTTCTTTTTTATTAATATTACTTTCGCGATTTATTATAAACTAACCTTTCTTTAAGGTTTCTTTTAAGGAATTATCTTTAAATAAATCTTTTCCTTTTAAGTTTAATATTTTATTATTTTTTAAAAGGGCATATTCTTTTATTTATTTTATAAAACGCTTAATATTTATAATAAGGAGTTTATTTTTAAAACCTTCTTATTTACTATTAAATACTTTATATTTATTAAAGATTACGTTTCTTATATTAATAATTTTCTTAATAAAGGGAATTTATATTTAATAAATATTTAAGAAATAATAGCTTATAAAATATTTAATTTATGCTTATGGCTTTAATTATTAATATTATCTTTTCTTTAATTAGGCATTTAATATTATAGCATATATTTTATAGCTAAAGATATATAAGTAAGTTTAATTTAGTTTTAAATTTAATTATAAAATACTTATTTATTTAGTAATTACTTTATAAAATTTAAAGTATAATATTTGCTAATTTAAGCTATATATTAATATTTAATTATTAAGATATATCATTATATATTTAATTTCTAGCCATAAAAAGTATAAGAGCTTTAAGCTTATTTATATTACTTATATTTTCTTTTTAATTACACCCCTTAAGCGCTTAACACTATTATTTTAAGCTTATATATTTAGTGCTAAGGGCTTAATTTTAATATATTTTAACTTTAAGAACTCCTTTACTATTTATTTATAATTAAAAATTTCTTTATTACATTTAATTATTTTAATCTTTATTTTATATTAAATTTCTATTATGCCATAAAAAGATTTAATTATATTATATAATGTATTGCTATCTCAACTTATAAGGTAATAATCTTAAATAAGTTTAATAACTTTATATATTAATAAAAGTTATAATATATAGCTATAAATCCTTTCTTTATAATTATGGAAATTTATTACGATTTTCTTGCCTATTTATTCGCGAATCTCCCTTAGCGATTAATGGATTTACTATGTAATTTTAGCAAAAGTATATGCTTTGCATTTTATAATAATAGGTTTATAAATTCGCACCTCTTAAAATAAATTTATTAAATATTTTAAGGCTTTTAATCTTAAATAACTTAATTATTTATGCTAAATAATAACTTTACTTATAAATAGCCTTTTCTTAATAAATATTATATACTTTTTTTTCTATATATTAAAGGAACTTTAAGTAATTTTAAATTAGTATTTAATAATATATTAATTATAAATATTAATAAGTAAATAAAAAATTAATTTATTTCATTATTTTAAAGTAGTTAAATTATGTTTATTATCTTAAAATATCCCCTTCTTTTGTAATTACCTTAATAAAATAAGAATAGTTAAAATTTATAAATATAAAGCAATGTTTTTAAGATATAAGATTAAGGTTTTGGCTTGCATAAGTATTATTTTATATGCTATAATTAATAGTTATTAATTTCTTAATTATATATAGTTATTATAAGTTGCTAGCTGTAAATTTATTAATTACTTATTAATATTTATAATTAATATTATGCTAATAAGGTTTAATATTATTAAGTACTTTAAAGAATATTCTTTTATAATATTTATAATGAAAGCTCCCTTAGCCTTTATATTAATAATATAGTATTTTAATAATTAATCTTTAATTTCTTATATTAGCTTCTTTTTTATAAATCTTAAAGTTTTAAATTTTAATTTAAATCTTAAGCCTTAAATAATGCAAACTTAAGCTTAAAGATTAGCATTATTTTTAAAGATATTATATACCTTTTCTTTCATTCTTTAGCTTTTTTTAAATCATAAAAGTGCTTTTTTTAAAAATATATAAAAGCAATTAATAAGGGTATAATTTTTATTACAAGCTATATATACCTTTTTAAGGTTTTATACTTAAAATTAATAACGTTTATTATAATACTAGCTAAATTTATATAATAAACTAAATTTAATTAAGCCTTTTTAATATAAGCTTATTTCTTTAATAATATAAGCATTCTTTTTATTATTATAATTATTTTTCTTATTATAAGTAGTTATTTATGCTTTTTTAATAATTTTAGCAAGTTTATATTATATATTTAAAGCTTATAATTTTTTATAAAGGAGGTTTTTAACTTTTTAAAATTTAAGGTTCTTATTTGCTACTTTTCATTCTCTTATTTACTAAAAAGTAATTATTTATATTAATATTATGCCTTATATGGCTTATAATAAATTAAGAACTTATATAATAATTTATCTTACCTTAGCAATCCCTTATTAAATAGCTTTAAATATAATAAATTTTTATTTATTAATTTAAACCGGGATTTCTTTTAAATTCCTTAATAATTTTAAAGCATTCTTATATAAAGCTCTTATTTATAGTTAATTATTTATTTATAATAGTTTATACCTTTATTATAAATTTAAGTATTATTATTAAAGCGGAATTTTAAATAAGCAGTAATTTAACTTATAATTTAAGGCAACTATTTAAAGCACCTATTTATGCAGCTTTTAAACAGCAATTTATTCCTTAATATACTTTAATTCTTTTAATTTATACCCTTAAAAATTAAAATTATATATCTTAAGATCGGCATTAATAAGATTAAAAAGCAGCCATTAGCCTTATTATTTCTCTTAAATAATTTTAAAATTATTTAGTTTAATATTAAATTCGCTAATTATTTAAAAAACCATACTTTAAGCAGCTATAATAATTTTAATATACTTTTAAAGGTATATATTAGGTTTTTACAGCTTTAAAAGGAATTTAACTTAGTTATAAATATAGTATTTAAGTTTATAAATCTTAACTTAAAGATTAAATTTATAGTCCTAATTACGCTACTTTTTTAACTTAATTAAAAAGGCGTTTTAAATTTTATAATTATTTTTATTAACCATTTTACATGGCTTAAGGTAATGAAACTCTTAATTATTAAATTCTATACCTTTTTTATAATAAAATCCTTATATATATGGTTAATTTTAATAGTTAACATAATAATATCTTAATTCTTATTCCTTTAAAGCTAGCTAATAGCAAGGGCTAGTTTTTTAACCTATAAATATTAATGCCTAAGGCATTTATCACTATATTACCCGTGCATATACGATAAATTTACGGTTTTATAATAAATCTATCGTCTTCATAGTAAATTCACGATAAATTCACTAGTTCATGGTAAATTCACGGTAAATCCACCGTGCAACCATCCAGCCACGGTATATTCACCGTTGGTTGGATCTGACAGCTGCTCAAATCTCGAAGTCAAAATTCCGCCACCATTTGAGCATTGGGGTCTAGGAACGACCTCCCTGCCAGATCCCTGTAGGCCATCTCTTATCAATCTTATCAGCACCTCCGATAAGAACTTTTCTCTCGGACTTTTTTGAATTTCTCAACCATCTCGAACCGCTCGCAACCCAATTTTCGCCCCTCGAACAAGCCATTTGTCGACCCACACACATAAATCGTCCAAGATGCCCAAGGCAAAGAGAACCAAGGTGTACCACCTCACCCAGGGTGAATAAGAAGACGCGCGAGCAGAAGGAGAAGCTGTTCCAGGACATCCGCGACACCGTTCCCAAGTACGAGCGCTGCTTCGTGCTGGGCTTCGACAACATGCGCAACAACCACCTCAAGGACGTGCGCCACGAGCTCTCGGACTCCAGGTACGGATGAAGACTCCTAATCTCCACTGAACAAGAAAAGAAAGAAGAAGAAAAAAGTCGAGAGTCAATTGGCCCCAGACCTTCGCCGCACGCCCCCCCACACCGGGGGAGCAATATAGAAGCAGGCCGCTGACTAGAGGGAATCTCGTTTCCGCCGCGAACCAACAGGCTCTTCTTCGGCAAGACGAAGCTCATGTCCCGCGCGCTGGGCCAGACCCCCGAGGACGCCACCGCGGACGGCATCCACAAGCTGTCCAACCACCTGACGGGCAACGTGGCGCTGCTCTTCACCAGCCGCCCCACGGACGAGATAACCACCTACTTCGGGTCCTTCTCCCCCGTCGACTTCGCGCGCGCCGGCGCCGTCGCGTCGCGCGACTTTGTCATCCCCACGGGCGTCGTGTACGCCACGGGCGGCGCGGTCCCCGCCGAGCACGACGTGCCCCTGGGCCACACCATCGAGCCCGAGCTGAGGCGCCTCGGCGTCCCGACGCGCATGGTCCGGGGCAAGGTCGTCCTGGGCGAGGAGACGGGCGGCGGCGAGGGGTATACCGTCTGCAAGGAGGGCCAGGTCCTCGACTCGAGGCAGACGAGGCTGCTGAAGCTGTTTGACCAGTGCCTGAGCGAGTTCAGGGTCAAGATCTTGGCGTGAGTATTTCCACTCCCTTCCACTTGTGAATTTTTTTTTTTTTTGCCCCTTTCTCTCTTCTGCGCAATGCCCGGCATTGTGGTGGTCTCTTCGTATGATATACATGTTTTACTGACAAGTTCCGGGCTATCAGCTACTGGGAGGCTAAGAGCGGGGTCGTCACCGAGGTCGACGAGGCCGACGAGGACGCCATGGATGGTGTGGATGAGGATGATGAGTAGGCGAGAGGGGACAGACAGGTCGAGAGACCGGGGGCCGTGGAGGGTCTTCCGGCCTCCTGCGGCCCACCCGTCTGGGTTGATACCACTACATACTTGGTTTTGATGGCGTTCAGGAAGGCAGGAAAATGGACAGTTAGCATTGCACATGGCAGATGAGGCCTGAGCACAAGACCAAAGAAAAAAAGCTAAAATGATATGTATTGTCTGAAAGCTATGGAAGCAGAACGTCTGCAGAGTGACTATACATACCCACCCGTGTCAGGGAGAGCGTCATGCTACGCCGTGTTTGCTGTTTTCACACATGATACAGTTTCGCTACTTACGCAAGCAAGACGCTTCCATGCGATCGGTTCCATTACAGTTTCCTTTTGTTCCAAACATGCATTACTAACGCCACGCTGGCATGGAGCTCGTGGTCAGTAGGATCCGCAGTCCTTACCTCTGACCTTACCTCGAAAGCTATTCCAGTCTTCCCCTCCGCGTGACTGGCAGATACAAGAAACACACGTCATCTTACAAGGAGAAATACTACCTGTCCTGACCCTTGCTGCGTGGCGCCCAACTGCTCTTTGGGGAGCAAAATTGACGCATGTATGTCGGCTCCAGGAGATACGTCGCGTGCGGTGACACACCCTTCTTGTGTATTATCAGACGGTCCGGGCGTGTGGTTCTAAGAATGGCCACTGTTGGTAGTCCCCGGTTGATCCGTTGGCCTTTTACCTTGAGACAAGGAGTATGAAGTTGACCATGATGTGGAAAGACTTGTTTCCGTCGGCTTACCCTTGTTGTCAAGGAGGCAAGAGAGGTGGAAGACGACAAAAGCGAAATGAGTGGACTCAAGATACCCACCACAAGACGCGGGAGTGTCTTGTCATCAGTAGCGGCGCAATTTGCGTTCGCCTTCGTAGCCTGATCCTCCTTCGTATGGTCGTTTGCGCGAATCGTCGCGGCCGTAGTCGCGGTCACGATATCCGCCGTCTCGGTCTCTGTCTCGATCTCCGCCGCGGTCTCCACCTCTGTCTCTGTCTCCGCCGTGCCTTTGACCAAGCGGCATGGCGTTGCTTCCGGAGCTGGATCGATCGCCTCCACGGTAGCCCCCTCCGCCGCCGTATCCTCTGTCGTCATCGCGTCGACCGTATCCGCCGCCGCCCCCGCGGTCTCCACCTCCACCATAGTCTCTGCGGTCACGGTCATATCGGCCACCCGGTCCGCTCGGCGCGTTTGGTGGTCCGCCGAATCCACGGTCACGGCCTCCGAAGCCCCCGCCGCGACGATCGAAACCGCCACGGAAGCCACCTCGGTCTCCTCCTCTGAAGCCGCCTCCACGTCCACGGAAGCCGCCTCCGAAGCCACCGGGACCGGCCATGGGACGACTTGGCATGGCCTTGGTGTAACCACGCCCGCCAAGTCCACCGCCGAGGCGACGAGGCTTCCAGCCTGAGACGGTACGACCACGCTCGACATCGGTCTTGATACGGCGGCCCTTGATGCTGATACCATCGAGTTGTTCTAGAGCAGCTAAATGTGCGCGCGGCAAAACGCGCTTGTGTCAGTACGACCTTACCATTGTCTGCATACCTTCGTGATGAACTAGATGAAGGGGAAAGGGGACCGAGACAGGCAAGCTTGAGGGCCATGGTCTCGGAGGGGCATTGGTTCGCCATGCAGGCTCCAGGGTGGTTGGCTTGGGAATATTAATGGCAGTATTACCTCTCATGTCCTTTTCTCGCTCAAACACTATGAAGGCGTAGCCGCGGTGTGGCTTTTTCTTCTTGTTTCCCTTCTCGTCGGCATGGCTGTCCCGAACGATTCTGATCTATTGGACATGTCAGCGGAGATGCAAGGTACGAATTAGTGGAATATAGGGCGAAGCATACACGCTCGATCGTCCCGACGCGCCCGAACTCTCTCTCGAGATCCTCCTCATTGGCATCGTAGCTGAGTCGCGAGACCATCAGGGTCTTGAAGGCATCGCCACGGATGTTGGGATCGTTGGCCGGGTTGACTGTGTTCCAGGTGTTAGCCTCGCGTACTGGGAACATCGGATAGGGGGCATCTTACACAGCTTGGGAGCCTCGGTGACGAGCTTCTCGATCTCGGCCTTCTTCTCAAGCTTCTTGCGGTCGCGTGCTTGCAACCAACTCTCCGTGGGGACGTAGCCGTCGGCGTCCTTGTAAGTTTCAAGGTGAGGCAGGAAATCTGCGACACCTCCAATGGCAGCCGTCTTGCGCTGCTCTGGTGGAAAATCACAAGGAGGGACCCATCGCAGCGGAGGTCGGGGCGCAAACAGCGCCAGGAGGTTGGGAGGGAGCTTGTCGGTCATTTTCAGTCCTCGTTCAGGTCATTTGCACTTGGCTGAGATCCGTTCAAAATGAAGTTCGGTACTCGCTTCGATGAACCAAGGCAGTTGCGCGCCTTGGACTTGAATAGACAAGTCAGGACGAGCGCAAACGACGGCGGGTGGACAGGAAGGGAGACGGTTGAAAGGAGAAGGCCTTTGCGACAGGTTGCCTAGTTGAGAGCTAGGCCGTCGACGACAACAGGGGACAAGAGCAGGAACGCGCCTCGAAAAAGCTCAGGCCACCATCTTACATAAGCAACATTTTTGGATGCGATAGGACGCATCGGGCGAGACGACTGATTGAACGACGATGATGTCCGTCCTCAACACATTTGGCAGGCCACCATGACAATAAGACCAGCAATAGAGGCAGTAACAAAGGGCCGAGTAAGTTTTGTCCTCCCTAGCATATCAATTCCACGCCGCACCGTGCTGACCGTCCTGACAGAACGGCGTCGGCGCCTTCGTGCTGCAATGCAAGAGGATGGACTTCCACTACTGTGACTGGGCAGGGAGCTCAAAAGGCATGAAGTAAGTGGTGCAAGCCCTCTCTTGCCTGCTGGACCAGTGCTAACCCGTCCTGGCAGCTCCTTTATCAAGTCCCTCCTTCCCAGGTTCGCCGCCGCACACCCCGAGATCGAGGTCACCGTCTCCCCACGGCCGACCAAGCACCCCATCGTCAGCGCACACTACATTAACGGCAACACGCGGGCGGTCTGCGTGAAGAACCTCCACGCGAACCAGATACAGCAGAAGGTCGAGCTGCTGCGGGACTCGACTGGCGAGAGGAACAAGAGATACAGCAAGCCGGTGAAGAGCATCAACGAGAGTGTCAGAGGCGTCTGGTCACCGTACCACGGCAAGGGGCTCACAGTATAGACGTGGCCGGAGCCGAGGGGAAGGGGACAGACAGAACGTGTATTTTACATGCATGGTGCTGGAGTGCCACATATCATGAGACGAACGGTCTTCAGGCGTGGCATCCGTGTCAATTACATACCCGGACTACGTCTTTAAAAGCATCAAGAAGCGCAATTTAACGAGCAACTAAAGGGGCGAAATGGAGTGGTTTCATAAGGTTCATTTGACTACTTTTTGCTGCCTATCTTGGTGGTCCTTATGGCCCCGATTCTTCCGGGGGAATTGCCCACGGACTACTCCTCTCCCAGCTCAACGGCAACGACCTTTATGCCTGGGTGCTGTTGATGATGTCGACGAAGGCAGGCTTCAAGCTAGCACCGCCGACGAGGAAACCGTCAATGTCGGCCTGCTTGCTGAGCTCCACGCAGTTTTTCTCGCTGACGCTGCCGCCGTACAGGATGCGGGTCTCGTCGGCGGCCTTGGCGTCGACCTTCTCCTTGAGCCACTGGCGGATGGCGGCGTGGACCTCCTGGGCCTGCTCGGTGGTGGCGACCTTGCCGGTGCCGATGGCCCAGATGGGCTCGTAGGCGACGACGATCTTGGACCAGTCGGAGCCGATCTTGGCCTTGAGGGCGTCGAGCTGCTTGGTGACGACAGCGACGGTCTTGCCGGCCTCGCGCTCCTCGAGCGACTCGCCGCAGCACCAGATGACGCTCAGGCCGCCGTCGGTGGCGAACTTGGTCTTGGACGCGACCACCTCGTCCGTCTCGCCCAGGATCGTGCGCCGCTCGCTGTGGCCCAGGATCGCCCAGGTCACGTTGCTGTCCTTGAGCTGCTCCACCGAGATCTCGCCCGTGTAGGCGCCGTTGGGCTTGTCGTAGACGTTCTGCGCTGACACCTCGATGCCTTTGTTCAGGGAGTCACGGACGTAGTGGAGGTAGAGTGCTGGTGGTGCAACAACGACCTCTGTGATGTGGAGAGGCGGGTTAGCAGAGTGTACTTCTGGCTTGGCTTATTCCGGGATCGGCTCAGAGCAGTGTCAGGTCAGACATACCAGCGTTGGGGTCGAGCTTTGCACTGTTCAGGTTGTCGACAATCGCCTTGATGGACGACTTGGTGCCGTTCCTGTAGGTTTGGCGAGGCCATCATCAGTCCAGAAGCTCTCCGGAAGCTCTGCGGGGTTTTCAGGAGCTCGGGGGAGCTTGGTGGTAGCTCACATCTTCCAGTTTCCTCCGACAAAGAACTTGCGAGCCATGATGGGCAATTGGTAGCTGAGGGTATCGAGATAGTTGGAAAAGGAGGGTATTGTCTATCAGGAAGGAGTTATGAATTATGCAGTTGCAGCTGGCAGAGTGAAGAGGGAGAGAGTTTCAGGAAAAGCGTACTTGAGGTGACGACAGTCTTTCTGCTCTTTAGAGGGCAGGAGGGGCAGCAATGGAGGGGCACGGAGCAGGAGCACAGGCATGCCAGACGTCGTTTCTGGTGGGGACTCGCCGGGACTTGGCGGCTCTCGTTCGATGGCCCCTAGTTTCGTCCTCAACGAAAACAACTCATCGCCTCACTTTCCTCGGCAAACAGCATGACTTCATGTGCTTAGCTCTCCCTGCTTTTCCCGCATGATTTACGATGTTCTGTGGCGTGACGTTATAAAACCCACCCAATCCTCCAATGCTGCAGTGAGGGACTGAGTCGCGCTCCACTCCAAGGTGGGCTGGCCTGGGAACACCACGGTTACCCGAACCCATCACCGAGCGAATCGGCTTCCCAAGGCATACGGGTGTTAGTCCAAGCATCCAGGAGTTTCGATCCCAATGCCCGAGGCACCTTGGCAGATTTAAAGACGGCTGAGCAGCCAATTGAAGATGTGCCACGAGTCTGTCCGCGCTGTTGCAAGCAACTGGTTCGTCCGCGTCCATTGCTCGGCCAAATTCCATCGGGGGATGGCTCGCGATGGAACTGAGGCCCGCCCAATCGCCTGAGGTTGGGCCGACACGCCACGTTTGGCGGAGCATGCAGCATCAAATCTCTTAATATCTACGAGTTATCGAGCAGTACCGCGGGGTCATTGTTCTCTCTTGAATGTTGTCAAGCTTTGCCCTGGCTGTCAACCTGTCGCCGAGGCAGCATCAACACAGTCTGACATGCAACCCACGGTTCATATTCCAGCCGCAGTTACGAGAACACAAGACGGCTGCCGACATGATCGGTGAGACTTCTTCGATATGACTGCCTACATGAAGTACGCAGAAAGTCAACGCCTGCCCAGATTCTATCGCCCTGAACTGCATGGGTGATTATGGATTCTACTGCGATCTGTCCATCACGACCAAGGCCCTCCCTAAATGGGTATCGGATCACAAGTCAACATGAAGGTACGGTTGAGTCAGCTTTGATAAGCTGTGTCGATGGTCATCACTTGCAGTCTCGTGGGCAATGAGAAGTCAGCTGTGGAACCACCGTCTGGTTGCATTCTGAAGCTGCATTCTGAGTACGAAGCTCCTGGTAATAGCATTGCCGACTGGGACGGCGTTCTGGCAACATAAGAGAAAGAAGCACGCTCGATCCGCAATCATTACTGCCCAGTTTTTCCGCCCGTTGCGATGCTTGGACAGGTTCCAGGCTTGTTTTCCAAGGACACCCCCCCCCCTGGCCTAGACAAGAAAGCTCATCGCCTATAATCACGATCGAAATCATACGTGCGGTCTGTCCTCCGCGAGAAAGGGGCGAAAGGGTTCACAGAAGATTGGGGCGATTCCTCACGCCTCCTCCGGTACAGTGATTCCTCGTCTATCTGGGCTCGCATGATATGCTCCTGCTCTTGTCGAGCCCGCGCCTCACGGAGTCGTTGGGCCTCAAAGATGGATGGAGTCACTAAGATCGTCATGATAACGCGAGTCGCGGTCGATTCTCAGGCGCTGGAAGTTGTCTTCAAGCTGTCGACCGACCTCGCTTGAGGTGACATGCCGGATCCGTGTTGGAGATAATCCCTCGTTGATGATCTCCGGCCGGGGCGCGTATCGAGGCTTGTATCTCCTGGCAGCAAAGTCGAGGCTCTCGGCATCACCCAGGGTGTGCCGGAAGGCAGCTTTCTGATCCGATCTCCCAGCATGGTAGGCTTCGGCCTGGATTTGATCAAGACTCTCGACCGGGATTGCAGCCTTTCTTGGGGGTACTGGCACCTGGATGATGGGTACACGAGCTCCACTTCCAGTGACGATATATGATGGCTCCTCGACGAGACTGTGGCGACGGCCAGGGCGGTAGACGTCGACCCCGAAATTCCTGGGCTCTTCAAGGTACCTCAAGGATCGCCTCTTCTGGTCATGGTGTTTCCTGCCCTTGTGCGAGTCTGATGAATGCGAGGGCTCGGTAACTAATGTGGACTCGGAACCAAGTTCGGAACCCGACCCGTAGTCGGAACACTCCGAGCTGTCAGAGCTTCTGGAATGGCGACTCCGATGGTTCCTGTCCTTTCGATGGTCCACCTCGACCCGGATTGGTGTATGGGGTCGACCAAGTCCTTGTACAGGGTGAGACTGATGCATCGGCATGCCTTGGGCACGGTGCACTTGTCCCTGCATTGGTCCCGGGCTGCGCATAGGAGCAGCCTGTGGGTGGTACATTGGTCCTGGCTGGGGCTGTTGCACAAGCTGAGGGCGGGGGTGGGGGACCATGTGCTGCTCCGGCGCCTGGTGGTGCCTTATCTGCATCGCTTCGGATTCCCGCTGCTTCTCAATGCCAACGGACCGAGCCAGCTCGCTCGGTATCTGAGTTGGCTTGGGACAGCGTTTGAAGTAGGCCGTGATGGAAGTACGCTCGTACCTCCTCTTCTGTTGGATCTTCCTCTTCGTGTTGGACCTTCGCGTATAGACCTTCTCGCGCTTTTGCATGACGGGTTTAAGCGTGTAGTCAATCTGCGCGAGCACGGTGTGGAAGCGTGGATCGTATTCCTCAAGCGAGAGCTCGCGTTGCGCTTTTGCAAGTTGGTCTTGTTGCTTTGGTCCCAGGTCATTCTGCTTCTCCAAGAGGGTCCTCCCTTTCTTACCGTCCTCCTTGTTCAACCGCCGGACTTCCTTCCGAGCGTCCACCTTGTCGACACCTGCAATGCGTCTCCTGATGCAATTATCCCAGCTCGCCTTCACTTCTTCGCCCTCGGAGTCATACTCGTCATACGGCTCAATTTTCTCGAACCTCAGGATGACATAATCCGACAGGTCTTCCCGGATATCGCCTTCAGTCACGCCCTCGGCCCGAATGTCGGAGACAACGACGGGACGCTGGAAGTGGGATGGTATGACATGTCTGGGAGGGTGAGGTGGTTGTGGTGGGAATGAAGCTGCTATTTGCGGCATGGGCCGTTGCATCTGTGGCGGAAGAGACATGGGCGCCACCGTAGGCACGGGACGCTGCTGATGCACCATCGGCGGCGGCGGTGGAGGTGGCGGCCGGCCCCCTATACCCGGCTGGTGATGTTGAGGAGGGACCGGGATTGGGGGTGGTTGAGGCTGACCACCATTGAGATGGTAGAATTCCTGCATGGTCACGAACGTGGAAGAAAGGCTCAACTACAGAGAAGCAAGAGACGATTCTGCCTTGGCCAGAGAAGGGCGAGAGTAAGGTTGGATGAAGACCGACTACTCTCAGTCAGGGCGAGTAGGCAGAGCCAGGCAGCAAGGCTTTAATATACCTGGGGCGGTCGGAGGAGGACAGGCAACGCGAAGCAAGTTGATGGGATGGTGTGCAGCCCACAACAATCTTTTGGTACGTCACGAAAGTGAGGCGAGGACAAGAAGGGCCACGCGGTTCGTTCGTGTCGCCAGGGACGACTGAAGAGTGAGACAGGAGGGACAACCCCCAGATCTGAGCCACGCGTGTCTAGGACGTGGTGTCCAGCGCCGTCGAGGTCACTCAGTACGGATCACTCGGCCAGATGAACAGCTCCGAGGTCTCAGAGTAGTCCTGGACGGCTGCTGCCGCTACGACCTTGCGACGAACCATCCTCCAGATCAGCAGTCCGAGACTCGACTCGAGGAACCGGGAGCGGGCAAATACATGTACACCAACTTCGAGAAACAAGTGCCGGGCATGGAGAAGCGCTACTTACCACTACCAAAATGGGCTAAAATATAGCAACGTCTCGCCCCACTCTGGCTTGCTCGGTGAGTCGAGTGTCACACACACACCTTCTTCAACTCACTGGGTGCAGTCTTGTTTATATCGCGGGTCATGATTGGCCAGGCATCCTTCGGAGAGCAGCGCGGACTGCTCGAAGGATTGCCAAGAGCGGAGGCTAAGCTCGAGCTCAGCTTGTCACCTAGCACTGACAGACACACAGGCAGACAGGTCGCGACTATAGCGGGCCTGGATGGCCACAGACGCTGGCTGTGGCCGCAAGCAATTATGCGTTGCCCGCACCGCAAAGCCAGTGTTCACATATGTGGTGTCTCGTTGCTCAAATATGTCAGGGGATGATCTGGTACGAGTTGGAGACATGGTGGAACCGCGACTACCGCCCAGCGCTACCTGATGCCCTGATATTCACACCTCGACACTGAAAGATGTTGACCAACACCTGTTGAGATATGTCTTTGATCATAGACAGCGGTGTGTAGTATGGAAAGTCTCATGCGCCCCGTATGCTGTACGACGCTGACCACCTGAGCCTCATGCCGCATCGGTCGCCGAGACTACGGAGAAAAGAAGGCAGCCGACTGAACGCCTTATTTCCACTTCGCTCGGGCAACGCTAAGGCATGCAAAAACAGCCCAAGCAACGGTGGCCTCCAGGTGCATATGCAGCCTCGTTCTGTTTACTCCTTCATTTCCCATTCGCTCTTTGTTCGTCAAGTGACGGAGACCAGGGTCCCGTATTCGCCAGAGCTATCTCCTCATGTTGATAAGGTCTACACCCTCCTTCACTGACTCCAACACCTCGGGCCCGACTGCTTGCCGCGCATTGTGGCTTGTCTAGCTTCTCTGCTTACGTTACACACACCTCAAGCCACCCAGGCATCTCTACATCGTCGCCAATAAGCGCTGTCTGCTGTTATGTGTGCGGCTCTGCGACCAATATTGGCGAGTGAGAGGACGGGAGCATCGCCCTTGGCTGCTGCTTACTTTGGCTTAGGCTGCTGCATCCAAGAACAGCGTGCTATTGTTTCTGCACTGACGATCTCAGTGCCTGACAGGCAAACGCTGCAAACTCCATGTTGACACCGCTGATCACAGGCTGCCATTCGTCACTAAAACAGACAAAAACGTCAATTTGAGCCGCAAATCCTGCTAGTGCTAGAGAAGCTTTCTCGAATTTCGGGGGTAAGTAACTCAGGTGTATCTCCTGTCGACTCTCGTGTACAGGAGACATGTCTTTCCCTGCTCGACCAGTCGGTCCTCATTACCGAGGCTCCCATTCCTGGAACCGCAGTCACATTGTGTCCGTTCAGCGTGCACCGCCGCCTAGTGTACTGCTTCACATACTTGAATCGGCGAAACCCTTTGGCCATTTTATTGTGGGACATATGGAAGAGAACCCTCGATCCCAGTTTGTCCATTCACGGGGGACCATGCTCTCCATGCTTGCCGCATTGTCATGTCATGCAGGTCGCCCTGCGGTGCGCGCCGCTGCAGACGGCCGATCGCAAGCCTCTTGCTTAGCCGGGCAAGATGCATTGGCCAAATATGATGCATGGACTCACCGAGGGCGGTGTTGGGCATGAAGCGAGCATTCATAACCTACAGAGTGCCAGTTCCTACCTGCGGGTTGGGTATTGGTCCCTAGGCCCCGATCTGGACTGGCTGTATCTATCTGGTACGCCCACTTTGGTACATTATATCGCATCAGATGCAGTCGATTTATCATTTTTCGAGTGGTTTGTGTGTCTCCTACTCGTTTGCTAGCGTCTGTACCCCGTTTCTCTGATCGCTGTGGGCATGCTGCACAAGGTGTGCTGCCCGATGTCGCCCCCAGATCTGACCATGGGCTCTTCCTGGACTGACACCCCATTCGTCGTCCCCTTTCCACCTCACCCTGACCGGGCTCTTGACCACGCCACGTTTTCCGGTGCTGCATGCATGCCTCGCGGTCGGAATTCTTCACCTCTTTGGGGAAACCACTCAATCCCTCATGCATGCAGTCAGTCGCACGCGGTGCACCCGGAAAATAATATATGTACGATCAACGGCGGACCGCCCGGTTTGAGTCTGTGTTACGTGCCAGCGCCTACGCCCGCACTAGCCCCCCTCCCCCATTCCCTGTCGCCTCCTAGCCAAGCTGCGGACAGAGAATCTCTGGGAGGGAGGGGACGGAAAGGAGGCAAAAAGAACATAAGAAAAGGAAGCCCGACGAACCCAAAGCGCGTCGATGGAAGAGCGGTGGGTGCCCAACGGTTCCGCGACGCCGATCCAATGCTGTCGGACGGTGCCACCGGGTCCTGCTTCTATGCGTTGTTGTTGCGGCACGCTGCTCGACAACGCTCTGGTGGTGGAGGCTGAGGTGCTGTGCTCCGTGTCGCCGAGGAAAAGAGTTGGCCAATTCTTTATTAGTCGGGTTACAGCTAGCGGCGCGCGCGATAGGGGACGGCCTCGAGTCCTCTTTTTGGAAGGGGAAAGTGGTGCAATGCTGTGGACGGGAAGGGTTGCTCGTGTTTCTCTTTGTGTGCTGGTGTGTGTATTTTTCGCGCCGTCATGGTCTTGTGCAGTGCTACGATGATTCCCTCGTTTTCCTGAGTCAAAAGCTCACTACCGCGTACAGACATCCGAATGTGGTAATCCGGGTTGAATGGATGCACCTGCTCTATTCTCGCCATAATAGTGCATTGAGAACCAGAATCTTGGACCATCGAAGCTGACCTCTTGGGCTTAGTGTTATCATGGCACTTTGGGGCCAACGTGCCTGCATGCAGCTCTCCGTCAGAAATCAATGGATGATTTTCAATCTCACGAGATCGAGTTTTTAAGCATGCTTTTGTCAAACATAAGCGCTGACGGTTGACAAACGGCGGATTTATGCACCGTCTGGTAATCCGTTCCCACACTCCAATGCGCAAGGCATTCGTTTCACTCCTCATTGATTCTTCCTCCTCCACCTGCTCGCTTCTTGCTGCTCATTCCCATGAGAATCTCAGTATATCTCTTGCGGCAGTTACTCTTTTATCTTCTGCTTATGGAACAAATCTAATTGCAGAGTCAGTTGTGACATACGGTTGAGATCCATGGGGTTGGCGACACAAACCAGGAATCTCGGGCATCCAGCTCGACCTTTCTTTGCAGAAGAACTCTCCCTTGGGCGGCAGCTTCTCAGGGTCATCCAAAGTACCGTATGTTATGTACCTGAATTTATCCGCAGCTTGTTCCTGTTGTGATCGTGTTTTATCAGATCATGTCTGGGTCTTTTTAAGTCATGGATCAAAATCGTGGACACATACCCCGTATTCACAAATGAACGAACCGCAATTGTCGCAAAACTCCCGTACAACGCCATTGTCCTGCTTGTACAGCTTTGGCTCTCCTTGGCTGTATTTGAAGCTCTCGATTGGGATCTAGGTAAAGACGGTAAGACGACTGTGTGTCTGTGGCGACATGGCCAAAGAGGGGGGGGGGGTTGCCGGGTACATGCCTTGGAGGTCAGCCCATAGTTCGTGCCAAATGCCTTCTTGCAGCTCGAGCAGTGGCACAGTGATGTCCGCGCGGAATCGGCAGAGTCGAGCCTCACGGTGTACTGCAGCTTCCTACACGTGCACGTTCCAGTGAGATTGAGAGCCATTGTGGAAAGGAGTCTCCAAGGCGTGGGGTGAGTTCAAGATAGACCGGAGTCAAGACGGGTGGTTTTTGAGTGCTAGTAGGCGAGACAGCATCATGTTCTAGGTGGCTGTCCCTTTCGTCTTATGATGCCGTGGAACTGGCATCAGCATGATCGGCATTGGTTCTTGTGCGACTGGGGGGAAATGGCACTGCACATATCCTAATGTCATCGTATGTCATGGTGATTCAACAGGCGTGGCGTCGCCGATGGACCCTTGGCTGCTCACTTTTGGGAAAGCAACACTACTTTCAGCTTCTTTCTCGGGAATATCTTACAAGGCGGCATCAGAGCTAGATTGAATTTAAGTTGCAGACGTTGCGGCAAGAATGCAGGTGGCTTAATTAGGCTCAAAGCGATCAAAGGGTGCTCCTATGGGCCTGCTCTGTAGATGAACAATCAATACAAGTTTCGACTCTGAAGACTTAATCCAGCCTGATGAGTTCTCCGTTTTCTCGTGAAAGTAGCTTCGGCACGGGTTCAGGAGCTTGGCTTCGACACGCGCCTTTTCACATACCACCTGGGCAAGTACACATCGATCCCAGCTGCATTACCATACAAACTAATGCAAGCCCTAAGTTAAGTGAACATATGTCTGCTAGTGCCTGCATCTTGAAGAAATTTGCCCGGTTCTGTGTTGCATGCCTCAGTAGCGCGCAAAACACTGCCGCTCAAGACTTGGAGTTGGAAAAATAACATCGACTTCTATTACCTCGAGGGCTACGAGCTCGTATTCCGATACCGCTTTTCTATGCTATGTATAAGCGACACAGTAAGGCACCTTCGATGCCAAGTGTCCGATTTTGAACTACTGAATGTGCGACTACTGTTGTACGTCAGTACTCTTGGCCACGTCCTCCCATTCTTCACAGATCTTCAACGTTTCCTCGCATTTGTCCTTGATTCTGGTCCAACCATCGCTTCCGAGTGGCACTCTGAGCGGAACTGTCTTGCCAGCGGCCATCCCGGTGCCATTGGTCAGCTCGATCATCCGCGTAACGGCTTTTGCAGAGTCGCCCGGCTCGTTTCCTACAATGCTCTGTTCGACAGCCTGGACGCCTGTAACCTTTGTCAGAACCAAGCCGTGTTGATGTGCCAAGGTCCCTGCGACCAAGGTAGGCCTGGGATATTGTCATCGATAATAGCAATTTCGAAATCATTGTACGAACCGGCATTGAACTGTGAATAGATATCCACGCGCGGCTCCACGTGGCTGATGTTACTGAAGGCTCGGGTCCGGAAGTAGCCGGGCTCAACAAGCAGCACTTTTAGGCCTGGCGCAAAGATAGCAAGCTCCTTTGCGAGACACTCCACGGCTCCTATATGGGTGAGGTTAGTTCGAATAATCTAAGCAGTGATCAGGTATCACCGAGAAAGGAATATCAAACCTTCGAGTGCGAACTTGGTCGAACAATATCCGGTCGCACTGGGGTCAGCACTATCTGTTTGTCAGAATATCACGCTATCGTTCATGAAGAGAACCACGCCAATAAGACATACTGCCATCCTGCCTGAGAGCTCATGAATAGTAGAGTTCCTGTCCCCTTGGCCCGGAGCTTTGGCAGAATCGCGCGGGTTATGTTCAGTGGGCCGTGGAAATTGGTCTTGAAGACGTCTTCCAGATCCTTTTGCCTACGAAAGAATGTCAGCAAAGAAAAGGTCAGCATAAGAAGAGGGTTCACACATACGTGATTTCCTCAAAGGCTCCACTAAGAATATAGCCAGGTCTGCGGTGCCATAGTGCGAGCGCGTATGTGCCAAGGAATGATTCAAGTTCCCAGAGCAGAACAAGTGACTGCAATGCTAGTTGGTAGCTTCCAGGAAATAGTGTGAGAACTCGTCCTCAAGTAACTAGCCGCGAGATGTGGGACTCGGTGACCGTGTAGGGTGAGCCAACTATTTACCAACGGGCCATGAAGTAGCGCAGGGGTTGTTTGTAGAGACATCACGTAGACAATGCTGCGTATTGTGCTCATGATCCTTGAGATACTGTGATGGATTCGGTTAATTGTACCATTTATAGACCACACCGTAGTAAGTTTGTTGGCAGCTACAGTAAGGGAGTAAGCACTAGTAACAAAAGATCCCGGTAGGGGCGCGACTCCACCACTGGTGACTTCGGCCTTGCTAGTTCCCACAACCGCTTGTGAAAACCACCCGTGCTGTCATTGAGTCGATCCGGAAGACTCGAGAGTGTAGGATCAATTTCAATACACAAGTAAATTTCACGCAGTTTTAAGTTAAACGCTCAGTGGTCTCGATTCTGAAGAAGCATACGTTGAGTGTCGGGATTATTGCCGAGGATAAATAAACCTTCCGTAGCAACACTATCTTGTCTGTCTTTGCTATTTCAGTAACACTTCCCTGCTATGAATAGAGCCTCCAAAGGATCTAGAGAAAATCAGGGCCATGCTGATTTCTGAAAAGGCCATAGAGATGACATGATGGGTATTGCTACTTGAAATCTAATTGAAGGGGTCATCGGGGGCTTGGGCCAGTCTGGCAGTTCTTGGACTCCAATCACAATCCCGAATAGACTCAGCTGCGTTTGTAGTCAAGATTACGAGTATAATTCAGTACGTTGTGCTGCCTAGGAAGTCAACTGTCGAAGTATATGATTGCTCTGCCCTACACATAAGGCACCCCCTTCTCCGCTGGCTTAACATTCACCTTCCACGAGACCCCTAACACCTCCTGCCCACTCTTCATTCTCTCTACGACTCCGTATCGGAATTCGATGCCCTCGAATGCCTTAGTCATCTCCAAGCCTGCTAGACCTCCGAATCCCGGTGCCAGATTGACGTATTTGGAGTCTCGAATCGCTGACGACGCATATCCGAGTATGTCGGGTGTTCTTGATACATGGCAGAAGACGGCCCCGGCAATGCTGCCCGCGAACATTACCAGTGCCGTGACGAAGAATACTGTGATCCATGGTGTATTGATGGTGTACACCTCCTCGTAAGTGTGAATGGACGCGAGCGTTGTAAGATTGCCAATGTGACCAGGTGATATACCACCGGCTATGGATTCGAAGGCTTGGCTAGCCATCAAATACGTGTTTATCAGCTGGCCCAGACGTAATCCGATGTCACTAGTGGTAATATGGTCCAAATTGGGAAGCATCTGACTCGTCCCGTCAAGCAAAAAGGATGATGAGGTGTTGAAAAGGTATGCAAGCGAGGTGTCTGCAAGCCCATGGTTGTCCCGGAGACCACTTGCCGCTGGTAGCATCATGGAAAGAGCCCGAAAGACCCACGGAAATGAAAGATGTGTGATATTGGTCGAGGGGTGTGGCTTCTGCGATGCACGTTGGGCTATGACTGAGCATTCGCCCACTCTCAAGGGGTCGGTCCGGCTGCATTTAATTTGTGATTCGATGTAGGACTGGGCTATTGAGCAGGTCGCCGAAAAAGCATTGACGTCGTAGGAACCGTTGGAACTTGAAGACAGGGAAGAAACCGATTGCAAAAGTAGGCTTGCCTGAGAAGTAAGGATGTTCGTCTCGTTGACAAAAGCATTCGGAGAATAATATGTAGAAATAACCTCCCTCGCCTCGGCAAAATGGGCTGGCACATGAGACCATATCCACATCGACTTCCTCTTCAACCACAATGGGTCTACAAATGTGTCTGAAGCGAGTATCCAGGGCTCAGTATCGTTATGTTCGTCGTACGCGCAAGCCTGCCATGTCCCATTCGCGACTTCAGGGAAATCTAGCAAACTGGGCCGCCTAATCAAAGATGTGTTATCGAAGGAGGCATAGGGGATGTAAACGGAGCCGTTCTCATAATCCGAGCGGCTGTAATTTGAGTAAACAACAGAAGGGCATTGCAATTCAATGTAGCTGGTTTCCACGTTGAAGGTGTAGTTAAGGTGGGAACCTCTCTCGGTCATGGCTGCGGGAAGGCCAACCAACGATGAAAACACCAAGTTATCGTTGTCCGGGACTTGGACCCATGAGTCATCTGGATGGGTATTTTCGTATGAGGACATGTATGGGATCTTGACGTTTCCCCATGAGTCCTGGCTGCTTGCTTTCGTCTCGTCGGCAGATAGCATCGCGGCGGTGTACATGGATCTCGTCAAGTCAAAGTTGCCGCTTTGACCCCAAAAGGTGGACTCGAAGAAGAATGGTGGGGTATTTGTATCGAAGTACACCACGGGGCCGTGGGTTTGGGTATCTTTCAATGCTGTGCCAAAAGCACGAAGGATGGATTGTGCTCCGAGTGGCGACAGCGACCAAATCATGGTCATCAAGACTCCGACGGTATTGAGCCCGCCGAGGTGAATCTGCGTCAGGAATGCCGAGAACACCGTTCGGCTGCCAAGCCACTGCTCGATGGAGGGCAGACTGGCTCCCTTCTCCAACCTCCACCGGGAGACCTGCGTGGTCAGGCGGCCGAATACGGCGGCGAAAACGATGGGAAGAGCGGTGGCGGCCTGCTTCAGGAGATTAGTGATTTTCCAGATGAACCCGAGTCGGTGCTTCTGATTAGGAAGTGCTGACAACTCTAATCCCATTGTTAAAGCTCTGGTGGGATATTTTGTGAGTAGGTTTACCGTTGGCCTGTGCGAGGAGACATGCTAGCACAATGAACGGGACCGTAGACAGCACCGAGATCGTATCTGTCAAGAACGATGGCCAGGAAAACGACAGAGCCCGCGGTATGGGCCCTGAAGAGTTACTGCGGTGAGAGACTACATCGTCATCCACAGCCGTGACGTCCGATGATCCACTGGACGACACAATGTCATGAGGTGGGTCGGAATCTGGAGTCGTATAGGGACGCCCAGAGCGGGGTTTTCGTATGAGGGTATGTGAAGGCTCAGGGCCATGACTGTGATTTGATGCAGTACGTCGGCTGCGCTTCGTGACGGGGAGGCATGGGTCCTGCTCTTGAGGTGTTCGCTGCATTGTAGAAAACGAGTAAACTTCCAAGGGACAGTATAATGCTCATAACTTCTCATGTGGTCATGGGATTCCCAGAAAGAAAAGCAATTCTTGGGGGAAAACAGGGAATGAAAAGATTTAGTATTTTGCCAATGGCGGCCCTCAAAACCTGTGAGCATTCGAAATTCCGCCTGAGGGCTCGTAAATTGGGCGTGGCAGTGTCAGCAAGCTGAAATATAGCTTTCCACTAAGCCGTTGTGCAAGTGTGTGTTACACCTTGGTTGCTCTATTTGCCCATGTGCACCGCACTGGTAATGGCCATTGGGTATTGCCTGACGAAGGGGGTTTCGCAACTTGACCGATCTCTGTTCATTGTAAGACCTAATGTCCATTTGATCTGTGAAACGACGTTTCATTGTTGAATATCAAATTGGCACGGCATACTGTGGAACACACTTCGAAGATCGCCAATGAACCAGAAACTCCAACAAACACTAACAGTGTACTTACTTGCGGCCTCCAACATGTTTGAGACAGTGATTGCTTTGATAGTTGCCACTGTCTGTCTCTCAGTGCGTGCTGCCGAGACTCCGGGCAAACCGTGTTCAGCGTCTTGGCCTGCAGCTGCCACGATGGTGATTTCCGCGTTGCGATAGATCTGGCCCATTGTGCCCAGGTTCAACTTCTTATCCTCTGGGCTGTCTTGTATGATACATAGTGCATCAACCCACAGAAACCGGTAATTGGGTCGCCTCGTCGCGGTCATTGCATCAACGATCGTGCGAGACGGCTGGCCTTGAGGCGAGGCGAGGTATCCTGGTGTGTGCAGGAGCTCCTTGTTCTCGACCTTCAATTGGAGCTTTTGATCCATACCCCGTTGGTAACTTAGGGCAGCGTATGCAGCGCCTGGCGGTAAAGGTACGATGCATGCGGCATCCACATCGATGGCACGTAGGTGTGACTGCGTGGGTCTGGTATGCTCGGCAGGCGTAGAGTAGGCATTCATTCGATTGAAGTGGCCGTCTTGTCTACAAGACGTGATCCAACTTCTGACATGGCCCCCATCAATATTGTTCACGTCGACCTTCCTGCCAATGGAGGCCTTAGTATCGCCATCTGGAGCACTCAACGAGAAAATGGCAGACAGAACGCCAGAACGGTCAAATTCGTCGTAGGATACACGGTCCCTGCGTGAACATTGACCTCCGAATCCTGCGCGCTTGCTTCAGCGGAAGAATGAAGGCGCTGCATTCAGATGTGTGCAGGTTCTTCAAGAGTCTATGCGTCTCATGCTAATCACAGCACTTTGATTTGAGGGATTGTGATGAGATGCTCAATATCTTAGAGTGGGAATACGGACCTGGTGTTGAACTCTGAAGTCTTGACCGACCGGCAAAACGAATACCCGCCATTTCAGACAGCCAAAATGAACCAGCATGTACAGATCAAGCACAGTTAAGTTCATTTAGCTAATATTCCTTCAAATTTAACAACACAAACTTTTCGAACCAAACATCCGTGTATATCGATGTGTACATCAACATCAGATATTCAATCTTATATGATGGTAAATACGACGTATTATGGCAGAGATGAGGGGTTATACGGCTGTCTGTACAACAATTGCAACTGACTAGCGCGCTCTTGGAACAATTGAATGATACGGTAGTAAGCTATTAGTAAGAAAATCGTCATCGACGAGCAAGATCACAACTCCGCTGGCATAAATCAAACAGTCTCCCGTCCCTTTGCAACTCCCGAAGTGCCATAACTAAATCGCATTCAAAGTGTTGTTGCCCCGAGACCCGCAATCGAACAGTAACAAACCGTCCCAGCAGCAACCATGGCCAAGAGCTTCCGCGAACTCATCGGCGTTCCGCCGTCGACGGCATCCACAAAGGACAGCGTCCTGGTCATCATCGACGCGCAGAACGAGTGAGCAGCTTCCCCCTTGGTCACAAATCCCAGCCATGTCACTTGCTAACACGTGAGATGCAGGTACGCAGAGGGCCAGCTCAAGACGGCCAACGTCGAGTCGACGCGCAAGGCCATCGCGGGCCTGCTGGAGAAGTACCGGGCCGCGTCTGCGCCGCTGGTGCACGTCGTGCACAAGACCCCCGAGGGCGCGCCGGTGTTCACCCCGGGCACGGCGCTGGCGGCCGAGTTCGGCGAGCTGGAGCCGAAGGGCGGCGAGAAGGTCGTCGGCAAGCAGTTCCCCGGCAGCTTCACGGGGACGGACCTGGAGGAGTTCCTCAAGGGGACGGGGAGGGGCAAGGTTGTGCTGACGGGATAGTAAGTCTTCTACTCCATTTTATGTGATTCCAGTCTATTGCTTGTCTTTCCCTTGGGCATGGATTACAGAGTGCTCTTAGTCAGATAAAAGAGGCCCGATTTGATGGCTGACATCTCTGCCCGTTTCTCAGCATGGCCCACGTCTGCGTCAGCACGACCGCGCGGCAAGCCGCGGAGAAGGGCTACGACGTGGTGGTCGCGGAGGACGCAGTGGGGGACCGCGACATTCCCGGGGTCAAGGCTGAGGACCTGGTGAGGACGTCGCTGGCGGAGCTGGGCGATGCGTTTGGCACTGTGGTCAAGTCGGCGGACATCAACTAGATGGGAGAGATTGGCAGTCGCCACCTGGTTAGCTACAGTTGCATGTAGTTGTCAAACATGTCACCCATGCCATGCCGTAAACCAGCGCCCGTGTTTTTGAGGAGCTTTTCTTGTCACCTCCTGTGTCTGACTGGACGAGGTTGTGCGACCGAAGTCTGGAGCAACCACCCACTCATCACATGCCGGGCGCCACCTGTGCACGCCACACGTGGCCGTCCGCGACCCTGCGGCCGACTGGGCCTATCAATCGGCTACCTCTGGAGAGGCCAACTCGATCACGGCCCCTTGGCCGACGGACTGTTTCGAAACAACTCGTGTTAGCCTCGACGAACATGGCCCAGGGCGACCTCATCAGTTGGTGCTGAAGACTACGCGCGGTCTAGTATGTGGTGCCGGGCCGCCCCAAGACAAATGGACCCGAGGGGGCGGAGCTTGGTGCCAGGCGGAGCGTGACGGAAGATCGGACAGCCGTGGTTCCGGGGTGAGGGGGGGGGGACCAAGACGCTAGGCAGACTACGCGTCCAGATGACAGACAGGGCGGACCACGGACGGGACATCAGATGGAAATCAGAGAGCGCGTGAAAGGCGAGGAGTGGATGTCCCGAATTTGTTCGTCTCATCAAGGGTGACCGAAATCGGTTGACTGGGTTTGGTGCTCTGCTGACGATGTTCCAAAAATAGGAAGAAACGGGTGGTGGTTGTGTTGCACCCGCAGAGCAGAGCTGCACGAGGAGAAGGAGGGGGAGCAAAGAGATCCGGAGGTCTGCCGTTGCGGGGGGTTGGATGGATCTATGAGATGGACGGGGTGGGTGGGTACAGCATGTAGGTGGATGCAACCCAGCATCGACTTTGCTTACTGTTGTTCCCAGGCTGTTTACAGTAGGGCTGGAGACAGTGGGGTTGCAAGTGTGGTCCTTTTGCAATAAGGTTGTCGCATTTGAAACAATTTCAGATTCAGACGATGCGGACTGGGTGCTTTACGCTTTCCGGGGTGTTGGAGCCGAACGTAGAAGCCGCTTGGGCTGCATCAAGTGGACGAGGAGGAGGCGGACAACGAAAGGGGACGGACGAACTTGAGTACTGTGGCCTTGAGGGTTCCCGGGAACGTAGGTGGATAGCAAATGTGTTGCCTGGCGAGAGAGATCCACCAGGCCCGGATTCAAACGGACACGCCTGCCTTTTGAAAGTTGTTGATACTATTAGGTATTTATATTGTGGTCCACGACATGCAGCAGGCACGTACACTACTACATGAGTCTCAGATGGAAGTAACACACCAGACAGCCACACCACACCACACCGTACCACGCGGCAGAAGGATCGCCAATTGCCGATGCTTGGTATTTGTCCTCGGCCCTGTCCACATTCTTACTTGTCACCACTGTATCAATTTTTATTCTTTTTATCCCTCGACATCTCACGTCATCAAGCTGAAAACCCAGGTGGGTCTGGCCTTGCTCATGCTTCGGCCGGAGGTGCAGGCACGCTAACTGCTTCTAGGCAAGGCATGGGCTAGCGCCCACTGTGGGCCCACGGTACCATGCAGTTGGTTCAACATCTGGCTGTGCCATTTTACCGTCCTGCCGTCCGGGACATCGCTGCCCTCCCTCATCGGCAAACGGCCCCTCGCCTCCCAATCTTCTAGGCTCGTCTGCGGCTGGAGCTAATTTTCAGTCAGCCAGTCCGCCAGTCCGCCAGTCAATTGATCAAGCTACCAAGTACAGCCCAGCCAGGTGTGCGGTGTTTCTGTCTGCCTGCGCATCACACAGTAAGGCGCATGCAGCGTTATTATGGGGCCTCCCCAATCCTGCCGACTGCTCCTTCCTCCATCTAGTTCTCGTCGCACTGCGCACCGGACCAACAGCCAGCCAGCATCAATACCGCACATCCTGACATCCCACTCACTGCTCCCCTTCTCCCCCCTCCAACAAACAATAGTCTGCAGCCAACAGGCCCCCAACCCACAGCTCACAACTAACAAATTCCTCCCTGTGCCTCTTCCCTGATTGTTGCTCCTGCACAACCAACCAGCTGCGCCGCATATACGCATAATCACATTCCTCATTGCCCGTTCTCCCTGCGCCGACCGCGCTTTCGTCATGCCCAGAGTTGTACTCGCGGCGGCCGCTTGACTGGATTTGACCTGACTTGACGACTGCCCCTCCTTCATACAGTACCGTCATTCCCTCCCCTGCCGAGCAGTCTCATCCACACACCTCACTCACACGCATCTCCCACCTACTCACTCTATCTCGCACCTTACCCCCTCACAACTTGGTGGCCTCGACCTGCGCCGCACCTTGTCACCACACCATCTCTCGCCCGAGACCAGGCAAGCCTCGTGCCCAGAAACGACCATATTGTAATACCACTCGGCCCGCCTCCCAACCATCTTCGACCAAGTCTAAGTTTCAGGGGTCTTGGGCCAATACGCCAAAAGGCTAAATTGGGCAGGATTCGTTTCCCACCAGCCCGCGTCCCCCCCCCCCCTCCTGGACTTCTTCTCTTCTTCTTGCCAATCCAAGACAATGTTAGTCCAAGTTCCTGTCGCTTTTCAACCGTGACCCAGCCGCATGTGATTTATCTCTTCGCGAATCCCCACCGCCTGCTCTTACAACAACCACATTGTCTCAGCCCTACAACCGTCCAGCCGCAGCCGCAGCCGCCGCGCCAGGTAGCTGACAACGTTCACAATGTCTAGCATGCTTCGTAAGAAGGAAGTTTATACGATTGTAACGCCCATACCGGGTTTTATCCCGCGCCAGCTCGCCATCGACATCCTGCACAGCCATTCCGAGGTCATCACCCTGAACCCTCTTGTTCTCGACCACAAGCCCATCAAGGCGCCCCAGAAGGCAGCATCGGACGAGTACTACAGCACCTGGTATGAGATCAACCAGAGAATCCAGTATGTGCCGGGCCTCGGGAGGATGGGCTCCGGCAAAATCTCATTCAACGGCTGCTTCCACGACATGCCATGGGGCCTGCAGACTCACATCTACGCACCCATGAACGTCGACCTGAGGAACAAGTATCGGATCGCCGGTAACCAGCCAGGCGTTGAGCCTCCTGAGCAGCCTGAGATCGGTTTGGCCGCCCTGGGCGCCCCTAGCGACGGGCTCTACCTTCGCGACGACGTCGAGATCAAGTGCAATGTTGCTGTCATGTCATTTGTCAAGACCCAGATGAAGGCAGCCTCCAAGGAAATGGTATCGCGGATCATCAAGAAGGCCGAACTTCTCGACGCCGGGGTCCTGCACGCCATGATCGAGGACGGCAAGCTGAAGACCATCAACCCCAATGACCGAACTACCACGATACCGGATGCCCAGTTGTCTCCCAGGCCCTCTCCCACTTCCTTGTACCACCAGCCTGGCTCCATGTCACCGCCACCGATGCCCTATCAGATTCCCCGACCATCATCTTATCAGCATCACAACAAGCCTGGTACTCCTGTGCAGAATCCACACTGGTCTGCCCCGTATGGGGGGCACCAACCACCACACCTCCATCCCGCGCAAGCGGAACTGCCAGGCCAGCAGCATGTTGGCGGGTTCGCACAACAGACCCACCCCGCTACCCACAACAACTTTGCAGTTGAGATGCCTGGCGACTTCTCGTATCCCCAGACGTCACCACGGCTGCAGCCGCCCCAGCCCTCGCCGACTTACAACTCAGACAATGGCTCGACTCACTCTTCGCGCATGTCGCCTCAGCCCGCCAACGACTGGCGATGGTCCCAGAGTCAGGCTGCCTCCCAGGGCAACGCCTCCCGGCCCACGTCCGTGTCGTCCGACGTGTCCGGCGGGTTCCAGTCGCCGGGGCTAGACCACCAGGGCTTCGCCTCTGAGCTGTCGACGCACAACGAGACGCCCGAGGAGCACAACGCCAACCCGGACGCGCTAAAGAGGCTCGATGCCAAGGTGCCGCCGGCTCAGAAGACTTACGCCTCTTATAACCCGGCGGACTATGCCAAGGGCCGTGGTAATTATCCCGGCCAGGCGAGGTCGCAGAGCTATGGGTATAGCCATTGAGACATGAGCAGGTTGAAAATGGGTGCGAGTCGAGAAGGTAGAGGGAAACGAGTGCGTGCTTAAAGGGCATTGCGGATGCATTGTTGCCTACATGGAAGTGATATCGATGACCGAGTTTGGACAATTTTTTTCTCCGCGAGGCGTTTTGGAGTACGAGAGACCAAAGGCTATTCGCACTGGCGCTACAATGTGGCTTTTATATTTAGAGGGGATCCGGGAGGGGATGGGGTGACACATTTTGGGTTCAGAATCTGGATGATCTCAGTTGATTTGGGAAGCTGCAATGGATACCAGGCACCACGATACTTGACGGCACTTTAGCGATTCTATGTTAATATTCTTGAATGAGATTTTATGTACCCTTCAGGGCGCGCGACACGACACTTGGCGTGCAGAACCCGATATGCTGGCGGGCTACAGTCAGCAGGGCGACACGGCCAAATCATTGCCTTGAGCGAATTGTCACTTACCAGCGAAACAAGGAACGAGCCAAAAAGACCCGCACAACAGCTTCGGTTTTCCCTTCGCCTTCTTCACAGTCTTTGAGGAGAGCATCTGAGAACAAGCTTCCAAAACAGTCTAATAGAGGACATGCATCTTCCCCTTCAGGCACACAAGCTCCATGCCGCCCACGCTCCTACGCCCTGGCGCGGGGCCGGATCTCGACCTTCATCTCGTCTTTCTGCCACGTCGTGTACGTCTTCTGCCTATCCAGCCAGCCGACGCTGTCCGGGTGCAGCTTCATGTCGAAGTTCCAGACCATCCTCGACAGGACCGTCTTGGTCTCGGCGTACGCCAGGCTGGGGAGACACGGGTGAGCATGATCGCCTCAAGACGAAGGTGAAGAAAAGGGGTTTGCACAAGGCCATGACTTACTTCTTGCCTATGCAATTTCTAGGTCCAAAAGAGAAAGGATCTATTTGATGTCAGTCAAACTCCAAACCAACCATACGTCGTGAAGCAGCAGAAATGGAAGAAAAAAAGTCAAATCTCACGGAAACAACCCCGGTTGTCCCCCTCAAACTCCGGATCCCCAAGCCACCTCTCGGGCCGAAACTCAAGCGGCTCCCTAAAGTTCTCAGGCGACCGGTGCGTCGAGACCTGGTGGACCCCCACAGCCACGCCGCCGGGCACGAAGCGCCCGCAGACGACCCTCCCGCCGTCGGGCACCCGCCGCGGGAACGTGCCCGGCCCGGGCGGGCACAGGCGCAGGGCCTCGTCGACGACGGCGGCGAGGTAAGGGAGCGCCGCGGTGCTGTGCGGGAGGATGTCTGCCTCGGAGGAGAAGGCGGCGCGGACCTCGGCCGCGAGGCGGGCGAGGGCGGTGGGGTTGGACAGGAGGAGGTAGGTCGCGCCGCAGAGGGCCGTCGCGGAGGTCTCGCTGCCCGCGACGATCAGGACCTGGGCTGCGGTGTATGTCTCCTCTATGGTCATGCCCTTCTCGCCGTCTGCGTTGAGGATGTATGACACTGTAGGGTGGTGTTAGCAGGCGGGAAGGGGGGGTGGGGGCGGCGGCGGTAGAACAAGGCTCACTGAAATCAGGCCGGTCGGTCGTCTGCTGCAGCCTCTTGTCGACGCGCTCGACGCCGAAGGCGAACTGCTCCTTGCGCGTCTGGATCAGCTTCCGCGGGATGAAGAGGCACAGCAGCGTGGCCAGGGGCTCGGGGAAGCGCCGCGCCGCGCGGAGCATCGTGCCCGCCTTGAAGATGTCGAAGACGGCCTGCAGCCACCAGTGCCACTCTGCGTTCTGCAGGCAGTAGAAGGGCTCGCCGAAGGCCAGGTCGCCGATGATATCTGGCATGTACTGGGTTAGTGTGTCTCCCAGGGAGTTGAAGGGGGGCAGGTTTGGGAACTCTGGTCTTTTCCCGGGCACAATGCATTACGCCCAAATATTGGCTTGGATAGGCCATGTGCCAATAGCAGATTGCAAGGGGCGAAGAGAGAGCACGCGAACAACATACCGAAGGTGGTGAAGTTATACCAAGCCGTCATGTCCACGACCGCACCCCCATCCCCGGATGACGAGCCGCCACCGCCGCCGCTGCTGCACAGCCCGTGCAGCTTGTGGACGAGCAGCGACGCGTAGCCGCAGATGACGGACTCCTGGGCGCGCAGGGCCTTGTCGCTGAAGGCCGGGTTCTGCAGGCGGCGCATGCGGCGGTGGCCCGCGTCGTCGGCGTCGAGGATGTTGACGACGCCCGAGACGGTCTTGTTCCACCACTGCGGGTCCTTCTCGAAGTTGCCGCCGCCCTCCTTGTTGGGGAACCCGTAGATGTCCGGCCAGGCCCTGCTGTCCGTGTCTGTTGTCGTGTGTGGTGTGTCAGCAATTCTGGGGTGATACGGTAGTTACACCCGATGGGGGATGATGTTGTTGATGTGGTGGTTCCTTTTGGTGAGAACACACAGCCACGGGACTGTACGCACATGACAGCTCGTCCGGCGCGATCCTGATGACGGGCCCGTACTTCTGGTGCCACTCGTTCACCTTCCAGTGGCTCAGCCCGCGGACGTCATAGAACAGGTAGTAGGCCCGCGTTGACCCCGCGAGGAAGGGCCCTGGGTACTTCCTGAGGGGGTGCAGGAAGAGGTTGTAGAACAGCTTCCCGGCCGCGAACAGCAGGATTGCCTTTTCATCGTGGATAGTGTGTTAGCTTTCATTCTTGAGTGGTACATTTGGGCAATTGTGAGACCTTACCGCGAGGCCATACAGCGGGAGGCTCCTGAGGGACACCATCGCCCTGATTTCTGTGAGGTGTTCCATGTCTGGTGTTCTCTTCTCTCGCTCCTGTTTACCTAAGAGCGGAGGGTGAGAGTGAGCATGAGCATGTGAGTGAGATTCTGGTGTTGGACATAGTAGTTCCCAGCTCGGGCATAGTATTGACCCGCCTGTCTATCTTTACCCATAATTATTCTGCCCTGTAATTACCCCGGTCTGATAGGTGGGCGTACGGTTTCGATAAAACAAAACATGCATGCGCTGCTTGCAGGTAGACTACGAGGAGGAACGCCTGCAATCGCCGGTGGGTCCTCGTCGTTTTCCGAGCCGTTCAATGAGAGAGAGCTACGAGGATCATGGCCAGTCGAGGACACGAGTGGCCGCGTGGACTTTTATCCCAGTATCCGCCTCTACCTCCGCGAGGTTACGGGACGCCGCGAGTCATCTCACCGATTGTGCCCTGACCGACCCTGCTTATCTGGAGCGCCTTCCATCGCGAACACCCCAGGCGAGCTGATTCGGCCTTGTAAATTAAGTTTGGGCGGGCGGTTAAGGTGGGTGAGGATGAGAGGGGCCTGCCTGTAAGTGGGCGGGTCCTCGACCCCTTGAGCCTCCTCCCCGTACGGACAGGAATGACTCGATCCACCCGGCACCGATATGGGACGGTTATCGGTGGCCCGCCGTAATGTTTTATGGCAAGCATGACAATAGCAATACACGAATTGCCCATTGTTATTCCCATTCTGAAATTTTTCTTATCACGGCACCACTTCGAAACGTGGTGGGCCGGGGGATACCCAGAAGCGGGTTCCCACGGGTTTGAAGCCAATCTGGCTCGTCGTCTGCCCAGCCATCGGATCTGACCTTTCACAAAGTAAGATTCGTCTGATTATTGCTTATGGCTTCTGGAAGCCTGAGCCTGGCGATATCGTTGGTCCGGCATGCCCAGCCGAGTGAAGGAATGGCTTCCTGGACGCTCGGGGAGCCGCCCTGCTCCGAGGGATCTAGATACCCCTTCCAGAAGGTGATGTCAGCTGCCCATGCCTCATTAGGGCATATCAATATCGGACACGACAGCATGTGCACAGTTGAAACACTGATGAGTTAAGGGCCCGGGCGCAATCAACCGGATCTCGGCTTTAACATGTCAACCCACGGTAACTTGGCGCATCACCGCAGGAGTGAAGGATGCTAGGCGAAGCGAAAAGGGAAGCCGGTTAAGACGTGACTGGGAATCAAAGGTCAGCACTAGAAGTCAGCGCATTGTGGTTGTAGGGCGTAGACGGAGTAACTCAGAGCCTTGCCTGCCTACGGCCCATATCACGATCTCTATCACAGACCTTGGCCCCCGGCCCGTCGACGGAGCGAGGACCCAGATACGACAGTCCCACGCGTCTACTAAGCCCTTGGCCCACCTTGACAGGCACCCTCGACCGTGTGGGTGGATCTTCATGTCCTTCCCGTTTCGAGGATTTACCCCTCCGAAAAAGGGCCCGAAACAACCTTGGAAGACCCCAACATCCTCACTGCACAGGGCCAATGGGGCAAAGGCTGCGTCCGCCTCGACTGTCTCGCAGCCATGGATCGCCAGTGTGGCCCGACGGCTCTCGATCAGAGAGTCAGGCATGGCGGTGGTCGCCTTTTATCGGGATGGGGGCCACGGTGGGTCAGCAGGGACCGTGAATGGAACATGGAGGGCGCGAGGGGCAGACAAATGGACGATCCTGTGCCCTTCTTGATGTCCTTTAGTCCCAGTTCTGTTCCAGTTTCTCTCCAGTTTTTCCAGTTTATTTCCTGCAGTGTTCCTGCAGTGCCAGACCCAGCAAGAAGTTGCCGTATCGTTGTCGTGAATACTCTTCCCTGATCCAGCATGCAAGTCATCAGCCGCCTCCCCGAGCCCTTGCCTCGGCCCAAGGACAAGACAGAAGTCAAGCGGGAGCAGCACACCAAGGCCCTCGACCTCAAGAGACCCCTCGAGATAGAAACCCCCCAGCCATGGGAGACGGTGAATTCCACTATCCAGTTCCGCAATGCCGACACACAGTACTGGTGGGACCGGACAGGCCGCATGTTCGCGAAGCTCATCCAGAGGGCCGGGTACAGCGCGGCGGAGCAGTACCGCGAGCTCATCTTCTACGCCCTCTTCGTCGCGCCGGAGCTGGGCAAGGCCCCCGACGCACAGGGTAACGTCCGGGGGTGGAGGAGCCCCGGGACGCCGGACTCGACGCCCATCGACTTCTCATGGGAGTGGGGGCCTGGCAACAGCGCCACCGTCCGGTACTCGTTCGAGTGCATAGGCCCGCACGCCGGCACGGAGCTGGACCCGCTCAACTCGCACGCGACCGACGCCTGGATCCAGAGGCTCCGCGACCAGGGCATGGTGCCCGGGCTGGACCTCGAGTGGTACGACCACTTCACGGGGGCGATCCTCCCGTCGCGGGAGATGCAGCGCGACAAGACGTCCGACGTGTTCATCGAGGAGACGACGCCCAAGGCCGGGGTGGTGGTGGCGCTGGACATCGAGAAGGGCGGGCCGGTGATGAAGATGTACATCTACCCGGGCCTCAAGGCGCTCGAGCTCGGCATCACCAACCTCGAGCTCGTCCAGCAGGCCATCCGCGGGCTCCCCCGGGCGCAGTACGAGTCGCTGGCGTGCGAGCCGCTGCTGCAGTACCTGGACGAGGGCACCAAGAGGTGGGGGTTCGAGACGGGCATCCTGTCGATTGACTGCCTGGAGCCGAGCAGGGCCCGCGTCAAGGTGTACGTGCGCGCGCGGCACACCAGCCTCGAGTACATGATGGACTGCCTCACGCTGGGCGGGCGCCTCGGCACGGGCGGCAGCGAGAAGGCGGTCGCGGACCTGCGGGATTTCTGGCTGGCGTTCCTGGCTGATGCGCCCGACAGGCTGCCCGACGACGCACCTGGGCGCGCGAGCCCGGGCTTCTACTACACCCTCGGCGCGGGCAAGCCTGTCTCGGCTAAAATGTACGTGTCGCCGACGTACTTTTGCAAGAGCGACACCGAGGTGCTGGCCCGGCTGCGCGGGTATTTTTCGACGAGGAGGTCGGACATGCAGATGGACAACTATGACGCGGCGCTGCATGACATCTTGTGAGTGGACATACCTGAAATTCATTCTCTCATCCCTTCACCCTTGCTTCGTGTCGTTGCATCCCCAGACTGACCCATATCCTCGCCGTCTAGTGGGAAAGAAAACCCTCGACGACAGGTGCGGGTCGCACTACTACGTCGGCTGCCCTGGCCAAGAACCAGCTCCGCGTCGTCACATACCTGAGCCCCCAGTCGTTCGACTGCGAAAAGGACCTGATCAGGGAGCGGGCAACGGCGGCAACGGCATAGCGGCAGGGTTGTAAGGTGATGAGCGAGACGCTGTTTTTCCTTGGGCATGGGCACAGGCGTTTAGGGTTTTTGGTTTCGGTTTCGGTTTCGGTGTCGGGCTTTGGGCACTGCTGGTTTTATAGAAGTCGACAGAGAAGCCGGTGTCTGTGGCTTTGGCATGACCTCTGTTGTTCTCAGGGTCTTGGTTTCATGAAAGAATTTGTCCTAGCTGGTTCGATCCTTCCGAGTCTGCCCTCGTCGGCGAATTCTTATTCCCGTACCTTCTCCCCCTACTTGGGTAGGTACTGTGCCGCTCAGCAAAAGCCCAAGCTTCCACGCCGTTGCATGACAGCGAGCACTAAGCTCTAGGCCCCACGGATGAACCTTAAAACTCTATTTCGACATCATCGACCCTGGCCAACATGTATATGCACAACTTTAATCCAGCCCGCGATTCATCTCCATCACCTCCCAACAACCCCCTCCAGCAGCTCGCACGCCCTCGCCGCCCCTCCCAGCGAGTTCAGCCCCCGCCCCACGCGCGACGCGTTCTCGCGATATGTCCCGTCCCCAAGTATCTCCGCCACCGCGTCCCGCACCTGCTCCGGAGACGGACAATCCGTCCCGAGGTCGACGCCCGCGCCCGCACGCGTCACTCTCGCCGCCGTGTCCTTCTTGTCCTCGCTCGTGCCCGCGCAAACAAGAGGCAGCCCGTGGGAGAGCGCCTGTGTTACGCTGCCGTAGCCGCCGTTGGTCACGAGCACGCTGCACCGCGGGAGCAGCGCCTCGTAGGGGAGCCACGCCGCCAGGCGCAGGTTGGATGGCAAGCCGCTGCCGTCCGAGAGCAGCGCCTGCGTGACCTCCTCGGCCTGCTGCGACGGCACCACCAGCAGCAGGCCCGCGTCGCCACGGAGCGCGCGGGTGGCCGGCAGGATCAGGCTCGTCGGGTCCGTCGCGAAGGTCCCCTGCGTGATGCCCACCACCCGGCGGCCCTCCCCCGGGGCGTCGACCACCTCGCCCCACCACTCCGGCAGGGCCGCCGAGGTGCTGTTCAGCGGGCTGATGAGCGGGCCGACGTACTCGGTCGGGTGCAGCGCCTGCTCGTACTCGAGCCCCGGGCTGGACGCCTGGATGTGCAGCCGCGGGCTGTACTGGAGGAGCTGCGAGGGCTCGATGGCGCCCAGGCCGAGGTCTGTCCGCTGGGAGTTGAGGCACCCTACGATTATCTCGGGCTGGCTGAGGAGCGTGCCGAGGGTTGACTTCGGCGCGTGCTCGCGGAAGTACATTGGTACCACGCCTAGGGTCGCGTAGGCTGGGATCTCGCCCAGCTCGTGTCTGGACATGAGAGTCAGCACATGCACACACACACACTCTCTCTCTCTCTGGGAGAGCAACACGTGGAAACTCACAACACAGCCGCCCCAAAGGGCAGCGCATCATTCACCAGCACGTCCGGCCTGAACCCGCCCGCAAGCACACCGCGCAGGTCCGCCACCTGCGCCGCGAGCCGCCCGCCAAAAAACACGTCCACGATCTCCTCGAGCGTCTTGGGGTCCGCGCCCTGCAGCACCTTGTCGACGCGGTCGATCTCCTCGGTCGCCACGAACCGCGCCCCCGAGGCCCTCACGCGGGCCTCCTGCGCCGGGCTCGTCAGCCACACCACCTCGTGCCCGCGGTCGACCAGCGCCTTGGCCACCGCCTGCATGGGCAGGACGTGGCCCGTGGCGTAGAAGGTGTGGAGGAGGAACTTGGCCATGGTCCCTTTTGACCTTGCGCCGTGCTTTCTTTTTCTCCTGTGTGTCGACGGTTTTGCTGTCGGTGCTTCGTGGGATCGATCGCGTGCCTCCCCCGTGCATGTGTGTGTGTGTGCACGCGCAACGCCTCTCCGTCAGATTCTCGTCTTCATGAGCAGTCACCTCCTGCCCGAGGCTTATCGCCTCGAGGGAATCCGCCGCAGCCCGGTCCGGAAGGGTGACTTGGGTGTTGATCTCGACCAGGGGACCCAGGGACAAGCTTCCTTGGTCTACGGGTCCCCGACCCACCCCCGCACGAGTCAATCTTCGTTCGAAACGAGTCATCGCCAACCGGCCCTCCTGGGGATGCTTATCGCGGGTGGGGATGCGTGTTCCTGAGTGCCGGCGGGCGCTGTGGGTCGCGGTGCATGAACGACTCGTGTATCCCTTCCCGTCGGTAGGGCCACTGATTGGGCTGGTGAGGTCGGTGGTCACGAGCGATGTGTGCATGTTCGTATTTGGTAAGATTTATGGAAGTCAGGTTTGTCATTTCTTCCTTCTCTGCTATCCGCCTTGCCCTTTCAATTTCCAACCCGTCGGCTCGATGGCGCTTCCGCGGGAGGTGGAAGGGAGGCCCTCCTCGGCAAAGAGTCTCTTGCCCATTGCTCGGCGGATGAAAGCTTATCCGCGCCATACCACACTTGACTGCTTGGCCTTCCTTGATAAATGTTTCCTCACAAGCAAAATGAGTCTTGCATTATTATCTCGGTGTGATAAGAGCCCACCAAATCCACTGGACGTCGATTCAGGTTTGAACATTTGGGAGGCTGTCTCGTGTTCAGGCTTCATATCTGGTTCCTGGATCACTGATCAGGGATCATGTCCTTGCCGTCCTCCCGTTGCCATCCGACACATGGCCACGGCTACTTTGATCTCTGTAAACCTTATATGAAAATGGTGGGGAGTCCGGTCCGATTTCGAGGCAGGGCCTCTGAGACGACTAAACTTGACCACTCGATAGCCAAGCCTTGGACCAACTCGCCGTGGCTGGTATGCTAACCGACGAGGGAGACGATTCATCTCAGACCTTCTGTCAAGCCATCTTCGCAAGTCTTCTGGACTTGCAATCCTACAATGGTATCAACACAAGTCAAGGAGACAAAAAGTTACAAAGCTTCAAATTCGCTATGGTGATTTTGCCCAATTGAACCCTGGGCGTCCGAATGAACCGCTACTAATAACACAACCTAGAAGAGCTCTCATCAGTATCAGAGCAGAGACCATGCCCTCGCCAACCACCCAAAAAAAAAATCACCAAGTTGACAACAACCATCCAACAGATCAAGGCGCGCCCTAAGAATAGGCATAAGTCCGCTGGCCCTTTCCTTCGCCGCCGCCCATCCAGCTCCGCCTCCAGAGCCAGAAGTAGCCGTTGAACCCGGTGTCCTCCTTGCCCCATTCGCCCAGGATGCCAAGCGGCGTCATAACGCCCTCGTAGTCCCACGAGTGCGCGTCAAGGTAGTTCTTGCGCAGGCTGACGATGCCCGTCGCCGGCGCCACCGTGCCCACGAAGTCGAAGCTGCGCGTGATGCCGTCCTGGCAGTCCCTCGCCTCCAGGGGCAGCTTCTGTGGCGCCAGCGGGGTGGAGGACGGGGACCGCTTCTTGGCTGTGGCGGTTGCTGTGGATGATGTTGGTGGTGGTCTGCGAAGCTTGAAGTGGATGTTCTCCATGGCCGGATCCTTGGAGCCGACCGGGTTGAGGTTGTCGGTGCTGGTCAGCGTGTACACGTAGTAGCCATACCACTCGTCATCGTCGTCATCGTCGATTGTATTGACCAAGTCACGTACTCGCGAGGTGTACCACTCCTGCCAGGAGTTGGACTGGCCCGTTATGCCGCCATGGCTGCCGCCTTCTGTCTTCTCCAGTATAGGTATCTTCAGCTGAGGCGCTGGCGATGATGCTGGAGCTGTTGTTGGATTTGAATGTGTTGTTGTGTCGCGGAGGAGTGGGATCAGATCTGATCGAGGGGTGTCTTCGAGGCCACTGACTTTCAGGTTGTATGCCATCAAGCCTGCAAGCTGGAGTGTCCTGGTGTGCAGACCCTCCCAGCTGAGCCAAAAACTCTGGTTTGAGGACGTGAAGTCCTCACTGTGGTAATCCGCCCTTACACGGTGGGCAAGACTGTGATACTCGGGTGTCTCGGCAGGAATGTTCGACCAGTCCCAAGGATGTATCAGGCCCAGCGCCATGGTGAAGGCCAGTTGCAGGCTCAGTTGTTTTTGTGCCAGCAGTTTTTTCTCGGACCAGATGTTCGCCTTCATTTTCCAGGGGTTAATGGCCATCAGGGCCCTGCCCAGATCAACGTCACATACGTCCGAATCTAATGCTGTCGCTTAGTCATCCCCTCTTTTATGTGCGTCTCCATGCATGGGAGTTGTGTCTTGCCTTCAGAATGAAACCAAACAGAAAAGTGGAGTGACCGTGCATGCGAGAATCGGACGTCGAGAAGCGAGAGAAATGAGAGAATATACTGACATCCAAGAACGCAAAGTGTCGACATCAGCCCCAACCTTGTCTCGACCTCAGCGGCAACGCCACAGTCGTTGCCATTGCGATCAAGTTGTGGATCGTGGCCTTGTTGGTGCTGGTCATGTTGGTCGGGGGCGCAATCCGGGGCAGCGGGAGGATCCCTGCCCGAACCCTTGATCCGTGCCCTTGCCAAGAGCGGGCCCATGGCTGCTTTGATGCGGGCCCGCTGCCTCGGGGGTAATGTGACGGCGAGGCAGAGGAATGCGTCCCTCCTTGCGTCCTGGTCTCGGACTGTGTGGTCTTTGTCCATCTGTGTCTTGATCATTTCTATCAGGACGTCTCGGCCTGGCGTGCCATTGGTGGGAGGGTCCATCTTTAAATGGCAACGGCGATATTAGCGCGTCAGTCTGTCGGGTCGGTCTAACCTGGTCTGTGGGTGCAGTCTGTGTGTCTAGATGTGACATGGCGTCCCATTGAGTAAAACCCAATCTAGGAGCCTGGGTGTTGGAGAAGCAGCGGGCAGGGATTCTTCGCGCTGTGTCGTCCGGCCCACCCGTCGACAAGCAGCTTGGCCCCAAGCCCTCCAGCAATGTGGAGAGCTCACGCGGGCCGAGGGCACAGGAGGTCGGGTGTGGTAATTCTTTTGGAAACAGGAAGAGGGCATGAGGGGGATAAAAAGAAAGCGCGACTCACTCGTCGCCGGGCGATCTCGGCCAAGAAGTTTAGGGCGTCCAAGGCGCGATGTAGGGTTCGGCAGGTGTGTCGTAAGCCTAGAATGGCATCAGACCCGCAGAAAATGGCAACCTTTTGCACGAGTTCCTCTGGCAGCGTGTCTAACGTGAGGCGGCGTGGGGCGGACCAAGAAGGAAGGTGACTCGGCTCTGGTGCGGATGGAGATCCAGCGCGCTGGGTCGGGGCGGCAGTAGCAGCAGCAGCGTCGTATTCGTTATCCAACAGGCAGGGCGACTCCGACAGCAGCCGGGGCGACGATTTGCGTCCCTGCCTGGCCAGATGCAGCTTGCAACGCAGGTTGACCATCTGAAATCGAGCAGAGGCTGTTGTATCGCAGGGCAGGCCGCTGGAGGGAGGAAAAGGGGGCGTTGAACAGGCAGGGCCGGGGGATGACAGGCAGCCCAAGTTGTGCTCATCGGGTGCAAGCAATCGATGCCCGGGTTTTCGTCAATGCAAGGTGCTGATTGCCTGCTGGATGCTCCTTGCCGTGGGATATCAGGTCGGGCCTGCTGGCTGGCCAAGATTGCAGGATGCGGGAGGATTCTGGCTCAAGGTATAGTAGAATTGCAGCTTCACCCCATGCAAGCTGGACTGGGCTCGTATGGCAGATAACATGGGCACGCGTGTTATCCAGCTGTATTCAACCCAGGTCAGCAAAGACAATGCAGGGTGTAGTAGAAGTCCGAGTCGAGTCGAAGACGATGTCGTATCGTCAAAGCGGATATGGCCGGGCGTTCGAATTGACGGTGGGTAGGCTACGGTCTCGCACCAGACAGGGAGAGACAGAGGGGGAGAGAGGATGAGGGAGGTTCCGGGCTCCCCCGCAAAACACGGCATAGTTGGTCTACCCCCGGTTACGACGAGTTGGGTCAAGTGCTGCGGAAAATGGGGACTTTGTTGGTGACATGGGAGCACAAAGACGAGGTTGCGCAGGCCTGGTCGGAGGGGGCGCTGTCAGCCCAATTTCGTCCCTTCTTGTTGCAGATGTTGCAGGTAGAGGGGTCGCCTCGCTGCTGTTACACACACATGTCAGCAATGTGGTGGTGGTGATGGAACACCCCCCACCACGCGATCGGCTGCCCAGGTGGGCGTCGCATCTGCAGCTGCATCTCTCTATCAGCTTCGCCTCGGGCATGATTGCCGGCTATCTGCACTCGACTGTGCCGCACAAATTGCTGACGCAGCAGCAACGCCCCCACGCCCCTTCAGGGCTGTGAGAGCGGGAGGATACGACGACATGGCTCCCCTTTCGGGTGTTTTCAACCGATGATCGCTTTCATGTCGTTCCGCTGCTGGTTGGCTGGATGATGTATGTTTGTTCATCTCGTTCCTCGCTGGGCTCGGCGCATGCAACATCGTTGGGGCCCAAGGCCCCGTTAATTCGGCCAGAAGCTTCACAAGCTGGCGCACCTGCGAGATGAAAGGACTGCGGGAGCGACGGGCGAGCCCACGGCCACTGAGACTCATAGACCCGGCGAGGTGCTGTGCCTTGGTGTTCCCGTCCTGCCTGTGCGGCGGGCCTATCACTTGCAGGAAAGGCACGGTCCCCATGGCCTGTAGACCAGAGTCCCGCATCTTTCGGTATGACAAGGTGAAGGTTCAAGCTCGTGTTGGGAATTCTCGTGCGCTATGGCCAAGGCTGGCCTCGGCTCCGACGGCTGGAGGGGGGGGAGGGGGTTCTTTCGGAGACGGGATGGCAGTTGTCATGCGGATGGTGCTTGTGTGCGAGCTGATGAGGCTGAGAGGCCTGCAGACAAGATCAGGCTCGATTGATTGATTGCTTGCTCGATCGGTTGATTAACTTTCAGACAAAGCTTGGAGCCTGGACCTTCTGGCCCTCTGCCCCTTCCGTTCCCCGTCGAGCTGTCAAGCTGGGGGCGATGGGGATGACCCTTGCTGTGATACCCACGGCCCCTCAGTGGGTCTGGCGGCCCGACGCACTGTCTGTCCCAAGCAAAGTGATGCCCCCCCCCCCTGTCATTTTGACTCACGCTCCCCCCTCTGCACAGAAAAAAAGGCCCTTCGCGCGTGCGCCCGCGCAGCGTTAACGCATATCAAGCCCTCCTCCAACCAAGCGCGCTTACGTAGTATTTTCATACCTTCTACGCACCTTCTTTACATTTTCTTTATACTTAATATAAACTTTTATATTTTTTATCATTTTTATAAGTATTTATTTTATTATTAAGTATTAAAATAGCTTATAAAAATAATTATAAAAGAAATAATTAAAGAAATTAAGATAATTAAAGATTAAAGGAAGGGGTGCATACGCTGCGTGGGCGCGCGCGCGGAGGGCTGTTTTTTTCTGTGCAGAGGGGGGAGCGTGAGTCAAAACGACAGGGGGGGGGCATCACTTTGCTTGGGACAGACAGCACCTACCTATAGTTTCCTAGGATATCAGCACTTGCTGTTTCCTTGGTTCCCCAAGACCTCTCTTTTCTACTTCCTATGAAGTGTGCACTGTGTACAACTTACATGTTGTGTTGAGAACACATCAGGGCCATAATCCATTATCATCATATTGCCATGTCGATGGCTTGAATTATCACACGTCTGAGATCTGTCCAACCACCCTCTGTCATTGCAATCGAATCATTCTCGTCTCATACCTGCCCTCACCAAGACCTTTGATGACCTCTCCGTCCATGATACCAGACACATACGTCTCGCCGACGATGACCATGTGCTCTCCCATATCCCTCAGTATCAGAGGCACGGAGCAGCCCTTGATTACTACCACCCTGTCCTCTAGTTGGATGTCCGGAACGCCGAGGCCCATTCTCTTCTTCGCCGTGGTGAAGAAACGTCGTCCCATGACTGCCCTCGTTATCGCGTGGGCGAGATACTGTGATTCCCACATCTCTGGCGGAAGATCCCCAGCAACATATGATTGGGTTGCGTACTCCAGCGCTTCTGATTCTTCCGTTGCATGCCTGTTTTTCACCCACGTGGCCATGTAATTCTTTCCTGCCACAATCGTCGTCCAGAAGTCTGGCGGTGTCACTACACCAAATCTGCTTCCGGAGACCAAATGCAGGTCCTGCAGGCCCGCAATGTACTGCCAGCGTCGGAGTGTCGGGAGGCTGTCCTGCGCGGAGGAAGTAATGGCCTCGCCGAAGAAGTCAATTTTGTCAACAAGGACGCCCTCTACCTCGAGCGCCATGGGGAAAGCGTCCATCCTCACAACGGCGTTTGCACCGCGGCTAGCACAATAGGATGCCTTGTCCATACCCTCACTATCCAGAGGTCTCAGGCCCTGCGATACGTGCCAGTCTGCCAGCCAAGATGGGGTCTTGTCGCCCGGTTGTAGCTGGGAGCGTGCCGGTGTCGTTGACGGTCGAAGGTGTCGGCCGGCAGAGATTATGTCCAGGCTGCGACGTCTCGTTGCAAGAAAATGGACCAGGTCGAGAAAGACGGTTCTCGTTGACTTGGTGTAGTCCGGCACAATGTCCTCCGGAGAAATATCGGACGCCACCCCTAAAAGTGCGTAGAGCTTGTCCCGCATGTCGGTCGCTTCGTAGTCCCTCGTGTACTGGAGGCACTTGGCAAGGCTCATGCGTTCCCTCCGAAAGTCATTTAGTGCGGTGAAGTTCCGATAGCCACTACTCCTCAGGATTTGTGACTTTGCATTCTGGGAGAATTCTTTCCGCCTGATCTCACGACAGATCTTGGCGACAAAATGCCAGGGTACTCTGCGAGTACCGCAATGTATCACCAAATCACGCGCCGCGACGACCTCCTGGACAATCCAAATGCGTTTCCACCAACTCCGCATAAAGATGTCGGATAGCCCTATCAGAGAATCTTCTTCGTGGTCCAAGAGTTTCTCAATACCATTTAGGTTGCATTGTTCGATGAGCTCCATGGCTTTGTCAGCCTCCCAGCTCCCCGGCCCGAGCCACACAATCACTTCTGCGGCCTTCGAATAAATTGTTTGCATGATATGGACTTGGTGGTTCCGTTCCTTGATGTCGTCCTGGTTGATGCAGATTGCGTCGATCCAAATGATCCTGGCGAAGTCCATCTCTCTTAACTTGACCAATGCATCCTTGAGGTTCTCCCCGATAGGCAATTCCATGTCGTCGATTTGTATCGCATGATTCTTTTCCAAGCTGCCCCAGGTGTACGAGAGAGCAATATAACCATCGTCATTGTGCTCTATCCCAAGAGGCTCAATTGAGGGGACCGGTTTCGTCCGTCGTATATGCCTACCAGAAGGTCAATTAGTCGAGATTGCCGGCGAGCAGGAGAACCAGGGATATCGAATTTCCAGAACTCACTCTATTGGGTCGCCTTCGCTCCATTGCCATTGACAAGTATTTCGGCTCACAGAATCTTGACTCAACCCCCCGTCACTATCCTCCAACGTCAGATCGAGCTGCGCAGATTCATGAGGAAGCAGCCTGATTTTGGTCAAATATCCACGCAAAGGAGCCCTTACGTGATCAGGTTCAAGTATGAGGACCCTGATCTCGTGAGGATCACACAAAGGTGAATATTCATAATTGGGCATGCTGTTTCCTTGGATGGGCCAAGAAGGAATGAAGCCAACGTGAAATCGAAGAATCAAGCTCTAGAACTTATTAGACTACACAATTGTGCAGGGAAAAAATCCGGCTGGAGAACGCTCAAAGACTCAATTTTATTTATCCGTGCCACGTCATAGCTCACGGGCGTTGATTGTGCTTTTGAATGTCTGCCTAACGAGGCGCCTGAATCTGACATGGCCGTGTCCCTGTTTGGAACTCCGACCGTGGGTTACACAAGGGCGAGGCGATGTCGAGTCACCCGAGCATGCGCCAGGTCAATGGGATAGTACAGCGATACAGATTCCAGCACTTACAGCGGGGCATAACTGAGACTGATGCAACACAATGGATATATTTTTTTTTTAAAAAAAAAGGAAAGAAAGAAAGAAAAGAAAAGACAACGGATGTTTGCACCCACAAAAACAGAGGGTACACCCATGCATATATCGCCAGCACTAAACCAACACCCACGCCCAATTCACACACCCAATTCATACACCTAAAACATATACACCTAATTTATATAAGTATAAGGTGTATAGGTGTCAGGTATATGGGTATTGGGTATATAGGTGTTAGTGTATGGGTATTGGGCGTATGGGTGTATGGATGTTAGGTGTGTTACTGTGTGTGGGTGTGTAAATAGGCTGATATGCTTCGATTGGCTGTGGCTGTAGCGCGAGTGATGTACGGGTCTACTTCCGTTTTTACGGGTGCAAATATCCGTTCTCTTAAAAAGAAAATAAAAACAAAGTCGTAGGGGCAAGGACGGAGCTGTGGGGGCGGACGCACAAAGCTGGGTGGGCGAACGAGTGACTTGCAATGCTGGTCAGCTGACACTTTTAGCGATTCATAGATCTGGAGCTGTTGAATTCTGGGGTAGCCAGAATGTAATGGGGAGGCAGAATTTGACTCCATCCATCATCTTCATGCACCTTGTCACACATTCACGTGGTTCCCGTAATCAGCCACCTGCGCACAGAGACCCAACACCACTCCAGGACCGCGATTGCCCGTTCTCGAGGTCTTCATATCTTGCCTGCAGAATCTGTCCGAATGGGAAGAAAACGACATCCAGGGCGATGACCAGTTTCCAAGATTCTTCCGATGGCGTCCTCTCCCACACTTTTCTTTCTTGTCTCAGCGTCGCAATACCAGGCTCTTCCAGGAAATGTGCGGATTTTCTTTTAAGACTTCTAGGATCCATACGAATGCGTCTCCCTGGCCGTCACCCAAGGCGCAGCTCTCAGGCACAATCGATGCTCCTCCAACTACCTATCGAGCTACTACTCGAAATCTCGGGCTTGCTTCCCTTAGGATTAGCAGTTGCTTCTGCACTCACCTGTACTTCTTTATTTGGCGGTTTACTTCCACCAAAGAAGCTATACGGGATCCAGCTGGAAGAGTTACTCCAGCTATTAGAGAGAAACCTTAGCAAGCAGCTCTTCTTTTATCAGCCTTGCCATACCTTCCATTAATTTTCTCCATCATGGAGCCCAGGATACCACGATTATTTTAATGCCCCCTGCAAGCCGAACGTTGAGGTGCGCGATACGTTCCACCTTGGCTTTCATTTTGCTCATGTCGCTATGAACAAGCATCTCCTGGGGGGAGGACTAAACCTGGAACAACTTACTTGTAGCTTTCCTACTTATAACGGCGGCTAGGATGTTAGTTTCACAGCAAGAGTGATCCAGGACGAGCTCTATCTTTCCTTGTTGCATACACTCTTTCTTAATGAAACGGGCCCTGGTAACCGCAGAGAGCTTGAGATCTCAAATCATGGAATTTGTAATCACCTTACGACGCACCAACCAAAAACACGTTTAAATCTCTCGACCACCCCAAGAGGAAGAACTGCTCAAGAGCAGTGGTTTCGGCAACGTCGCTTCTATGCAGTGCCGCAGCGAACCAGGATCCCAGAACTGGCACCTAGGGACTCCCCGAGCAACTCACACACCCTTACGGAGTGTCAGGACGCATAAGGGTCCTGTCCAGTCTGCTTGACAGACTATTCTATCACAACAAACCAGAAAAAGTCCAGCGACGTTAGTAATGAGGCTACGAAAGAGACATGGGATATTGTCATCATTGCTTACCATCAGCTAGGCCCTTGCCGTTCACAGTTCGACTGGAAATGGCTCACGTATGCGACTCAGCTCCCAGATCTGTGTGAGGAGAATGTGGATGCTTCGCTACTCGGAAAGCGACATAAGAATGGGCCTTATGCGCCAGGGTCTGTACAGGCTCGCTGGGATCGGCTTTGACTCTCCTGCTTTTCTTCTGCACTGGTACTGGAGATGCTTCCAAGGCGCAGCGACCACTTGGAAATTGGCCGTGGGCGAAGGGAGAATCAGAACACTATGGTGTGGAGAAAAGCAGCGGTCGAATCTTGAGGCCTACTGTCCCTAACATGAAGATGGAAAGACTTCCACCTAAGGCTGGTGCAGACCTAGTCATACAAGTAACCAGTTACTTGAAGTGAAAGTTTTGGCTCGAGGGCATGTGAGGCAAGTTCAGCAATTATTCATTTGGTACTGCCTTGCTCTTCGTCTACATACCCACGCGATAGAAGACCCTGATTCCATCAAGCATTAAAATAGCCAAACTCAAGGAGAGAGGCAAGCTAAAATCAAGTAAAGGAAACACACTGGAAGAGAAGTTCTGTCCACGTCGGTTATTACTTCCATGTCCACCCAGTATCCCCCCGGGACCTACACGTGCCCAATTGGCTCCATGTTTCGCAGGCCATCTCTATGATGGGAACCGGGTCATCTAAATTTGATTCAAGTCCACTGAAGGGTATTAGTATGCCCACGAGGCTGATACAGCGACAAAAGCGGTCACAGGGCAATAAGTCTAAGACGCACAGTCTTCACTGCTGCAGAAATCTGATCCGTCTGAGTGGCCATCACTAGTGGCCGCAAATTGCCGTACGAGTGGACGCAGATTGTCGTGAGCACGGCTAGAAAGTCATTGGCTTTAGCTGTTCCTAATGTACACACCTCAAAGCCGCAAACCCATCACTCCACTTGAGGCCGCCCATGACCGCCACCATAATGGCAAACCCAGCCACCACGCTCGCAGTGCCATACACCCAGGCATGCCTCCGCCTCAGCCCAGCCAGCTCCGCGACCCACGTCGACACCGTCGTCAGGCACCCGCAGAACCCATCCTCCACGCCTTGGAGGACCTGGCACCCGACCACCCCGCCGAGCGGGACGCGCTGCAGGTCCCACGACATGCCCAGCACCGCGGTGCCGAGCATGTTCGCCACGAACGTCCCCAGCGGGAACGCGGGCCGCAGCCCGTTGAGCCACAGGGAGACGTAGAAGCGCGCGAGGGTGCCGACGGGCGCGAGGACGAGGGAGAAGACGGCGACGCCGCGCCAGTAGTCTGCGGGCGGGACGGCGGCGAGCACGACGGCCCCTGCCCAGCAGCCCCAGGCCAGGAAGACGGCGAGGCGGTCGGCGACCCTGCGCGTGACGAGGAACGGCAGGGAGGGCGTGACGGGCTCGAGGGCGAGGGCGAGGTGGGCGCCGACGAAGAGGCCGGAGAGGGACGCCGTCACGGTGATGATTATGACCGCGAGCAGGGCCATGAAGGAGTAGCCGCCGTTGCGGGGGACAGTGGTGCTGCTGCTGCCGTAGGTCAGGTCGTTCGACACGGCGAGGAACGCGTCGCGCATGAAGGAGGAGTAGGACGTGAAGGAGCCGCAGAAGCCCGTGGCGAGGCCGATGTAGAGCGGGATGGTCTTCTTGGTGGCCAGGTGGGCCTTCTTCGCCGCCGCGAGGTCGACGGCCGGGTCTCCTCCACCGCTCCCCGAGCCCGAGCCGCTGCGGCCGGATTCCTCGTCCCGCTTGGCCTTCTGGATCTGGTGCTCGTAGGTCGGCGTCCCCCACTCGTGGCGGAAGAGCATCCTGTCCTCGGCGAGGAACCCCATGACCAGGCTACCCCCGAAGTTGAACCAGACCGACGGGAAGACCGGCGCGCCGGCGTAGTTGGTCAGCCATTGAAGGCCCAGCCGTGCCAGGGTGCCGAGGAAGGAGAACAGTATGAGGTACGAGACCGTATAGATCTGTGTGGCCAGGCGCGAGACCTTTACACCCTGCGCTTGCTTATCTCGATCCTGCGCATCTGTTGGCGAGCCGTCGTAAACAGACGCGCTTCCGGCCTGTCCCGCTGAGTCCTCCAGGTCATGGTTTCGAGCATCTTCTAAACTTTCGTATTTGTATCGGCGTCGTTCGTCTGGGTTCTCGATCGGCCCCTTGACGGCGATCTCGTCGAGGTTGCGATACGACTCGGGGATGTCGTGGCCTGGCGAAGGAGCTGGGGCTTCCCTGTGTCTCGACGCATCGTCTGGGCCCGGTCGGCTCGGCGCAATCGGCCGCAGATCTACGTGGGGGGCTTCGTTGTTGTGCTGGTCCAACGTTCCGTGACGCCCGCCACGGGACGGCTGCATCATCGCACAACCGATGCGCTCGATGTTTGAGGCGGCAATTGAAGGGCCCCGTAGACCTAACAGATCTACCTATCCTTGGAAATCCTTTGTTTCATCGTGAGGTGTCTGGAGGCAGGAGCCGTAGGAGGGCAACGAGTCTACTAGCGAGAGATTGACATGAATCCTTGGATAGCGCCGGACTTTGTCGCGACTGGGCGGTTATGACGGCACGTCGTCATTTAGGAGGTCGCCTGCAGCTGAGTGGTGTAGGGAAGTGAATTAGAGGGATACCCTGAACTGGTGTTAGCAGGTTGTGTGGGATCAAGTCCCGCAGTAACTCCGACCCCTGCAGCAAGACCGCAGTTCGACCTCTCCCCACCAGTCACGACCAACGTTAAGATCTTCCCTTACACACAGTTAGAGAGGTTTACAATATGAGGCTTTACTATGCGAGAACAGGCAGTCGTTATTCAGGGCTGTTACTGTTATACACTAGACTACAATCCCAACATTGCACCTAACGCCGCCAGCTTGCGATGTGCCAACCAGCGACGCCTGTGGACAAAGCGCATGCGTGTCGAGATGTGTCCACGAAGTCTTGAAACTTCCGATCAGCCCGTCAATGGGCATTGATCCGATCGAGTGTCTATCAGGATAATGGGTTTGAAGCTCGCCCACAAAGCCTGAACCAGGCTCATTATTGTTTTCGAGTGCGGGCGAGAACACGAGCGAAGCCGTCGAACGGCGCCTCAACCTCCCACATGTCTAGCACCACATACATATAACGTCGAGCAGGAGAATGGTGTCGAGTGACACTGTTTCCGATTGCTCAATCATGGCACCGATGGCAACACCGTTCATATTGTACACAATCTACCCACCAAGTTAGCTCGAGGACGCTTCAAACCATGACCGCGGCCAACGGCCCTGACAGCTCCACGCTTGGCCACATCCTGTGGAACTGGCTCTCAAACAGTACCGCCTCGACGAGCGACGACTCCGCCACGCAGATTAAATGCTACGCCTTTCCCTACGGCTTGCTTGGATTCGTGGCCCACCTGGCCATGTTCTACGGCATCGCGCTCTCCTCCTTCAACAGGTGTCCGTACAACTATCGCAAGCCGCTGCAGCATTCAAGACGGGACTTGGCACTTGGCATCAGCGGCCTTATTATCTCTTGTCTCTTGACCGCGGGCACCATAAAGAGATGCTCTGGGACCAAGTACTACCTGCTCATCGCCTCTTCTAAGATCCTCATGACGTTTGCCTCCTCGGCCGTGGGGATTCACATCGCCTGGAACATCCGGGGCAGAGGAAAGTTGGAAGATGATGACCAATCACAGCTCCAAATAACTCACCATAACACTCTCCGATGGCTCATAATAGAGGTCATCGGGTCCATCCTCGAATTCACCGGCGTCATCATGCTCCTGAAGGAGAGCCACGGTGCAGTCGCCAAGAACAGAACACCGATAATGGTCATATCCCTATTCCTCGCTGGATTTATAGGTATATTCCTCGGCATCGGTATCACATGGCTCGAGGTGCGACAGCGCGCACAGAGGCGGATGGAGTGGGAGATCCGGAAGTTGCGGACCAAGTGCGCACCAGTGGAGGAGAGACTCGCACCTGAGCAGCCGCCAGGGAGGTCTCCGAACCGCCAAGACACACCGAACGGCGAGAGAGAAGCCGAGGACTCAACCGGCCCTGGCCCTCGTCAGGATGACCGTCGTCGGTCCGGTCGACACGATGCGGACCAAGACGCTCGGCGGGAATCTCCGTCCCCAGTTGGCCGGGGGCGGGACATTGAGGCGCAGGGACTGATTGCGCCAGCTGGCAAGGACGAGCCGGACGAGCAACCGGATTTATATCACTACCAGGATGTTTTGAACTCTGCCAAGCAGTTCGTCGTGGTGGCCGGCGCGACTTTTGGCATTTTTGTGACTCTGTAAGTTTCTCGTCGCCCTCTGATACTCAATCCGTACGAGGGCATGAACTTGGGCTCTTCTGTAACGGTCAGGGTTGAGGCTGATTTTCACATGACTTCCTAGATACACCGACTGGATTCTGGCTGCTGTCAGTGGCTCCTACTGGGGCTTTCCGGCAACAGGGAATCTTGGAATCACTATTGTGTATGTGGTGGTCTACTTTGTCGTGCGACTTATGCCCGTCTTGTCTGCTTGAACCTGAGTTCACACCAAGCCGAGCCGGTCGGTCTATGAGCGGGGTTGCTGGATGTTGCAAAATGGAACGCAGTCATGCATTTCAGGAGTTTTTGTTTTCATTTCTGGCGATGAGGCCGCCATTGGGATATGCGTTCCAACTTGGAGCACACAGTCATCTTAGGATGCACAGGTGGAACCGTTTGTTTACTGTTTGTTTACTTGATCACCTCCTGAGCACAGCAGCTGTAGTCAGAGTAATGGTGCCTGACCTTCAGTAAGAAGGTGATGGAGGGGTAGAATGATTGAAAGCGAAGGAAATAATACAAAAGAAAAAGAAGAGGGAAAAAACCTGGAGCAAGAACCATCATTCCACGATCAACGTCAACACGTGCTACCGTTGCACCACCATAAGGTTCATCAACTTGCTTCCGATCAGGTAGATAGTTGTTGAAACCGATATGTGCACCCAAAGTAATGAACGCAGCATGCAACTAAAAAAAGGTAAGCAAAAGGGAAGCCGAGACCGCACCAGGAATTGAACCCAGGTCTCGTCAAACACACATCAGTGTGCCCATGTGGGGTGTCCAGAGATTTAATGCCTCCAGGCGGCATTGGATCGATCTGAGACGACACGTGCTACCGCTACACCATACGCCCTCGACTTCCCTTGTGTTGTTCCTGAAACCGACAGTCCATATGGATGATTCTGTTTGATTTGTCCGGCGGCTTTCAGCCTTCATTCACTATCAATTATGTTCGGAGATATCGTTCCAATTGCCTCCGTCCCATTCACCCCCCCGAACGCCAACTACCAAACCCAACCACGCTTTCATACCAGCTGCCTTCTCTTAAACTGCACCATCGGGCCCTGCCTCAGCGACACAAACGCATCATACGTCTGATACTGGTCCACATTCCGACGGCCCACCCTCCCCTCTGGACTCCCACCCCCCAGGTTGTCCGCAAAGTCCCTCCTCACCTCGAACCTGTGGACGATCTTCGCCATGACGATCATCATCTCCAGCCACGCGAGGTTCTTGCCCGGGCACCCCCTGGACCCCGTCGAGAACGCGCAGAACGCGCTCTCGGCCAGCGCCACGCTCTCGGCCGACGACGCCCCCTTCTCCCCCACGATCCACCGCTCGGGCCGGAACTCGAGCGGCTCGGGGAAGATGTCCTTGTTGTAGCTCAGGCAGTAGTGGCCCACGCTGACGTTGACGCCCTCGGGCACGAACTCGCCGTCGACGACCGTGCCGCCCTTGAGGACCTCGCGGTCCAGCTCGGCGCCGACGGGAGGGGCCATGCGGAGGGACTCCTGGATGAAGGCCTTGAGGTACTTGCACCCGTGGAGGCTTGGCCCTCCTGCTATGTCGTCGAAGCTGTGGAATGTGGATAGGATCTCCTCGGCGAGTTTGGCCTGATGTTGGTAGATATGGTTAGTCGAGGGCAAATTACAGCCAGCCGCCGCTGTGTGGGCTCTATGCACTAACCTGAACGTCCGGCTTCCGCGCCAGGTAGAAGAACATCGCCGTGAGCACGATGGCCGTCGTGTCCGAGCCAGCAATGATCAGGGACTCCGCCTCGCCCCACAGCTCCTCCATGGGGAATCCCCTCCCCGTCTGCGGGTCCTGCGCGTGGAACAGATAATGGAAGAAGTCCTTGCGCACCTCGAAGTCCGGGTCGCTAGCCAATCGCCTCTGCGCCTCCTGCTCCGCCTTTGTGCGGTCCGAGAGGCACTTGGTCACGAAGTCGCCCCATCTCTTCACGGGCGGAGGCGTCGCGACGGCGAGGAGCGAGTCCAGGCCTCTTGGCTTCAGCCAGACCCAGAGTGCAGTGAAAGGCGCGAAGGCGATCTGCGATTGGTCAGTTTCATTCATCACATCTCGACTGCGAGTGGAGAAGCGCATAAGCACGACGTACCGGATTCAACAGCGTCAGCATGTCCGCCATCAGGTGCGGTGCCTCTTTCATAGGCCCGTCCGGCTCCTTCATGCCGAAAGACTTGCCGAAGCACAGGTCGCCCAGGATGTCAAAGACGAGGTAGTTGACCCAGTCGGTCATGTTGACGGAACCTGACCATTCACCGCCCGCGCTGACCTCCTGGTCGAGCAGCTCGCACCACCTGTCAGCATTGGAGAGCACGAACGGCTCGGCAGAGCGCAGCGCCTTGGATGAGAAGGCGTGGTTCAGCACGCGCCGCTTGTGGCTGTGGACGGCGAAGTCGATGGAGTTCCATGTCGTGATGGCCTTTGCGTGGCGAGGCCACACCTGATAGTACAGTCCCTTCTTTACATTGCCCTTGGGCCCGAAGATCTGGGTGTATGCCGAGGGGGTGTTTACGAGGATGCTATCTGGCCGGTATCGAAAAGTTGGGCCTGGAGGTTCATGTCAGCAATCGCCTCCTTGAGGGGGTTTCGTAAGGCGGGGTTTCCAGCGGCACTTACCGTACTCCTCTTGAAGACGCCATAGCCAAATGTGTCGATCCTGTCTGAGTGTATGCCAGTATGAAGGAAATGATGTGATGCGGGCCCAAAACGGGCCGGGGTATCTTGAGAGCGGGTGGAAATGAAGCCGATAAACGACGATCGCGAGAACGCCGGCGGACGCGAAAAGGACAAGCAAGGGAAGGACTTCGGCAGCGTCCAGATCGTGGTGGAACTCTAAAGGAAACATCATGATGATCTTGGGTCGTTCGTTATTAGGAAAACAAATGAGAGGAAGATACGACGCTATGTGATGTGAGAAAGTCCAGAACGTGCGGAAGAGATGGGACCAAAGAGGGCCCCGGGTAAAGAAGGAAAGATGACGCCGCTACCAAGACAACGACCGCTGCAATGCTGCCCGATAAGACAAAAGCAGTTAATTATTTCAAATTTGCTGCCGCATTGCCGACATCTGACGGTCCCCTGCGAGAGTGCAACCACCGGGAGATAGGCTTTTTTGATGTCCTAGCAACAGTCGATAGCTCGAGCGCGACGCGAACACGGTGCGACCGATAATCTCTGTCCCTTGCGCCCGGGACGGTCATCCTGACGCCACGTTCCTTATTATTATTATGAGGAGGAGGGAGCAGCTGCCAACCTTGCGTGGGCGACATTGTCAGGGCGGGTCAGGCCCGGTGTCTCGCCTTGCTCGTGATGGCCTCGCCGGGGGTTCGTGGGCGCCGCGACGAGGCCCATGCCCAGTCGCGCACGGAGCCTCCAACGAAATTGATCTTCGGCGTGCCGTCTGGTACGGATTGGTCCGGGGCTCTCCCGGCAGTTGTCCCATGTGGGCATGGAGATCCAGGCACGGGCAGGTGGGATCGCCCAACGGGGAGACCGGGCGCACCGCCACAGGGATGCCTATTCGGGGAGTTACATGATAATCTAGATGTTGAAGATTACAACACGTGCGAGACCCCGGTATATATCATATCATATTCGACAGATGTATTACCCAGGGTCGCTGTGATAGGGGGGGCTTGGAGGCCGCACAGTGGGGCTTTCAGCTTCAGCGGTAAGGAAACTTGATACATCAGGACCCACCTGCCGCCACGGGAGATTTAGTTGATCTCGGGATATAGGGCGGCATACATAAACGGGCTCAGGATGTTTTGGAGCCCTCGCTAATGCACAAGATTAGAAGATGTGAATACCCACAGCCATGGAACCTCCTTTTCCAGAACCAAATTGACACGGAAGTCTAAATCCACGAGGCCTCTGTCATGTGCGTGGAGCTCGAGTCCACAAAAGCCCAGTATTTACGTATCCAATCGCCTCCAACACGTTATTCCTGACGTTTACTGTGGTTCCCGTGAACGAGGGTCCGTGCGCAGTGTTTACAATTCAGCTCGTGTTCTGCTCGTGTGGTTTTCGAGGTTCCTTTCACCGCAACAGGGCTGAGTCTCGGGGCGTATAATGCGCCCGGATCCGCAGCTTTGCGCTCCCGAGGCCTCGCTACGTTCGGTGTTCGTCCTATTTTTTCCATTCCGAGACTCTCATCGGAGTTCTCGGGTTTCGGCTCGGTCGGCCTCACGATGGTAGCATCGGCCATGCCCGCGTCCGACACGTGCTTTTATGCTTGCTCAATGGCTTCGGAGCCGGCTAAACGAGCTCGAGTTCGGTAGTTTCCGGCACAAGCGCCAGATACAGGCAAAGATATATGTCAAGTCATTCCCGTGGAATTTCGTCTCTCTTGACTTCGTAATTTGCGAACTCCGGGATCATTAGCGGACGATGAGTGCAGGCCAAATATCACCCGGATTCATTCAGATTTGTGAAAATAAGAAGTGCCCGCGGGCCAGATCTCGCTTTCAGGAAAGTCCCTGGTTTGCATCATGGGACAGCTGGGTATGCGGCACCACAAGTCGACTGTGTGGCCAACGGTGCAGACCTGGTTTTCTCCAGATTGTCATTTGTTCCTTTCCTTCAAAGAGGTTTTCGAATTGCGAGTTCATGCATGAAAGGCAATACTACGGCATGGATATTCTCCTGGTCAACAAGGTATACTAGTTACCTGTCTAATGTCAGAAATAAGGTGCACAGGTAGAGTGATAGGGCCAAATAGCCCCCATGGGCCAAAGCAATAGTTGAACCTAAGGTCTAAGTATCTCTGAGGGCGCGTACGCTGCGCGGAAGCCTTTAAATAGTGGCTATTTGCTTGGCAAGAGGGGCCCGTGGGGCCCATGTGACGTTGATCCCTGACATCTAAGATGCTGGAAGACTGTCATTCATCACAGGTCGTGAGCGGACTAGGCGAGCAGCATCTTGCTTGGTAAATGCTGGCCATGGCCAACCTAGGTATGAGTATGACGAGGCCCAGTACTTGAAAGCAAACAAGTCAAGAGACACTCTTGATGAAACAGAGAACTGCAAGGCAACTTGCTTGTGTGTTCAGTGTAAGGCAACTTGCTTGTGTGTTCAGTGTAAGGCAACACAACACCATCAATCTGCATACCTTCAGTTGTAAGTGGGCAAGGTTGCACTGCGCCATGACAAACAGGTCCACAAGTAGCTATATGCATGCTACCAAGCAAAAGCAATGCACATCCACCCAGTCGTTACAGGTACGCTTAACGTTGATGTCTGAGCTCACCGAAATTTTTAATACATGGAGGAGACCCAGGGAAATCTCTACAGAGACTCTCAGTGGCAACAATCCCCTCGCCCGCAATCGCACGTGATAAAGGCTTTGATTCAAGCTTTCACCAAATGTGTGACTTGACCGTCTTCACTGTGCAGGAATTCGGGTAGTTTTAAAAATAGCCTAGCCCTCGAGCTTGACGCTGCGAGAGTGAGAATTTGTTGCGTTTGGGAGAAAGCTTTGGGCGAGTTGCAACAAGCTTTTGAGGACAGGCTTGACTTGAGCTTGAACCCCGTGCTCCCGAATTTTGTTTCTTCACACGGCGGGGTCCCAAAACAGACATTGATCGCTCTCTCAACGGAAAAAGATCAATCTGGTCTTCTGCTATATGATTTTGACATGGTGGCATGACCATTGACGGGACACCCCAGAATCGTATCATGCAGGGGCGGGCCAACACCTGGGGGATATCTCATTCTACTTCTTCGTTGATAAGGATGGCCATAAGCGCTGAAAGCCAGGCGTTTGTTCCGACTAAAGTAATGGACCTGAGAATGCAATCCTTGCAAGAAGTTGCCACTTACATGTGCAATCCCGCGTGTTTGTGTGCTACTGTCTGGCGCATAAGCAGACTGCAGATGCATAGAGACTATGCCAGGCTGGGTGCTGCACGGAAAGTCTCGGTTAGAAGCCGATGCGATGCGAGGGCGTGCGGGCACGTAATTGCACACCCCGATCCTACCCGCCGGCAATACTAGTAGCTACTGTATGATTTTCGGCATGGACTTGACCGACCGTCTTCGCAGTTCTCATCATTGGATGCTGTTGGAATAAGCTCGCACGGGGCTCCGGTCGCGAGTCAATCACTCAACCTGCGCGCCAAAGTGAGTGTGAAAGTGGGCGCGTCATTGTCCAAAACTCAACTGTAACTTGCCTGGACGGGATCTTCCTGCCCAAAGAAGCTTGTTACATGGCCTAGCAACCAATGGTAATCCATCATGGACGCTTCTAGTGGGTCGCGCAGCACCAGTGCCTGGATGCGCTGCGCGACTTGACCACCTCCACTGCGTCACGACTCCTAACCTCCTCCCCTCTTCGGCTAAGCTGTACGTGTTTGGCGCATCCTGCAGCGCGGGGCCTTGGGCAACTTGAGGTCGATCTCACAGAAACAGCAGGTACGGATCTGCAATCTCACTCGGGAAAAACGGCGGCGACCAGGCACCCGGGCAGCCGGTGTGAGGAGAAATGCTGCCGCCGCCCACCGATCCCTGCTGCGCATGCCGTTTCATGCGGAGGGCTCGGAAGCAGCACGGGATGCCATGGTTCCCTGCGCCAGAGGTTTGGGTTCGTCTCTATTTGATTTCAACCGCGCCCGCCCCTGTCATTACGCAGACTGTATCAGGTCGTGGCTCATGTTTCTCTGCATCAATCTCAACGTCCTCCCAACCTGAAGGAGAAGCATCGTTCAGTCGGACAAGTCTCCAACAGCCCAACACCTCTGACGGCCGGCATTCACCAAGTTCAGGCATTACTGCACCTCTGCAGGCACGAGTGATACACTATTAATACCTCGCGCACGCGGCTTGATCTGCAAGGGCCCTGCCAAGATGAAGCTTGGCTCTGCAATCGCGGCTTGTCTCTTTGCCCCCGGGGCGCTAGCCGCAACCGCCTTCGAGACATTCAACCCCCTCCTCAGGTACAGGCCGCACGCCCAGAAACGATCAGCTGAAGTACCGCCTGTTGTGAGGCGGCAGACTCCCACCTCGCCGTTTCTCAATGCCAACACCACGAGTGAGTACCATCGCCAAGATCTGCACGTCGACCAACCCGCATGGCTTTCCGAGCAGGCTTTTGTACTAGTGTCCTCGGCCCATCTCCATCCCCACCCCCACGAGCTGCTTAATCGTACCACTGCTGACCGCACATGCAGAGTTCGTCGTCGACGGTGCCGGCATTCCCGATGTTGACTTCGACGTGGGCGAGTCCTACGCCGGCACCCTGCCCGTAGGCACCGTCGGAAACAGCACCGACGGCCAGATGTTCTTCTGGTTCTTCCCCACCGCTGCGGCAGACCAGCCCAAGGAGATCATCATCTGGCTCAACGGAGGTCCCGGGTGTTCGTCCCTCAGCGGGATGATCCAGGAGAACGGGCCGTTCCAGTGGCAGAGCGGCACGTTCAAGCCCAACGCCAACCCGTGGTCGTGGCACCAGCTCACCAACGTCGTGTGGGTCGAGCAGCCCATCGGCACGGGCTTCTCGACCGGCACGGTGACGGCTCAGAACGAGGATGACGTTGCGCAGCAGTTCATGGGATTCTGGAAGAATTTCGTTGACGCCTTCGGCCTCCAGGGTTACAAGATCTATGTAACTGGCGAGTCGTGAGTTGCCCGCGTCATTCCCATTCAGACGACTTACTTCGAACGGCCGTCAAGGGCGCAGTTGAACATATTCTGACTGCTTTATAGATATGCCGGGGCATACTGCCCGTTCATCAGCAGCAACATGCTTGACGCAAATGACACGAACTACTTCAACGTCAACGGCATGCTGATATACGACCCAGTAATTACTGGTGGATCTGCGGGTATTGCGCCTACGAACTACTTCGTTGATTACTGGAGAAACGTGAGTTGTTAAATGCCTTTCCTCGCAAGATGAATCATTCTGCCCGGGACCTTTCCCTTGCGGCTTGCAGTTCCATTGTGCTGGACCAAGATATGGACACATAATGCGTCTTCGAACCCAATGCAGGGCTGCTGAGGCCCCATATACATGCTAACCAAATCTTGATCTTGCAGGTCATGCCGTTCAACGACTCCACTGCCACCAGCATAGCGAATGCGTCCAAGACCTGTGGCTTCGACGAGTTTACTGACAAGTATCTGACATTTCCCCCATCAGGACAGCAACCCGATGTCTGTCAACAGCCGGGAATAAATGCGGACTGCACCAACTACATAGACGGGTGTGATGTCTTTGACGCCGCTTTTAGTGCTATCTTTGACATCAACCCAGGCTTCAATATCTACCAAGTCGGCCAGATCCTACCAGTCCCAGACGACGTCCTGGGCTTCCCCACCTCGGTAACGTACACCGCCCCAGGCCGCCAGATCTACTTCAACCGGACAGACGTCAAGCAGGCGATCCACGCGCCCCTGGACGTGAACTGGGCCATCTGCACCGAGCAGTCCGTCTTCGCGGGCGGCGACAGCTCGGACCCGTCGTCCTACCGCGCGATCCCCAACGTCATCGACCGCACCAAGAACGTCCAGATCGCCCACGGCACCATGGACATGGTCCTCCTGGCCAACGGCACGCTGCTGGGCATCCAGAACATGACGTGGGGCGGCCAGATGGGCTTCCAGTCGGAGCCGCGCGAGCCGCTGTTCGCGCCGCACCACCCCAACCCGGACGTCGCGGGCTCGAGCGGCCAGGGCGTCCTGGGGACGTGGCACAGCGAGCGGGGGCTCACGTGGGCGCTCATCGACCTCACGGGCCACATGGTCCCGACGTGGCAGGCTGGTGTTGCGTTCCGGCAGATCGAGGTTCTGCTGGGACGCGTGGAGAACCTCGGGAGCACGGCGGCGTTCCCGATGTATGCGAATGCCACGCAGCCGGATGCGTCGCAGCTTGGGTTCGGCACGGCGTGGTACGGGTTTGAGGACGCCTCGAGCGGGCTTGGGGAGCAGGCGAGGATGACGACAGGGCAAAGTAAGTACATTGTTCTCTTGCCGGCGACGTATTTCACTGTGAGGTGCTTATAGTGCTATGATTTGATGGGATGCTGACAAGGTATTCACCTTTTAGCTTCCGGCGCCATTTCATCGACAATTCGAAGAGGCTCCTTCGCGGATTCCACGAGCATTGGCGCAGTGTACATGGTGGCCGGGCTCGTCCTGAGTTTCTTCCTGGTCTCTGGATTGTAGATTGGGAAGGCCGGTATTTGGATGTCATTGGGGTCAGGTATATCACACATCGGAATTTACAACAGAAGTAATGTTGAACAAGAAGTTGATTAATAAGGAGTGTTGTGTTCCTGACCCGACCCGGTTGTCAGAATGACAAGCCTCGAACATGAACCAGGACACCCGCCACCCTCAAGTGCAGGTATCCTTTGTCTTCTTAACACAGATGCCACCACAGTCATATCCGCCGTATCCTGGGTCGCAGTCGTCCCTGGGGTCGTCGACGCAGTACTCATTCTTAGCCTCGCAGGTGAAAGCGGCAATGCCACCACAGAATCTAACGGCAAGCACGAAAGCGTCAGCCAGTACTTGACTGAAAAGTGTTCACGGAGTGGGCCGCAGTGCCTACCCGTTGGGTACGACGCAACGGGGCTTGGGGTCTGAGATGCAGATGGCGTCGGACGGGCAAGGGAGGGCGCAGACGGGCCTGGGAGGGACGGGGAGGTGGAGTGCGCCTGCTGTGGAGGCAGCGAGGGTGATGTATGCGACCGCGTTGACACTCTTCATTTTCTTGCAAGTTGCAGCTTGTCTTCACTTGATGGTTTTTGGGGAGAACAAGGTTGTGTGAGCGCCCGGGGTGGGCTCAGACACGATATATACAACCCGAGAACACGTACATATATACCTGAATATGTAGATGCGTCCCTAATGCACACACACCTCTTGAACATTCATCCAGAGGCCCATGCGCCAGTGGCTGCTTACTATGTCTGGGTGTCGGCCGGCTTCCCTCCTTGGGATACGACACAAATCTTGGTAGCGAGGTGACACAAAGGACCTCTCAATGTAAACCTGTCTTGGCTCGTATAACCCACATATCAGATCTCGTGAACCTTGTTTCGGGCATATACCAGAGCCACAGCATCCTCCCCGTGATAGGTCCGCCAGTCTTGGATGACACCTGACACCCGGCCTGGGGTAGGGCTGAATAGGGAGGTAAAGGGCTTCCAGCCTCTTTGGACAATTGATCGCCCGTCGATCCCTTGCGGCTTAGAAAATAGTTGAATCGACTGTAACGAGGTCGTGCGTATTGGTCGCGAGAGGACGCTAATGTTCTTTGTCTTGGGCGACAGGCGAATATACTTGTCCTTTAGAACCCATGCTCGCTCGTTGCAGGTTGATGAGCCCGGAGAGGGGAAGACAGGGCGGGGTCTTGGCCGAGTTCAGACTAGGACCGTTGAAGGCTAGGGAGTAGGAGGTATATGCTCCGAAGATTTATTACACAAGGGTGGCCAATCTCAGAATACCTCAAATATGAGTGGAGTTGAAGTCCGAGGGAGAGGACCCCTTCATGTTGGACCCCCTGTTCACATTGACAGGACGTGGGGTTGGCATCGGGTAGGGCCGCTCTTCATCGTGACAAGCTTTTTTGATAGCTCCGATAGCTTTCCCCCAGAGGCGTATCTTTTCAGAGGGACAGGCTATTACTCGGATTGTTCCGCCGGACGATTTAGTGCGTGGCGTCAAGACACACATTGCGCCCGGTTCCTATCCGTCCCGTCCTGGTTGAGCTGCGTCCGTCAAAGGCTCAAGCTTTGCCGACTTCCTTGAACAATCCAGCCCGTTGCTTCCCGTCGTCCAACTGCATCACGCTGGGCCGATCGGCGCAAGGCCGCTAGGTGAGTAGGCGCTACTAGTATAAGATTGCCTGTCGATCCCCAAGCTGACACGCGTGGCCTTGGCCAGCTTCTCCAGCTGCTTTGGGCTCTGGATCTGAGTGCTTATAATATCTTGTGTTGGCGAGACAGAGTGATAGAGGAGCGCCGTGGAGGATGACTTCCAGAGACTTATGTTCCGGCCTCTGCGGCTTTCCACCATCTCAGCCAGCAGTAGCACTGCTGCTGCCAGGACAACAGCGAAGGGGAGTGCCAGCCACGGCCATTGGACGCGGACAAGCACAACCGAGCTGGCAGTCAGACCGTGCGCGTTCGCGTTATAGGTCGACCGAAGCTGGTCCGTCATGCCGACTGCCATTTTCTGGAGCACTTGCGACACGTTTCGCCCCGGGCTCCAAACTCCAGGGGTAATACCGGCAGAGTAGAATGCGGGATTTTCGCCGACGGCCAGCTTGCCGCTGAAATGGTCGGATGGAAAGAAATACAGCAGGGCGCCGAGGTCCCACATCGAGACCTTGAACTCTGGCAGGCCGCTTGTGTTGAAAAGAATATAACTCTGGGCGCCCTGGCTTCCGACATCTATAAAGGTTCCGGGGTCAAGAGGCGTCGTTTCAAAATTGCCGAAATTAAAGTCATTGCCCACAGATGTCGCATTGGAATATGTGTAGGCGGCGAAGCTCAGGTCGCACTCTAGGGTTTCCTCGACGGTTGTGCTGTCCTTCCTATAGGTACTAGGCTGCCTGAAGACGGCAAAGCGCATGAAGTTGGGCGAGACTGGCTGGGGGTCCAATGTGCTAAATGTCGTCGAAAAGTTATAAGGAGTCGCAGCTTGAATGATCAGGACAGTTGACCACGCAGTGAAAGCTTCTCCTGTGCTGAAGGAGACGTTGCCCGGGGTTGTCATGTCGCATACGTGTGTGGCGTTGGAATACGCGGTGCAGTTTCTGGTGCTGTAGGTTGCTTGGGTGACGTTTGTACAAGCCATGCTGAATCCAAGAGATGTATGGGGTTGATCCCAGGTGCAATTTGATGTGCAGTTGAATAGATCGGGTGTTTCGAGGTCGTAAAATGCCTTAAAGACAGCCCCCTGCATGGAACTGTCAATAGTATAAGCTAAAACACAGCAGAACGGTGTTAGTGATCAATGACTATGACGAGATGTGTAACAAACCTGAGTATGAAAAGGTGGACGAACGATCAGGTTCCCATAAGTTACCAGTACTACCGGGGGCATTTTCCAGTGGTGATCGAGCACTTCCGTTGTAGCTATGAGCGAGGCCAAACGATGCCGTCCCGTCGTCAGCCCACCTAGTCACAGTGTCTGTGCTGATGACCTGCTGGGCAAAGGTGTCGATTCCTAATGCCACGATGGTGACGATGGCACCCAAGGTCCCCAAGCCCCATGTGACTGAGGTCAGCATCTGGACAGAACCAAGAGGCCCTCGCGATGCTTCCTCTATGATATCGAGATCGGCAAGCCGCCTGCGTTTGGAGCGGAAATGAGCCCATTTCCATTGGCTTATGCATGCCGCCACCGAAAGCATCGCGGTCGACTTTGCCGCGGTGATCAAGGCAGCTATGGTAGCGTTCAGGCTAATCTGGAGACCAGCGTGAGTTGTCAGGCGATGATAGATGGGATGGCTTAGCGCCGGGAGGCAAGTGAGATCTGGTAGTCGCTTACGAAGAAGTTCCACTGATCCGTTGGCTTGTCCTGAACGATCCTGAGGATAATGATGACCGCGACGATGCAGCCGAAACTGGCTATGATACTGACCAGCTCCTGCCACCACCAAAATGACGAGCAACGGCTCCTTTGCGGGGCCGGCCGCTCTAGGGACATGTATTGCACCATGGCTATTGCATATGAGCCCGTTTTCCTAGGTGTAAAAGACAAAACCCTCGAGAGTCACTCAAGGAAACCTTTTTGACTACTTGAATGCTCTAAAACGGTAACAAGACTCCGTGACATAATCCGTTGAGCTGACACCCTACACCAATGTGGCTGCCTGGCCTGCAGGCGCTTGGGTGCGAGCTGAACTCCGTCGTTACACGGGTGGTGGCGCAAGGTAATCTTACGTGCATGGCTCTGCAACCCTGATGCTAGATCGGGTGCGACCCTACATTGGGTAACTTAGATGGTGCCTCGGCGATTAGATGCTCCGAAAGCAAATTAACCATTCATCACGAGAGCTTTGTGAACTATAGGCCTGCCTTGAAGATCAAAACCACTTGACAAGAACAATGGAAGATCGACCAATGTAACAAAATGGGAAGGCGGTGGACACTACCATACTCTCATATGCAATTAAACATTCCATTTTGGCGCTAATGACCTGCACATAACACCTTACACCAAAAGTCGTATATACTTATCATGCTGTTAATTAATACCCTTAATATCATTAATTCATGCATTAACTAAGGTTATTATCGCTGCTAAAAGCCTATATATAAATTACTATATATAGTAGTTACCCTTAAATATAATTTCTTACCCTTTAACTTATTATTAAGATTTATAAAAGCCATTAATGCCTTATTAAAGCTTTAAGGAAGTATAATTAATGCTAAGTGTTATTTATTTATATATAAATTATAGTTAATAAGAGTATTTATATATTATAAGGCCTTTAAGTAAGGCTATTATTATTAATGCTTTAAAGTTAATTTTATATAATAATTATAAACCCTTAAACTATAATCCTTGCCATTAATTATAATCCTAACTTAAATATTATATTATTTTTAATAGCAATCCCTTAAAGCTAGCAAGTATAGCACTTATAAAGAAGAAAAATTATATTTATGGCATTTAATAATCCTTTTATAAAGAAAACTTAAATTATTATTAAGCTAAAGGCAAAATCTTTTCCATTATTATTAATAAAACTTGCCTAAAAGCCATTAATAAAGAGAAAGCTACTACTATTAAAGAAAATACTCTTAAAGCTATTATTATTATTACTACCATTAAAAAGCAGCTTTATTAAAGATAGTAAAAAGGAATTAAATTTCTTACCTTATAATAATAAGAACCTTTTTATTAACCTCTTTGCTAACCCCTTTATTATTAAGAATAATAATATTTAAGAAATCGTTAAAAAGGCTGCTATTAACAGCTTTTTTAATAAAGATATTAAGATTAAGTTATAAATAAATATTAAAGTTATATTTTCCTTCTTCCTAATTAACTTAGCTAATTAATTTAAAGGTATCATTCCACCTATCCCCTTAATAAAATATTTAAAAGGGCAATATAATAAATTTAGCGATCTTTTTATTAATTAGCTTAATAAGTAGCTTAAGGAGTTTAAAAAGCAAGTCTTTAATAACCTTAAAGGTTATTAAGTAAAGCATAAATTCCTTACCATAATAATATAATTAAAGAAAGGCAATATATTAAAACTCTTATATTTTAATTAATAAGCAATAAATATAAATATTAAGATTATTTAAACATTAATATATAACCTTATAAAATAAATTAAAAATAAGGTAATATATACTTTAATTATTATATATTTCTTTTAAATATTTCTTACTCTTTATATTGTTTTAAGGCGTTAATAAAGTTTAATTACGCCATTATTAACCTTTAAGGGCTTTATTAATATTTAGTTTTATAAAATTAAAAATATTATTGCTGCAAAAGCAAAAGAAAATAACTTATTTTAAACCAAGCGGTTTAATGCTAAGATTAGTAATATCTCTTAGCTAAGCAATTAATTAAATCTCTTAGCGAAATCCATAAAAACCAGCATTATGTAAAAGGCTATTACTATTTAAAGAAATGCTAAAACCAAGCTATTTACTTAATTAAATTAATAGCTAAAGTATTATAATAAAGAACATTATCTTAATTATAAAAGGGAGTTAAAATTAATATTATAATGCTTTATTAAAGGGGATAAGATATATTTACCCCTTATATATAAGAACCTACTTAAATAAGCTAATTTAATTAAAAAGAAGTAAAAAAGGGCTTTTTTAAACCATATCCTTAAAAGTATATATAATTAAGCATTATTTTGCTTAATTAATTAAAAGCAAGGTAGCTAAGCTAAAGTATTTAACGTCCTTTCAACCCTTAAGCCAAACAATAATATTCTCTTAACCATATTAAGGCACCCAAATAAAGCCAATATGCCCAAGCTAAGAAGAGGTGGTATAAGCAGCAGGAATATTATTAATATTAATAAAAGCAATGGCGATAATAATTAGCTTATATTAATACTTATAAATGCCCTTAATAGCCATTTAACGCCCTAATAGTTAACTTTACTGCCATTAATATTATAAGCAGCTAAACATGCATATATATTACCTATAGCCCTTTCTTTTATTAAAATATTAATAATAAGAGTTATACCGCCTTTATTACATTATTTATTAATATTTTTATTATTCTTAATAATGCTTAATAGCCTTAAGGATAATAAACTGCTAAATAACTTTTTTTAATATATATATTATTAAAAAGCGCAGCATTATTAAGAAAAGCAAGAAATAAATTGCTTAATTATAAAGCTTTAAAATACAAACTTAAGCATATTTAAAAACCTTTTAACGTAATTAAATAAGTAATTTATTAATTATTAATTTAAGGAAAACTTAAAAAGCTTTTTTTATTAATATATAAAGGACTTTATATAAAAATGCAATATATTAAAGGAGGGCATATTAAGCTTGCCAACACTCTTAAGGGCAATTAAGGGCTATAAAAATAATATTGCTATTAAAAGTAATTAATTATAGCTTATTTATTATATATAAAAAGGTATTTTAAGTATTATTTTTATTATTATAATAATAATAAGTAAAAAGTAATAAAGTTAATATTAATACTTATAATATAATAAGTTTTATAAATTAATCCAACTTACTTATACTTATTATACCTTAATATAAAATATTAATTTCCTTTATAAATTTTATATTAATTATAATAATAATATTATAAATAAAAAGATAAAAAGTTAAATTATTTAATATAAAAATTATATTATATTTATAATTTTTTTTAATAATATTATAGCAATTTAAAGTTAATATATATATATATTATACCCACTTTAACTTACACCTTCCCTAGCTATATAAACTACTCTTTTTATTACTTTTTATTTAATAATAAAGAGCTTTTAATGCTTTAAAGTAATGATAATTAAATATATTATATAATTAAAAGGTTATAAGTTTAATTTTATTACTTTAAATTATTAAAAAGGTTATTATTATTAAACTTTTTTTTATTACTTAATAATATTTATTCATTACCTTTTTACATTATTAATACTTAATAAGGTAATTTTATAAAATATAATTATAACTTATAAATAACCTTAACATTTAATAATTAGCTAATATATTTTTTATTTAAATTAAAGCTAATTTAACTTAATTATTTTATATTAATGTTAACCCCTTATTTAACTACTTTATTATAAGTATTAACTTATATCTTTTTTTATTTATAAGGCTATTGCTTTCCAACGAAATACATTAATTATTAATTTAGCTTATTAGTTAATTAAAATAATTATAATTAAATTAAATATATAATAAAGAGGTTATAAGTTTAATTATAAGTGTATTAATTAAGCATTAAGCTAATTTGCAATTAATGTATTTTTTATATATACCTCTTATTTTAACTACTTAAGGCAACTACCTTTTTAATATTATATATATATAAAATATTACTTATTAAATAACGTAAAAACAAGGCTATTTAATATATAAATTATATTATATATATAACTTTTTTTAATAAAGGTATAAATATATAAAGTTAACTATTTAAATATTAAGTATATTAATATAATAAATTATTATTTTATGCATTAAATATATTTAATTGCCTTTAAGGTAAAAACCTTTTAATAAGCATTTAAAAATAAATAATATATTATTTAATTTATTTAATTAAGCTTTTTTTTATAATATACTTTTTATAAATATATGCCTTATAATTATTAATATATATTATATTATAATTAAGGCATTATAATAAACTTAATTAATAAGTATAATAATATATATTATTAAAAGCACTTAAGTTACTTATATATTATAATACTTATAATAATAATTAAAGCTTAAAAAATATATACGTTATTAATACATGCATTAAAATATATAATTAATTAATTATTTAATTAATTTAAGCTTACTTTAATTTAAAAACCATAGCCTTTTAAAAATAACCTTAAATTGCTTTTATATTTAAAGCAACCTTATATATTAAGTTAATAAGAAACTATTATTAATCTTTTTATATATATTATTAATCCTTATAATATTAAAAGTAGTAATAAATATACTTTTTTAAATTATTAAAAAATGCCTTAATTAAATTAAGATTAAGTAAGTATAAAGATAAATATTTAAGCTAAATATTAGCTTTATTATATATTTATTAAAGGTTTTTATAAAAATAAAAACTAGCATTATTTATTATTAATATTAAGTTAAGCCTTAAAAATAGCAATATTTTAAGTAAAACTTTATTTTTAATATAATTAATAAAGCTTTAATTATTTATATTACCCTTATATATAAATAAATTAAGTATATTTATAATTATAAATATTAAAAGCATTTAATATTATATATTGCAATTTTTATTATCATTAAATATAAGTTTCTTTAGCTTAATGCCTTTTAATAATTATTTTATATATTATAGCTTATTTCTTTTATTTATATTAAACTTATTAATAAAAATAAATTAATTTATATAAAGTTTTTAAGTTTTAATAATTTAATTAACTTAAATAAAGTAATTTTATTAAGTAATAATTATATTTATAATCTTTTTATTTTATTTAACTTCTTTAAATATTTAGCTAATAATACTTTAAAAAATAAATAAATTAAAGTTATTTAATAATTATTATTATATTTTATTTTAATATAAATTATTTTTTAAAGTAAGATAATTAAAAAGAGCTTAAGTAATAAGAATATATATTAAAGAAGGTAAATATTTAAAACTTAAATAATATATATTATAATAAAAGTTAATTAATTAAACGGCCTTATATAAGTTGCTTAGCTTAATAATAATGCTAAATATTAAATTTCTTTTTCTTAACTTTTAAATTTATTAATTAAAGTACTTTATAATTTTTATAATAATAGCATTATTTACTTAATTAATATTTAGCAATCCTTAAATTATATAAAGCTTTAAGGGGGTTAAGTAATAAGATATAATTATAAAATTATTATAAATTAATTTATAATAATTAAAATATATAGCATAGTAAAAGGTATAATATTATAAGGATTGTAAGATAAGTAATTATGCTTAATAATTAAAAAGGGCATGGCATAATAAGTATATATAATTTTTAGTGTGAGATGTTATATGCAGGCTACTAGCGCCAAAATGGAACGTTTAATTGCATATGAGAGTAGCCCACTTTAGAAAAGGCGGGGTGTGGGCGGAGTTTCTGTTGCAACCTCGGATGTTTCCGATAAAACAGCGCTAAATACTGAGGCTGTTCAATGTTTGCTTCACTACTTCTCTTCTGCTACCAACCAAGAACAAACGATCACGTACAAAGCGCAAAGACCCTCTTTTAAAACCACGACCTTCTCGAGCTGAGACCATCCGGACACTGACTGACCCTCAAAGAGATGTGCAAATGAGATATCTCTACTAAAAGGTAAGTTCTTTGGTTCGTTTGACACGTGGTCGTCCGTAAGACTTTGCTGCCATGTAAATGCTCGCGACACTGAACCTCGATAGGCTCACATAACACAACAGTAGCCCCAGTGCCAATCGCACGAGTTGTCGATAAATACCAATCCACAGAGACTCCATCACTCGCCAAGCTCTGCGCCCATGGATTGGACCGAAATCGTCGACCCAGGCCGGGTGGCTGGCGGCCGTTCCCTCTCATCTGCCTCGACAGCATCGGGAACTTTGATTCCCACTCCCGCGTCATCTGAGACCGGCGGCGTCAATCCAAGCCCTGCGCGCGCTCCCATGCCAGCTGTAGCACCTGCGGGTCCGCTACTGGTCACGACCCTGAGCCCGACCAGCTGGCGGCCGCAGTATCCACGCATAGGGCAGTTCGCTGTGACTCCATCGCGGGAGGTCGTTGCTGCCGGCCCGAACGGGCTCATCTCCTTTACGCAAATTCTGGACCATCCCTCGAGGCCGTGGTCCGAGCCCCGGCCTTTTCCGCCGACGACAGCAAGGCTGGACGCTTCGACTGTGACTGGGTTGACAGTGCACCGCGAGCAGGGAACGGGCGGCATTTTGCACGTGTGCTGTGTCGCGGATGGCGTATTACACGCCTTCTCTCGCTCGGAAGACCCGGGATCGTCTTTTGTTGTCGACCCCTCCCCTCCCTTCGCAGGTTCCCGGGTCAGTGGCACACCGGCTGTCGCCAGGATCGAGACACGCTACGATGACCGGAACTGGTGCATTGTCGCTCCTTGTCAGTCCGGCGGCATGCTGTTCACCTTGACCGATTCATCCCAAGGCGGCTTCTCCTATGGTCCGCCAAAGCAAGGCTGGGAACCAGCCAGCCAGGTCGCTGGACAGATAGGCATCGTCTCCGCAGTCTCTGTTGCGGTCACCCGCAACGGAAAACGCCGTATCTTCGGTGGTTACAGCGATTCGACATTCAGAAGTATCGTGGCAGTCTGTATTGCTAGTGGCCGATTACACAGTGTTGAGGGGCCGCTCGAACGCCCATCAATGTACAGAAAAAGCAGCTGGCAGGATCCGAAGGCCACCAGAGTTCAGCACCTGGGCGAGGTAACTGGTAATCCCGTGCTCCTCAGGAATTATAAGGATGGGATGGACGGTAATGTGGACCTGCTCGTGCCCTCCGCGGAGGGTGGCGTCTTTCACTTCGTACGAACGCCGACAAGCCCTGACGAATGGCACATGATCGGAAGGATCAAATTTCCTCGCGGAGTCCCCATAGCGTCAAGTCTGGCCTGTGCACGACTGAACAGCAATTATGGCCAGCCTATAATCTGCGCCTATGTCCAGTGTGGAGGCCGACTCTACCTCATCAAGACCCCTGAAGGCCCTTGCCCGTGGGTTGGATGCCAACTATACCCAATCGAAGGGCCAGGACCGTTCCTGCATTGATCAAGTACGTGCAATCTTGGCTAATCCTGCCCTGTATCTTCCTGCTCATTGGCGTCCTTAGTCACCAAGCACCTTCTTTGGGGCATCGCAGGCTGCTTCTTCATACCGAAGAGCGATTGGATGTGCTAGTATAGGAACCTGGGAATCGTACGAATAAGTCATCCCCAGCCGCGATGCCGCTCGCCACTGACCAGTAATAGATTTCTCCGGTAGCATGGATTGGTAGACTCTATAACGTCGATTTGGCGCTGGAAGAAGGCGCGGAAGCAACTCATGGCAGAGGTGATGTCCTCGTGTGACACGTGCATGGAACAGCTTGGAAGAGCTCTCTGATGGATGCGTATCCTATCTTCAGGAGAAACTTCATGACTGGCATCTACAGCTTTGCTGCTGAAGTCCTCGAGACTCAACAAAACCAAATCCGGAGCTTTACTGTCCTCTGATAGACGTGAAATCTTTCCATAAATCTCAAGAACGCTTCTCTTTGAACAAACATTCGGTCACACTGATAGGATTTCTTTGTGTGTGTAATGTCTCGGACAGCATAAGGAACTACACCTTAAAGAGATTGACAAGCTTGTCAAGCTTGTCGACGGCAGGTCACCTATACACCGCTTTTCGCCGGGATCAGACTTCCCAATTCTACTTAATTACAAAATATGAGTACCTGTACAATCGCAAGGCCGACCTCATTTCTCTTTTCCGCACCCAACTGGCCCCAACCGGGTCACCCTGGCGGTGTCCCCCCCAGCCCCAACCAATGCGGCAGGTGGGGATCCCTTATCGCGGTCTTATCGGAGCTCTCCCTAGCTTCCCTCCCCTCCGGCAACGACGGCCGACGTCTGACTTCACCTGTCCTCACCTGCATTTCTAATGAGCTGTTGGTGCTTGCTGTGTTGTTGATACCTGTCCACTACACGCCCATATTTGTACTCGAGGTATTTCTGTAGCTGCATTGTGTGTCGTGCCAGGCGTGAAGTAAACCGTCTCAGTGATACCCGGAACCCCAGACCCCCTCCATCGTGTATCGCCGTCCAACAGCATCAAACAGCATGTCAACTCTTCCGAAGAATGTCCACGTTTCAAACCACCCTTGCCTGAGGGCCAAGTTGAGCCAGCTTCGGTCAAAAAGCACACCTTCCAAGGACGTCAAGGCATTAGTCCACGAAATCTCCCTTATCGTGGGCTGCGAAGCACTAGCATCAGCCATCACCACATCTCCCGGCCCAAAGGTTCGTCTATCGCTATCATCCCAATCCCCTCGGATAAAGAGCAGTGAACTCACACGCCGAGTAAAGGACCAAACCCCCCTGGGCTTCGAGTATGAGACCACAACGACCCAGCCCCAGGCCCTGTCCATAGTGCCCATCCTGCGCTCGGGGCTGGGCATGGTCGACGCCGTGCAGACGCTCCTCCCGGGCCCGGTCGCCGTGCACCACCTGGGCCTGTACCGCGAGCCCTCGACCCTCGAGCCCGTCGAGTACTACAACAACCTGCCCGAGCACATCACCGGCGGCAGCGGGGAGACCCCCTCCAGCCTCGCCATCATCGTCGACCCCGTCATCGCCACCGGCGGCACCTGCGCCGCCGCCATCCAGACCCTGCGCGAGTGGGGCGCCCAGAGGATCATCGTCCTCAGCGTCCTGGGCGCGCAGCCCGGCCTCGCGAGGGCCGCGGGCGAGTGGCCCGAGGGCGTCGAGATCTACGTCGCTGGCCTGGACGAGGAGCTGACTTCCGGAGGGATGTTGAAGCCTGGGCTGGGTGATGTGGGCGACCGCTTGTTTTTGACCATTGGCAAGTAGGGAAGGCTTTGGATTCTGTGGCCCGCTTGGAGCTCGTGGTCGAATTACGTTGTGGTGCCTGGGATCTTCGGACGTGTACGTCTTGTGCGTGCCGCCTGCGATGAGACGATTTGACATATGAGGCTGATGCCTAATAGAATCAATCACGAGACCTTATTAGATCAAGTATCATTCGAAGATGCGGGTCCCCTCAGTACTGTGTGGCTCCCAAAGAGCTATTTAATACCAGGCAGCTTCCGTGCCATCTGGCAGTGATATACCTCTTAGGCTGTGACTGTTGCAGAAACTCAAAGTCTTACCAAGACCTCAATGCAAATATATTGTAACCCGGTACCTGAAATGTGTTCTGACATACACAAGGAAATGCAAACAAACATGGCCAACTGAACAGAGCAACCAATGCACAGATTGAGGCCAATCTGGCTTGAAAATGTTGTCGATTATTATCCTTCAGATCCACTTTCCCGGCTTTGTGTTTCCAGGTGTCCGCTCTGGGTTGTGTCGACCGACCGAGGTGAAGAGATACTGACACTGCGGACTGAAACATGCCGGCTAGAGTCCCAGCTAGGGCGACGTTCAGCCTCGGTTCTAACATCGTGCGTTCGCCATGAGCCGGAACTACCACTCCTTCTCCGGCGTGAGGGAGACCGGGATGACGACCAGTGGAATTTATGCATGGAAACATAACAGATGTCCCTGATTTTGTTGTCCAACTTCTTTAAAGGGCCGGGACTGAAAGACATTTTCCATGCGACCGCCCGAAGCTGCCCCTGGAGGCAGGCAAGGACCACGATGGCTGGTGCGATGGAAGTGACGCCTCCAGATGGCTCTTGGCTCTTCATCGTGTCAGGGAAGAGGTGGTCGAAATCAAAGGGAAACTGAGCTCCATCCCCCACAGGAACGTTGATGGTACCGCCTCCTACGTGAAAGGAAATGCTGGCCTGGGAATCTTCTCCGACTTCAAGAGGCAGTCCGTTCAAATACTGCTCCATGCTTTGCTGGAAGTCCTCATCGCATGCGTACATGGCCCGAATGGATTTCCACATGATACCTCTGCTACCAGCTTTCCTGCTTTCATGCTGAGCGATCGCGCTGAAGGCATCATCAAGTGAGACAATTGCTTGCATGACACGACGGCTCCACTGCACTGCGAGAAGGTCGTCGTGTGACAGTTCTTCTAGACCTGTCTGAATCTTCGTTCTCAGTGCATCTGTTAAGACTTCTTCAGGCAGCTTCTGCCACCAACGTGTAGCGAGATCCAGTAGCGTCGCAACAGTGTTCGTCTTCATCATCCTCCTGACAACGAGGTCCTGTTGTGTATCGAAAAGGAAACCGTAAGGACTTAACTCCTGCTCCAGGTAGCCAAGCACAAAGTAGTAAGCGTCTTTCTTGAGTATCCAGATCTCGAAATCCTCTCTTTGCTTTTGCCAATATCCAAGCCTACAGTATCCATGGCGACGCCAGACGGACGCCGTAAGCTCTCCTGGTTGGGCATCTTTCCTGATATGCTTCGGTACGGGGCCAATTTCGAGGTTGAATTCTCTCTGGGCTTGAGCGTTGATACCGGGTAGAACTCTCAAGAAGTTCTCATGGAGCTCCTTCTGCTTGACCCTGACGATGACTTGCTGGACCTGTCCGGATCTGGATCTTGAAACCCAGGAGGCGATTCGGCCCTTTAAGAGGACCCCTTGGTCTCTGATCACATAACCTCTGAAGAGCAGAGCCAGTGACAGGAACGAAAGACGGTCCCGCATCAAAGCGTCTCGTAAAGTTGGTAAGCGATGCATCTCGAAAGAAATCTCATAATTGCCCTCAAATCGATACACGCTTGATGGAACCTCTCGGTAATCAAGATACCCAGATAGACCCGAGAGCCTTGCTCCCTGTACCAGACCTCCATCCGCAGCAGCGTCCACAGTTGCGCCGAGCGGTAGACCGTGATCTAGCCGTAGAGAATAACGATGGAGGATGCCCAAGGCAATCAGCCACGTCTTGTGGACTGGCAGACGAGCTTCTCCATGCTCAAATGAGAGCAGGCTCTTCCCGCCGAGCTCAAAGCCTGGGAAAACAGTGGTAATAAGCTGTGCAAACTCTATCCAGGCCGTTCCGGACTTCGTGGGGCCTAGGAGTCTCTCGCTGGGTATATTATCAAGGGTTGCAGTCTCCAAAGCCGACAGTGGTGGCGCCCTTCGCAGGTCCGGGATTTTGAACTTTTGTGCCAAGACGACACCAAAGACGTGGATTCCAGAGACGAATGTACGGCGAGGGTCGTCAATGGCGGCAATAGCTGCCGCGTTCTCGGATCGTGACCGCTTGTACAGGAGGTATGCAGGTAAGAGGCCGAGCAGAGCCACTAGGGCGAGGAAGACGGCCACCCAGGTCCCAATTACTCCGGCAAGGTTGACGGGATCCGACATTGTTGACAGTCAGGCCAACTTGGCTCTAGAAGATGCGTTGTAAGCAGTGAAAAGTCTCAAGCCTTGGCCATCAACCATATCGGAGAAATCAGTCCTGCGACTGATCGCACAAGGTGGAGAAGTGCTTATTACTGTATGGCCGGCCATGCGCTTACATGCAGCCCTTATGCAGGCATGATGATGGCTCCAACGCCAGGTTTCATCCACTGCCGCTGATTCGACCTTGGGCTCATCCACTACACTTACGTCCAATTCCTGCCAATTGCTACAACGGAGCTGGAGATGGGGATGAAAAGATATGCCTGAAATATTTGTCTGGTACTTCAATCTTTCCTTCTTTAGTGCTTGGCGGTACCCAGCAACACCGCTCTACATGAATCATCCCAGGGGGGGGGGGATAGGAACTATACTGCCATCAAAACTGGTGCTTTGTTGTTAGTCGGCCAGATGAGCCAACATACAAGCTTATCTAACAGTCTCCTTGTCGAACTGCTTGCAAGTACTTATGGGCGTTGCGGTTGAAACTGATGCCACGGCATCTTGAAAGTAATTAAACTCCTCAATCACGTGTGAGCAGCCAATCACTGGAAAACAAAAGCTGCATGCAATGAGTAGAGGTATTCTGGATTTCGCAATCAGTTTCCAACTGCCCACACGAACGTCGATGTCAGAGATAGAAGGAAGCTTTGCGGGAGGAGCATTCACCGTGGGGAGGCAGAGACAGCTGCACGTGGAGTGTTTGGTCGTGCACACACAGACAGGCCGTGTATTTCTTTTCCTGAGCAGCTCAATATTTGGACCAAGTTGATGCCTCGTCACATGAATCATTGCTAGTGCCTTAGATGTGGAGATTGCTCAGACACAAATCGAAGACCAAGCTAATAATTCATAATTACATCAGGTCGACCACGGATAGAAGTATGACTTCAAGGCACATATGTACCCTCTGCCTTTAGACGTCAGCTGCAATAGGGCTCGACCGCAGACGATAGGAAGAACCCACTCTGACGGGCATGAACTTGACCTGCGATGCAGAATCTACTCCTCTTGCCGTGTTCTTCTCCGCACATTTCCATGTCATGCCGCAGTCCTCGTCAGTCACATGCGCATCAAGTGCTACACAACCTGCTCTGCAATAACAACATCCGCGCTAGCTTCGCAAGAGGCAGGGCACATCGATTCTCTGTACCCATAGCCAGAACTATATCCACGTCAAGAACTCTTCAGCACCACGGGAAGCGCGTCACAGACCACCGCATAGCAAACAAAGCTCACCAAGGTTGGTTCGGCATTGAAAATGATCCAATGGCCACCGATAAAGATAACCATCGAACAGGTCCGGAGGACACTTGAAGATAACGAAGACCAAACAAGCAAAAGATTTTCATTGTTTCCTTTCTACGTCGCATGTGATATTAGGTAGAGAGTGGTGAGCGCGTTTATCGAAAACCAAAGACTGAGACGATTGACGAAACAAGAACCTTCTTTCCTCGACCCCTTCATTACACTCCGGCCCACCCGTCATCAGACAAGAGAAAAAGACTGGTTTGCCCAAACCGGGTATCAACGTATGGAAGTCCATGACCGTCCGGGTATAAGAAAGAAAAGGAAAAACAGTACCAAGCATCGCGCGTCGGATAAAGGTTATTCAACAAAGGAGAACCGTCATTTCTGCTGGGTGCCACGACATGCGCTCTTAGTAACGATGTTCCCTGAACGTATGCCTTCAGCCACGATGGGAATTTCGTCGTCGTCGAACTATGCGCTCGCCAGCTTTAAGAGACAGTTGTTGCCGTGGTAGATGGATTGAACTGATTATGAGTAGCGGCGTTCAAGTCATTCTTGATGTTGCCGCTATCGGCAAGTGTGGTGCTCCCGTTGGTGTTGGGACCGTTGGTGGCAGCACCGGTGGTGTGAGGCTTCCTGGTGACCTTGGGGGCGGCCGGGATATCGGCGCTTGCTGTTTATCTGTCAGTATTTTGCTAGACTTGAGGGATTTGCCCCGTAATTAAAGGTGAACGAGAGACGGAACGTGCGTGGACTTTGAATCAGTGGGTCACTTACTCTTAGCAGATCCGATGGAGAAGACAGGCGACTCCCACTTCTCACCCTTACGGGCAAGCTCCTTGTACTCGGTAGCCTTGGAACTGATACCGCCGGGTAACTTGATGTCCTTGAACATGCTGTCCTCCTGGGTGATGGCATAGTTGACCTTCTTATCGGCCACAGCTTCCACTGCCTTCTTCTTGCCCTGGAGGAGCTGCTTCTGGAAGGCGTCCACGTAGCGCTTGTAGATGTTGGGCGCGTTCTGAGGATCCTCGCGAGCCTCTTCCAAGGCGCGGTCGGCTTCAACCTGGACCTGCTTCAGGAAGGCATCCGCCTGGTTGAAGTTGTCCTTGATGGCCTTTTCAGCAGCCTTCTGGATGGCAGGCCGCATGGCCTTCAGCGCAATCGGCTTGGCAATGGCGAACAGCAGCTTATGCTTGGACTTCTTCACCTTGAGCTTCATGTTGTTGATGTTAACGTCGACCTTGTCGACCTTGAAGAAGTTCTGGGAATCCTTCTTATCCGCCGAAGACATCTTCAGCGTGAAACCAAAGCCGTCGCCGGCCAGGATGATGTCCATTACACCTTGATCCGTGATCGAGGGGAATCCCTGCTTCTTCTTGACGTAGAAGCTAACGTCCCGGAGGTCCATTTGGACGCCCGAGACCTTGATCTCGAATGCGTGCTGGTGCTTGCTGGTGACCTTCTTGCGTCCCCACCGTAGATGGTTCTCGCTGTTGATCTCCAACAGGTTGGGGGTGAAGTTGTCGCTCTCGAGAACGAGATTCTCAATGACAGCGTCGACCTGTGGATCAGAGTACTCGATACGAGGGACGGGTATATACGCCACATTCTCGAAAACAGCGGGAAGGATGACTTCGGTGACATCCTTCACCAGGTGAGGCTTGAAGGTTGCCTTGCCATTCTCGTCGTTGCCCAGATCAGTGAAGAGCTTGTTGACAGTGGCAGCGAATTGCTTATTCTGGACATCCTCATCGAACTGGCCAGCAAGGAATTTGACCTCGTCGATGACGCGATCGGTGTGCGTCTTGTACTTCTGTCGAAGCAAGTAGTCACCATGGTCGTACAACTTGTTCCACTCCTGGGTAGAGGCTTCTTCAAGGATGTAGCCCTGCTCTTGAAGAGATCGGCGAATGTACTTGTCCAAAGACTTGAACCAGTTCTTCAGCTCCGGGTCCTTCTGCGCATCTTCGTAGATCTGGTTCACGGCCGACCACAAGTCATCGCTGGAAGTGCCGTTGGCGAACCTCTCGATCAGGGTCTTGAGATCAGCCTCAGCCTGGGCAAGGGACGAGCGAGCGCCCTTAACGGTGCCGGTACCACCCTGAGCCAAGGTGTTCGCGTGGCCACCGTACTGCTCGGCCAGGTCCAACAGGGTCGTGATGGCCTCCTGGTAGTCGGGATGCTGCTGGCACTCAAGAATCATCTTCTTCAGTCGCCAGATGGTCTGCTCGCGGCGCTCCTGGGGTATCTTCTTCTTGAGGTACTCCAGTGTCTTGGCGCGGTACTCTGCAGCACGCTTGTTGGCGGCCTGTTTCGCCTCAGCTGCTTCTTGGTCGGTCACCCCAGTCTTCTCCTGTGCACTTTGCTTCGCGGCGTCAAGGCCCGCTGCGACGTTGACTCCACTGTCGGTGCTAGGGTCCTGGGCAGCAGTGGCTGCGTTGTGTGCTACCTGCTGAGCGTCCTGCTGGGGGTCGTTACCCTTGTAGTTCTTCTGGAGCTGGCTCTTAATGTTCTGCTTCGAAAAGTCGGGCGCATCATGCCAGGTGTTGTCATCGGCGGGCCGATCAATTTGGGCCAAACGATCCTCGGTTGGCCTGACCTTGCCAGCGGCATTAGTGGCGGCATCACCGGCGATATCGCGCAAAAGGATGCTGGCGTCGTTCACTGTGCACGTGTTAGTGGTAGTCCGTTTACAGAAGTGAGTTGCGACGGGTGAACGTACAAAGTTTCCGGAACTGGCCATTGGTAATGATCAAGGTCCCCAGAGTGCGCAATCCTTGCAGTGCCTTGTCGCCATGCTGCTGGGCGGTCTCCTTGTTCACAGGGGCATTAGGTGTGCCGACAGCCTTGGGGTCGAACTGTGTAGTCTGCCAGATGAAGTCCTGAAGCAGATTGCCCTCGTTCTTGGACAGCAGGAGGTTCTTGGCCTGGGTGACAACTTCGCGGAAATCTTTTACGAGAGCCTTTCCCTCCGGGGAGAGCTTGTCTGCGGGCGAGCTGAGGGCCTTGGAGGCAAGGAAGCTGTTGAGAGCAACATCGATTTGGTCGTTCTGGCGCAAGCAAGGGTCAGAAACAGTCAATTGGCCTTGCGTCACGAGCTGCAACATACCGATGGAACCTTGCCGTTCTGGAATGCGGTTGCGATGCCGTAGATCTGGAGCTTCCTGTTCACGTCGGCCTCCTTGACCTTCACGTCGACGGGTTTGTTGACGTTGGCCATGATTACTTTTGTAGCTGGTGTTGGAATTACTACTGTGATAGTAGGGAGTCGATTATTGGGGAGATGGAGTGCAAATTGAGGAAAAACTGCCTGGGTATCAAAAAGGGGTGTTGGGGTGGGGGTATCACGTCGTTGAGAAAGGGATGAGTTTGTTGATGGACAAGGGTCAACAAGAGATGGCAGAAGGAGGAGAAGAGAATGGCGAAGCAAAGGTGGGCGGATGGTCAAAGTTGGTTTAAGAGAGCTTTGACTCGGCGCCAGTCACCCCAAGATGCAAGCATGGGACAAAGTGGTTGGTCGTCGTGGTAGTCTACCTGCCTGGTAGCAGAGGTACCTCCTGCTGTGGTAGTCCAGACGTACGTGTGTGTGCGCGTGCGTTGCGGGTGAGAGGGTGGTACCTACGTTTGCTGCTGTGGTTGTGACGTGAACCAATACGTCATATGTGTAGCAGCATCGACGTCAAAAAAACTGCGTGTCAAGGGGTAACTTGCTAGGGGAAGGGCGAGATCGGGGTGTGGAAATTGAACAATGCCAATGGACGAGTTGCAGCTCGAACTACCTCCCGTTGCAGCTAGCGGGGTGCCGGGTAACCGACCTGGACGACCAGACAAGCAAGATCTGGCAGAGCAACGTCGCCGTGCTGGCCGTGCCTGGCTGCTTCCAGCCGCCCAAATGCGCTCCAAGAAGAATGAGCAGTCGACATGCGCAATGGTCCGGGCCCAATCGAGAACCATGACGCTCGCTGTGTCTGTCGATCATGCCCGTCTGTGCGGCTCAGCCCCTAGGTACTAAACCGCAGTTGGACGACTAGACGTGTCCCATGTGTTGTTTTGTCTGCCCTCGAATTTCCTTTCTATGTGCATGTGGCTGCATGTTGCGGAGGCCAGACGCGAGTGGCCCGGTATCCATGAGACTGGCGAGAAAGGTCTGGCTCGCTGTCCCACAGTCACAGTCAAAGCTCTGGGGGTAACACAGGAGGTCGTCCCACTCAGCCCATCCAGCCACCGTCTCCCTGTTCTTCGATGTGGGCTGGCTGGCCCACATCGCAGCTGGCACTGCGGCTTGAGGCCTGTGAGCGACGGGGAGACGACGAGATTAACAGACATTGAGAGAGGCCTCATCCAGTTCCGCGCCGCAGAAACAGACGAGTTTGAGATTCATCAGAGGAGGGGAGAAGCAGGGATGGGAAGCCGGGAACAGGGTTACACTCGTGGCTATTCTACTTGTATGGGGTATGGTGTGGTAGCTCTTGTTGCTGGGCGGCCAGGTGGGTCGCGTCGTTCGACAGGAGCTCTTCCCCCGGATGCTCCCTCTTTCGCTAACAGGCTCAGCCATGGCCCATGCCTTGCTTTGCCCTGCCATTGAACCCCCAACTCAAGATGAGACAGCTCGTCTACGCGCGAGAAAGATTCACCAATGCCAGCTGCCACCTTGCGTTGAAAAGGAGGGGCCATTGGGAGGCCTGTACGGCACTGCACATACACTACAGGATGGGGCCTGTGACGGGCGGGCGTTTTTGAGTTGAGCTGAGATGTTGGAACCGGCGTGCCAAGACAATCATATGATCGAGACTGGCAGGCTGTCCAGGCCGGACCTGGATCTGGGCCTTTGGGGGTAGCTGTCGAGGGGGCGTCGATGCATGACGTCAAGCCTGTTTAATGTCAATTGACGGTCCATGTCTCCCGCCCAGCCCGTCCAGACCGTCGTGACGGCTTCAGCGCCAGCCGTTGCCAATGAGCCGGGCCTGATGCTGTAAAAGGCCTGGACGACAGCGTGGCTTGGTCATGACCATTGTATTTCCAGTGGGGCGAGTCTGGTGCATGCTTGTGGTTTTTTTTTCTTCCTTCCCTGTTCGCCTCCTTCTCTTCCTCCCTGCACGCGCACGAAGCTTCCCAGTCCCACCCGTCAACGGCACGCGACCCCCTTTGCAGGTCCCACCACAACGGGAAGCCGCAGATTAGTGTGACAGCCATTACAGGGTAATGATGCAACCAACCACTCCAACTCCCGGCGCTGTGATCGCCGCAGGGGCCGTCTACTCCTGCCTTTCCTGCCTTCCACTTGCCTCCCTACCGTGCAGCCGTGCTTACTGTGGACCTTTTTCTGCCTTGCTAGTCCATGTCCATATTGTTACAGTGCTAGGAGGTTGATATTCACGGGCGAGAGCCATGTTGAATATTTTCCGAGGTGGAGATCATGTTCCGGGCGGCTAATGCGTGTCACTGTGGACAGATGAATATGGCGCTTCTACTGGGGTCGATGCTCCAGACGTGAGTGCCAGGATGCTGAGTTGAGAAGGTTGAACTGATGACAATCTACCGGTGGCCTGGTGCAATTGAGTCTGTGAACTTTTCCAGGTGCGCTGTGTGGTTCATCAACTCGAAGGTGAGATGAGAACGGGAGTAGGGAAACGCCGCCAACCAGCAGGTCGCTACCTTCCAAGTAACGCTGCGTTTGCATCTGTAGGCTGATAATCACACAAGTAGGCCTGCTGGGCCCATTCACTTTGAACCTCATCAATAACTACCTAGGTAACAAACCCCTCCCCATGAGTACACAGCACATTCCCAAGTGTAATGAATGGACTTGTCTGTAAAGTCCGCCTATTTTGAGGTCACTGTTGAAGCTTGGGCTGGGCTGGTCTGCACCCCGCCGAGCTGATGTAAGCTTCACATGATCTGGCGAGGCAGGCGCGACAAACCACCAGGCAGCACTTCACTTCAGGCACACGCCCGTCGCGCCCCGCGTTTGCCAACAACCGTTCTGACCGCTGCTATTTATTTACACCCCACAGAGCTCCAGCATGGTCTGACCTCATCAGCTCATCCGAATCCATCACAACCACATACCGTCCTGGCTGCACAAGAACTTCGCCCCCCATGAGCCAACACAGCGACCAAGACCCCTCGCCCAGCGAAGCTGGCAGGGACGAGGAGGATCCTCTGTCCACTGATGGACCTCAAACCCCCCAACCCCCCGTCAACCATTCTCCCACGCTACTATTTGGGGATCTTGTCAAGCACCTCTTTGAACGATTGAAACAGGGGCCCCCTCCCAGAATAGCCCTCATCCGCAACCCGAAATCGCAGAGAGACCACAGAGATAAGGTCCTTGAGAATTTCTTTTCACTTTGGCGCGAAGAGGTCGGCAACGATGTCTACCCGGTCATGCGCCTCATCTTGCCGCATGTTGACAAGGAGCGCCCCATGTACGGGCTCAAGGAGCAAAACATTGCAAAGATAGTCCCAAAGCTGCTTCGGATTGCGGACGATTCTCCAGACGCCAGAGGCCTTTCGGCCTGGAAGAACCCGGGCAATACCGCTGCGAGCCGAATGGCAGGCGACTTCGCAGGACGCTGCTTCGAGGTCCTCGAAAAGCGGTCGGAATGGAGAGGGTACGGAGACATGCGCATAGCAGAAGTGAATGAGCTTCTTGACAGGCTGGCTGCCGCCAGTGGTCAAGCCCAGCAGATGCCAATCTTCGACGAGTTCTACCAGCGCATGTGCCCTGAGGAGCTTCAGTGGCTGATACGCATCATTCTAAGGCAAATGAGGATTGGCGCCACTGAGAAATCCGTCTTGAAAGCATGGAACCCGGATGCTTTCGAGTTGTTCAACATCCATTCCAGTCTGCGGCACACGTGTTGGCACCTCTGGGATCCGGAAACTCGTCTCGATGAAGACGATCAAAAGCTGCAAATCATGCACAACTTCCTGCCGCAGCTGGCACCGACCGCCAGCAACGCCAACACATGGGACAAGGTCGTTCAGCAACTCGGAATCTCAGAGGAAAAGCCAGAATTCTACATGGAGGAGAAGCTCGACGGCGAGCGTATGCAAATGCATATGCAGGTGAAGAATGGTGGCGGATACGAATTCAAGTTCTGGTCTCGCAAGGGCAAGGACTATACGTATCTATACGGAAGCTCTCTCGATGATAACAACTCCGCACTTACTCGACACCTGGGAGGTGCTTTTGACAATCGGCTAACGAACTGCATCTTGGATGGCGAGATGATCGGATTCGACCCCAAGAAGGGCCAGATGGTGACATTTGGGACTCTGAAGACTGCCGCCATTTACGCCCAAGACAATCCATACGATGACGAAAGCCCGAGACCTCTATTTCGGGTCTTCGATCTCGTGTACTTGAACCACAGAGACTTTAGAAGACAACCACTTTGGAATCGCCGCAGGTCTCTGGAATTGATCATCACAGATGTCCCTGGGAGACTTGAAATCCACCCCTACCAAATTTGCACTTCTCCATCAGAGATCGAACCCTACCTCCGCAAAATCATCCAGGACTCTTCCGAGGGTATTATGCTGAAGAACCCATCGTCGGGATATGTTCTGAACGATCGGCCCTGGGTTTGGATCAAGGTCAAGCCCGACTACATGAAAGAGTTCGGTGAGAGCCTGGATTGTGTTATCATAGGCGGATACTATGGCACAGGAAGACGTGGTGGGACACTGTCGAGTTTCCTTTGCGGGCTAAGGGCAAGCAGGCAAGACATCAAGAACGGAACCGCTCACCCAGAAAAGTTCTTCAGCTTCTTCAAGGTTGGAGGTGGTATCAAACAAGAGGATTATTATGAGATCCAAGGTCTCCTTCCAGAAGAAAAGTGGCACGACTGGAACCCAAAGAGCGCACGACAATTCATTGAGTTGGCTGGTGGAGAGAGATACTTGGAAAGGCCAGATCGGTGGATCCGACCAAGCGAATCCATCGTGATTGAGGTCAAAGCCGCCAGCATCGAGGACTCTACCTCTTTTAGCGCCCGAAAAACACTGCGTTTCCCCCGGTTTCGCAGCATACGTGCTGACAAAAACTGGACTGACGCTCTAGATATTGACGAATGGAACGAACTTCGTTACCAAGTCAAAGAAGAGGAAATCCAAAAACAGATGCAGTTGGAGACTAACAAGAAGAGGGCCGCCAAGAGGCAAAAGCGCGACCTAGCACTTGCCAACAACAACGATGCCATGACGACCGAGAAGTCCAAGCTCTTCGAGGGCAAGTTCTTCTACATACCTACCAGGTCCGAGAGCTGTAATATGGAGGTAGATCAGCTCGAAGTGCTGGTGAGAGAGAACGGTGGCTCCATCGTCCACGATGCAGCCAGGGTGGCCGAGGGCAATGCGATTGCACTTGCAGACAGAGACCCCCGCCTCGTCAGGTCTATGTTGAAGTTGGAAGGGGTAGACTTCGTCATCAGCCCCAAGTGGGTGGTCGACTGCATCAAACAGCAGTGCCTACTCCCCTACGAGGACGAGCACCTGTATCGCGCCCCGGACGACATGCGCGCCCTCGCCGCGGAGAACACGGACCAGTTCGGCGACAGCTACTGCCGGGACCTGGACGCCGACGAGATGGAGAAGCTCTTCGCCCTCATGAGGGAGAACCGCAAGGCAGACGGCATCCCAGACTTCGACAAGAACGCCTTCTACGACCAGCTCGAGGCCCGTGGACACGAGCTGCCACGGTCCAGGGGCTACGTGTTCCGGCGCTGCCGTGTCTACCTCGCGCAGGTGGAGGGCCAGGAGAACCGGCTGACGACGGCTCGCCTCGAGGCCTGGGTCCGTTTCGGGTGTGGCGAGGTTGCGGACGACCTTGATGATGGCATTGTCACGCACGTCGTTGTTGTCAGCCTAGAAGATGAGACGGGCGCGAAGAAGGTTGCTGATGAGATCAGGGCGCGGGTCAGCAAGAGAGAGAGCCTCAAGCGCCCCTATGTGGTGACGGAGAAGTGGATGGAGAAGTGCTGGGAGGAGGAGACACTTGTGGCGGAGGAGCCGTACTTCGTCTGATGAGGTGGAACCCTCGGCGGATTTGAGCCGCTTGTTGACTGGAGGTGAGGTTTCTTGGAGGATTTGACCCGGGGTTGTGGAGGTGCTGCACTTTATATCATTGTGCACGACTGTCTGCGATGTGGATGATTTCGCTGGTTGTGTTTGAGCTGAGATACCACTCGAGTCATTGCTTTTTGCCATAGTGCTGAACAAGACTGTTCACTAACCCCGATGCTCCTCATGCGCATGTGAAATTGATATACGATGCTACAAGTTTTGTGACGGACCTGTGTGTTCTAATTACTAGTCACGGACCCGCAACTACCAAAGCGTATCGCCCCATGGTTTACCACATATTCTTCAAGTCATGCTCCCTTTTGACCTAATGGATTGCGATGCCACGGAATTGAGCGAAGAGGACAAAGAGCGGGTGCAGTCTGAAGGTCTTTTGAAGCTTTGAATCTAATCTCCTGTAGCCATTCTATCCAGAGCATGCCTCGAACATCGTCCTGATGGCAGTCTACTGGGCTGCCTGCCCTGTCTGATCCGTACTGGCCCCTAGCGGCGGCGCTGGCGTCATTATAGTGTCGTTGTCCACGGCAGCGGCAGAGGAGGCTTGAGTAGTTGCTTCTCCAGTCGTGGTCGCCTGTCCAGGCACCAACGGAGCCACGGCTACCGGTTTTGTGCCATCAGGAGGCGCAGGCATGACGGGTGGCATTCCCGCCGGTGGAGGAGGTGGTCCAACCGCGACCCCAGCCGTAGGCGCAGGCGCCGGGATTGGATCCGGCACAGGCACCGCGCCAGAAGCGACAGGCAGGGGCTGCTGCGCATCCGCAATGCCTTGTCCCATGGGGGCTACCGGGGCGGAACTCGCCTCCCCCGTCGTCGACACCGCGCCGGCGGTTCCTGTAGTCGGCGGTCCGGATGCCTCCAGCTTAGCCTTTTCCTCGGCCGCCAGCTTCTCCTCCTGCTCCTTGCGCTCCTCGCCTTCCTTCTTCTCCCTCTCCTTGCGCTCCAGCCTCTCCTTTCTCTCATCTTCGGTCTCGGGGCGGGTGAATCGCGCCGGAACGCCCGCCGCAGCTTCGTCGCCGCGGCCCACCCACGTGCCCGTGAGCTGGCTGAACTTAAAGTCCCCTGCCATGAGCTTCTGGATCTCCTTGAACGCGTAGGTGTTGTAGAAGGGAAGTCCCGTCTTCGGGTCCCTGTAGCGGGCCGGGTGGTTGGTGATGACGCAAAGGGGAGCGTGAGGTGGCTCTGAGAGGTAGTTGGTTAGCAAACACCATTAAGTGAATCGACACACGTCATCATTCTCAACTTACTCGCGAGCTTGGTCATCTTCCAGCCGAACAGGATCTGTGTCTGGACATCGGGCTTCTTGATGGCCTCTTCATCAAAGTCTTGGAGAATGATGCAGCTGCGGGTGACCTTCCCCTCTAGAGGTGGCTCGGGCTCTGGGGGCTCAGGTGGTGGAGGGGGCTTCTTAGGAGCAGCAGACTTGGCAGCAGCCTTTTTCGCGCTGGCCTCTTCCTGCTTCTGCTGCTTCTTTGTCAGCTTGGCAGGAGTCGGGTTGGGAATTGGCGGAATCGGAGCAGGAACCGCGGCGGAGGCCGGAGCCGTGGTAGGCATTATCGGCTGGAAACTGGCGGTCGTATGGATTGGTGATGGCTGCGGTGCCGGAGGTTGCTGGTACGGGCTTGGGAAGGCCGCAAGTGAATTGGGATTTTGATTTGATGATGCGGCTGAGATGGGAGGAGTCGGAGCAGGTGATGACGGGTTCAGGGGCGAAGGTGAGGGAGAAGCATTTGGGGCAGCAAGGCCAGCCGGGCGAGGAGGGTGTTGAGCTGAATAACCCAAAACCGGCATGGGCCCATTGAACATGCTGGGCATGCCGACTGGAGGGGCCAGGACACTTGGCTGAGGCGACTGGGCGAGGTGAGGGTTCGGAGGTGGCATGAAACGCGGACCTATGTCCGGTCTGAGGGCCAAGGGCAGTTGTGAGGTGCTTTGCGGCTCCGTTTTGACGGGGGGTGAAGGCATCGACGGGGCCAAGCTCGTCGATGGAGAAGGTACAGAAAGAGGTGAAGGGCCAGACACCTGGGGGAGGTTGGTCGGACCCGAGGTTGCTGGAGATGCAGACATAGGCCTCGGGGGAGGTGTCCCACGGGCTGCGGCCAAGGGAGCAAACATGCTGGGGCCGGGAATCCCAGGAGACATGGACTCAGGTCTGGGAGCAGACAGTGGGCGTGGTGGGATGGTGACTGGTGCTGTTGGCACTGGCACTGGCGCTGATACTGTAGGAGGCGCAGGCGCAGGAACGGGGGCAGATAAAGGTGCAGTATCTGCTGGCAATGATGGTGACGGCTGCTCAGTGGTTGTCGGCTCAATACTCGGTTGCCCAGTCGTGGGTCTTTCAGTCGCGGGTTCTCCATCAGATTGCCCAATCGTAAGTTGCCCAGCCGTAGGTTGCTCACTTATGGGCTGCCCACTTGGAGGTTGCTCAATAGTAGGTTGCCCAGTTGTAGGATGCCCGGTCGTCGTCTGCTCTGTCGTCGGTTGACCAGCCGTAGGTGGCCCAGATGTAGATTTCTCAGACGTCAGAGGCTCAGTTGTTGCTTGCTCGGTGTTCGTCTGCTCAGTGGTGCGCCCGGATGGCTCAGTCGGCTCTTCCTTTGGACCTGCTGGTCCCCCTGGCGTTCCTGGTATAGATGAGAGGCTTGGAGCTTCCTGGACCGTAGGCGTAGGCAGGGCCGTCTCCGACGCTGCCGTCTCGGTCTTTGGGCTTGCTGTAGCCGCGGGGCCTGCGGTCGAGACGGCCGTGGACGGGCGGTCTGGCTTGGGACTTGGCGCGGCCGTGTTTACAGCAGTAGATGTGGCGGTCGATGGTCTTTTCCGCTTTGGCTTCTCCTCGATGGAGACCAACTTGCCGACGTTCTTCAGCTGGGTCTCGCTGAGGTCGACTATACCACTCCACATCGTGACGACGGGGCCCTCCAGCCTGCGGTTGTTCAGAGCGGCCAGCTTTGCGCGCCGCTCCTCCTCGCGCACCTTCTCGGCCTCCTCCCACCTGTTTAGACTCTTTGCGTTCCTCTTCTCCACGATTGCGGCCTCCGCCAGCCTATCCTCCTGGGTCATGGGCGGCTTCTTCATGGCCTCGAGCTTCTTGGCCTTCTTCTCCATGAGCTCCATCTGCTTCTTCCGCCTCTCCTCGCGCTCGACCATCTGGTTGTGAAGCTGCTCCTTGCTCAGCTTCGTCGTCTTCCGGTCGGACGAGCGCGTGGGCATATCGGCGGCCGAGGGCAGCCAGCTCGCGCGCTCCGACTTCTTCTTAGGCCTCGGCATGGGCGGCTGCGGCGCGGTGGTGCCGGTCGGGGTGGCGGGCTGGCTGATGCGGACCTTCTTCCTGAATTTTGCGGGGATGGCCTCCTGCGCCTTGCGCTTGCGGGCCGCGAGCTTCTTCTCGCGCTCCTTGCGCTGTAGCTCCTTCTCGCCCTCATCCTCCGCCTCGGCCTCATTCTCGTCCTCGTCGTCGGACGAGTCCATCTGCGCGTCAGAGCCGTCATCCTGGCCCTTGTCGCTGAAGCCGGCGTCATCCTCGTCCTCCTGGAACAGCAGCTCGAGGTCCGAGTCCTCGTCGGCGGGCTCCTCGTTCGCGAGCATCGACTTCATGCGGTTGCCGGCGGTCGACCGCTTCGCGCGCGCCGTGGCGAGCCATTCCACCTGGGGCGCGGGCGAGTCGCCCGAGTCGCTGTCGGAGTCGCTGCCGGTGGCATTGCTGTCTGCGTCGGTCAAGGGCTCTGGGACGGGGGAGGGTTGGTCTTCGGCGTCGGTTGCCATCGTGCTCGTCATGTGCCCATCACAGGCCGGTGGGATTCGAACAGTGTATGGGGTATCGGATGTTTGTCTATTGGATCATCGTGCCCACTGCGAGTCACACGTGGTGTTACTTCCAGGTGGCTGTCGTCGAGAATTGCAGCGTGGCGTGGCGCGTCGTCGCGTTCTTTGCGTACGTGGACTTTGGTGTCTGTTTTGGGCTCATTGAATCTGAAAAAGTTGAACAGTCCTAAACGGTAAAATGGGCGCTGAATCATAGCCTTCCAGAGTAACATGGGTTGTGACCATAGGCTGGACTTGGCATGTGACATCACTCCGGCAGGGCGGAAGCCGCAGCGGCTTGACCCCTGTGAGCAAGCCTGGGGCTAGGCAGCGTTGACACCCACGCTGCCGTCTTGTTCTTCCTGCCAATGGCTCTGGAATTTCTATAGTGCTTGAAATATGGGACTTCACCATTTCAGGACTTACCCGACTCTCTCCCAACGGCATTTCTTGAAGCACGCATATAGTATAACCAAAGACGGAGTGCAAAGAAACCAGCTCTAACGAATTCTGTTGATAACGCCTGTGTTTTCTCATGGACATCCCCTGTCGCTTTTCGCACCAGACCATCCGCCTTGAACTCAACCTCGACTCTGTCACTGCAGCCACGACTCCCCAAGCTCCTTCGCCTCACCAGCGACCTCAATCTTCACAGGCTCCGCCGCAAGGACGATACCAATAAGTCGGACCGAATCCTCGCTACGGTTCGCCAGCCTGCCACGACGAAAACAGACCCAGTCAGCAATCCTTTTCACTGTCACGAACGTTCACGACGCGCTCACAGCCCCGGTGCGGGCATGAGGTAAGGCAGGTAAATTAGTACTCACGCGTGCATACACCCCCTCTGGACCACCACGTCGCCAGCCCGTGCAACCGTCTCCTCCAACCTTGGTGTACGAGCCCTTGCCGTCGACGACGTCAAAGGCCACCGGCGGCGTCACGACCGTGAGCTCGCCGCGGAGGACGATCACGTGGTCTGTCGAGGGCGTCCGGTGCTGGAAAGGTGGGCACACCACGCCGCTCAGTCAGCCTGCCGTTTCTCTTCTCATTTCTGTGACGTTGTCGGGGGGGGCGGTGAGGGGTGTGATACGCCGCATGGGGCTGTCAGAGTGCGGCGTGAGGTCGAGGTAATAGATGTTCGCGCCACCCGGCAGGACGATGCCCGAGCCGGGCACCGTGTCTAGGTGAGGCCGGCCGCTGCGATGTGTCAGTGTGATCGTTCTGTACGGCTTCCCTTTGCGCACGGATCCGGGGAGACGTACGCTTCTGCGTTCGAGGTGGGAATGGCAGCGTGAGTCGCGATCGGCGCCCTGTTGAGCTTGGGCATCACGGCCACGGGCTCGAGGGTGTCCACGAGGGCCTCAACCCCGGGCTCTGCCTGGTCTTTTGTGGTGCCATTTGACCGGTTGGAGACCAGGAGCCTTCGGGGATTGGGGAATGAGGATGCCATCTTGCTTCTGGGCGCTGCTGCTTTCTGGCGTCGGGGAATTATCACTTGGGAATGAATCTGGTTGAGGGTACGGGTGAGCCAACTTGTGAACTCTCTTTGAACGTTCTGCTTGATACTTTATATCCTCGACGGTCATACCGTTCGTGACTTGCATAGCTACAGGCTTCAGGCTGAAGCCACTCCTGCGATCCTCCAAGCATGCAAAATGTCAAAGCATCTCCACTGCACTGTCGCGTTCGAGTCTGCAATCCTTCACAATATAGTCCCATTTTCAAATTAGCTGTGGTTTTGGGGCATCTTCGAAGCGGCCTGTGATGACAAAATAAGCAGCTTGGTAAGCCAGCACTAGGTGATCGCCCCTGTTGAGCTGGACGCGAAGGATCGTGAGAGGCTCCAACCGCGACCATGCGCATGCTCTGGGCTGAAGCAAGCATTCAACATTGGAACATTGTCCACCCGTTGGTGGGGAATGGTATCGAGTTGGCTTGAAAGTAGGTCTGGAATGTAGACAATTGATTTATAGAACTGATGTCTCTACACATTCCAACAGGGTACGAGCCCAGATGTACACCTGGAGGTCCTTTTGATCAGCAAAGAGTTTCCCTTGGGCCCTTGTGCTCTGTCACAACAAAAGCCTGCTCCACAGGCAGTGGTACTTTGCTACTCTTTCCTCACTTCCTGCCTTTGTTCTGATGATTCTGAGTCCATATTATCATCCAGCCATAGCTTCCATCCAGGCTGTAAATTGTTGTTTGCATTGACTGCCACTAGGAAATGGTCAGTTGATCACATTTATAAGTTGTGCTACACGAATTTCTGGCACATACGACCATACCCAGCGGAAAATACGGGATCCCGTCCGCTCTCCCATAGTCAAGCCGCTGAGGGCTGGATTAGTAGTTGGGTCGGTGACGACCAGCGAATACCCGGTGTTGTATGTTTTTGTTCTTTTTGTTTTTCTGTTGAAATCGTTGTTTTGCTACGAATAGCCGAAAACACCAGTGTATGGGAACATAGAATCAAGCACGAGCTTTGGAGGCGGGGTCGGTTTTTCGTCTCTGGATGGATTTCGGCGAAGAAGGATATCTGCAGTAGTGACTTCGTTGCAGACGAAATTTGCGTTGACAGACCGGCGATCTACCTCAACCCACTTAGGGTGCTCTCCACATCCCTGAGGCTATCCTCCAGCGCCTCGTCGTGAATCTTGACGATCTTGTCCATGAGCTGCTCCACGATCCCAAGCACAGCACTAATCGAATGGACATATCGCCTCCGCATCCCCGAGTGCGTGTTCTCCATCAACGCCGTGACGAGCTGCAGCACAGCGACCTGGAACTCGTACACAATCGGCGGCTGTTCGGCGTCCGGCACGTCCCACGCCGCAACCGCCGTGACGACTGCCATCCACGCCTCGCGGCTGCCGGGGCTCTCCCTCTCCACCGTAGGAATCAGCACCCGCACGATTTCGATCCCTCTAGCTGCCTCATCTTCGCTGCTTGCAAATGAGGTAGATCGTAGAATAGCGAACAAGTCCTGCGTGAGGACCTCCCAGCCGTTGTGGTCTAGCAGCGAGGCAGCGCCGTCCTCGAGCGCGGTGGTCCCCTCCAGGGCAACAAGCACAGGCCGCCTGAAGTCGAGGCGCGCCCCTTTCTCCGCGCTGGACCTGTAGAGATCTATGAACATGTCGGTGAGCCCGGCCGCCTCCTTCCTCAGCATGTCGTTGTCGTCCTCGCGCAGCCAGATGGCCAGCGCTCTAACGGCAGCGAGGATGAGAGGGTCCTGACTGGCGCGGTCGATCTTTGAGTCCCATGCCAGTGTGAAATGGGAGCCCCGTGATGTGTTGGCCGTGCCTAGCCTTGCGTCTGGGTGCAGGCCCATAGCGCCTGCTTCTGCGGCATCCCACCGGTCGCGGAGGTACTCTATTGCGAGGGACAGGGTTTCTGCGATTGACTGGCGTAATTTGAATAGGAAGTCTGGCGCCATCATGAGCGATGATATGGAGTTGCCGTCACCCTCATCTTCTAAGAAGCGGACGAGGAAGCCAATGAAGGCGGAAACGACGTCAAAGGCCGATGCGATTCGCTTGGATATGCTTTCGTAGTCAGGGCTGTTGAGTTGGGCAAGGAGATTTGGAAAGGATGAGCGGAGGTCGACGAGTATCAAGTTGACCAGGAGGTATGGGAATGGCTTCTCCGACTTTCCCTCATCTGTGAAGAGCAGCCTCGATGCATCAGCGGGATAGATCTGGAGTAACGTGGCGGCGAGGTTTGTGTAAGCTGCACGGCCGGCTGCTGTTGGTTTGCTAGTCACAAGGTTACGGATGAAACCTGTTATGGTCTTCAAACAAGACGGATTTCGAGGCAGGCACTGTAGAAGGTCAGTTGCAAGCACTGGAACGTGACTGCGGCTGAGGGCCACTAACTTGAGGGTCGAGTCTCCGCAGAAGCTCGGCGAGAAAGACCAGCAGCGTGACAGCATCTGTTCCCTTGAAGGAGGCCACCAAGCTTTGGATGATTTGATCAACCTTGGCCTTTAAGGCAGCAGTATCTTCCGTAAACGTAGCAGACTGCGAGTAAGCATACAGGAAGATGTCCAATGCAAGAGGCTGAGAGGGAGCGATCTCGACGAGAGCGCTGGCATCTTCTATAGCCACAAACTCCTTGGCCCCTTCTACGCGGCTAACAAGGGTCAAGAGAGTCTGAAGCACGAGCTGAGTCGTCTCGTCGGAGCTGGGACAATATGTCAGCGAGGGCTAAAAAAAGTCAGGGAGAGAACTACAAACCTGTGCAGTACCACCGACACCAGAGCTGGTATCCGGCCGACGAGACTTGGGTCCTTCTTGGAGTCATCTGGGAGGAGCACCGAGAAGATGTGGACGACAGCAACTGCGATGTCGATCATGTCCCTGGCGTCCTTGGGCGACGAGCCCTGCTTGGCACCGCTCCTCAGGAGGCGGTCCAGGAACTTGGGCGACACGCTGTGCCACAATGTCGTGACTGCTTCCTCATCTTCTCGGAGTTGTGGTGAGTTGTCGAGGACAGACTTTAGAAGTGCGAGGCCGACAAACCTGGAAGTGTCGTTCTTGGTCTTGAGAAGATCCTGGATCCTCTGTATTGTCACAGCTGCCTCCGCGTCGTTGCTGGTGTTGTCGCTGCTGTTCGCGTCTTGCACCTGGCCTGCGTGAGATGAGCCTTCCGTAGCCATGGCGATTGATGAGCTGAAGCCCTATTTACAGCTAGGTACCTTCAGTTGTGAGGCCAGTCCGGGTCAGCTAAGGCAGCCGCGGACCCTGTCGCATGTGAAGGCATCGCTGGATGTTGACAGGGGCCTATGAAAATTTTAGTGACGTCAGGGGACCTTGCTTCAGGGTTCAGGTCCGCTCGGGGACGCGTCCCGCGCCGCCTGGCTGCGCTACAGCTTGGTAAAATTGTATTTTGAACTACAGTACATCTATCTAACGTGGTCCATCAGCAAGCGAGACATATATGGTGTGTTACACTCATATATTCCGGGCCAGCGCGTTGTTTGAAGAAATATTTAAATCTGGCTGCCGAGGGACTCGTCTGCCCAAATTTCCTACCTTCTTCACTTCACTTCTTCTCCGAGCCGCCATGCCACAACAACTCCAGATGCACACTTGTTTATCCTTTGAATTGCGCGACTGCCTCCATGAGATGCTTCGACGACCTCAGCCGAGCACTGTCTTGTACGATCCTTCTGCTTCACCTCCCCATCACCATGACTTCCATCCGGTGTCCCATCACATGCTAGTCACTTGTCAGGCCCTCATTGCCTTCTGGGGAAACATGGTCTCAGCATACTCAGGCCGGTAGCGATGGTCGTACGGCCAACCGCTCCCACCTGGGTGCTCCAAGAGCACGTCATCATTGAGCGCGTTATGCCCCCGGGACATGTATGATTGCTGTGATGAGCCGGCACCCTAGAGGTGCCCCAGCATACCTTGTTAAACACCTAAACGCGTTCAAGTCGTTAAAGTTTTCGTAGAATCTGGGGATCCCCACGGCTTAAATATTTCATGCCCAGGCAGGTTTGGTCTACCCAAGGAGCTAAAACTCCCTACCCTAGGGTAATCATGCTGGCATTCGTTTAGTGCTTCACGTTTAGAGCCTCGAAGAACAGATTGTGGGCCACACTTGCTTGCCTTGCTCAGCTGCGCGCAAAATGCATCAATCTGTCCCAGTGTGCTCTTACATCATGTCTCTTCCAGGTCACCAGTACAGCACTTAGACATGACATATAAGACGGTTTCTACAGTTACACGCTATGGGAGTTGCTCTAGATATTTCTTAACTTTCGTTTAGTGTCGCCTGTAGCAAAAGGTAGAGAGCGCAGCAAGGTTACGCACGCATGCTTTAATGCTATGTAGTCTACTAAGTACTGTTGCTAACTAACCTGGTCGGAATGTATTGGGAGCAAAGTTGAGTAAGACCACCTCAAGACCTCGAATTTACACATTAAAATATATTCGAGATACAGATGCCGGGCGGACTTCAGATGTAACGTTGCCGATTCCTTAAGGCTGTATCTTGCAGCATTTCTCTATCTCGATAAAGAAATATAAAATGGGATGAGTGGACTGCGACAGTACTCTGCCATAAGTAAGCAAAGCAATTGGAGACTTGGAGTAGAAGTATCCAACTGCCGTGGGATGACTCCATTCTGGTATTCATGGGGTTTCCGTTCCCCTCAAACCTACCTCCCCTTCTGCCGGGCAACCCGGCATCGCATACTTGAAAGCAACAACAGAGCGCACGACAACAGGCGACAAAAGATTCAGATTTAGACCTCTTTTACCCATCCGTTTCACACGGTTCCTCCACTTTGCCAACAGTTCACTGCTGGCAAGGGGTCTGTTGACTCACAGTCCCCGGCAATATCAGTCCCAGGGCGGGGTTGTCAGACGGTTCAGGACAACAGTGGTGGGCACATCAGAGAGGTACCCACAGGCTCAGGCTTGGTCGATTCACATGGCTTCAGGCGGTGATGGGACAATGCTGGCAGCGGTCGTGGAACAGTTCGGCCAGCCGTACGCGCTGAAACGTATCCCGCGGCCGGGCGAGCCTCAGGGCCAAGACCTGCTCATCAAGGTGCTGGCAGCGTCGTACTGCCACACGGACGCCGTCTTCGCCGCGGGCGGCATGTTCCAGGAGCTGCCCCGCGTCGGCTGCCACGAGTTCGCGGGTGAGATAGTCGCCGCCGGCCCGGACGTGGCAGCGGGCGACGGGCTTGCGGTGGGCACCCGCGTGGGCGTCCCGGGCCGGGCCTACCACCCTTGCGGCTCCTGCTACGAGTGCACCCACCCCGGACAGGACAGGCCTGGCTACTCGCCGTACTGCCCCAAGGCCCTTAACAACGGCCTCACCCGCGACGGGGGGTTTCAGGAGTACTGTATCGTCGACAGCCGGCAGGTGGCTCCCCTCCCCGACGGCCTGGCTGCCGTCCAGGCCGCGCCTCTGATGTGCGCTGGGGTGACTATATGGTCTGCTCTGCAGCACGAGAAGGTCCGCGGCGCTCGCAAGGTGGCGATCCTGGGCGCGGGCGGGGGTCTCGGCCACCTCGGCGTGCAGTTCGCCGCGCATCTTGGCAAGGAGGTTCTCGCGGTGGACGCCGACGACGCCGCACTCGGACTGCTCGAACGTGTCAAGTTCAGTCTGGGTCCTGCGGGGGCATCTGTCCACATCGTCGACGGGCGCAAGCAATCTGTAAAGGACATGCAGGCGCTGATACAGGGTGAAGTGGCACCCGGGACGCCCGACTCAGAGCTTGGTCTGGATGCGGCGGTCTTGCTGCCCGAGTCGCAGGCGGCTTTTGATCAGGGCATGGCGCTGTTGAGAAACCACGGTGTCATGGTGGTTGTGAGCTTCCCCCAGAAGAAGCTTGAAGTCAGTGCGTCCGACCTTGTCTTCCGCGATATCAGCCTTGTCGGGAGTCTCGTTGGGAGAAATCACCAGATCCGGGAGATGCTGCAATTCGCCCAGAAACATGAGGTGCAAGCGACGGTACAGGCATACAAGTTCGGGGACATAAATCAACTCGTACAGGACTCTCATAAGGGAGGAGCAGGGAAGTTGGTTGTGGACATGACCATGTAGCAACTGGGCAAGCTCAACTGCTTTTCCTGCTACTAATGAGCTTTAACGACATGTTCGTGCTGTCACTTCATCATTATTCGTTGTAACGGATTCGACACTGTCCTGTTTTTATGTACGTGCGGCTTGTTTTTCCTTTTACTCATCTTCAGATTGCTTGGACCTCTTGCATTCGTGCAGACTGATAGTCAAGAGAATAAAATGGTGAGACGACATCCACGTCATTTGTGTCGATGGGATGAGGGTTCCTTGTGCATGCACCCGTGGACTTTCATGGAACCCAAAAATTCGCAGATCTCCCCTACAGCTCACTGTTTTAGCAAAGTATGAATATGCCATGATGCTATTATCTCAGCCCCCCTCCCCGAATCGTACAGTTAAATGGCCTTGCATCCCACTGCGTATTTATTCCATGATGGCTCGTATTGTTAGCTCAGTTCAGTCTTAGTGAGAACCATCCATTCCCTCACGTCATACAAATTTACCCTCATAAGCCGTTGGAGGTACAAGCCACCCACGTCCAGGACTACGGTCGCTGTTGGGCATCTCATTGAGGAATCCCCACCGAACCCTCTGGTCGTATTTTTTGTCCTTCCAATCGTTAATCTTGCAATCTGGATCAGAGTTGTATAATGGGAGCACGTCGAAAAGAGCTCCATCGTGAGCCAAGCAGATGAAGACATTGGGGCTCGCGTCAAATGGCTGCAACAGCTTTACCGTCTTCTGAGCAGCTTCGGCGAACGAGTAAGCGCTACCAGGAGCTGTAGATATCCTGTAGAATGGTTGAATGCGAGTCTCGAGATCGCCTTGGCTGGCGGCGGGGTGGTGTGCCGTGAAGACTGAACAAGGGCATGGCTTGGGATGGTGGGCGTCCAGCTGTTCGGGCGGAATGACTGATGGTAAAGGGTTGTAGCGGGAAGGGCGAATCATTCCTGCATAGTGACAACAATCTGCACCCATGAAAACAAAGGTATCTGGTGTCGTGCGAGCGAAGCCACAAATGTGCCCCACGGCGTGCTGACAACTTGTGAGTGCGTGGGATGGAATACTGGGAAGGATCTACAAACCCCTGGTACATCCAAAAGATAGAATGAGCCGTCACCAAAATAGTCATTTGCTCGGAATCCACCAATTGTTAGAGGAAATTCCGGTTCGTGGATTCTATGTCCTCTTCATTTAGAGGAAGAGGGGTCAGCATGGCATTAAACCCAAGCATTGCATTGACTTGTCTTACTCGAGGTCACTGGCGAGGACAGGGCTGTCGGGTCTGGTGGGCCAACCGGGAACGAAAGTCTCAATGAAACCCGGTCCCACGACGATATCAGTTGAGGCAGGGAATTTTGAGCCATCACCGATGTGGTCCCAATGCCAATGGCTCCAGATGATAGCCTCTGAGCTCAGCGGAGAGTTGTTAGTGCCAAAGTTGACTCGAGTTTACTTGGGGCCCCCGACAGTCTGAGCATACTCAGCTTGGATAACTCAAGGCCAGAGGCCACGAGGATCTCTTCAACGCCATATTCAACCTCCATAGCTGGGGTACAGCCACGAATCATAGTTGTGGTCTTGGGTGAGCCATTCCAGAAGTCCTTGCGTGAGCCGGCGTCGAAAAGCACGCGTTCTGTTCCGGAGGGACCCTCATGCTCAATCAAGAAGCATAGTGTCTTGAAGTTGAGCGTTTCGTGGCCCTCTATAACTGGTTCGACAAAGGCGTCGGCAGAGCATACCATGCGCGTCGTTGTATCGATAGCTCGCACCCGCACTGTCTTGCTGGACAGGGGAATATCGAGGTCCGGTGCCGGTTCCGGAGTAATCGTCACTGCGGACATGTTCACTTTTCACAAGCCAGCTTGGAAAAGTCGCAAAGAATTAGCGTATGAAGATTTATGGTGCAATCTCATGAGGACAAGGGCGCAAGTGTGATGAGAAACGAGAGGGGCGAGGGGTGAGGTACCGAGGCAATCATCAGCTATGAACCTTAATTTATTACCCCAGATCCCCGGCCCCCGCACATACCAATGTCATTGGACCGCTATGATACCAGTGGGCCTACGAATCAAGGTAGCAACGAAAGGGGGATGAAAGCAACTCTGCCAAGGCATTGATCCAGGTATGGAGGTGGTCGCAAGAAATTCATCTCGGGCGCTTCGCCGATTACCACGTCTGAGACGGGTGGAAGTAATAGCGATGTGCGGACAAATTCTATTCAAGTTGTTGAATCCAGGAAGCCACAATATGAGGCCTCCACCACGCTCAGGGGCGTGGGTTTATCCATTTTCCCTGCAGCTTCGCCAGTACCGAGAATGCAGCTTTCTTGAAGCGCAGCCCTTTTCTTTTTCCCCTTGTCTCGTCTCCATCAAAACAGAGACTTTCTCAGCCTACATGTGCCATTTCCTTGTTATGATGAAACCGAAACCAAGGGTGCGCAGCAATTTCTTCCAAACTGGGACGACTGGCTGCATCATACACGAATATGCGAGAGAGCAGATCCAGCAACAGCGAGGCCTCCTCGTCGCGGATCCAAGGAAAGGCGCCTCGAAACGCGTCTTCCATCTCGTCGCTGTAGGAGGTATGATATTCCCCGTCGACGCATACAGCTGTAGGCTTCCATATCATCGATCGGTAGGCCGCGGCGTATGGAACGCGCATGGGCCCTTCATCCAGCATTTGCGGCGGCGCAGGGTCCTCGGTTGGAATCTCTGGTTCACCGTGGCTGTTCATGTATAGTGATGGTGGCTCATCCAACAGGGAAAACATTATTTCTTTCAGGGGTCGTCCCGGGAAACCGTAATAATTCACTCCTGCAGATGGTGAATCTGCCGTTGTTGGCCATCCATCTTCGTCGAAAACCACACTGGTCCAGCCGTCCGGCAAATCACCGATAGCCCTCTCGATCTGCTGGAGCACCTGGGAAGGGCAGCAAGTATCGTAGTCGAGGAAGATGTCGTCGGCAGAGCGCATGCGATATATCACGCAGCCGAGAGCCCAGATGCCAGACGCCTTGCTAGGTGGCTGCCCGATTGCAACCTCAGGCGCCATATAAATGGCAGGTGTGCCTATCCTTACCGGCGGCTGGTCTTTTGGAAAGCACTGGTCAAAGTCAATGGCACACAAGCGGCTGGTCAAGAGGCTTGTGGAAGCGACGCAGGAGTCCAAAGGTTTGACAAGATATGCTGGGGCGCTAGGCCCGGCAGGCTTCCCAGAGCAGGTCTCAATGGGATAGGTCAACGGCCGGCCGAAATCTCGGTGAATTTCCTCTTCCTCGTAGTCTTGAAATCGTTCGGAAAGCTGAAGAGTTAAATTGCCGGCAGTCAGATCTAATGTCTAGGCCAGCCAATATTCTAGGAATGCCGTCCTGGAAGAAGAGACAGACTTACCACCATGACAGAAGCCCTTTGAATGGAGCAAAGCTGTAGCTTTGACGGCCTGTTTACCAATACCGGCCGCTAGAGCCGGCTTCATTGTTGAGTAGATCCCTTTGGACAACGAGGAGCAACTGGGGCCGACGACGGGCATAACGAGACACAGATGACGCCCATTCGGACCGTCAATCCATAACTCTCGTTCAGGTATGCAGAAAAGAGTCGATGATTTAATGTCGTCGTCCTCTAAGACGCTTGGTCGCGCGGTGCTTGTTGTTGAGGTTTTCGGCGGCCAGGATCTTGAGCGCAACCCATTGCATCTCCACGGAGTCGCGTGCGAGCCACACCGTCGAGAAGCCACCGAATCCAAGTTTGTGGACAACCGAGTATCTCCGATCATACACGTCCTGAAGGTGGACCGGGTGGAACCCTCCTGGCTCATACCATTCTAGATCCTCGCTCGGGCCTAGCTGGAACGGGTGGTACTTTTGCCGGGGTTCGGAGCTGGTTTCTGAACCTGTATTCGACATGACTGCTCCACCACGGACGAGATCTAGATGGCTTGATACGAGGACAGAACTGCATTTGCTCCTGGAGAGTCCGTTGGAATGAAGAAAGTGCTCAAGCTGGAACAGGTGTGCTGTTGTCAGCATGAAATAATATTGAGAACCAACTTGGAAAGTCTTTCAACAATCCGGGTACGTAAGATCGCTATGTGGTTGATGATAGAGCTTAAGGACTTTGGTTGATCTTGATAGGAAGTTGCAGGTGATCATTTGAGTGAGGTTGTGTTGGTGATATTTAGAAATTCCCGGATGGCTGACTGCTGCCTCAAGTGCTGCCTGGCCCTACTTATGGTGACGCTACCCCAATCATTTTGTACCGATGCTACACTTGGATTTGCAAGCAGCAGAGTACCTAGATGGCCTACATTGTAGTACTTCAAAAGCACTATTAAGTAAGTAACACATGATGGGAACACAGCTGAATCTCCAAAGAGGGATTTGAAAACTCGGTGCGCCAAGGAGAAAAGCATTTCCCCGCTGAATCCGTTTTCAGAGGGCGAAAGTAGCATTTAGAAGACTCTGTTTAAGCACGACATAACGAACGTGAGTCAATTGAACAGCCAGTAAATCAGAGCCCTGTTGGAGGCACTGAATACATGAAATTCCAATCCAGACAAATCCACCAAGGGATACAAGGCTTTGGTCATCGTGAAATCGTGACCGACATCGAAAAGAGTGAGAGGCCAGTACATGATCGTCCTAACCACGAATCAAGGAAAAGGTGTAGAGGTTCAAATCGGTGTAAGCAATACCATGGAGCCCCTTATGTCTTCCTGCCTCTGTTTATACCACACAATCAAGAAGGGCACCGGTCGCCACAGTCAACAGGGCATAGGATGTCATCGGTGGTGCCAACGGACTTGCAGAATGCACCATCGCCACCGCCCGAGCCGACGCACTTTAGTCAAGCATGTCAGTGCGTGGAAACAGCAACTTCGGGATCTCAAGCAAAGAGTGTAGGATGTGTGGTATCACCGATTTTCAACTCACCTTTCCGATTGTGCACTTATAGTTTGCCGGAATACCTCCGGGGTTGAGGTTGCAAGAAGTTCCGTTGCACTCCTGTTATGTCAATTTTGTTAGTTACTAGCCAGCGTGACGATTGCCCGTCAGGTTTAGTCGACGAACCCCATCGTTGCGCTTAGTGTTCTTATGCTCCGAGGTAGGGCTTGCTACAACGGCAGAAGCGGCCAAAACGGCCAGGGCGAGGGAGTGAAGGTTCAGGAACTGCATGATGATTATGATCTTTTAGCTTTGGAGCTTTGGGGTGTTTGGTCGAGGAATCGCAGAGAGTGAAACTGTGTGAAGCGGTGATGATGGAGCTACTGACGGAAAGTTAACACGGGGAAATTGGCAGCCCTTTTATAGATGGAATTACGAGGCAGTGCCGTATCTGCTTCCAGACACTCATGCCACGTCTTCAATTCCATCTTGAGGACTCGAGGTATTCATGCCGATACCCGGAGTCACAGTCCTGTATCGTGGTGCTGCCTCTCAACAATGAGAAACAATTCCCACACTCAGGATCACTTCCGTGCCGATCTGCGTTCCTCTTTTCCACCTTGCTGCAAATAAGATCCTGTTGAGGCAAAACTGAAGGGCTATCTTCGATCATGTTGACCCACTAGGTCGGCAGTGCATGATGGTCTGTCCTGCTTGAAGCAATTGAGGTTTCGTTCATCTACATTATGCAACGAATCTATACTTTCATCTAGAGCCTCCCTCATATTATCTCACATTTGAGGTCCGAGGAATTGATCAATGCTCTCTGCTGGCTATGTGAACCAACAACTTTTCCAATTAGTAGCATAGACAAACCATCGTTGCAGGGGCCAATTTTGTGACCTCTGCTTGCAAATGGGAAGCAGTCAGTAGCAAAATATAATACTGTATCCTACCCAGCCTCAGCTGGCACGACCTTGTATGGAAATGGACTCGCAGATCAGTCATCCTATCAAGTGTTGGCGCAGTCTGCCAAGATACTTTTTCGAGAACAGCCGAGTAAGTTGAAGGCTGTCCAGCAAAGCATTCTGTGGGCCGTCAGATTTTAGTGCAAACCTTCAACTAACAAATATCGAACAATGACAAATTCTATGGGTCCTCGTTCTGTTTACCACTGGGGAGCATCGGGAACTCGTAGTCCAAGGATCGCAAAGTTCCACCTCAATGCATGCCATTGCTGCCTATCTTACTTGTTTGCCGATCACTGCGAAGGTTCCTCAGATGGCAATGTGCCAGTGGACCAATGACCCGCCTTAAAAGCTCACGATTGTCAGTGGTGACACGAATTCCCATGTCACGGTCGTGCCTGAATGGAGCGGCAGTCGGTCGATGCCCCGAAACATTACGTATGCGAAACTATTCAAGCTGGACATGATTCCCGATACTTTACTCAGCGCTAGTATGGTAGGAACCGAATCCTAGGATTCTCTTCTCACCAAGTAGAATCTCAAATGAGTTTCAGCCGTTGAAGGAAGCATGGCCAAGAGAAGTTGAGGTCATCCACCCGCACACTGACTCGGTAATGCTTTGAACCAGGCGGCCAACTATTGTCGTGAGAATATTCTGGAGATCAATCATAATTGAGACGTACCTGTCAGCAATCAATCCATGTTTGACGAGAGTCGGAGGAGAAAAGGGAACTTCGGAGCAACGCCTGGGAGCACACGGCATCTATCAATTGATTGCCTCGTAAGCCTCGCTAAGCCCCGTTCCAAGCTCCACAGACAATACCTTGTCGTGGCGCATCTAGAGTCCCTGTTCCCAAGATCTTAGGCTCTTCTCACGACAACTTGCCTTGCGTGCATCACTCATGAGGCCGTGACGTCACGCAGAGCAGAGAAGCTATCGAGTTCCTAATTGCATAGCCGTGACGGCACAGCTATATAGGCTACTCGGCTACTCTGTGTTGTCCAGAGCGTCCTAGACAATTTTGACCTTTTGGTTCCTGAAAGAGGTTGCGATACACATTTGACACATGCAGCCTATGGATTCGTATTTCATTCCTTGTGTCACAAATCACTGCATAAAAATGATCACATTTCAGGACAGACCGCTCGCTTTGCAATCAATTCAGTTACTGTATATAGAATCCAGTGCAGATGACTAGGCTGAAAATTTACCTAAGACCAATTTGACGATCAGTCAACCACGGTATCTATCCTTTCGGCCCAATACCCTAGCGAGTTCTCGTCCTCGATTGTCGTTCTCTCACATCCAAAAGCCTTTGTTTCAACCGTCAATTTGACTCCCAGACGCTCCACATTCTCTATCTCTGTTGCAGTTAGGATCTGTTCGTCCATCTCACAAAGGACCTCGTGCATTCTTTTGTTCCAATAAGCTCTGTAAAATTCCGCCAATCCGCAGCCCATCTCTCCTAATTTCGTCTCAAACTCATCCATAAGGATCTCCAGTCTACCAATATCAGCTTGATCCTCTTCCTGTATTTCCCTGATCTCCTCATCGTCACACCTCCTCCGACCTTCGTCACAGCAAGTGTGTCGAAGAGGCAGCATCGCAAATGTGCATGCCCTTAAGCACATGGATTTGACAGGCCGCGGTAGTTCACAAGCTTCTTCTAGCAACAACGTCTGTTCAAGGAGAAAGCTCATCAAGCCCTGGCGATCATCGTGTCTGCTGTCCTTTCGATCGCCAACTGGTTCGGGTTGCTTTGACCATTTGGCTCTGGTACCGCCGTATCCATCTGAGGGCACCTTCCTCCAGCCGGCATGAAACCTTTCTACTAACACCTTCCACATTATGTTATAAGGATTGCAACCGCTGATCGAGCACTTACATCTGCATGTGTCCAAAACTTGTTGCGTGAAGCCGCCTTTGGATTCCCACGTGCTGTGAAAGAGCAGAAAGGGGCTGCTTTCCTTCGTGAAACCGCTCTGAAACCCGACCCATTTGAAGACGTGATGGGCTGTGGTGTACCCAGCCACGCGGTGAGGTATTTGTGTCTCCAAACTGGCGCCGTGGTCTATGAGCCAAGACTCGATAGAAGTGCCCCAGTTCCAATGAATGGAGTCTCGTGGGAAGGATCCTGAATCAAATTTCCCGGCCAGTGGTGTAACTCCAGCGCAGTTAGGAACGTCAATGTCGCTGAAACCCTTGGAATAAAGGGAGCTTGCCAGGGCTCGCACAACATTTCTATCTCCAGTATTGGGTGAAGCACCCAAAAGATGGTAAACAGAAACTGCCTTAGAATCAAGTGGTGCCAAGATCCCAAGATCATCTGTATTATGACCCAGGATCCGAAACCAACATTCTCCATCTCCTATGGCTTCCATTTCGGTCTGCAGACGAGGGGAAACACTTATCCCCACGGTCTTCAATGCCTCTAAGACTTCTCCAGTGAAATAATCGAGAACTTTGGGTTTCTTGAGGTCCATGCAGTCAATTTGCTTGGGACTCAGATGTAGCAGTCCAAGCTCTTTCAATTCCTGCCGACGACGACTGAGCTCGTCAATAACCAGGTCTCTCGCTTTAACAGATGCGGATAGCATCGCCAGTACCCAATGTTCATGTCGTCTGAGTAACCATGGGTAGCTTCTTTCGGCTTCCAGAATTTTCTTGACTGCTTCTGCACAAGTACACTCATGTGGGCAGCACTCCAAATTTGAACTCGTGCAATTTTTCCCACTCCACTTGAGAGCACACTCGAGTAGCCAAACGTGACGTTGGTCGTCAAGCTGAAGAACATAATCACCGCATTGCTCAACCACAATGCGTAAGCCGTCGGACCATCCAAGCAGATAATGGAACATCTTGTAACCGAATGCGTCCATATCCGAGATCTCTGATTTTATCAGATCTTTGTTAATGATATTGAATAACATCATTTTACTCTTTCGGATAATGGCTTGCATGAGATGGTTCTCGTATACTTTGATCAATTAACATCCACCGTAAACAAAATAATACAGAAGTCGGTTGCGAACTTACGCTCTCTCATTTTCGCGGACATTGTAGCAGCTACCATGAGATATTCCATTCTTTCCACGTCGGCATAGTCTTGATAGAAAAACCTCCCATATCGTAATACAGGCATAGTAGCGAGTCCATCGGGCCAAAGCATATCGAAAGCTTCCGCGCGGTCTCGATAGTTTGACGGACCCCCGAGATGTGAATGGAACGGAAAACTGCGATAACACTCAATGAGCTGCAATCTATAACGAGGTTTGGGACTTACGCTCCGAGATTGTTAGGCCGGTCCCGCGGAACCCCCAAACTCAGGAAGAAGGCGAGTATCTTGATCTGGTTCCCTTGCCACGTAGATTTTGATCCACTGGAGGCAGCCTCCAGAAGACTGCGACCATGTCTGTCGATATCAAAAGGCGACCATTTTCTTGCCGTAATAGTAGCCTGCAGAGTCTGAATGCCCCGTCGAAGTAAATGGTCAGCTTCTTCATCGCTCCACGTCCGCTTTTCGAAAGCATCTTGGAGAATGGACAAAACCCGGAGCGCGGGGCTATCCTCACGGATGGGGAAGTAGGTGAAAGATGGTGATAGACCGAAGCCCCCTGCACCGAAAGTGGCGGACATTGAGATGGTTAGAGCAGCATTTAGAATTCCTCTCAGCGCTTTGACTGAGATGCCGAAAGACCATTTGTCGTTTGATGGCGTATTAAAGCGTGCAAATCGACACCAGTGTGAGTGGACCATGTCAGTCACGCGCTCTTGTTCCATAAAGGCCAGACCTATTCGTCGTTTCCTGGTTTTGGACACTCGACGGGGATTGCAGGTACACTGGAATTCAGCATATGCGCGACTCTTCATGGACTGGCTAGTAAGATATCGGGCAGGTAGGTCCGGGGCATCATCCGGGCTGCCAATTTCTGCACAATCGCAGATCTTCCTCAGAGCGTCGGGCTTTGAGACCAACTTTGGCAGAATCGCTCGACCATCAGAAGACATCAGGGCCGCCAACATCATCTTCATCTCGGCCAAATCTTCCCGGAATGAAATTGTTTCTTTCTGATTCATTGCTTGAATGAAAGTAGCCTTGTCGGGGTTTTTCCACATTGACCAAAGCCGATTGCGAAACCGTGGTATCCGAATGCAATTGACGGACGGAGGTTTTCATCCCTAGATGCATGTTTGCGACGCCTTGTGATAATGAATCTAGGCTAGCTTGCAATCCTTGCAAGGCTTGTTCGTGATGAAGGGAAGCCTTTCTGTAAACACAATCAGCGGAAGACTTACAGCGGTTCAGCATAACACGTACAGCTCGGCCAGCTGCAGGGCTGACCCAAGTGCTTGGTTTGCTGTCTCTAGCCGGTCGTTTAGGCGATACAAATGATCCCTTCGAAAAGGATACAGAAACCTCCTCTGCTGATCCTTAATTCTCTCCATGACAGGTCTGGAGGAGCTGCAGGAGTTGCCGGTGCATAATTCCCCGATAAATTTATCTAGAAGGGAAAGCTCGGCCTTCGCCGCGGTCATTGCTTCTTCTATGGTAGCCCTGTCCGAACCCACCGTCGCTGAAATCTGATTCTGAATTGAATCCATCTGCTTCAGCAGAGCTTCCATAGACTTAGAGCATCTTGTCGTATGCTCTAGGTCCTCCTTGCGGCACTGGACACCCTCGAGGTAAGTGTTGATACCCGCGCAGACTTGAAGCCCAAGCGACACTACACCAACAACTGTTCCCACGACATCCGCCATGATTTAGATTTTGCCGGGGGTCTCTTCTCCTGGAAGTATTCCTCTCGTCGTCACATCTGCATAGGTAGGGGTTGGAATCTAGAAGAAGGAAGCCTCTAAGTCAAAGCTCTTGGGAGTGCTTGTATCACCAAGCGGCAAAGGTGAAGGCGAAAGGAGAAGATTTTGGCAGAAAAATAATGGAGGGTAGAATAGCAAGAGTATCAAGTGGTGACTACTCAGCGCGACCTGGTCCGCATATATGCCTGCTGACACTCTGCATGCGGCGCAGCCTGCAGCAGTGGAAGTCTGTGACGTGGCTTCAGACTATGATTTCCCATTCAATCAATCAATCACAAGCTGACATGTCACACATAATTGACTAGATGTGATTCGACATTGAACTTGAGGCTTTGGTGAAGAAGACAGGAGCTGACACGTAACATCGACCCGAGAACAACGATGGTAGCATAGATACATATATCACAGCCTCCTCGTTGTAAAATGTAGTCGTTTCTATGCTAGAATACGGAAGACCAGGCTTCTTACCTATTTATGTGGGAAGTGCATGGGGTCTGGATAAAGATAGTTGATTTCGTGGGTGAAGAATGAGTCACATAGTTTTAGCATAGGAAGGGGCCCGGGCTATCCGCCTGCAGCTGATACTGTACGGGGTAATTGCAGGCACTTTGCCTTAGCAGGTGTGGTACGGGAAGGAGCGTTTCGGGGTTAGAGAGGGGTGTTTTTAAGGAGCTATTTTCTTAGCAACCAGAGTGGGGAGTTTCTCCTCCTTTGCACATCAATACAACCCATTCTTCCTCATGGAGGTTTTGCTGAGACGAACGATATGCCTATTTCAGGTTTTTTTAATCCCGGAGTTAAAGTTTCTTTTCTTTTCTTTTTAATGATGATATCGCTATAAACCAAAACCAAAACCTCCCAACCTTCCAACCAAGTTGCTAAGTTCCCCAGACGAATTCCCCTTTAAAATCCCTTCTCCGTTGCGTATGCGTAGGGCCGGGGTAGCTTGCTAAGATACCTATATAAAATAAAAAGGGTTAAGGAAGTTTAATCTCCTGGATTATATTTTTATGTTTTTCTCTTAGGTTAGGGAAAGCCTATGAGTATTCTAGCGGAAGATTATAAAACCAAGTTGATGAGTTGTTGTTGGTTTATAATGACGGCTTAAAGAGTGTTTATTTAAGACAAAGAGTTGATTTGAAAATGCCCTTGGGGTTATGGGCATAAAGAAAAGGGGGCCTTATGTAGTACGGGAAGGAGCGTTTCAAGGTTAGAAAGGGGTGTTTTTAAGGAGCCATTTTCTTAGCAACCAGAGTGGGGAGTTTCTCCTCCTCTGCACATCAATACAACCCATTCTTCCTCACAGGCCAGCTACAACCAACCCCAGAATGTCACTGCGCATATGAGCACGAATGACTCCATACGCCTACTAAAATCTACCGTGTCTTGACTCCGTTCCGAGGAGGATCTCGGCCACCACAGGGTACGCGAGGCTACAGCGGAGCTCAAAATATGCGCTCAAGCGTGCTGAATGCTTAATCCAGCCCGACAAAACAGTTCGAGATTTAGTTCAAGATGGCCGAAGCAGCGCAGACACCACTTGGGCACGAGATGCTTCAACATTTCCTTTTGGACGAAAATTTCGTAAATCTGAACCATGGTGGGTGAATTGGCGTGGTAGATGAGGCATGACTGTTTTCTCAAAATTCTCCAGGTTCATTCGGCAGCACAGTCAAGCCTGTCCGGGATGCGATGCGCCGGTTCCAGGACGCCTCGGAGGCAGCGCCGGATCGCTACATACGATACGAGTATCCGGATCTCCTCGACAAGTCCCGCGCAGCAGCAGCGACCTATCTCGGCGTCCCGATGGATGAGCTCGTCATTGTTCCCAACGTCTCGACAGCAATAAACGCCATCCTCCGGAATCTGAAATTCGAGGAAGGTGACGTGATCGTCTACCTCGACATTGGATACCGTTCCAACGTGAACACAATCGAATACATCGTCGAAACGACGCCGGCAGATTCGGCCAGGGTCGACTTCACCCTGCCTTGCTCAGACAAGGAAATCCTCGACGCCTTCCGCGACGCCATCCTCGCCCAGCGCGGCCGCGCCAAACTCGTCATATTCGACACCATCGCTAGCCTCCCCAGCGTGCGCCTCCCCTTCGAAGAAATGACATCCATCGCGCGTGAGAACGGCGTCATGACCCTCGTCGACGCGGCCCACGGGATCGGCCACCTGCCCATAGACATCAAGGCCCTGGACCCGGACTTCCTCACCTCCAACTGCCACAAGTGGCTGTACACGCCGCGCGGCAGTGCGTTCCTCTACGTGCCCCTGCGCAACCAGCCGCTGATGCGCTCGTCCCTGCCGACGTCGCAGGCCTTCGAGCCGCTCCCGCGGCCGGGCGTCGTGCGCGCGCCGAACCCGCTGCCACCGTCTGACAAGAGCAATTTCGTGCAGCAGTTCGAGTTCGTGGGCACCGTGGACAACGCGTCTCTCCTGTGTATCCCGGCGGCACTCGAGTTCCGCCGCACGGTCTGCGGTGGTGAGGACGCCACCATGAGCTACTGCTGGGAATTGGCGAGGAGAGGCGGGGTCGCCGCCGCTAAGGTCCTCGGTACCGAGGTTATGGACAATGACGAGGGAACCCTGACGAGGCAGTCTTCTATGGTAATGGTGAGGCTGCCTATTGAGATACGCAATGTTGAGAAGGGGACAGCAGGTGTGCCTATGGAGCAGGCGCCACGGGTTCAGGCTTGGATCTGCGAGACTCTTGTAAAGAAATACAGCACTTTTATAGCCGTTATATGGTATAAAGGACGGTGGTGGGCTAGGTTTTCGGCACAGATATATCTGGAGGAGAGCGATTTTGTCTGGGGAGCGAACGTTCTCAAGGAGGTGTGCGAGACAGTCATGTCCCGAGGCATCGTGGGGACCAGCTAGATAGTCAAGAAGAAATAGATCAAAACATTACGCGGAGAAGTTCCAAGAATCCCTCAAGGGCACAATACTAAAAACGACAACTGTAACCAGGAAAGTTAGAAGGCCATTTACAAAATACAGAGCTGCCATCAGTATGTGCCGATGTTCAAGTACTCAGCTCAAAAACGGTGAGCCCGATTCAAATTCGCGGATGTCCTATATGTCACTCCTATTGCTTGTTATCAACAATTCGTTGGGCTGAAAATTGAGAGAAGAGATCCCTTATCCCGTGTGGTATTGTGTAGGTTGAGCTAATCCTCTTGGTTGTCATAAGCATCCAACATATCGGCCTGGTTTACGGTAATTCCAGTTCTGTTGGTTTGTAGCATCAGAAATCCTCCCGTTAGTTAAGTAGCTCTGCGGAACAGCCTAAATATTTCCACTGACTCACTTGGCTCGGATCTCGTTGCCATTCCAGAAGTAAAGAGGATGTCGGTGGCAAGAAGAGGATGATTTACAGCTCGAAAATTCCTGATAGCTACACGTTGGATGTGGCTTATCATGCCAGACCTGAATGCTTGTCATTGACCTGTAGGCTTCAAATAAGACGACGTTAGAATTCTTTGTAGTAGAAATTGCTAACTCATTCTGGCTTGACAATATTGCTGAGACTGGCAGTCGCCTGCGCGATCGACCACGGCCACATTGGCGATTTGTATACCCTGAGCCCAAAGAAAAACAGCCCGCCCAAGGATCTGGCGACTGATTCATTTTACGGATGAAAGATCTACAAATGAGTGTTGGTGATGGGAATTGGCCCCACGTTGTCATCCCAACACAGTGTAGCAAGTACCACCTTCTGGGTACTTGTTGACACAAATGAAGTGTTGCTTCTAGACGATATTGAAGTGTTTACAGACAGCCGACTACATAACAATGCGGATACTGGTCTATACAATGGCATTGTAGTGAAGTGCTGGATTTTCCTCTCTCATTGTACCGCGCACAAAGGTCGTCATCGGGACGGCTCAGAGAAGAGCAGAAGCCTATTGTCATCCTCTTGAACAAGGCCACAGGGTACAATGCCGAGGACATAAGATACTTATTCAAACAAGAAAGGTGGATCTTCCAGAGGATATTACCCCAAAAGCACAGTTGTGATTCGTGTGTGTTACATAATGCCTTGTACACACTCAGGTTAATCCGTCCAGTCTGGGGTCGTTCCTCATCTGCATCGGACTTGTGACAGCCTGCGCATCCGCACTGGCACAACACCTTAGAGAAAGACAGTAACCTGAGACTCTTGACCGGAGAATCGGCACGTTGATTAGCATTGACAGCCAGGGAATTCAGGGCAAGTCCGAGATGGCAGCGCATATCTCATTTACTGACGAGCAGGAGCAAGCCTTGCGGCAGGTCGCAGCCGAGTCGCTTTTCTTGCATTCTGCGCATTCTGAGGAGACAGCGACGTATCTGCTGGACAGGAACGACTTCTGGGTGGTAGTGATGGGTGGGCGCCCGAATCTGCCCGACCCCCCATCACTGCCAGATTCGAGCCCCAAACGCCAACAAGTCGAGGAGGAAGCTCTAGACGAACATGTTCCGACATTGCCTCGTCGGAACCCGCCACGCACTGCTAAACCTCAGGAGCCGTTACTGACAGAAATGAGCCCCGACAGTCTACAAAGAGTCGAGGACAAAGCTATGGGCGTAAATGTGCTGAAACGGCCTCGTCGGAATCCGCCGCGCGCTGCCAAATCCCAGGAGCAGGAAGCGTGCCCGTCTCTGCCTGACTCCAGGCCTAAGCGACCGGCCGAGGACGAAGCTCCGGACGGAAATAGACCAAAAAGGCCTCGTATATACCGACGCGATCCGGTTGGAGCGTGTCCGTATAGCAGACCCTTGTTGCCGACTAGAGAACTGGTTTTCGAGGCAATGCTGAACGCCCCTGATCAGCAGATGGCCATCCAGGACATCAAACAGTACCTTCAGAGTCATTACCCGTGGTTTACGTGGGGGTCTGCGCGCAGAGATGTGACCACCAGAATTCGACAGGCACTGGGCGAGCGGAGGCAGGCGCTCAAGCGGTTGGAAGAAGTACCAGGGCAGGAAGGGTATTGGCGAGTGAAAGCTGAGTATCTACAGTATCTAAGCCATCTCGGAAGCATTCCTGAGGAGTGATACCAATCTTGTCAGGAGGCACTGTCTTCGATTTCCATTGTTCAGTCTGATTTTACTGCTCGTATTTTTCGTAGATTTAAATATATCTCCGGTTGGAGAACTGTTCTGGTTATTTCATGGAGTTCTGAGAAACAGTGTTTCCATCCGCTTGTTTGACATGTCTGACCGTGCTTAGTAATACAATTTTTACGCAGTCCACTCGATTCGTGGTCTGTCTGGTACCGGCCGATCCAGACGCATGCATGCGGGACCCCTAAATGAACCAGGGTATACAGGGGTCGCATGTGCCAGCCGGCAGCGATTCAGCCGCCTCTCCAACCTCACGCCCGCCCGCCCTATCGCTCGTTGTCCAACCGCTTAACGTGGCCAGTGATCTCGAACAAAGCCAATGCGACTTAGCCCGACGAGTCGCCGCACCGGAAGATGAGTGCATTCCCACCCGCGGCCCATCGCGAAGCAAGCAGACGCCGTCTCCGACCATGAACGACGGCCTCGCCAACGGGGAGGCCTCGTCGTCATCCTCCTCCCAGTCGCCCCAGCACGCGTCACATGCGCTACCGCCCCACCACGAGGACGACGCACAGCGCCCGGGCACGGCAGACAGCGACCTCCTCGGCGAAGACCCCCTGAGCCAGGACCTCGCCGAGCCGATCTCCTTCAAGCGCAAGCAGAAGCGCCCCGGCGTCGGCCTGGGCTTGCTCACGAGCCTGACGGGCTCCCTGCTGGACCAGAGAGGGGGAAACGGGTCACATGCCGATGCGGGCAGGCTACAGGACGAGGAGCCTGACGAGGCCCCATACCCAGAGACCTACCATTCCTCGCCCAGGAGGAGGGGCGGAGGCACCAACAATACAACCACGGGCTCGACTCCCAAGGACGGGGCTCCCCTCGACTGGCACGTCGAGGGCCCAGGCCAGCGCGTAGGCTACGAGAACCTGACGGCCATCGACTGGATCTTCGAATACACAAAGGAGAGGGCCCGGCTCAGGGTGCTGCACTCGAGCGCTGTAGGACTCGTGGGCTACGCCCAGAGGCTGCTCGATTCCAGCCAGGAATGGGTCATCCTCGTCCTGACCGGGCTGCTCGTCGGGGCTCTCGCCGCCGCCATAGACATCGTCTCGGACTGGCTGGGCGACCTGAAGGCCGGGTACTGTTCTACGACAGACGGCGGTGCTTTCTACCTGAACAAGAACTTTTGCTGCCTGGGCTACGACGAAGGGGCGCAGTGCATGGGCTGGCGTCCGTGGGCTACAGCATTGCACATATCATCAGCTGGGGGAAAGTGGATCATAGAATATTTCTTTTTCATCTCCTTGTCGGTATGCTCGATGCCCCCATCCCGCCTGATAATATGACCCTGCTAACAAGTGACAGGTTCTTTTTGCTCTTTGCGCCAGCATTTTGGTAAAGGAGTACTCGGTCTATGCAAGGCACAGTGGTATACCCGAGATCAAGACTGTGTTGGGGGGTTTTGTCATTCGGCGCTTTCTCGGTACATGGACGTTGGTCACGAAATCCCTTGGACTGGTAAGCTGCCTGTTCTCCTTGCGCAACCAGGTCTGCAGCTGACGGCTTCTTAGTGTTTGGCTGTGGCGTCCGGAATGTGGTTGGGAAAGGAGGGCCCCTTAGTCCACGTTGCATGCTGCTGCTCGAATCTTTTCATCAAGCTTTCTCCCGCCATAAATGAGAATGAAGGTATTGTATGCTCCTGCTGCACACGTGTGGGCAAGCCATCTGACGGAGTACAGCTCGAAAGAGAGAGGTGCTCTCTGCCGCAGCGGCATCAGGCATATCTGTGGCCTTTGGTGCGCCTATAGGTGGAGTGCTGTTCAGTCTTGAGGTAGGACCATTTTCACCACTTCCCAGACCAAAGGAGAAGTGACACTGACCTTTGCAGCAAATCTCGTATTACTTCCCCGACAAGACGATGTGGAAAAGCTTCGTCTGCGCCATGACTGCTGCTGTCGTCTTGAAAGCCCTGGACCCTTTCCGTACGGGGGAAACCGCCCTCTATCATGTCAAGTACAGTACCGAATGGCACAACTTTGAAGCAGTTGGCCCTTTTCTTGTCCTCGGCTTCTTAGGAGTGAGTTGACTACGAGTCTTCCTTGGTTTTGACGTCACTAATGGTTGGGATAGGGTATCTATGGGGGTCTTTTCATCAAACTTAACATGAAGGTCGCCTCATGGAAAAAGGCGCGAGTCATCTCGAAGGAATGGCTCCCGGGGCCCATCACACAGGTCGCCATAGTCTCACTGCTCACCGCCCTGATCAACTATCCCAATCTTTACATGCGGGCTCAATCATCAGAGCTCGTAGCGAACCTCTTCTCCGAATGCTCTAAACTGCTGGACGACCAGTTCGGCCTGTGTAAGACAGGAGCAGCCACGGCAGGTACCATCGTCCTGCTCCTGTTCGCCGCTGTCCTCGGCTTCTTCCTCGCAGCCATTACCTTCGGTCTACAAATACCCGCAGGCATCATCCTCCCGTCCATGGCCATCGGCGCGTTGTCGGGCCGCGCGATAGGTATCATCATGGAGATCTGGGTACACAACCACCCGGGCTTCATCGCCTTCCAGCAGTGCGAGCCCGACATCCCCTGCATCAACCCGGGCACCTACGCCATTATCGGCGCTGCGTCAACGCTCGCAGGCGTGACGCGCATGACTGTGTCAATCGTGGTGATCATGTTCGAATTGACAGGCGCCCTGACGTACGTGCTCCCGATCATGATCGCCGTCATGATCTCCAAGTGGGTCGGCGACGCCTTCGGCCGCAGGGGCATCTACGAGTCGTGGATCCACTTCAACGAGTACCCATTCCTGGACAACAGCGACGAGAACGTCGCCTCGATCCCGGACATACCCGCGGGCCAGGTCATGACGCGCATCGAGGACCTGGTCGTCCTGACCGCGACGGGCCACACCATCGCCTCGCTGCGCGCCATCCTCGAGACCCAGCCGTACCGGGGGTTCCCCGTCGTCTCGGACCCGCGCGACGCCGTGCTGCTGGGATACATTTCGCGCGCCGAGCTGCAGTACAACCTGGCGGGGGCGTCGCGCCCGCCCCGCTCGCTTCCCTCCGGGGCAGAGGCCTTCTTCAGCCACCAGCCGCTCGCCGACCCGCGCACGACCCTCGACCTCCGGCCATGGGTCGACCAGACCCCGATCACGCTGCCCTCGCGCGCCAGCCTCCATCTCGCCGTCAGCTACTTCCAGAAGATCGGCCTGCGCTACGTGCTCTTCAGCGACAGGGGCGTCCTGCAGGGCCTGCTGACCAAGAAGGACGTCTGGCAGGTCCTCAACGGCGCCGAGGAGACGCGGCGTACGGGAGGTGCCGCTGGAGGCGGTGGTGGGCTTTCGGGCAACGCCGGGGTCGAGACAGGCATCACGCGAGAGGAGGGCGAGGGCGAGCAGCGGGGCCTCCTGGAGAGGGAGGGTCTCGTCGAAGAGGTGTCTAGCCCCGGGGCCGAGGTCGACTCCATATTGTAGAATTACGGGCACGGGGACAGGCGCACATATGTCTTAGATGGGTCATGTTAGCGATTGTTGATATAGAAAGCTCATCAAATGCAATGAATGTAGACATGCACGCGAACAACATAAAGCGTGGATTACTGATGATATTGTTCTGAAGCGCAGTTCCAACAACAGCTCGTGAGAGGTTTGATGAATATGCTATGGAGTCATGACAAGATATACTCCTTCTCAAAAGAGCTTGCTGGGCTTCTACCGTAGACAGCGAAGCAAAGATTGGCGTACAGCCCTGCAACCACCAACAATTTCAGACAGTTCGTCCGCGGATTCCTCTCGAGCCCTTCATTTGCCCAACCCTAATACTCAAAGTCATCATCCACCGCCGGGCCCTTGCTCTTCGTAACGCTCTCCTGCTTCCGGTACATCTCGGCGACCTGGCGCGACGTGGTGGCCTCGTCGGGCTTCTTGTCGTCGCGGACCTTGATGAAGCGCGGGAAGCGCAGCGAGATGCCCTTCTCTCCCGCCGGGTCGACGCCCTCCCTGACGCCGGCCTTGTACCGCGGGCTGAGCGTCAGGTCGGCGGTGCGCACCTCCCAGACGTGGCGGGGCTCGAACCACACGTCGGGCTGGTGCTGGCCCCCCGAAGAGTGCGCGTAGAAAGGTTTTGGACGGTCGATGACCGTCCCGGAGAGGGACTTGTGCAGCTCCTCGAGCACCGCCTCGCTGAACCCCGTGCCGATGTTGCACACCGTCTCGTACGTGTCCGACGCCGGGCTGTAGCACGCCAGGAGGAAGGCCCCGTACACGGACGTGCGCTTGCCCTTGCCGTAGTAAGCGCCCAGCACGACAAGGTCGAGCGAGTCGCCCACGCCGGAGAGGTAGTCTTTCTTGATCTGAAATGGGATGCAATATCAGCATGTGAGTGGGGCAGTAGGGGAAGCCAGGATTGGGGGTTGGCATGCTTACCTTGAGCCAGTTGCGACTGCGCTTGCTGGGCTCGTATCCGCTCTCCTCACCGTCCAGCATCTTCACCATCAGGCCTTCGCAGGACGCCTTGACACTCTCGTCCAGGAACTGCTGGATCTCGTCGAGCTCCTTGCCGTTCATGTGCACTGCAAACGCGAACTCGCCCTCGACGGGGGCGAACGCCGTGCTCAGCAGCTCTCGACGTTCCCGCAACGACTTCTCAACGATGGCCTCGCCGTTGAGGTACAGCAGGTCGAATGCGAACACGCAGACCTTGACCTTGACGTCCTCGACCTTGACGTCCTTCTTCTTCCGCGTCATCAGCTGCTGGAACGGGAGGACCTTCTTCTCGACGGTATCCCAGGCCACCGTCTCACAGTCGAGCACGAAGCTCTTGGTGTCCTCCTTGACCCATGTGTGCAGCTTGGCGAGAATGTCGGGGTACTTCTTGGACAGGTCCTCCGAATTCCTCGAGAAGATGGACGCCACGCCATCGCCGACTGCTTGGACTGAGCCAGCCGTCGCCTGACTGAGCTCCTGGTTTGCGTCCTTCGCGACATAGTGGATCTGTGCACGCTCGCCATCGTATTTGTACTCGCAGGTGAAATTCTGGCCCTCGAACCGATCCAGAACCTCGGTGATGGCCTTGGTCGGCTTCGCCAACATGGGCTTGAGTGGCACGCCGGGCCGCAGCTTGCAGTTCTCGCGCAGGTTCAGGATGCCGTGCTCCAGCATCGCGGGGATGATGACATCGTAGCTCGGCAGCTCGCTGTAGACAGTCTTGAGCGTGGCCTCCGCCTTCTCCATCTCTGAAGTGCTGGGGACCTTGCCCTTCTGCTCGGCCTCGTGGCAAATCATAGCCTGGGCAAGGGAGACCAGCACGGTCTTCTCGGCGAGACCGAGCCGCAGCTTGCCTTCCAGGAATCGAATGATGTACTTGGCCTCACTTGGGCCGCCCTTATCCTTGCTGATGTCGACCTTGCCCGTGCCTTGAGAATCGGCCGCAGACAGAAGCTTCTTGATTCCATCGACTTTCCTGCCCTGTGCACCATTTCCGGTGACAGTCGCGATGCCCATCAAGCCCTTGTGGACGCCGCGAACCGTCAGAGGCTTGGGCTTGAACATGGTTGGTTGGGTGGATCTCGACTTGACCGCGACTAGTCCCAGATCACCAATTTCCTTCTGGTCGTTCTTGATCACCTGCAGACTGCGCCCCGTGCTCTCTCCAATGGCTTTCATAATCAGAGACTCGCCGATGCCCAGCTCTATGCCTGAATAATCCGGGGCTAGCTTGTTGATCATCAGAAGCACCGTTGGCAACATGTCGTCCGGCGTAAGCCGTAATACTTGACGCAAGAACAATGAGCAGTGAGCCATGATCTCTAACCTCTTGGTGGTAAGCTCGACAAGGGAGAAGGTCTGGCAGAGCGCAGCATATGGCACTGGCTCGCCCGGCTTCCAATCAGGATATGGATCCTCGGTCTTGCTCGTCAATTTGGTTTGCACGGTCTTGCGGGCTTTCTCGACGACCTCGGGCTTCTCGTCCTCTCCGCTTTCTTCAGCTTCGGGCTCTGCTTCTGATGCGGGTTCTGTTGCAGTAGCGGCGCTGTCATCCTCCTCGGCTGGCTCAGGCTTCGGACTTGGCTCTTTCTTCTTTCGAGGGGCCGGAGTCGTTGGCTTGGTCGGCTTTGTATCCTTTTTGGCTTTGGGTTTTGGCGAGGGCGCATCCTCCATGGCCTCGTCCTCATCGTCATCCTGAATCACTTTCCGCCCCTTGCGCGATCGCTTCACAGCAGGAGCATCCTCCTCGAGGTCCTCTGCTTCGTCCTCTTCTTTGATCTTCTCATTGGGCGACTTGGCTGCCGTTTTGGAGGATTTTGATGTTCGACTGCGCTTTTTCGAATCTATGCGCAAACTGTCAGCTGACATTCCGTGGTTGTTGCCTTTATCACTAACCTTGTACGGGCTCTGCATTCTCTTTTGCACTGTTGCTGCTAGGGCTGCTCTGGCTCGCCACCTTTGCCTTGTTTCCCGTAACCTCCTCCTCGGAACTGTCATCCTCTCGCTTGGCGACAGTTTCTTTCTTTGGTTTTTCTGCCGTCTTCGTTGCGAATGATAACTTGGTCTGTTGTGTCGGAGCCGGCTTGGAGCCGTCGGGCTTGCCGAAGAACTTGCTACAGTGACGCAGATGTACAGTCAGCCATTGGAACCACAGGACTACCCTAAGTGATGTATAATGAATCGCATCGCAACCTAGAGGCTATGGTGCACACACCCCAAGGTTGACTGCGACGGCTTGACATACCCCAGGGTCGCTTGCTTGGGCGCCATTGTGAGGAGCGGCCGGAGCGTCGGTCGCGTTGGGAGGCGGAAGAAGAGTTGCTTGGGAGGCAGACAAGACAAGTTTCGAGTCTGTGAGAAATTGATCAAGTATCTCAGTTTTCCAGCTGGAGAAAGTGGCCGAGGGTCGCGAAGGCAGTGCATCTGCGGAAGGAAGGGGTTTCTAGGCAGAAGGGGGAGGGGCCATAGACAGGCGGCAGCTCTGGGTGTTAGTGAGGGTGACGCGCCTTTTTGGCTCGAGTACGCGCCGAGATCTAAATTGAACGCGATCCTCACGTGCCGACCCGTCCGTTTCTCTTTTGTCTCCTACTCATCATCGTATATCCCCTTTACATTACCACCTCGATATTCTTCGCCACATTGCCATGTGTATCACATTCCGAACTTTCTCACCCACATCCGTCTGAGTTCAAAATGACAAAGCGCAGGTCGCATATCCCAATGCCGCATATTTCATCACTCAGGTCATTTGTAGCGGTCACCATTAGGAAGCAAGGCAAATGAATTTACCTCGAGGCCAGTCACTTTTCTGGAAAATCTCAACCAAAGTCATCAATAACGCAAGCTTTCCTATCAAAGGCCACGCCATGCTCTAAGTTGTTGTTTTGGATATTGTACATTGCGCGACGACCACGTAGGCTGGCTCACTTCCTCCAGTACCCATAATACTCCCAGAACCAACTTCCCTGACTCTCATGCATCCTTCTTCTAGGTTTAGGCGAAGTAGTAGTTCTCCTCCGGAACCCGGCCCCTGATGAATGGAGGCTCGGATCCCCTGACGTAGATGTCCTCGTACAGGATCTGGGGCGTAGCCTCTGGCACGGGCATCGCCTCAGCGATAGCGACCTCCTCGTTGACGTGGTTACGGGCATCCTTGTCGATGGTCTTCAGCTCGTCCTCGGACGCGACGTTCCACTCGAGAATGTGTTTCTTAAGGCCGGAGATGGGGTCGTTGGTGCTGCGCATGCGCTGGATCTCCTCACGGGTTCGGTACGTGGTGCCAGGGTCGGACATGGAGTGACCTCCGTATCGGTAGGTGACGTACTCCAGGACGAGAGGGCCGTTGTCAGCATCGGTCCATTGCTTGCCGTACTTGACGGCAGCCTTGACGGCAAGGACGTCCATGCCGTTAACCTTCAGACCAGGGATGTACTGTCCACGCTTGTAGTAGTCCGTCAGGGCGGAGGAACGAGCTGCTGCCGTGCCCATACCGTACTTGTTGTCTGTTGCACCCGAATTAGCGATTGTCTAGGCACATTCACTCCGAGGCAGGCTTACTCTCGCAGCCGAACAGCGCGGGGAGGTTCCACAGCTTGGCCATGTTGAAAGCCTCAAAGACCTGACCCTGGTTGCTGGCACCATCACCGTACAGGATGATGGAGGACTTCTTGCGGCCAGTGTACTTGTGGGCGAAAGCCAGACCGGCACCAACAGGAACCTGGGCTCCGACAATGCCGTTTCCACCGTAGAAGTTCTTTGCGAACATGTGCATGGAACCGCCCTTTCCGTAAGCAATACCCTGGCGTCTGCCCAACAGCTCACCGATGATGGATCGCACGGTGGCGCCCCGCATCAGGGCATAGCCGTGGCAACGGTAGGCGGTGATGACGTCGTCCTCCTTGGTGATAGCGTGCTCGATACCGGTGGCAACGGCCTCTTGACCTGTCGACAAGTGACAGAAACCGCGGATCTTCTTCTCCTTGTACAATCGGTCGGCGGCCATCTCCATCTGTCTGTGGGGTCAAGTCCGTTAACACCTGCTACACAACTCTTCCTTGTCCGGGGGGTTGTATCAACAGCTTGCTCGAGTCGTGGCATACCGGGTGACAACCATGTCGTAGTACATCTGCTTGAGCTCCTTCTTCGTCACCTCGATGGTGTATGGAGGTGGGTCCAGCTCGTATGTCTCGAAGCTCTCATCGCTGAGGCTTACTGAGAAGGGCTCCTCGTCCGACTGATAAGGGAACTCAGTTAGCTTCAGTCATCCGGGAGTTGGTGCAACAAATTCCCTCGAATCCGTCGAGACTCGTGGAGGTGTGGCGGGCGGGGCTGGGTTTGCGAATTGACTTGCCTTCGGGACTGTGCTCTTGTCAACGCTGGCGGATGCAGCATTGGTGGTGACGGACCGGCGAGCCGCGACGATGGGCATCGAAGGGCGGGCGGTGCGCAGAGGCACCGCACGTGGTATCCTGGCGGCTCTGGAGAACATCTTGTCGACGACGATGGGAAGTCGGGACAGGTTTGGGGGGAGGAAGGGAGCGGGTGTGGTCGCGGGATAAGCTGTCGCGAGATGGGCCAAGTCCGAGAATTATTCTCTCTCAACATTGTCGGGAAACAGCTCATTCCTTTTGGGTTTAGCGCCGTCTGCGGGCGCCGAAGATTGGGCCGTTCGTTGGTCAGAGCTCCTGAGCCGGACCTCCAGACCTGCAAGCTTGGCGCTCAACGTTGAGGAGCTGAAGCCGGGAGCACCGCGACCTTGATCGACCGACCCCTCAGCCCATTCATTCCTTCTGGGTGATGCATCTTCAAATCCGCTGCGGACTTCCACAATTATCAAGGCCAATCTGAGCTAAGGCTTATTTCTGTCTCATTCAAAAGCTACTGCTGATGAGCTCGTCTATCCTCCATTGACTCCATGACAAAATACAAACAATACCTCGCGTCTCTCCTCGTCCGCCATTCCCAAGTTTCCCATTATGCTGGAACCAACCAAGGCAACGCCCAGCCAGCCTCAGTGTCAACGCCCCAGCCATGCGAAAAATAAATAGACTATGAAAACCTGGCATCTGTGCCAGGAGCTAATAGCGACAATAATTTTGTAGCCAGAAAATGCTAGGTCTACCCCATATGCAAACAATGGTGTCAGCGAGTAAGGTTCAGGCCAACCGGCTCATGCGATGTATGCCGTAGTAAATGAAGTTTCTAACGGTCTCTGCTCGGCTACCAATAGGCATCATGATGCGTACCACCGGACAAGAGTAAGAGAAATGCTTTCGAACAGCTGATGCTAACACGAACGGTGCCAGCGTTGTTGAAGAGTGATTATCTCCAGGTTCAATCGTGGAAAAACGTGGTGCCTTGCCGGAGGGGTGCTGTTGAGGGGCCGGCGTCTCTCATGTCAACGTCTTCGATTCCGCCTTCCCGGGGCCCCAAGCTGTGAAGCAATGCTGGCTGTGGCGGTCGGTAGTCCAAAGGTAGGGCGCTCTTTGGCCGGTCTGGTTCCTCGAGCGACCTCAATGCGAACGGCCTGTCATCTTCTGGCGGGGGAGAGAAGGACCAGACCTAGTCGATTCACGTCAGTGGGTATGCATACGAGGGGGATTATGGATCGTTACTAACCTCCATGATGGTTCGATTGTTTCGGAGAGCCATGGCTACGCATTTTTCATCCTCGAAAGCAACGCGCCAGACTGCCTCGCCTTGAGCAATCAGCTCGCGAACCAGGTGGCCCGTCTTCAGGTCCCAGACCTTGACACGGCCGTCGCTGCCACCACTAACAACCCGAGTATCATCGAATTGCAAGCTTGTTACGCTGTTATCGTGGGCAGCCAGCCTGTGAATGGGGACGAATTTCGAAAGAGACCAGACTCTGACCGAGCCGTCAGAGCCACCTGTGACAAGAGTGTCTCCGCGCATCTGGAGCTGGCCCACAAGTGACGTGTGCCCTTGCAGGACTGCCTGGCATTCCCTATACCTTATGTCAGTAAACATACGCCGAAGCCAGCACATGCGCACCTCAACTCACCCTGTGTTTGCGTTCCAAATCCGCACGCTTGTGTCCAGGCTGCCCGTTGCCACTCTTGCGCCGTCAAAGGCAATAGCATAAATCTGGCTGTAGTGGCCTTGAAGCGTGTGTAGACATCTGCCTTCTGATATGCTCCAGACCTTCGCGGTAGTATCGTAACTGCCTGAAACCACTATATCTCCCTTGATCTCCAAGCATCGAACACTAGCTTGATGACCTACAAGGACGTTGCGGCAGACACCAGTCTCGATATTCCAGACACGAAGGGTGGTATCTCTCGAGCCGGAGATCGCGGTCTTGGCGTCAGACATCTTAAGACAACGCACAGTGGACGTGTGACCTCTCAGGGTGTGAACGCAGTTTCTGAGAAAGTCAGTAGCTGCATCATCAAATCTTCTCGGAGTCATGATATCCTTACCCAGTGCTCAAGTCCCAGACCCGCACGTCTCGATCGCAGCCGCCACTGACCAGAATGTCTTCCCATGGGACCATAGCCCATACGCCCATGACATGGCCCTGCAGCACTCGCAACGCGTTGCCTTCGGTATCGAAGACGTGGATCTTGGCATTATCCAGAGCGACGATGATGTATCGGGGTGTCAGATGCAGACTGGTCACGACACCACCATCCTGGGTGATGGCTCGCGTGGTGGCCTTACCACCAGTCCGCCATGCAGCGTCCACCAGGTACCTCTGCTTGAAATGCGATTTGTATGTCCTCAGCTTGGGACGCGGGCTCGCCTCCGAGCCGTCCAGGCTCCTGGAAGCCGACATACCAGTCGCAGTTGGTAAGGCCCCTGGAAAACTGTGCATGTGATTCGAGAATGGGGTGTCCAGCGTAACAAGAGGCTGTGCTCCAGGCCGAGATGCGTAGAGTGGTACCGTAGTGCCCACCTCTGACAGACGACGGCCGTAATCGTGTTTGACGCAAAGATTTTTCCAGGTCATGTCATCGCTGAGGAGGTCTCGCCATCTTCGTGACACTTGGGATGCTCTCGCTAGGACTTTGGGGTCGTCGATGAATGACAGAATCTGGATTGGTCAGCATCAGAGGTGGGGAGTCTGGGGCGAAACATGCGATCGGTACTCACCCTAAGACATAACTCATCAGGAAGACTGGTAAAAGGATCCTTCTTGAGCAAGGGGCTGACGAATTGATGGACGAATGACAGCTGCTGGCTTGTGCACAGGTTCAACAAGTCCGCCAGGATGCGTGTTCGCTGAGGGCCGTTGCAGGTCTGAAAATGTTGGCGACACTGAGCCAGGAAGATATCTTCGTCGTCCGCGGCGTCGCTCCAGTCAGGCTGTGCGTGAGTTGGGCCAGGCGATGCCGCGGGTGTCGGAGGCGGCGGCGGCGATCCAGTCAGTGTCTGGTCGAAGTCGGCAGCAGGTGTGCTCATGCTGGGAGTCGGCGGTCCCCTGGGCGGTCTAGGCTGGGGGATCTTGATCGTGTGGTTTCCGTTACCCATGACGACATCCTCACTCGAGTACAGGCTCGCTCTCCTGTCCGAAAAGCTGAGCGGTCGGTGGCCATAGCCATCCATTGTGACGAGAGTCCCTGAACGCAATAATATTGTATGGACCCTATCTCTAGGACTCGGCGGCCGAGGAGAAATCAAGGAAAGGTGTGACAAGGAGTCGCCTCGTCGTTGTCAGCTGAAGACCGCGGTCTCGGACTCGAGGTTCGAGCAGGCGGGACGATGTCGAAGTTGACTCGGGTCTCAATCGGAATGGCGGGTCCTTGGAGGCGGTTGGAACGTTTGGAAGAGGAACGGGGACTTGGGAGGCCAGGACGCTTTAATGATGTGGAACAAGGGGAATGGCGGCAGCGCTAACCGGGATGGTGCGCAGTGGTTCCTCCGTCTAGTGGAACCAGCGACTACAGGCCTGGCGTCTGTGGTCGAAGGGGAGCCCCAAATATGACGGTAGAAATGGGTCTGAGTCCGTAGAGATACGTTGACACGGAAGCCGAAAGCAACGCGGGAGGCTGGAGGAGGAGAGCCAGATGGTGCTGGCGCTTTGAAGCCGGGGAACGGAGTGGGAGACTCAAGTCAAGGTGGGTGGAGTGGGAAAGTCGGGCGGCTGTTGGTGCGGAGGAGAGGTGAGGAGGCGCGAGGCTTAAAGCGTGAGGGCCAGGCCGGCGGCGAGGCAGAGTCGGAAGCGCTGCGGAGTAACAAGTAATGTGTCGGGGGGAACGAGTCGTACGCAGTACATCAGACGTGCAGATTCAAACCAAGAGGCGAGGAGTCTGCAGGAGAGGAAAGACTGGATGACCGCAGTGGCGATGTGTGGATGGGAGAGATCGAGTCAATACCGGGATGTTGGTGGTATGTGATGGTCAGTAGTGAGGGTGAGACGGAAGAGTTTTGGGGTGGTGATGTGACCCGGAGTCGCCTTGCCCAAATGTTGTTGTCATGAGGTTCCGCAGATTGAAGGGGACGATGGGATGTCAAGGCGATGGACCTGGACCTGGACGCTGGACCTGGACTTGGACTTGCAGGAACAGAGAAAGATGCGGTGGGTCTTTCTGGCGACTGCTCGTTTCCTGTTTCCAAGGTTGGCCGGGCTGTAGGGGGTACCTGGGATATGTACCCTACACGGACGCAATGTGCTGCTGGGTGCAGTCTGAGGAGAGGGAAGGAACCAGCGGCCAGGGCCAAGACCTCCTTCCTCCAGGACTCGGCAACAGGAGCGCGGCGCAAGACTGATCAGCACCGTGGGCGCGTTCCCAAATACATGGGTACCTGTCGAATAATACGGTGTTGGTATTGCTGGCTGAACTCGGCACCACCCGAGCACAACGTCAGGCTTTTTTGGGGACTGCAGGGCGAGGCGAAACGTGGGCAAGATTCAAACGGACAGAACCTCAGATGGCGTGGGACGTGAGTTGACTACTGGGCCGAAAGGGACGGGAAACAAATGAGGTGACGAGGTTGACTGGCAGCCGCCGTTCTACCTACAAGGTATCTAGTAGTTCGCTACTGCTGGTCCATCGCCAGTCGATCCAGTCAGTGTCCACCCTGCCACAATGACGCTGCCCCATCCCCAGCTGCCCAGCCAATGCAACCTTCCAAGGTTTGCCCGTCTCCTGGTTTCCAGACTCTACACAGTAGGGTTCTGTCAGCAGGGCTGGCAGTGTAGCCAGGGACGGGCAGGACCTGCGTTGCGTGCTGGGTGAGGGAGAGCAAGAGCGAGGGCATCGGTGCTTGGGCACTTTACTAATTAGTCTACCACTCCAGCGAAATGCCGTGGACTAATCGAGGGAAGAGGATCGGAATGGAGTGCAGCACCACCTGGCCAAGCTGGGCAGGCTGGGGCGGGTCCCCGTTCTCGATCCTACCCCCCTCGAAAGCACCCGGGCACCACATCAACACACCAACAGCACCCGCATCTGTTTCCGCTGGTGATCTGCGCCGCGCAGGGAGCAAAATGTGAATGCACGCGGTTGTCATCAGTCCACGGACCCTCCTCAGCACGCCCGGGCGGTCAGGGGCAACCTCAAACGGACCCTGCCCGTCAGTTCTGCAAGCCGGTGCACTTTTCAGATTTGCGAGAGCGATGGCCGCCCCCCCCCCCAGCCTTCCAAGGATTTCCTTTCTTTCCAGTGATCGTCATTTGCGGATCCTCTGCACCTCTGCGCCGGGCATCGTCCATGCACGCGCATGCACGCAGCGGCGGCGGCAGCGGCAGCAGCAGCAGTAGAGATGGCGCCCATCTCTCATCTCAGCTTCTCAGCTGCTCATCTGGTCAGCCGCATTTTGCTGTTCACTGGTGCCACGGCTGCCGGTCCACCCACTCGGGCCAACAGCAGCTCTTGTCAAGTCTGACATGACATGAACGGTTGGCCTAGGCCACACACACACACACACACACACACAGACGCTCACACACTCGCAGCACAGCACAACACAGCACACACAGGCGGTCACCAATACGCTTGTCACCCTGGCTGCGAATCGAGGCCACATCACTATACATCTAACGTTCCGATCTTCGCGTCCGATGTTTCCTCGAGAAACCCCGCAGGCTTATGACATATGCTGCGGCTGGGCGGCACCATTATAATTTTCAGACGTCGGATGAAATAGCAAGCCCCCCCTTTTGCCTCTTTGCTCCCGCCTCGACCAAGTCCCTCCGAGGAGTCGCTGTTCGGAATAGCATGGACGAAGCGGACGCACCCGGGGCACGCATTTTTGCTTCTATCTTTGTCCGTGGACGTAGAAGTAGAAGTGCCGGACCCGTCTGGGGTCTCGTCTCACTAATTACATGCATGCAGTCAGCACCGGCCGGATGTGGTCAGGAGCCTACCCAACTGGACAAAGTACCTGGATACAGTAGTAGTACTCAGTCTACGCCCGTGTCACAGTATACGTCTTCCTGAGGCAACCAAATCTGCGGTCAATCGATCACAGTCAATGCTTCCAACGCTCCAGACGAGGCAAAAGCTTATTCAATCGCCTGAAAAGTTAGGCCAGGCCGAGAACACCTGGACGCTATGCATGAAATTCCATCGCATCTAGTCATTTTGAAATGATCGCCCTTGTCAGACGAGACGCTGCCAATGCCCCCTTTTATTAGCAGCGGGAAGGAATGGGCGCAGGGATGGGCAGGAAGCGACGCAGGCAGGCAGGCTGCGGCATGAAAAAAGTTCAGCCTCATTCAACGCAACACACCTTGTGAATCCTCACGTCTTTTTGCTGTGCAGCGGGCAGCTTATTGCATCAACCTGCCGCAGCCGGCCAACCACCGCACAGGTAAAAGACCGAACTCGTCCCACCGTAAGCAGCACGGGCCAGGACAATGAGCCCGACATCTTCGCATAGGAGCACAAATGAGGGGAAATGGCAGAGCAAAAGAAAAGAGGAAAGGAGAGTGACGAGAGCCATGCTACCCAAGGAAAACAGCCAAGACTTGAGAGCCCACCAACACCAAACACTTGCAAACCGTGGGGTCTCGACAGGACCGACCCGAAACGAGAGTAAGGCCATGGCCTTGCCCGTCAGCACCTAGACACAACACCGACCGCATCCAATAACCAAGTCTCTGGCCAGAATGGGCACGTAGGGTAACCACGAGCAGCTAGTCTGCTCTGCGAACCCCAGAGAACCCGGGGGGGGGGGGCAGGCCGCAAACTGACCGCCTCGGTCCGCGCACCGACGTTGCGTTGCCTCGTTGTGGCGTTGGCGATCCCTCGCCCTTTCTAGCTGAAACGGGAAAAGAAGACAATGGCACAACTGTTTTCTTCTCTCCTTCTCTCCACGGAGAATCCCCCCACACCACCCCCTCCTTCCCCCGAGGGAAAAACTCCCCAAGTCGCACGACTGCGGGATCGAAACATTGGACGCCCCCGTGGAATTGACCGAGATCTGGACGGTGTTGGCCAGCACCGAAACGTGGGTGCGCGTCCCATGCGTTACGCCGCATGTCTGCCCACACGCCTCATCTGTCGATGCATTGTACTTGTGGTGCTGAGTTGCTGCGGTGCCACTGAGGGGACTCAAGCTGGCCTCTCCCTTCCCTTGTCCCGCCGTCGCCATACTCGCATATCACGGTCTTGCTGAAGCAGTCACTATACTGGATAGGTGCAGGGAATTGTGTGTTGGACTCCTGATGCTATGCCATGCCCCGTTCCGATCCCATCACATTTTCTAGAACTCGAAGAATCAATACGCCAGCCACGTAGTACATTGCAAATACAGTTTTGACCCCTCCTTCAATGGTGGTGCCCGAACTGGGTCAATAGAGGCAGTAGCATGCCGCCGACTGTCGCCAGTGTGTCCCGCATCTGCGGCCGGCTTGGTTTCCTCTGCGTGCTACTGTCCGTATAGCCATTCATTGTTGAGTGATGGTCGTGGCCTTGGGCCGAGGGGTCCTCTTGCATCGCGTGCATAGCAACATACCTGTCAAGGGCTCGTTAGTCTCGTGGAGAGCGACAAATTTCCATACGATGCAACCTACAAGAAAGTGCCGGCGGAGAAGAGTAGCAGCATGCCAGTCCACCACTGTCCTGCCGGGCCCTCCATGTCACCGCCGCCGAGCAGCGAGACGAGGATGTACGTGCCCAAGGCCCCCACAGGAGCTGCCAGGCTGAAGGCGACGAGGTGGCCCCTGGCCGCGCGCTTCGACAGCCCCTGCTTGAGCAGTATGGACGTCAGGCCGAACGCCGCGGGGGCCTTGTGGATCATGATGGCGATGAAGATTATGAGGCCCAGCTTCATGTCGCTCGTCGTCGCGGACGCCCCCATCGCGATCCCGTCCGCCGCGGCGTGGATCACCAGGCCCGTGGTGGTGGCCAGGCTCTTGGACTGCCTCGGCGTCGGCGCGAAGGAGCCTAGGAACCCCTCGGTCTCGTCCTCGGCGTCGCCGTTGACACTCGCCGAGCCCAGGTTGTCCAGGCTGATGTGTCTCGTCGCTGGGGCGGAGCTCATCCCGTCCGTCGCGTGCTGCGGTATCCTGTCGATGAGGAACATGAGGATGAAGCCCAGCATTAGGGAGAGCCCAATGTAGAATGTCGGGAACTCTTCGTGGTCCGAGGGCAATTCTTCTTTTGGGGCCTCGACTGGCTCGCCTTCTGGGGGCGGCGCATCGTCCCGTATTCCGACGGCCCTGCGCAGCAGTGGCTCAATGTCGACTGGAGAAGCCTCTCGAACTTCTACTGTGGGAATGTCTCGTGGTATAGCGAGCTCGGAAACATGTCGTTGGCCGAGGACAGTTGAACGGGTGTCGTGCGGCGCAGGTGCAGGTTTGTTCGTGGTCGCGACGGCCTCGACGCCCTCCGGTATTATGACTATGAGTGAGGTGCCAACAAGTATCCCTACACCTATGCTCGATATCAGGCGCAATTGCGATTGGCTTAATGTCATCGAGAGAGGGAGTGCGCCGGCGAGGAAGGACGCCAAAGCCATCACCACCTACAGAAAGGCTATCAGCTGTCATGTTCAAGAGCACTGCACGTCAGGGGTTGCGCCGACTCACACTCAGGACAAGGAGGAGAAACAGCCCGCCCATCTTTGCTTTCTGTAGCTATCCAATTGCTCAACTCATCGGTGGGGGACTCGATCGAAGGAGCTTTCGGCGAGGATCATGGAAGGGTTGTCTTCCACCTGGACAAAAGTTGTTGAGACGGTTTCACACAGGTCCCCTAGTCTTCCCTGTCCCCTCTCTGGACTCGTGGCTCCCTTGCCTCAGAATCGGCCTTTAGATGTCGGGTTGGCCAGGAGTGTCGAGTTTACCGACTTAAGCGCGGACAGATTCCAGCTCTCCGGATAAAGATAAATATGTTTGTGGAAAGAAAGCTGTTAGCATTGCTCGAAAGACGCGCAATATTTACTGGGCCCTCCATGGACTTGGAATGGTCCTAAGGCACTTGCGTCCTAAACCTGGCGATCCAAAGCTCCCCTGTCAAGACCTCGGACCCCTGCCGCCCTCATTTTAGCGCCTTGTCTGTCGCCTGCGGCTGCTGGACCTCACAGCAAGCCCCACCACTTTAAGCTGCGCGTCTCAACTGGGCGCAACGCGACCTTGCATTTCCACGCGCACGTCGTAGCTTGAGAGGACCTTCGAATCTTCCAAAAGCTCTCTCGGCCGAAACTTGAGTCGCATTCAACCGCGTCTTTCCCAAGACGGAGTGACCAAAAGCCCAACAACACCAATTTATTTTTGACCATCTCGACGTCAACCAATACGATGGCTGAGGACGACGAGTGTAAGTCGCGTCGCGTCGCATACCACAATGCGCACTCCTCTGCCTCTACCTCGAATCTCCACTAACTTTCGGTTGACAGGGACCACCAAGGCGAACGACGTCTTCACCATCTCTCTCGTCACCAAGTCAGACCAAGGCCCTCCAAAGACCATCGACAGCTTCCAACCAAAATGGACGTACCCGATCTACGAGGAGGAGGAGATTTATGGCTACCGGGGCGTGAAGATCAACCTTCGATACAATGCATCTGACATGCGCCCGCATTTCTCGTACACGAAGGGCAAGGAGGTCCCTGCAGGCGTGGCCGACAAGGAGCCGACTGAAATCAAGGAATCAGTTGAGGGCTTTCTCCCAGAGGGTAAGCTGACCGTTGCCTCTTGGGCGCCATTGAGATGCTAATGACGTATAGTTGCCTTTGCAAAGAAGGCAGACTTCGAGCAATACGTTCAAAGCACACCGGATGATTGGAAGCCACCAGGAACTCTCATCTCGACTACCGAGGGCAAAGACGAGACATACGAGATCTGGAAGGGCAGCCTTGCCGACCCGGCTGTCTTGCAATTGGTGAAGAGGATCCAAATACTGGTCTCTCTATTTATCGAGGGTGGAACGCCAATACACACCGAGAACACCGAAGAGTACGTGCAGGATCCTCTGGAGCGGTGGACTGTCTTCTTCCTGTACCAGAAGCGACCAGTGCAAAGCAAGCCGGGCCAGTTCTCGTACGTCTTTGCCGGGTACTCGACCGTCTACCGGCTCTACGCTCTGCAGACACAAAATTCCACTACCACCCTCAGCACGGGCGAGTTTGAGCTCCCAGCTCAGAACGACTTCACAGAATTCCCCTGCCGGTCAAGAATATCTCAGTTCATCATCTTGCCGCCTTTCAGCAAGAAGGGCAACGGCATGCGGCTGTACAGGCAAATCTACAAGACTCTGCTCGACGACCCGAAAACGTTCGAGATCACTGTCGAAGATCCCAACGAAGATTTCGATGTTGTGAGAGACATGGCAGATCTTTTGTTCCTACGAGAACAACCCGACTTCAAACAAGCGGTTCAAATCAATACCAACGTTGAGATCCCGAAGAAAGGTGCTCTGCCGAAGGACATTGTGGACAAGAAGGCCCTCGAGGCGCTTCGGAACAAGTACAAGATTGCCTCTCGACAGTTCAATCGGCTCACCGAGTTGACCTGCTTCTTCAAATTGCCCGACTCCGTCCGTCCGACTCTGGATATAGAGGCGGCGGGCTCTAAGACCAAAAAGTCAACGAAGGCGGAGGACCACGAGTACAACCTGTGGAAGCTGTTGACGAAGTCTCGGATTTATGCGCAGAATCGGGAAATTTTAAGCCAGTTGGAGCCGGATGAGCGCATAGCCAAGTTGGACGAGACCGTGTTTGCCGTGGAGCTCGAATACGCCTTGTTGCTGGCCCGGTACAAGACGAGGCAGGCGTTGCAGGCAGAGGAGAAGTCGGGCGGCAAGAAGAGAAAGTTGAGTGATGATAAGGAGTCGCCGAGTGGCAAGAAGTCGAAGACCGAGGACGCCTGAGTGGTGTTCAGCAATCTTGGCTGGCATCTCGATTGGGTTGGCAATCTTCCGATTGATCTCCAGTTTCTCGACACCCTCTTGGGTAGTATTGTACAAATAGCACCACCTGCAACAGGGTGCAGATAGTCGTCTACGTTGGTCTCAGGTCCCTGATTTCTCGGAGTTTGAGGTTTTGCAGTCTTGGGGATGAGAACCACGACGATAATACCAATCACGATCAACCGCGATCTGCTCGATTTATCTTCTATGACCACGAATGGATCACTCTATTCTTTTGCAGCAGTGACACCGTGCGATGTAAACTTTACCGACAACGCCATGCTGAAATGCTCAATGCTCGTACCCATTCAACCTCGTTCCATTTACACCCTGCGCCCCGTGACCCAGCCTGCTCGCAACAGTCGCAGCCTCCCTCACAGCTCTCGAGACTGTGCCGCGGACGCCGCCTTCCTCCAGTACCAACAGTCCGCCGATAGAACAACCACCCGGCGTGCCGACCTTGTCCCGCAGCAAGGCAGGGTGCTCGCCGTTCAGCACCAACCCTGCAGCGCCCTTCATTGACTGCGCGGCCATCCGCTGCGCGTCCGCCCTCGGCAGACCCATAGCCACCGCGCCGTCGATGGCCGCCTCCAGCATCAGGGCGAAGAACGCGGGGCCGGAGCCGCACAGCGCGGTGGAGGCGTCCATGTTGGCGGAGGGGAGGTAGACGACCTCGCCGATTCGGCGGAAGATCCAGGTGACGAGCTGCATGGTGGCGGGCGGGATGGGGGCGTCGTCGTCGTTGGCGATGACGGTCATGGACTCGCGGATGAGGCTGGCGGTGTTGGGCAGGGCGCGCACGATGCGGCAGCGGCCGTCCTCGTCCGGGCCGCGCTCGGGGACCGCGCCGTGCAGGTGGCGCTCGATCTGCTCGACGGTCACGCCGGCGCAGATACTGATGAGCAGCTTGCCGTGCAGCGCCTTGGCCATGCCCGGCTCCGTCAGGATCTCCTTGACCTTGGACGGCTTGCACGCCAGCAGGACCACCTCGGACTGCTGCGCGCTGGTCACGTTGTGGCCCCATACCACCTTCACCGCGGACGTGTGCTCCCACAGGGCGGCCTTGACCTTCTTGGCCGTCTCGGGCCGCTGGACACAGGCGATGAAGCGGCTTGGGAGGCGCTGGGGGAGCGGCTCCGCTGGTGTTGAGTTGCCAGATGGAGTCTGGAGAGGCTTGGGGGCCTCCAGTTCTACGAGGGAGTTGAGAATTCCGGACAGGATGGCAATTCCCATGGTGCCTAGCAGAGTGTGAGTACAAAACACGCATGTTGAGGGGGACTGGTTGGAGACTTACCACACCCAAGGACACAGAGAGTAAGGTCATCGTGATGTCCAAGAGTCCTCACGGAGGTATATGAAGAATTACGAGAAGCTAAGGTGAGCAGGCTTATGATGGGCAACACTTGACAGGGCCACTTGATGGGGCGAAAGGGAAAGAGGGTTCTGATGTGTTGAGAAATCTTGATTTCAAAAGAGTCAGGTCTGCTTGGTGATAATGGGCCTCGCGAGGAAGATCGCAGACGTCGGTAACTGACTGGCCGACAGACTGACAGTTTGAGAATTTATCTGGACCGCCTAGTCGGATCCGAGCCTGGCGACTCCTTTCTGCAACCCGGCAAATGCTCATTACGACTCTCATTGCCATCCCCTTTTATGCGATTTCTAAAGATATTAACTCGGGTGAACATCGCCTTTCCGCGCACTGGAAATCCCGATAGCGGGCCTGGAGGGATGGCGCAGCGGCTGACTGGTACGCCCACACCGCCTGGGCCAACAAGCCTAGCGCCTGTGGAGTGCCTGCAAGGGCCTCCCCAAAAGCTGTTCACGGTGGGTGGGTTCCTTACAAGGCAACTCCCGAGGTCAAGCTCCTAGGCTAGGTAGGCGGAAGGAACATTGAATCGGCTCCATCCATGAGACGCAAGGCTGAAGCCGATCATCAACATATCCATTCTGCCAACAACCACCGCCAAAACTATTGCTACTCGAATGCCAGAAATCAGCTCTAATCGTGCTCCTCTTATTCTGTCACTTGGACAAGAAATAGCACTCAGTCAGTCTACCAAAATCGACAAAACAAAGCCGGTCTCCCTCAAGCCAAGGCGGAGAACCGGTCGAACCCAGCACATCCGGGGTTGAACAACAATTCAAGGAGCAGGCATCGATCGATACCACAAGGGCCTCAAGACGACTGCTTGCCGAGCGAGGCTAACACGTCCCGGAACATTCTGTGAATCCCAGTTGAAGAGGGAGACAGAACCAATAAGATGGCGGACCCATTTGAGGTTCGCATGAAATTCTCACATCAACTACAGCATCTCAACGCTTCGGTCACATCAGCGCAAAAGGCCGCCCAGTATGCTCTTAGGTACAAGGATATGGACGAGGATTTGCATTCGTGCATATTGGAGCAAATCGAGCGTGTTTGTTTCCCTCCCCTGGGTACGGAACCAGAGCCTAGTTGACTAACAAATCACACAGACTAACATGAACACCCGAGCAAACATCATGTACTTCATTGAGCACTTCCTCGAGATGGCCCAGAAGGACGGCCATGTCGACTACGTCCGCATGATACAGAGAGACATCATAAGAGTTGTCGACGCCGTCGCTCCCGACGACGGCTCTGGTGCGGCCAACGTTAAGGTTGTCAGAAGGGTATGTGACCCCTCACGTGCTGGCAGCCACGCCCGACCGTATGCCTACTTTCTCTTCCTCCGTACTAAACAAGATTCGCAGGTTCTTCAAGGCCTCCAGTCGAAAGCCTTCCTCCTACCGCAGACCGTCACAGAGATCAACGAGGTGCTCAAGGAGCGGGAGACCTCCAACATGGACGTCGTCATGTCCAGCCCTGTTAACAGCACGAACCCGGGACTAGGCGACATGCCGCCCTCGCAGACGATCCCGAAGCCCGGCAGCACGCCGCGGCCGCCGCGGCCCGACAAGAAGCAGATCGAGCAGCGCATCGAGGAGGACCGCGAGCGGCACAAGCGCCTGCGCGAGAGCATATGGGCCGTCCCCACCGAGCCCGCCGACGCCGAAATGTGGAAGATGTGGGAGGAGACGAGCGACCTCGGCGAGGACGACCTGATCATGGCCAAGGAGGAGGAGGAGGAGCGCCTCAGGTGCGTCAGGGACAGCTGCCCCCACCAGAGGGAGGAGGCTGCCAGGGAGAGGAATGGGCAGACGAATGGCAGGCATGCGTGACGGGTGGCTTACGTGTTGATCATGGGTCGGGATGCTCAAGAAACATGGAGTTTCGGTATGCGAAAATGGATAGCTGCATCTGACTAGTAATAGATACCCTGTTCCTCATGCGTTCATACCAGGACTATTTCCGGGTGTTCCTGCTCTGTTCCCATCTCTAACAGCACATGTGTAGCAAAATAGCCTCCCAACCCCGCGCGGCCAAAACCGCCAGACAGAGACCAGTTTGCTCTCCAAATACCGGTCGTGGTTTTCTCTGTAGGTCCGTGCATTAGTAAAATCAAAAGGGCTGGAGAATTGGTGCAGACTGTGCCCTTCTGATCCGAATACCGTCCACTTGTTGAGCTGGACTTCCATGATCATTCTGGTAGTAGTATTCCCACCTCGGCGCGAGAGAGGTGACAGGAGAGGGATGTCATATTGCGTCCATCTACCTGTATATGTTGTTACACGTACATTTTTACATGTGATTGTATGATCCGGTCCAACATGGACCGTGTTAGCCACATATATCCATCCTGCCTGCCTGCCTGCCCTCTTTTCGTGCCCGTGTCCCTCTACTCCATCTCGACGGTGGCGCCCAGCTCCTTCAGCGTCGCCACGATCTTCTCGGCCTCGTCCTTCGGTACCGAGTCCTTCATCAGCTTTGGCGCGCTCTCCACGAACTTCTTGGAGTCCACCAGACTCAGCCCCAACAGGCTCTTGATCTCCTTGATGACCTTGGGCTTCGCGGTCGCCTCGAACTTCACCAGCTTCACGGCGAACAGGGTCTTCTCCTGGGCAGCTGGTGCCTCCTCCTCGGCCTCTGCGGCAGCTGCTGCTGGTGCGGCTGCGGCGGGCGCGGCAGCGAAGCCTCCGACGGGCAAGTCTGGGATGTTGAGTCGGGACTGTTGAGGAGGCTGATCAGCTCCTTGCCCATGCTCTAAATGTCGTTCCTATGTTGTTCCTCTTACCTTCAGGCTTGAGACCAGGTCTGCGGTCTCCAGGAGGGTCAATTGGCTGATCTGGTCCACAATACCGGAGATCTTGGGGTTCGTAGGTGCGGCCGCGGCGTCGGTCGACTGGTACCGTCGCGATATTCTTTGTTGGGCGAGGGCGCCGGTACTTCGGAGGGTGGAGGTGGAGCGGAGCTGACGAGCGCAGCATTGAGCCGCGTACCTGCAGGAGAGAGACATGGCGGGCGGTTTGTGTGAAAGAGAGCCTCTGGGTAGCGAGGGAGGGGATCAGTCAGTCGAGTCCTGGTGCTTCAATGCGCGCGCAGTGATGATGTCCAAAGATTTCGCACGAGGCTTGTAGCTGCCATACTTAGGTAAGCAGGTGGGTCCCGCGCTTGAGTGGACCGCGTCCCTCCAAGGTTAGGAATTATCCCTGTAAAAAAGTTACTGCAGTCAACGCAGACGGGACGGACGAAAAAAAGATCATCGCTGTCGCCTCAACGACAAACTTGCGGATATCTCGCCAACCATGGCGAATTTCGACGTGAGTTCGCAGAGGGCCTCTCTGCTCAGCGACGCGACCACATTGGCGCATTTACCGCCAGAGTTGCTGCACGTCATTCGCGATCAGAACCCGACGAATCTTCTGGACGCGGTATCACAGGCGGCGCTCATACCTCGACTTACAGGTCGCATATTCGCCCATTTTGAGCCTGTCTTTGCAGACATCTGCGCCCGATGGGTCCTCAACACCCCACGGGAGCTGCGACGACGATATACTTGCATCCTTTGCAAGAGTGTTACCGTTTGCACCGCGTCTTTCTGTTTTCTTAGAAGATTATCTCAAGACCATTGCATCCCGGAGCCAACCTTCACTAGGGTCTGGGACGGCTCGCCTCGACCTTTCTGAGTCTTCGAGATCGTTGGGCCCAGATGCATTCCTACAGAGACTTTTGGCAGTATGGCGCCTTGTCAATTTCGACCGCAAGGCCTTCTCATCTTTGGTGTTGCCATCTGATGTCCAAGCCCTCTTCTCACACTCATACGCCCCTGTCAGATATCTAGCAATACGAATCTTCTGCCTCCTCTTGAGAGCATCAGATCACAGACTTGAAGCTCTCATACGGCACCACACCCCCGAGAATGAGCCCATGACTGGTGACTTTGACGGAAAGCCTATAGACTACGCGTTCTTGTCATTGTTTGAGCATGCTCGTGCCGAGTCGATACAGAGGCAGATCGCCGTCGTGAAAGAACAAGTGCGAGAACTTGCCCCCTCGCGCATACCACCCCAAGATCTCACCAGCCTGGTCGTTCATTATGGGAACACCGTGCTTCCCCGGCCGCGCGGCGCGCCAAAAAAGGGCTCTTCTCTCATTGCCACTCCCACGACCCTCCTAAATCTCGAGAGCCTTGCGAAGCTTCTCCAACAGGCGGGACCCATCCTCCTCCACGGACCTTCTGGTGCTGGTAAAACGGCCTCAGCTCTGGAGCTGGCACGAGAGCTGGGAATGGACGACAGTCTCGTAACTCTGCACCTAAACGAGCAGACTGACGCCAAAATGCTCATCGGCCTGTACACCACCGGTACAAAGCCCGGTTCTTTCGAGTGGAGGCCGGGTATCCTGACCACGGCAGTCAGAGAAGGGAGATGGGTTCTGATAGAAGACCTCGACCGCGCGCCGACCGAGGTCATGAGCACGCTGCTTCCTCTCATTGAACGAGGCGAGCTCCTCATCCCGAACCGTGGTGAAACGATAAAAGCCCCTAGCAGCTTCCGTATTTTGGCCACGGTGAGGACACACAAGGGGATGGATGGCCAGGAGAATATCCCTTCCCTGCTCGGGCTGCGTTTCTGGACCTTGCTGCCAGTGCAAAGCATGGTGCAAGATGAGCTCCAGACAGTCATGCACGAAAAATATCCACTCCTAAGCAAGTTCGTGGCAGATCCGATTCTCAAGGTTTATGAACGAGTGTGTCTCCTCCTGAGCAACTCGGGGCTTATTCCGGGCGTGTCCGCAGCATCAGAACGTCCGATCAGCTCTAGAGATCTGTTCAAGTGGTGTCGACGGTTGGAGAAGATTATCGCTTCAACAGGCGCGAAGACAGGCGAGGAACCGATCAGCGAGACGGCATACGACAGCATGTTCATGGAGGCTATCGACTGCTTCGCAAGTGGCATCAAGGACTATCGAGTACGCGACAAGCTGATCCTCCACATTGGCGAGCTGATGGGAAAGTCAAGCCAGCGCGTGGAGCACCATCTCAGCTCGCACATCCCCCGACTGGCGGAGACTGAGACGCACCTCACGGTTGGACGATCAACGTTGCGGAAAACGAGACGACCGGATCGCGTCACGAAATCGAGAAGGCCATTTGCGCCGACCACACACGCCAGACGGTTGTTGGAGCAGATCTCAGTGGCAGTGAGCTTGAAAGAGCCGGTATTGCTCGTAGGAGAGACCGGTATAGGGAAGACCACTGTTGTGCAACAGCTCGCTGAAAGCCTCGGTCAAAGGCTGATTGCTGTGAATCTTTCCCAGCAGAGCGAGGTTGGCGACCTCTTGGGCGGTTTCAAACCCATCAACGTGCGCAACCTGGCTGTCCCTCTGAAGGAGGAATTTGAGGACCTTTTTGCGTCAACTGGAATCTCGGAAGAGAAGAACCAAAAGTATTTAAAGTCCATCAACAAGAGCATCGCGAAGGGCAAATGGTCCGACGTTGCGAAACTCTGGAATCAGGCGCCAAAGATTTTCGAAGAGATCCTGAAGGTGAAGGTTGCCAAGAAGAACCGGGACAAGACGCGTGACGCCGATGGTCAACCTGCGAAGAGGCGGAAGACTGGCTCCACAAAACTAGAGACGCTGCTGGAGCTCAAGCCCCGTTGGGACAAATTCTCGAAGAACTTGGAGCAATTCGCGATTCAGCTATCGGGAGGTTCAGGGGGCTTCGCATTCGCTTTTATCGAGGGCAACATCGTCAAGGCCGTCAGGAACGGAGACTGGGTGCTTCTAGACGAGATCAACTTGGCATCACCGGACACGTTGGAAAGCATAGCGGATCTGCTCCAATCAGGCCCAGACGCGACGCCCTCGATACTTCTGTCAGAAACAGGCGAGATTGAGAGGATCCAAGCTCATCCCAACTTCAGGATATTCGGAGCAATGAACCCGGCAACTGATGTCGGTAAACGAGACTTGCCCCAGGGGCTTAGGTCAAGATTCACAGAGCTTTACGTCTCTAGCCCAGACAAGGATTTCAAGGATCTTGTTACGATTATCAAATCATATCTCAACGGCCAAAACTCCCAGATCGATCAGGCTGCGGACAAAGTTGCCAACCTCTACATGCGTATCAAGGAGCTCGCCGAGGCCAAAGCACTCGTTGATGGCGCCAACGAAGTACCACACTTCAGCTTGCGTACCTTGACACGAGTGCTGACGTACGTCAATGATGTTGCTCCGTACTATGGCCTCGAGAGGTCTCTGTACGAAAGTTTCTGCATGGGTTTCCTGACACTATTGAGTCGAGCGTCCGAGACGCAGGTCATGCCCCTCATTGTGCAGCACTTGTTCGGCAAGGACCTTAACCGTCTTCTGTCAAGGCCGCCCAAGTATCCGACCGACGGGCGTGAGTACGTCAAATTCACGGATACAGACGACAGCCGAGTCTACTGGCTGCTCAAAGGCGCCGAAGCCCCGCAGGAACGGGCGGACTACATCAGAACGCCGTACGTTGAGCGGAATCTGCTGAACTTGGTGCGAGCCACCTCCACACGGCGGTTCCCCATCCTCATCCAGGGTCCAACGTCGGCAGGAAAGACAAGTATGATCGAGTACCTCGCTGAGTACAGCGGCAACAAATTTGTGCGAATCAACAACCACGAACATACTGATCTTCAAGAGTACTTGGGCACCTACATATCTGGCTCAGATGGCAAATTGAAATTCCAAGAGGGTCTTCTCGTACAGGCCATGCGTCAGGGGCACTGGATTGTTCTTGACGAGCTGAATTTGGCACCCACCGACATCCTCGAAGCGCTCAATCGTCTTCTTGACGACAATCGCGAGCTGTTGATCCCAGAGACTCAAGAGATCGTCCGGCCCCATGAGAATTTCATGCTCTTTGCAACGCAGAATCCTCCAGGGCTCTACGGCGGTCGTAAAGTCCTCTCAAGAGCTTTCCGCAACCGTTTCCTCGAGCTCCACTACGACGACATCCCTGAAGACGAGTTGGAGCATATTCTGCAGAAGCGGAGCATCAATACGGCACCTTCCGACTGCAAGAGAATCGTCTCCGTCTACAAGGAGCTTTCCCGCCTGCGGCAGACCAGCAGGGTCTTCGAACAGAAAGACAGCTTTGCAACGCTGAGAGATCTCTTCAGGTGGGCTCTTCGGGACGCTGAAACACGCGAAGACATTGCCAATAACGGTTTCATGCTGCTGGCAGAGCGTGTCCGGGATGATGAGGAACGCGACGCGGTGAGGCAGGTCATCGAGACGGTCTTCAAAGTCAAGATTGACCCCGACCAGCTGTACAATGAGAGATTTAACCGGGCAATGCGGCGGGCCGGTCTCAAAGACAACAAGCAGGGCGTTGTGTGGACCAACGCCATGCGCAGACTGTACACTCTGGTCTCCCAGGCTCTGCGGAACAATGAACCAATTCTTCTGGTTGGTGAGACTGGATGTGGGAAGACGACAATTTGCCAGTTGCTTGCCGAGTCTCTTGGCAAAGCACTTCACATCGTCAATGCGCATCAGAATACTGAGACGGGCGATTTGATCGGCTCGCAGAGGCCAGTCCGGAACCGCGGGGCCATTGCTGAAACCTTGAAGCAAAGCCTGGTGGAAGCTTTCGAGTATTTGCGACAATCGCCGCAAGGCAGCATCGATGACCTCCTGGCGCGCTATCATGCTCTCCCTGCAGATGACAGCAGTCGGATCCCCGATGCTGTGCAGGAGAAGGTCCTTGCCAATGAGATCAGGAGCAAGGCTCTGTTCGAGTGGTCGGACGGCAGTCTTGTGCATGCCATGAAGGAAGCACATTTCTTCCTGCTGGACGAAATCTCTCTGGCAGATGACTCCGTGCTTGAGAGACTCAACTCTGTTCTCGAACCAGGACGAAGCCTGTTGCTTGCTGAGAAAGGCACCGACAACTCGTTCGTGCGCGCCGCGGACGGCTTCCAGTTCTTCGCAACTATGAATCCTGGCGGTGACTTCGGCAAGAAGGAGCTCTCGCCCGCATTGAGGAACAGATTCACGGAGATCTGGGTGCCGCCTCTGTCAAATAGGCAAGATATCCTGGACATTGTGTTCGATAAACTGAAGCCCCAGTTCAAGCCCCTTGCACATGTTATTGTGGATTTCTCGTACTGGTTCGGCAAGACATGCCGCTCATCATCGGCCACTGCCTTCTCTATTCGTGACATCCTGGTCTGGGTCAACTTCGTCAACCATGCTCAGGGCATGCAGCCTGCCATGGCCGTGTTGCACGGAGCAGCCACGGTGTTCATCGACACTCTTGGTGCTAACCCCTCAGCACTGCTCTCACTGGATCCAAAGACCATGGACGAGCAGAGGCAGAAGTGCTTGGACAAGCTGAATGAGCTCCTTGGAAATGGCATCGACGTCACTGCCATTTATAGGAACGAGCCACAGCTGGCAATCGGTGAAGGATTTGTTCAAATTGGGGAGTTCTCTGTCTCTCGGATGCCTAGCGGTGAGGATGACTCTGCCTTCGCTTTTGACGCCCCAACAACCAAAATGAATCTCATGCGAGTCATCCGTGCCCTCGCGGTGAACAAGCCTGTTCTGCTTGAGGGCAACCCGGGTGTGGGCAAGACGACACTCGTCAGCGCCCTGGCTCTGGCATGCGGGAGGCCGCTCACCCGCATCAATCTTTCAGACCAGACGGACCTGATGGACCTCTTCGGTACCGATGTCCCCGTCGAAGGTGCGGAGGCCGGAAACTTCGCATGGAGGGACGCACCTTTCCTCCAAGCGATGCAGAAGGGCGAGTGGGTTCTGTTGGATGAGATGAACCTCGCCTCCCAGTCTGTCCTCGAGGGTCTGAATGCCTGTCTTGACCACCGAGGAGAGGTGTATGTGTCGGAACTGGATCAAGTCTTCAAGTGCCACCCGGACTTCAATCTTTTTGCAGCCCAGAACCCACACTCGCAGGGCGGTGGCCGAAAAGGTCTCCCCAGCTCTTTCGTCAACCGGTTCATCGTGGTCTATGCCGACGTATTCACTGAGCAGGATCTCATGCTCATCGCCGGAAAGAGGTACCCCAACGTGCCTCAGGACACCATTCAGAATATGATCAGATTCGTGTCAGCTTTGGATTACGAGACATCTGTTCGCAAAAGCTTCGGCGCCCACGGCTCTCCTTGGGAGTTCAACCTGCGAGACTCACTCCGGTGGCTGGAACTTCTTGCCTCGGAGGACAAGTTGCTTGCCTCAGCTCAAGCATCCGACTTCCTGGACATAATCATCACGCAGCGTTTCCGCTCCGCGATTGACAGAGAGAACATTGCACAATTGTTTACAGGAGCTTTCGGAGCGCCGCCTCAACCGCACAGTCTGTATCACAACCTCACCTCGGCCGTATGTCAAGTCGGACTGGCCATGCTGGATCGCAACCCTCTGCTCCAGCCGAGCCGCTTCCCTAATATGGATGTCGTGCCACGTCTTGCGGAAATCGAGTCTCTCCTGATCTGCGTCAAGCAAAACCTGCCGTGCATTCTCGTCGGACCCTCCGGGAGCGGAAAATCATCGATACTCAACCATGTAGCTGCCTCCGTCGGAAAGGAACTGGTCGTCTTCCCCCTGAATGCGGACGTCGATGCCATGGATCTCGTTGGCGGATTCGAGCAGGCGGATCCCTTGAGGGATCTCCACGCTAGTCTGGACGAACTTCACGATGCTCTTCTGGAATATGCCTTGTCATTACTGCCCCAGAAATCGTCACAAAATGCCGTCAACCTGATCAGCGTCCTTGACGAGCGCGGGGGAGAAGCTCGTCTCTCGGAAACCACTGTGTGCTTAGAGGCACTGGCCTCAGAGATACCAGCCGACTCTTTGCTGGGGCAGCGACTTTCACATGCACACCAAATGCTGAACTCTCCAAGGACTCTGGCGAATCCGCGATTCGAGTGGCTCGACGGAGTCATCGTCCGCGCCATGGAGGCAGGCAAATGGCTCGTCCTCGACAATGCGAACCTGTGCAGCGCGTCTGTCCTCGACAGGCTGAACTCGTTGCTCGAGCGCCCCAATGGGTTCCTGAGCATCAACGAGCACACTGGTCCGGACGGCGAGCCTAGGATCATCAAGCCTCACCCCGACTTCCGGATTTTCCTGACCATGGACCCACGCTATGGCGAGCTTTCCCGTGCGATGCGGAATCGATCTGTCGAGATTTACCTTGAGCAATCGCAGATCGGGAGCGACCGCTATCTCTCAACCATAACGGAAATTGAGTCTTTAATGCGGAGATATAGTCACGCCACTCATGTGAGCTCTGAAGTCTCCGTGAATGGCGGTGTTGAGGTCACCCGTCTGGCACTCGACAACCTCGACCTCGGAGACGTCTCGCTTCTGGCGAGATATGAGAAAGCTTTCACGGGTGGCCTCGGTTCTTCGCAAGACGTGACAGCTCCTGAGACCAGTTCCGACATTTCTGCACTCGTGTCGTACGTTCAGTCGACAAAGGCCGCACCCGCGAGACAGGCCATTCTTCAATTGTACACGGCCGTTTCCACGAAGGTCTCAGGGAGCGAACTGTTGACTGCGACGCAGCCTCTTCACACCCTAAACAATGCTCCCATGGTGAGGGTAATGGAGAACAACTCAGATAAAGTTGCGGAGTGGCTGGCCTTTTGCTACGAAGTCTTCATGGAAATCCAGTACGCTCAGCAAGCCATGCAGTCACAGATCAGGACCCTCGACAGGACCAAGCCCTCAACGTTGAACCGACTACAGCGATCGCTTGTTTCCGATCAGGTTGCCAGTGTGGCGAAAGACTCGACCGTCAACGTGGCAGGTTTCCTGAGCTCCATCGTTCAGCTGATAGAGGGATATATCGACTCAAGCCTGCAGCATTCAGAGTCCAGCATTGACGTCAAGCCAGTTCTGCGAGCGGTTCTGCACTACTGGTGGAGGACCTTCACCTTTGTCACTGGCGCATCCTTCGAGGAGGCAAGGTTTCAAGCTCATCTCAAGCAAGGGATTGACGCCCTGCAGTCCACCACAGACAGCTCCAACAACGAACGAGGACTGCAAGTAGTCACCAGCATTCTTGGTAATATCGAAGATGCCTTCACGGTTGGCTTCAAACTGACTACAGGACTGAGTATGGAGACGCTTTGGGCCCTTCTACGGCCAGCTGCTGTCACTGATGAAGCCACATTCTCGGCTATTCAAGAGATGGAGAAGTTGGCAAACCGCTTTGATGCTATTAGGTGGAAGTCCAATGCCAGTGTTGCAGACCTCAGCAAGGCCATTTTATCCTTGGCCGAGGCTTACAGCGTTGTGCGCAAGAATGCCGTCGCTGCCGCCGACCTCCTACAAATCCTGCAGGGAGAGATTGAGCGCCTTGAGGCTAACGCCGACGATGCTCGCGAGGTCACACCTTTCTTCGAGCAGGAATTTGAGACACTGAGGCAAGCATTGACTGTCCATCGAGCGTCACGCCAGTCGTCCGTCTTCGTGGACGTCCAAGACATTGTCGTCCTGTCCAACATGCCCACGCTCTCACAGATGCGGCTGCAGAGCTGGAACAATTCTCAACGGCTTCTTCATTCCATAGACTATGTTCTCGCTCGCGCCTCGGATTCACACCCGTGGAACGGCAAGCTTATGTCGAGGCTTATCCAACAGTATGACTCGACGGCCTCTGCCAATCTCTTCGCCCTGCAGTCCCTCGAGACAGAGCTGCCAGCCATGGGCAAACTCCTTGCAGGGTCCTTGGAAGCCGTCTCAGCGGACTCCGTTGGCTGCCTGAACCAGATCCTGTGGCACTTGATGCGGGAAGTTATCGGTTCTCACGACCCGCTCTTGCTCCAGGACTTCGTGTCTCTGTTCGAGCTTCTGTCACAAAAGTTGGTGCCATCCTCAGTCAAAATTGAGCGAGGCGGCCTTGCCTTTGAAATACCAGGCGGTGGTTCCTCTCAGAAGTCCAGATGTCCCGCGTACAGCGCGGCCATTTTCAAACAGCACTTCATACCTGCAGTCGTTGCTCTGGTGACATCCGAGAAGTCGTTAATTCAGAAGAGCGCATTCGCTGCCGTTGCGTGGGTGCACTTCGCCATCGGGTGTATCAAGCTCTACGTTCCAGACAAGATATTTGATCCCTACTTGCGGGCCCAGACCGAACGGGACTCCCATGAAGAGCTTCTGACCAACTTGAGACGCAAGTGGCAAGCTCTGCGCGCCTTCGAAGCGGGCTTCACCGGCCAAGCATCCAACTTGCGTGCAGAATTGCTGCGCGAGGAGATAGACCGCTTGGGTGAGCCTCCGGCAGCCGCGATCACCATATACCGTCCATCCAGCGTCGACTTGGCTCGACTTCAAGGAGAATTCAACAACGTTCTGAATGCCGTTGTGAAGAGTGACGTCGCTTCCGCGGTCTTCGAGCATCTAGCCATCGGCACAGAAGACAAGGCTCAAGAACTACAGCTCGTCATGGACAACGTGCTTCACCTCATCGAACGTCTGTCCAGTCGCTTCCAGGTTTATGAGGATTTGACAGTGCCTTTGGTGACAATTCTACGTTGCTTACAACTCGGGCTCTCCTTGGGTACTGTGTCTGGCGCCGGGCAGAGATCAGATACCGGCTCGCTCCTCAGTGTCACACCGATGCTGGGCGGGTCACTGTGGAGTCACACAACTCAACTGCCTTCCCAGAGTTTGGAGTTCCTGTCTTATATTGGCCTTTGGGTCAGTGTCAATGGAATCCAAAGCCTCGACACCTCTCTCCGGCAGCTCGTGTTCCAATCTCTTCACTACTTCTACGAAGAGTGGAGCAAGAAGCTCGACGCCGACAAGAGGCAGGAAGCCGCCAAAAACAGCCTATACCGATACAAGGGGGGCCTTGACGATGAGGATGAGGCCGACCAGCAAGATTTCAACGAGCTGTTCCCTGACTATGAAGCGGAGGGTGTTGAAGACCGTGCTGCCACAAAGATTCCGGGCAACGCTTCCCGCAACTTGTCGCTGAAACTGGCTGAACGGCACGAGAAGATTTTCCTGGAGCCGCAGGATACTCAACAGAGTATTATCAATTTCTGTAAGGGCGTCGCACGCAAGACTTCTGGTGAGGCGACACACTCTCCCCTGCCCAGACGGACCGGGCGCTTCTCCCTGGCGCACTGCTTGTCTTGGACGAGAAGACGGAAAACTTCACCTCCAGCACAACTTCCGCAGGTTATAATTTCTACACAAGTGCCAACCTTTTCGAGTCCCGCAAGCTTGTAAACCTGGTCCACGGCATCCGGATGCGCTTCAGGGAACTCCAGAAAGTCGATGAGATTGCGCACTTGGAGCCTCTCGCTGACGTACTCGGCGCATGCGAGCACGTCCTCGAGCTCAGCCACTCGGACCCTCTCGCGAAGATCATAACTCGCGTCGAGAAGCTTGTGGCATTTGTCTACGAGTGGCAGCATGGTGGTTGGGCCAGCCACATTTACGGCGCCTTGAGTCTCTACAACAGGTTGACGGACACGGTCGTAAGCTGGCGTCGCCTGGAACTCGCAACCTGGGCCAAGTTGTTCGACATGGAGGTTGAGAAGTTCCAGACCGATGCCAAGTCTTGGTGGTTCGTCGCTTACCACGCTGTCATCGCCATTCCCATGACAAAGGTTGAGTTAGGCCAAGACTTGAAGGATTACTCTGTCCAGTTGGTGTCAGACCTTGAAATGTTCTTCTCCGAGGCCGTGTTGGGCGAGTTCCACACCCGCCTTCAGTTACTTCTCCAGTTGAGCAAACAGCTCGAGCTCCTGGTCGTTGACTATGCGCCACTCGGCCTTATCCACAACGCAGTGCTGAACTTCATTTCCATGTACCGCCGCTATGAGAGCAGAGTGGTGGAGGCAATTCAAAAGGGAAGGGCTACCGTCGAGAAGGCCATGAAAGATGTCCTCTTGCTCGCCAGCTGGAAGGATACCAACATTGTGGCTCTGCGCGAGAGTGCCCGCAAATCTCATCAGAAGCTGTTCAAGCTTGTCAGGAAATTCCGGGCTGTCCTTGGTCAACCCATGAGACCCATTGTCGACCAAGGACTTCCGGACGAGAACCACGCAGGCAACAAAGCGACAAAATTCGTTCCTCCCACACCACCCCAGCCGAACGACGCAGCTGCCTCGACATGCCAGCAGCTGATTCCTGGCTGGCTTCATGATGCTCATGCTAAGCGACTTTCAAACGCCGGCAAGATCATCAGCATCATGTCCAAGTCGTCTCAGCTGCCCGAGGCCACGATCAATGCAGCCGAAATAGTTGACACATTCGTGTCTGACACGATGTCTGCTATGTCTTCACTGAAGCGGGAAACTCCAGCTTTCTTGAATGATGAGAACAAAGAGCAAGTCAAGCACCTCAAGACTAGGAAGTTCCGCTTGTTTGAAGAAACGGTCAAGGCAATCCGAACCATGGGCTTCACGCGGAACCTCAACGAAGCTCACATTCGCAACCAAAAGCAGTTGGCAGCTGTGCTGGCCAAGTTGGAGTACCTGCCTTCTGGAGGAGATTCAAGCCTGGCTGGGACCGAGTACTACTTCCACAAGGTTCTGGATCTGGCTCCACAAGTGAGAAACTCTTTGCACGACCACAACGGCGACCTCACGAACGAGACTGTCCGACGAAGCACCGGTTACATGGAAGGCATCATACATGTTCTGATTCAACAACGCCGGTGCCTAGCCGAGAACGCCAACACGTTGACCTCCTTGGATGCGTCTATTGCCAACGTACAATCGCTCATTCTGTCCAACCAGTCCGAGAATCTGGTCTCGAAACGGGAGACGTCAAATCACACTCAACTCCTGCGTTGGCTTGTACCTGTGCTGGACTTGGGTCTCCACCTGATTGAGGTACACAGCACGCTCGGCAAGGTTGCCAACGGTCCCGTGCAGTCTGCGCTCCAAGACTGGCATGCAAGATTCACCAAGCTCCAATCTCGGTTTGATGCTTGCCAAAAGCTGTCGGATGGCCTCGACTCTGAAACTCAGCTGCAATTGCGAGAGCAGCTGCAGGAGAAGCTGGATGATTTCGAGGCAACACTGCAATTGCTCGAATCCGAACGGCCTGACCTCGGCTTCATCTTCCAGCAGCTCCACATATGGACGACCATCACTGTCAGCGACCAGCAACCCGAGACAGCAACCGAGGATGCTACGGTATTTGTCAGGGAGACTCTGAATCTTTCGAAGAAGGTCCTCGATGCTGTTCAAAAATTGCAGAAGGCAGCAACATCCATGCCAGCATCAACGGAAGATGCATCGTGGCTTCTGCAGTACAATGACACACTCGCAAACATGCTCAAGTCTTTGCACATGACGACAATCGTTGACAGCATCGGCGACTCCGTTGCCCGCCTGGACAGTCTGAACTTGGACGACCAGGCCGTTAAGAATGCTGCATTCTCTCTTCTTGCCGTCACTCTGCCCTTGCTGCAGCAATACGCCATCATATGCCGCACAACCGTCGCGGACCTGACCAGTGTGCACTGCTCCAGCTCCAAGATGGCGCTCAACCTCGGCAAGGCGTTTGTGGAGATTGCCTCTAGGGGCTTCTGCACCCCACAAGAGAAGTCCGACGAGACCTCCGCAGACTCGGGCAAGCTCGAGAGCGGCACCGGGCTCGGCGACGGCGAGGGCGCCGAGGACATCAGCAAGGATATCCAGCCGGATGAAGACCTCTCGGAGCTGGCTCAAGAGCCAAACAAGGAGAAAGACGGCGAGATCGAAGACCAGGAGGACGCCATCGACATGGGCCAGGACGATATGGAGGGCGACATGGGCAGCGCAGCAGGCGACGATAAGGACGATGAAGGTGATAAGGACGGCGAGGAAGAGGACAAGGACGAAATGGACGAGGAAACTGGTGAGGTGGACGATCTCGACCCCACCGCAGTCGACGAAAAGATGTGGGACGGGGATGGCGACGACGCGGACAAGGACCAGGAAGGAGACGACACGAAGGGCCAGAAGAACGAAGACGAGCAGGCCGCAGCTAAGGACGCGCCTGAAAGCAAGGACTCGAAGCAGCAGGACGAGCCAGAGCAGGGTAAGCCCGAGCAAGAAGTGGAAGAAGAGGAGGCGGGCCCGGAGGAAGACGAAGCGGGCGCGCAGGAAGAGTTGAACAGGCAAGACCAGAACGTGGAGGAAAAAGAGGCGTTGGCATTGCCAGACGATATGGACATCGACGGCAGCGACGACGACCAATCGGCCATCTCAGACGACGATTTGGACAAGCTCTCGGACATACAGCAAGACGCGGAGGAGGAAGCCAAGAAAGAGGGAGACGCAGAGAGCGTCGATGAGAATGAGGGCGACCAGGGCGAGATGAACCAGGAGGACATGGAACAGGAAATCGACGCAGAGAACCCGGACGAAGACATGACGGGCGACAACGCCGAGATGGAAGAAAAGGAACCTGAAGCGGAGGAGCAGGGCGCGGACGACTCGGGGGAAAAGGACGAGACAAAGCCACCGCTGGACCCCAACGACAACTCCCACGCAGACCCAGACAATGCCGCGCCCAGCGATATCAAGAGCGGCGCCGGGCAAGACCAGAACAACATGGAGAACGGGCAAGATGACGACAACTCGCAGGCCAAAGCGGCGCAGCGCGAGAGCGGCGAAATGGGACAAAACTCGGACGATCGGCAGACCGCCGTCGGGAACGAGGGCGCAGTGTCGAGGCAGAACGATGACCAAGACCGCTCGGACGAGGCCAACCAGCCCGACGACTCAGCACAGTCGCAGCCGTTCAAGAAGCTCGGCGACGCCCTCGAGAGGTGGTACAGGCAAAATCAAGACATCAAAGACTCGATGGACGAGAATCAGGAGGCTCGGCAACAAGATGACTCAGATATGGCCCAGAAGGAACTGCAGCATCTGCAAAATGACAACGACGCCCCCGACGCGCAAGCCCTTGGCACGGCCGCCGAGGACGAGGTGCAGCCCATCGACGAGTCCATGGCAATTGACGAGGACAAGCGAGACGACCAGAGCCGGCTGATGCCCCAACAAGACAACGAAGATGACAACATGGACATCGATGATGACTTGGACGGCGCGGAACAGGACGAGTCCAAAGACAAGGACATGCCTGAACGCGACGAGTCTCGAAGTGGCGTCGCGACCAGGCGCGGCGCCTTCAACCGTGAGCGGTCCACGTCTCCCTCCAGGACGAACCAGATGGAGGAGCCAGAGGACGACACCGTGGAGGAGACATCGACGCAGCTGGACAGCACGCACCTCGGCGACCCTGACCGCCCGCTGCGCGACTACCAGCAGGCCCTCGAGGCGTGGACGGCGCTCCAGACCAAGACGCACCCGCTCTCGCTCGCGCTCACGTCGCAGCTGCGGCTGATCCTGACGCCCTCGCAGAGCACCAAGCTGTCCGGGTCGTACCGCACGGGCAAGCGGCTCAACATCAAGAAGATCATCCCGTACATCGCGTCGGGCTACAAGCGCGACAAGATCTGGATGCGCCGCGCCGTGCCGACCAAGCGCACGTACCAGATCCTGCTGTGCGTCGACGACTCGCAGTCCATGGGCCACACCACCGCCGGCGCCATGGCCCTCGAGTCCCTCGTCATGGTGTCGCGCGCGCTGGCGATGCTCGAGGCCGGCCAGGTCGGCGTGCTCGGCTTCGGCGCCGACGTCTTCACGGCGCACGAGCTGGCCGCCCCGCTCCTGTCGTCCCACGACGCCGGCGCCCGCGTCCTGCAGAATTTCACCTTCGCGCAGGACCGCACCGACGTGGCGCTGCTGATCCGCCGGACGCTGGACCAGCTTCGCGCGGCGCGGGCCACCGCCTCAGGCGGTCGCGGCGGAGGTGAAGACCTCTGGCAGCTGGCGCTGATCCTGTCGGACGGGCTGACGCCGTCGGACTCGCACGAGCGGATCCGGCGGATGCTGCGCGAGGCGCTCGAGGAGCGCGTCATGGTCGTCTTCATCATCATGGACGACAGCTCCTCGCGCAAGGGCGACAGCGTGCTGCAGCTGGGCAAGGCAAAGTTCGTGCGGCGGGCCGACGGCTCCAGCGACGTCGTCGTCGAGAGGTACCTCGACACGTTCCCCTTCCAGTACTACCTGATCGTGCACAACCTGGAGGAGCTGCCTGGTGCCCTGGCGGGACTGTTGAGGACGTGGTTTGCGGAGGTTAATTCGTAGGCGGGTGAGCTGTTTCTTTTCTCGTTCGTTCTGCCTGGAATTAGTCAAGGTGTTAGCATGTAGACAGGTATTGGTTGATTACTTGCATTCGGAGTTAGGGATGGAAAATAGAGTGATTCCTTTGTAGTGAATTTGACGTCCATAACAATACCACTGTTTTGAGAGTCTTCCACATTCAAACTCCGGGTGCTCTGGAACAGTTTTGTGCTACCGGGAACACTCTACGTGATTAGAATTGCGAGCGGGCGCAGAGAGTCCACTCTTGTTGGCTCGTAGATCTCAACTCAACTGCTCACTAGGCACGACCCCATCACGCAAATAATTGTCCCTCAGGAAGAGCATGCCCCTTAAGGCACATCACATTGCAACAGACTAGGTACCTAGCTACCCGTAACAGCTAGACGCGTGACCTCGAACCAATTTAGACTCAGACCAACTCAAATTCAACTCGATTCAGACTCAAACCGGATTCAAGCCACAAGCTTGCAGGGGAAGAAAGGCGATATCAGCGACTCCATCTTCCCATCCGCAACAGTCTTCTCAACATCCACCTGGTCCAGGATCTCGCAGGCCTTGGGTGTGACTGCCCGAGGCTTCCAGCTGTTGGCGGTGACCTTCTCGAGGCCCCTGAACATCTCGAGGTCCTCCTCGGGCTCGCACAGCCAGGGGTGCTTGAGGGCGCCCGCGGCGGTGATCCTCCGCTCCGGCTTGGTCTGGAAGCAGCGGCGGATGAAGTCCTTCCCGGCCTTGGAGACGTGATTCCCCGAGCGCATCTTGGCGACCTCCTCGAAGATCTTGCCCAGCTCCTGGGTCGGCTCGTTGACCTTACGCCGCGGATACAGCGCGTAGCACTCTGCGAAGATCTCGAGGTCATCGACGGATGAGCACCTGTCCTTGCCGCAGAGGAGGTAGATTGCCAGGACGCCGATGCTCCAGATGTCGGCGGGTGGTCCGGCCCAGGTCTTCGTATTGATTATCTCCCTAGTAAACAATTAGTCTATAGCCTTGCTCGTGTGAGGGTGAAGTGACTTACGGTGCCTGCCAGCCTCTGGTACCGCACATTCCGGTCATGCTTCGGTCGCCAACCATGCAGGTGTGGCCAAAGTCCGTGATGACGATGCGGTGGCTCGCCGAGGGCGTGGTCGCGCAGAGGATGTTCTCGAGCTTCAGGTCCCGGTGGACGAGCCCCTTGGAGTGCATGTAGCCCGCTCCGGTCACGACTTGTCGGATCAGCCATCGGACCTCGAGCTCGCTCATGGGGGATCGGCAGCGCTCAGTAAGCGTGAACAAGTCTCCGCCGGTGGCGAGATCCTCGAAGACGTATAGGTTCGAGCGGCTCTTATAGGCGCCTCGGAAAGAGGCCAGGTTCGGCTGGAAACTGTTAGCTCAAGCCTGGCGTGCTTAGAATGAGAGGCAACTCACATGCTCAATCTGGCTTCTGACGTGAGTTTCTTGCACAAGTCTCTGAATGACAGCCGTGAAACCCCTCAGCCGCAAAGACTCGAGATCGTAGATCTTGCAGACAACGTAGTCGCCCGTCTCCTCGTCAATGGCAAGGTTGACTTGGGCAGACGCGCCGCTTCCGATCGTGAAGTTTGTGACGGCGTACTTGTCGTGAAATTGCTAAATAGTTGTTGGTGAGTGATGGACCAAATAGTACGGGAAAACCGATAGACTCACCAGGACTTCTTTGGTCTGAACCTCGTTGAGTCTCAGCTTCGGGATGAAAGGGTGGACGACTTCGAACTTCACATCCTCTCCGACGCTGATCACGTCGCCATGGCGGAGGATTCTTCCAGGAGAGACCTTGTCGTCGCCCTCTTCGCGGCCGCCGATGAGCTTGCCGTTGACATAGGTGCCAGAAGTAGAGCCGCGGTCTCTGACGTAGAGCATGGGGTAGTGCTCCTCGTCGAAGATGACAGTGTAGAACTCGAGTTGCAGGCGAGAGACAAATGGGTCGTCGATGACGATGTCACTAGTACAAGTCAGTCAGCAGTCCCAAGACAGCTGACCAAGCTCGACCTACTTGTGATTCTCATCGCGGCCAACCCGCCAGTTATCATTGGCAGAGAGAAGAATAGTGTCTGTGGAATAAGTCAGGTGCTGAGGCTCAGAAAAAGACTTGGAGCTGTCCAAGGACTAGTCCGCTCACCATTCTCGATCTCGCCGCCAGGATGCTTGATCTCGACCTTGATCTGAACGAGCACGCCGGGCGGGTTGGGCGTCTGAGTATCGCAAGGCGCCATTCTTAGATGGGGTCCTTTTCTTGAGAGTGAAGGCGTGGGGTATTTGATGTGTAACAAGCAGTTGAGCTGGTCCAAAGGGCTCTCTATCCAGCAGAGAATGGCGAGGCTGATCGCAAAAAGCAGTGATAGTCAAGATTGATGGCCAAGTTTGAGGCAGAAGTCGAGAGATCTGGTGCTAAGGATGGGTCGAAGTAAAGATGGGGGCTGAGCTGAAAAGAAAGATGGGAAGGGAAGTAAGAGATGAGATGGGCTCTTATAAATGATACCAGGCCGTCGAGGTTTCAGACGGCGTCGGCGCAAAAAGTCAAGACAATGGGATGGGAGCCATTGTGAGTGAATATTTCCCATCGACTGTCTGCGAGGGCGAGCCAACCAGAGGGCGAGGCAGGCGACGGAGCTCTAGCCTGCCACTTTCCATATTGGGAAAAACACAACCGACAATGGGCATCATCTGAACTTCAGAGTGCGCAAGCACAAGCAGATTGGCTGGATTCGATGGTCGATGGTTGATGGCTCGACCAATGGCAATTTTTCCCCAGTCACTGCTCAGTTTGCATGGGGAGGGTCGTGGTGATGAGCGATCGATCAGTCTCGCGGGCAGTAGCTTCCACGGGACCCTCGAGCCTGCCCGAGTTGAAGGCGAACATGGTCATGTTGCTAGATCTTGTCAACGTCGCATTACTTAAGGTCGTGGGTTAGGTTCTGCCTTGAGTGGGTCAATCAATTTTTAGGAACAGGCTTGATTAGTGCGCAGTAGTGAGCAAGAGGCCCGGTTACTCACAAGACAAATGCTGTACAAGCGGTCACTCCCGGGGAGCATCGTGACTGCCACCGGTATTGGAGCGGTTGTCAATTGAAGGAACTCGGTCATTTCCCGCACGAAAACTGAATTACCTGGTATTCAGAGAACCCCAACACAGTCTCAAGAGTACAAATTACTTCTATCTCAATTTGTGTCACTTGTGCTCTAGTAATTGGTATGGCAAGCAATGTATACCTAGCAGTTTCATAGTCTAATCTCCACAGTGGTCAAGGCTGGGGAGCACTTGGCTCTCTAGAGCTACTACAGCGCGCAAGCACATAGTACACATCGTCGAATGCAGTCTGAATTAATAGACAGACTAGACTAACTTGTTTGAATCGCCAATGCTCAAAACAGTGGTTGGTGAGGGATCGCAAACTGACCTTGGTCGTCGGTTTGCAGTCCACCCACTTACATAAGCACCCGCTCCCCCTGAACCCCCTGGAAGTCCACCAACGGTGCAGCCACGCTGGAGCTACTCGCTCACTCACCGTTAGCTCTGCAACTACGTCACACCCTGGCTGCCACTTGACATCTCGACCTCGACAACGAACTGGCTGGCTTCACTCCCACTCACAAGAAACAAGCCATTGTCCGAAGCCAATCGGTTATTGCCAATCGCCTTCCCCTGCCTCGACTCGAGCTATTCCAAGAAATAATAAGTAATACATCATCAAGAAAATAAAATGGCAACAGCAACCCTCTGCCGAGGCGCCCTCCGCCGCTCCGCAGCACCACTCACCTTGGGCCTCTCGTCAGGCCTCTTCCTCGCCCACCGCCAGCACCAGCGCCACCCCATACGCCTCGACGCCCTGCCCGCCTCGCGCCCCAACTCTCCCGCAATGAGCCGGGCCGTGGCCGAGTCGGAGGAATGGCTGAACCCGGAGCTGATCAGGCAGCTCTCCGGCGGGAGTCTCGCAGGTATGTGTTGCATGCGATGCACCCAACTCACTCGTCTCGCTTCAAGGCCCGAGCCGATCGATCCTGTGATGGGAGGACGTGAGAAGCCTGACACTTGTTTACTATAGGTTTCCTAGCGGGCCTAGTGGTCAGCGTGTTCTCCAAGACATTGGTCCTGCTCACGGGGCTGGCCATCGTCTCAGTGCAGGTGAGTTGCCCCCTCGTTGATGGGAATACGTATGCCCAGGTCCTCGGTTGTGGTCGCCTCGTAACAGATCATCGCAGGTGGCTTCGCGATGGGGCGTCGACCTGCTCGCCGTGCTCAAGATTCGCCAGCGCATAGAGTCCTCACGGGTCCTGTCGGCCCTCAACAAGAACCCAACCTTCAAGCTGGCTTTCGGCACCACCTTTGCGCTCGCTGCGTTCATGCATTTTTAAGGGCTATCTATGCACAACACCATAATATACAAACCTCATCATCTCCATACTGAATCACTCGCTGCTTTCTCATGTCCCAAGCACCAACCCTACATGGGTGGGCCGACCTAAAGACGCTGTCATAACAGAGCAATGATGCTTCTCAAATCTGTTTGTGCCAGGTGATGAACCAAAAGAACCCACCAGGGTGATTTTGTGAGGTGACTCAAGAGGTAGCACGAATCATCCCGGAAGACAGTGAGTTGTTGTAGGGGGATAGCTGTGGCGAGAAACCTGCCAAGTCAAATTCGCCTTGGAGGGCGACCTCTTGAGCACATCCGCTTCTGCTTGCAGCTAGCTGTATCTTCTCAGAAAGGCGCTGTTTCCCTCTTCAGCCATGCTAAAGTGAGTTCGTCATCCTGGAAGAAGTCCTTGGTCTTCTCGTAGATCTCCTTGTTGTGGTCATTCAGCCACTGCTTCTCTTCTGCTGACAGGAGGTTGACGTCGATTAAGTTCCGGCAGTAGGGTGTCATTGTCACGTGCTCAAAACCAAGAAATGGCCTGTCACCGAATTGGTTTGTCGTCTTGACTTCCTTTACGATGGCGATGTTCTCGATGCGAATCCCGAACTTGCCGTCTTCGTAGTAGCCCGGTTCGATCGACGTCACGTTCCCAGCGGCCATGTAGACCTCAGAATATTGCTTCCTAGTCCCTATACCTATAGGCCCTTCGTGTACATTCAAATAAGAGCCCACACCGTGGCCGGTGCCATGACGGTAGTCCAAACCCTCTTTCTGTAGACAGCATGTCAGTTTCATGAGCTTGTGCGCACGAAGTATAGATGTTCTCACCCAGAGGAATTGGCGCGCCAGGCTATCAAGAGCAAAGCCAGTCACACCTTTAGGAAAGATGGCCCTGTCGAGAGCGATGTTTCCCTTTAGGACTAAGGTGTTAGTTTGACGCTCCTTCTCCGTCGGTGTGCCGAAATGCAGTGTTCGAGTCGTATCCGTTGTGCCGTCGAGGAACTGTGCTCCGGAATCGCACAGATATACGGCGTTCGGGTCGATAATCGAGCAGTTGCCCTTCTCTGGTTGGTAGTGTATGACCGCCGCACTAGTGCATTGTCAGATCAGTACCACCAGCTTGTTTTCGACTCGCCTTCGAACTTACTTGGGGCCTGTGGAGGATATCGTAGGGAATGACAGCCCAACAAAATCCTTCTGCTTCGACCGAAGCTCCTCCAGCTTGTCAGCCGCCGTCACCTCGTCCAGCGTGGCTTTCTTGTTGACCAACTGATCCTCCAGCCATGCAAAGTAGGCCGTCAATGCCGCACCATCTCTGATATGGCATTGCCGCATGCCCTCCAGCTCCGTCTCATTCTTCACGGCCTTGGTATCGCCGACGGGACTTCTGATCTCTTCGACAGCCTCATCGCCTCCCAATGCCAGCTTCAATGCCCATGAACCTTTGGTTGAGATGGCAAATTTATTGTTCGCTGCTGTCTCGTCGCCACTGGTGCCAGTGTCGTTTCCGTTTACTTCAACGGTCTTGCTGAGCGCCCTTGCGTCGTCGAAGAGGCTATCATAGGGCTTGACGGTGACGCCGGACTCGGCCAGGTAACTGTGGCCCTCTTCGTCGAGCTTCGCCGAGTCGATGTATAATGTAGCTTCGTCAGCCGTAATTACGGCGTAAGAAAAGAAGACGGGATTGTATGGAATGTCGTTCCCTCGCAGATTAAACAGCCAAGCAATCTCGTCCAGCATTGACACGACGAAGCAGTCCAGATGCTTCTTCTTCAGCTCTTTGCGCAGCTCCTCGAGCTTCGTCCTTGTGTCTTTGCCGGCATACTTCTGATGCAGCAACTTCACAGGCTCATTTGGGCGCGGGGGCTTGCCACCAGCCCAGACTATGTCGACCAGGTTTTCGGTGACGGCGGCAAGGTCTAGGCCCCCTTTCCTCTTGATACTCTCGGCCAGCTTCTCAGCCGTCGAGCTGGTGAGCAAGGTTGGGTCTACACCAACGACCTTCCCACCGGAGGACTGGTCTGCAGACCACTCTTGCCAAGTGGGCACATCCTGTAAGCCCTGCTTGAGGAGGGTCCAGTTGTTGTCCAACTGTTTCGTTGCCTGGTTGAAGTATCGGCCGTCGGTTGCCAGGGCAGCCTTGTCGTGTGTGATGACGGCGCATCCCGCGGAGCCGCTGAAGCCACAAATGAACTTCCTCCTCTCATCGCAGGGTGCGATATACTCGGATGAGTGGCTGTCTTCGGACGGAACAACTATAGTTAAGCATTTTTTTTTAGATGTGTTCTTAACGGGAGGTTCCCGGGAGTTTCGATTGTGTGGACTAACTGTATATATCCAGCTTGCGCTCCCTCATTAGCCTGCGCAGCTCGGAGAGCTGGTAGCTGGTGTCGACGGTCTCCATCTCGGTATTAACAGAGCTGGAACTGAAGCAAGCCTTCCGGGATGGGGATACCGGGGCGGAAGTAAATCTGGCGTGGAAGAGCACGCCTCTGACCTTGTGGATCGCTGGCTGAAGCTGGGCAGAAACTGGCTTTACCTTGAAGGGGGCAAAGAACAGCCTGGGCGAGGACAACAACATGGGCGGGGCAGAAGGAGCGAAAGTAAAGAGAAGGTGTGAAATGGCGTCGACGGAGGGGAAGGTGGAGGGGAGGTTGTATGCTGCACAGTAACGGGCGGGTTGTGTCCACCCCCACCTTCCTCGAGTCGCCAATCGAGTGTGGCCCACACAAGCTCTCCTGCTGCGTTTGGCAAGTTTCAGAGCGTCTCCAGGGGCGGGCTGCACCACCCAGGGACTAACACACCAAGACTTCAGCCTATCACGCTGACGTCCCCTCGGCTCGGGCCATAGACAGGTACTGAACACAGAGACACCATAAAATATCCAAGCAATTTTAGTCGCAGGACTGAGGGGATCATCGTATATATACTGTCAAGCCGGTCGAGCAATCAGTCGATGAAGCCTTTTTTCGTGCTCATTTTTGGTTCTGGAGTGTTGTAAATAGACTTTTAAGTGCGCCGTTGGGTGCCCGTTGGCTGCATTGACCTCTTTCCAGGCCCTGAGTCCAATTCGTTGTGTGGGTTGCTTCGGCACAAGCTCAATTGACGAATGTCCACTCGAGCCATTATGGACGAACACCGTTGAAGTTGCATGAATGAATGCTTTCGCACCGCACGACCATCGTTATGTCGCATAGGCAAGAAGGAGCCATACAAGTACAGAGCCACGGATTATTCCAAGCTTGAAATGCAAGATCCTCCAGCTCAAGTTCAATGTCTGAGAAGCTGCAGGCATTCTTATCGATACGGTCAGTAACGGGTGTTTTCCCAAAATCCGCCCCACTTTGAGAACAAACGGCTCGTCCCTATATGTACGAGTCGGTGCTTAAATAGGTCTCTCTTCAAGCAAGTTGATTGACACCCGGGTCTTGGATGAGAGCCTCGACGTCCCTCACGGTCGCTGACCTGCACATGCTATTCCGTTGAACAAGGAGCCCCCCAGAGCAGTCTCCACCCTCGTCCGTCTCACAAACCCCACCACCCCCCACCGCGACCTCTCTTGTGCAGCACAGCAGTACTCCCATTGCACCGCCGTCCCTGAACGGTGCGGTGCGCAGGCTGAGACAATCTTTTGGCCGGGGCTGTTTGCCGGTCGCCATGTTGACTGCACAGCAAGATGGAGCCCCTACCACTGCCATCAAACCTGGACGAGGCCGAGTCGGTGAGTGTCTCCCACCTTCGGTACCGCACCAAGCAAAACGTGCCCACATGCTCACTTCTTCCAGTTGATATTGGCGCTGTACCGGCCAGCGCCGCCTGAGGTAATCTCACGGACCCAGGACGCACTGCAGCGCCTCCAGCGCTCACAGCTGGGATGGCAATTCGCACACGGCATGCTGGAGCGCCCGGACGACCAGGTCAAGTTCTTCGGCGCCCTCACCATCATCATCAAGCTCAACACCGAGAGTTCGGCCCTGGCCGAGGACGATGCGAGGCAGCTGCTCCAGAGCCTGATCGGCTGGCTCGTCCGGTCCCTGGCCGACGGCAGCGGCGCCCTCGTCATCCGCAAGCTGGCCTCCGCCCTCGTCACCTTCTTCATCCACTTCCCCCACCTCTGGCCGGGATGCGTGCACCACCTGCTCTACTGCTTCGACGCTGGCCGTGCGGTGCCAAGGGATGAGGCTAAGAATGCCCCTACTTCGGCCCTGCTCGCCGCCCTTGATGAGACGAGGTTGATGGCTGCTATCTGGTTCATTACTGTGTTCGTCGAGGAGATTGCAAAGACCGAGATGAAGTCACAAAAATAGTAGGTCGCATGTCTCGGCGTGGTCGCCCTAATTTGCTAATTTGCTGCAGCTTAGCAGTACATGAAAGCCTTGCCCAGAACTCAGACGATGTGACAGCCCTCTTGGCTTGTGGGCTATGCAATACCTCTCCCAGCGGCATCAGGATTCGCGAAGAGACGATCAAATGTTTGCAGGTAGGTTTTGACATAGACTGAGAGGAGGAACGGGGTCTGGCAAAGCACTTGCCATTCGGCCTTGTTCAGAGTTCGGGTGGGATCGCTAACAGGCAATGCAGTCTTGGATTCTCTACGAACAGCGGCTTCCATCGTCCGACGACACGCTGACCAAGCCTCTGCGCAATCTTATAATCCCAGCACTGGAATGCATACAAACCGAAGAGCTGACCGAGACGACAATGGAGCTGTTCATCGACATCCTTCAGAACTATTCTGGTTTCCTGAGAGACGAGCATTACGAAGCCCTCTTTGCCTTGTTTGAGAGTGACTGGTCCAGAGATCGCTATATGCAGCTTTCTTCCGGTGACTTCGACTTTGCCTTCACGCAATACGGCATTCTGATGATTGCTTTCGGCGACGCAAAAGTGCAGACCCTTATGGAAGACGTGGACGAGCGATCGCATAGGATGCTTCAGAGACTTTGCGGCCTTCTGAACTGCAGTGGCGTTCTTGTTGCGGAGGACAAAATCTTTGTTTCCGCCCTCGAATTCTGGGCCACATATGTCGAGACTCTGACGGATACAGTCTATTTGGAGGAGGCGACGGCTTACAGCTGGTTGCCTTTTGCCATGAGCCAGGTCATGGACGCTATCTCACACTGCTATGGCAAGATTCAGCTCGTCGATCATCCTACATGGAGCGAGATGGACTCCAATGATAGAGCTGGCTGGATCGAGGCCAGGAAAGACGTCGCCGATTTCTTGCTGGCGGTCTGGACTCTCAAGGGGAACTCCCTTGTGAGTACATTCGTTGATCTGCTTCTCCAAGCCTTGCCCGCCCGAGACTGGGCCCAGATCGAGACCTCCCTCTTCTGTCTTGGAGCGATCAGCGACTGTGTTGGGGACAGCGGAGACTGTGACCAAGACCTGCACAAGGTCTTCTCTTCTGAGTTGTTTCAACTCGTTGGCCCAGGACCGGCCAGGGCAACAATACCGCCTCGCTTATTGCAGACAAGCCTGTCTACAATTGAGCGATTCTCTGATTTCTTCGAGCGTCACCAGCAGTACCTCCCTGCAGCTCTCGAACTCCTCTTTAATGTTGTTGGCGAGGACGGCGCACTTGGAGGCTCTTCCTCCAAGTCAATAATGACGCTATGCTCTTCCTGTCGATCTTTGCTCAAGGACCACATCGAGGGTTTCCTCCAGCATTATCGTCGCATCCACGGCCTAGGAATCGACTCAATCGCAGAGGAGAGGATTATGACCGGTGTCGCTTCCATAGTCCAGGCGATCCCGGAAGAAGAGCGAAGACTGGGCTACCTTGAAGATCTCATCGCTTTACTTAACAATGATACCCAGCACTGCCTGCGCCTGAAAGAGCATCCACATTTGGCGAATGAACCGGACATGAAGTCATGGGTCGAGACCAGGCTTCGAGCTGATATCCTGTCACAGAAACATGCGCCAGCATCCGTGGATGAAGCTGCTCTCATAATAGCAGAAAGGATTTTGAGGAGCGTAGCAAGCATGGCCAAGGGCATGCAGAGCCTCTCTGAATCGCCTATTGAGCTAGATACTGAGGAGGAGAGGGTGCCGCAAATCAGCAACGAGCGCCTTTTGGGCATTCAGAACCATATTGTGACTATGGTCAGCCAAGTACACCAGGCCTTCGGCCATAGTGGTGAGGTGACAGAGACAATCTGCAACATCTTCCGAGCAGGCTTCTCCGAGACAGAAGCCGGCCCCTTCGTCTTTCCTCCAGCTCTTGTCATTCAATTCTTTACGCAAAACGGACCCAACAGCCCTAGGATAGGCACCATGATCAGCACGATGTGCTCTTTCGTGAGCTCCTTGAGCAATCGACCCAGAGCACAGGTCCTGGAGTGCCTCGCTGCTCTACTACCATGGGTGCTTGGCCTGTTGAAGGCGATATCGGGTGAGTACCAATCCAAAGACCAAACGAGAGCTACAAAACTCTGACCTTCACAAGAACCCGACAATGATCCCGATTTGACGCAAAGCGGTATTGACTTCTTGAATCGCATCATGTCGCGGTACCCCGAGGCCCTCCTACAGCTCCAGCCGACCAGTGATCTCGAATTCTTCTTCATGTTCGCGCTTAGAGTACTGGACGGAAAAGAGCCCCTACCGAAGGGTAGTGCCTGTGACTTCTGGGTATGTACTTCCACAATCCACCTTGCAACCCCTCGTGCTCAGATTGGAGAGATCGTGGCTGACCAGTCACAAGTCTGCATTCGTTGCCATCAAGAGCGACGACGCTTCGGTGCAAGCCTGGTTCAGCAACGCCCTAGAACACCTCGGACCTCTCTTGACGCGGTCACTTGTGCAGAATATCGGCGGAAACGCCTCACGTAGTGAGCTGGACAAGCTGAGTGACCCGCTGAAGAAGCTTGTCGTCCAGCACCCCCGGGCGAAGCAGTGGCTCGAGGCTGCTCTGCTCGACCCGTCGTTCCCCAGCACGAAGGTGACCGGTGAGGACAAGTCCATGTTCGCGAAGAAGATCATCAAGTAGGTCATCCTTTTCTCAACCTCGGTGTTTGTCCATCTTCAGGATATCAATTTGCTAATCCGGTTGTGTAGCCTGAGAGGAGCGAGGCAGACAAACAGTGTTGTCAGGGACTTTTGGTTGGCGTCAAGAGGCTCAAGTTTTGCGTATGCATCTTGACACTGATATGTTTGTCGTTGGCATATGGGAATGAACCTCTGATACAGATGGTCTGGGAAGATAGATAGGGAAGAATGAGATGCAAATCATAGATACCTCACATAGTAGCATATGCAGATGATTCCAACGCCCGTAATATTTGCCTGCTAGAATTGCTTTAAACATTTCTTTGGTTGTGTCTAGAAGTACAAGTATTCGAACGCGCGTTATTCCAATCAGGATGACGACAAATGTTCCTGGCATACATATGCACATGTCCTCATCCGTGTCCCAGTGATTTTTGACGTGAAGTAGGATGGAAATATGATACGCTGAGTATACAGAGCTGTATATCTTTTTACATATCTTACACCAAGCAAGACAAGTTGCTAAAACCCCACGGCCTCCTTGACAAGCTTCATCGTGGCGTCCGCACTCGCCCTGGCCTTCTCGGCACCCCGGGCCTCGATCTCATCCAGCTCCTTCCCATCACTACTGCCCAGCAGCTCCATGTACCTCTCACGTATATCCCTCAGCTCGGCGACGACCGCGTCCGCCGTCCTCTCCTTGAGCGCCTTGAGCGGGTGCTGCGAGCCCGCAAAATCCCCGGCCACCTCCTCCGGGGTCCTTGCCCCCTTCCCCTCCCCGAGGATGGCCAGGATCTCCAGCAGGTTCGACACCCCCGGGCGCGCCGCCGGGTCGTAGCTGACGAACCCGCTCTGCGAGTCCGTCACGGCGCGCATGACCTTCTTCTTGATGTCCCCCGGCGCGTCGGTGATCAGCACCCGGCTCGCGGCGTTGGCGTCCGACTTGCTCATCTTCTTTGTGGGGTCCGTCAGGCTCATGACGCGCCGCGCCGGGCTGACGATGGTCTCTGGCGGGACCAGCACGCGCCGCTGGCCCCCGCCAGCGCCGTAGGTGTGGTTGAACCCGGCGGCGCACTCGCGCGCGAACTCGAGGTGCTGCCGCTGGTCCTCGCCGACGGGGACGTGCGTGGCGCGGTGGACGAGGATGTCGGCGGCCTGGAGGACGGGGTAGGAGAAGAGGCCGAGCTTGAGGGCGGCGGCGGACTTGCTGTTGCCACCACCACCCTGTTGGGAGTCCTCGCCGTCACCAGCCGGCAGGGCCGACGCGTCGTCCGGCAGCGACAGCTTGCTCTTCCACTGCGTCATGCGCGACAGGTAGCCCATGGACGCGGTGCACGAGAGCACCCACATGAGCTCGGCGTGAGCGGGCACCGACGACTGGTGGAAGATTGTGCTGCGCGCCGGGTCCAGCCCCACGGCCAGCAGGGCGGCGAGCATCTCGCGCCGCCACCGCCGCAGCTGGGCCGCCTCCTGCGGCAGCGTGATGGCGTGCAGGTCCACCACCGAGAACAGCAGCCGCGTCGGGGTGGTGCCGCCGACGTCGCTGGCCGCTGCCTCGTTCTGCAGCGCGACCCACTGCGACAGCGCGCCGAGGTAGTTGCCCAGGTGTGGCACGCCCGTGGGCTGGATGCCTGAGAAGATCACCTTTGGGTTCGCATGGCTTGGAGATGTGGTGGTGGTGGTGGTGGTGGTGGTGGTGGTGTTGGTAGTTGAGGCTGGGCGGCGCTGCTGAGAACAGCTTTGTGGGGGTTGTGGTTGTGTGGGCGCGTGTACATTGCTAGATGATGCGACTTGGGCGGCCCTCACTAGAGACCTAAGTGTCAATGTTCTCCGTGTCCGCCTGCACAGCATTATGTTGTTGAGTCGCTCATCCGAGCAGTCTACTCGGTGGTGTGGTGTGATTTTGGAATTGAGGCGCTCTTTTTGGGAGGTTGCGCTTGAATGGTCTCGAGGTTCAATTGCAGTGCGCCGAGATTTCACCTGGGCTCTCAACTGCCCAAATCTATACAGGCTGGGTTATGCCAACGGTCAGAAACACGAGGTTTGAAACCCCATTTCATCAAGAATGCAATAATTTCAGTATCAGCGCGGGGCAATTTCTTGCTGCGGCAAATGTTCTGAACCTTTGAGGCGCTGGCGGTGTATTCAGCCATCCTAGAGGCCTCTGCAACATTGACTGCGTACGAATCTGTGTACCACAAATATAATACATTTTTCTTCATTTACAGTATATCTACCGACCTCCGGCCAACTTGTACCTCTGGCTAGTGAGGATCTCATCCACCTTCTCAACCGTCGCAATTTCCCTGTCCTGGCCCAAGAGGTTGTATTTCTCATCGATCAAGGGTTTGGCCTCCTCATATGCCTGGTCTAATTCTTTGGCGACATCTGCGCAGCCGAATCAGTACATAAAACGAAGTCAACATTTCACATAGAAAATAGCGAGACTTACCAAGGCTGCTGAACTCCCACATGTTGGCCTTCATACCCACACCCGCCTGCTGGTGCTTCTGCAGGAACGCCAGCCAGATCTGCACAGTCTCCGGGTGTCCGTCTCGGATCTGGATGAGTCTGCGGCGCGTGATACGCTCAAAGTTCTCCTGCGATTTTTTGAAGATGAAACTGGACTTGGGCACCGTCCACCTCTGGATGATCTTGGGCAGCGGGGTGGGGCCGTACGCGGGCAGGCCCAGGTAGTATGCCGCGCGCAGGGCAAAGTCGCAGAACGACTCTAGCGGCCGGATGCTGTAGGATCGCAGCTGCAGGTTGCAAGAGGGCACGTTATACTTTGCTTGCCGGCGGAGCGGTTGCAGGTAGAAAGCCTGCACGTTGCGCGGTAGCCGAGACGGCTCGTCTGGCACGTCCTCCTCCTCCGTGGTCTCAACTAACTGGGCGGCCTTCTCCTCCGTCTTATCCCCCAGTTCTTTCTCCACTGCTGCCTTCAGTCTGTCGTGCTTTGATTGACTCGGTTCCTTTTGAGCGACTGCAGCCGAGGAATCGCTGTGGCTGGCCGACTCCTGTAGCGGTGTCTTGTCGAGCTCGCTCGTCGCGATCTTCTCATTGACAACCTCCTGGGCTTCTGTTGCCGTCAAGGTCACAGGTTCAGAGAGTTCGGCCTCACCGCTTCCCACCTCCTCAGTTTCTCGCACTTCTTCCGCAGCCTTTACAACCTCGTCTGAGAGTGCAGCTGGTGTCTCCGCAGTCTCCGCCGAGCCGGTTGCGACAGATTCACCCTCGATCGTGGCCGCAGTGGTGGTATCTGGCTCCTTTACGGCCTCTGGGGCCTGGCTCTGCGATGCGACAGCTGCGGCCTCGTGAGCCTCCTGGCCTCGGGACTGGACCTCTCCCAAGACCTCTTCGGTCGCGGCAGAAGGGCTCATGTCATGTGGCGCGTTGTCCGCTGAATCCTCGAGGATCGTTTCGACCTGTTGTGCTGCACGACGTCCTTCACCCAGCTCTTCGAATTCCTGGAGGCCTGCCTGGATCTGCGCGGACAAAGTCTCCACCTCTTGCATTTTAGACCTGACAAATGCGTCGTCCGGCCGTGGGGCTAGGGTTTCCTCTTGCTTCTGCGTTGCAGCAGCCTCGGCCGCCTCGATTTGCTGCGCTACTACTTCCGAAATGCCAGCCTCGATCTCAGCGCTCGCGGTCTTGACTTGCTGAAACGCAGACTTGAAGGCATCGTTGAACCTCGGCAGGGCGGCTTCTTTGGAGCCTGATGGCTCGATCCCGCCGATTTCAGCTTCTGCGACCGGCTCCCCAGGGATTACATAGGCGAATTCGGTCGGCTCGGCCTGCTGGACTTCTATCTCGCCTTTCGGGGCTTGTGGCCGCTCTGGAGGTTCCAGGTGCTCTTCTGGGTTGACATCTTGGGCCTCCTCCGCCGGGTTTGTCGGCGCCGATCCCTGGGTATCGGGGGACGATTCCTTCGCAGGCTCCTCGGCAGAGCTGTCCGGTTTCGGGGTTTGGTCTTTGGTTCTGCACAACACACACATATCAGCGATAGATTCCCTGTCTTCTCCCAGGCCTGATCTCCGTATATTTTGCGTACATCGACGAGTTGCAGCGGAGCTGAGGGCGGAGCTGTGAGGCTCGGACGTAGTAGGGTGTGCGGATCGGACGAGAGGGCACAAGTTGCTAATTGAACCAGGTCAGCATTCGCAGAGCCTCGATTCGCTTTGCATTTTAAGAGACCTACCAGCCGCCTCTGCAATATGGCCCTCAGCGGCCGTAATACGGGTGGCGCATTCATCTCTGCATGATCTTGAACGGGGGACGCAGAGTGCGGATCATCAAGCTCCAGAAAGTTTGTGCTTTGGCTTGGGTGGGTATCGATTACAACCCCAACCCTGCCTAGAACCTGATGTGAAAATCTACTCTCTGGCAGGCAAAGCCGATGACAGTTACGAGAGCACAGTCATGGACTCCGGGGTGTGCACAAGATCAAATTCAAGAACAGTTTATGAATCTGAATTCAATTCTGCTTGCGGCTTTCTGTCTGCTTCTATCTCAAGAGCTGCAGGTGCCGGCCATGCCCCGCTGAAGCTCCTCATCTGGATGATGATGCAGCATCCGGTGTGCTGAGTTGTTCTCCCACCTTTGGCCACATGGTCATGACTGCTCCCTCCTGCTTTTACCGCGGTGTGAAAACAGTCGACCTTTCGCTTCGTGGCAAGCCTGACCGTCTGGCCAGGGCTCAAGCCTGCCGTGCGTACGAGCTAATTGTTGACCTGCCGTCATGCTCTGCCCGGATGACCACGCTGGCCATGATGCTCATGCTCTGTAAACATAGGGCTGGGCAGGTCCAACGGCGCAGGTCGATATCCAACTGTGTAGTGATCTTGCCTCCATCAAGTGCTCTGCGGAAACAGAGAATTTTGACGGTCAAGACTCCGAATTTCAGCCTTTCTTCCTCCTGGCTGCCATCAGCCTCTTGTAATGGCCCTTCTTGCCACTCATCTTCTTTTCCTGAATCTTCTGGTATCTGTCCTTGAACTTGCCATCCGACTCTCCAGTGGCCAGAACCTCCTCAACGAGGGTGCGCTTCCTCTCCTTCCTTGTCAGTCGTCCATTGTGGTGCTCCAGCGGTCCTTCGACCAAGGTTCCGACCTGCGAAAACGTGGGGATAAAATCCTTTCGGGAATCCTTCTTGAAAAACCGTTTTCTGTCGACGACGCCCCTCATCCTTAACAACTGAAATTCACGCTTCACCTTGGGGTCGGAAACATCAGTGCGCGGCATGTAGTGCCAAGCGGCGCCAGCGTTGTCCGGCAGAGACTGTTCATCAGTTAGCGAGCTGATCGAGACGACGACGAGCAAGACACAGGATGAGAGGTTTTCCTAATCAGAGTAACTACGACAATGAAAATCATGGATGGTGCAGGATCCGCCCCCATAACGGGTGCTCGTCGCCGCGTCATTCGAGTTTGGGATAAGATTTCCTCATATAGGAGTAGCGGATGGGAAGTGGAAGTGGGCGCGTACCTTCTTGTCGGACTTCAACTGGGGTACCCGAGGCGCCAGCTCAGGCTTTCTGTCAGTCTCCTTGCCGGCCTTGCCAACCAACGCCGCGGAGGTGATGGTGCTTCGGGGGCGAGCGTGAGTCTGCTGCTTGCCGTTGACGGCAACAGTCTGGTCAGCCGGCTTGCTGGCCAGTGAGAGCTCGGCAGAGCTCAAGAGTTGCTCTATGTCATGATCAGACAAATCAACGGCCGCCATAGTGAACGCTGTGAGTTTGTCCGTTCGACGGTGAAGGGAAGGGAAGGGAAGAGAATGAAGGGTCTGACGGCTAAAGATTTCGAAATTTTGAGGACGGAGTTGCGAAAAAAAAAGGCACCAGGATAGCACGGGCCACTTCTTAGGTTCGTATGTCTTTGAAAGGGAGCTAGACCAAAACGGCTAGCTGCCTCAGGGAACATGTCTGAAGGTACAGAGGTACTTGATACTTGTCAGGCCGGACTTGGAGATGCCGTCGGTGAGGTCACTGAAGGGAAACTGTGTGGCATCTCAACACGTCTCCAAGACCTCCACGGACACCCAAGCCCCCCCTGATCTGGTCTGCCACACTTTGCCAGCTGTCATATAGCCATGGATGCGCTACTGTAGCTGCAGGTGCTGCAGGTTTGGATTGTGAGGCTGCTTGAGATGGGGAACACGGACCGTCTGTGTCTACGTCGCAAGCGCTGGCATGTCATGTTGGTCAGAGAGGTGTGTGTGAGAGGTGTGGTGAACTGGGTGCAGAGCAGTGTGTGGTTGAGACCGAGGGAAGGGGCATCGGGTTGATGGAATACCTTAGGTGTCGGAGGTGCTGTGCCTGGGGGCGGGCGTGTTGAGTCCCATTTTCACTCCGGCTTGATGCCCAACCCTGCTGCTGGCCCTGACCGCCCCTCATACTTCAATCGTCATATTCCCTTCTAGAGTACATAGTAGTCGTCGGATTCCAGGTCTCAGCCCTGCCGATTTCGTCACGATCTTTTTGTCCAGCGAAGATCTTGGAGACGCGAAAAAAGCATATAAAAACCGTATGTTCGCCTGCGTGGGGACCTTCCGTCTCACACCTTGCTTGGGTGGACGACCCGGAACAGCCCCTCACACACCTTCCACCTGCTGCCCACTGCTCCCCTCCCCTCTTCCTAGCTTGCCCGCGCTAGCTGACTGGCCCGAGTTCGTCCTCTAAAACAGACGAGCTTCTCAGGCAAACTCCACCTTGGTCACCCATTCGCTACTCCGTACTTCAACTCAAAAGCCACCCCAGCCAATCAATTGACCGGTCGCATCGCAGCTATCGAGTAAGGTGAGTTCATCGATCCGGCCCATCCATAGAGCTTCCCAAAGATGGCGTCGGGACCCTGGAGACCAACGAGCGCGCGGCGCAACCGGTAGCGCGCCTGTTGCGCCTTGCAACTCGAGTCAACAGTCAAAGAAAACATCAAGTCGCCGCCGAGGCGCAAACATGCAGGCGCTCGGGTGCGAGCCACGGGAACGCTGGGCAGCGGACCAGCTCGAGCTGCGTCTGACGCGCCAAATGCGCCGCCCACAGTGAACCAGTGCTGATTGCTGTCTCTTTTTTCGCGCAACACAGGACTCGAAGCCGAGATCGTCGCCAAACTCGAGTCACCCGTTCTCTTGTGCATCGTGAACCCACCGGATCCTACAATCGCGCGACGGTCCGACCTCTTTATAAGTCGACTTCACGCACCACCAACCAACCAACCAACCAACCAACCACCCAGCCACCTCCCCCCTTCAGTTTTCCGTTGTCGCGTCGTTGTCGTCGCATTTCCATCCCATCATGGACCCTTCCCAGAACCAGCAGCAAGGGCAACAGCAACAGGCCAGGCCGGTATACGACACCAGCCACGGTGGACACTATGGTAAGCTACATAACTAGGCCTCCACCTCATGCGACCAGCCAGGAAGATGCTGACGGTGCGACACAAATCAGGCGCGAGCGCAGCGGTTTGTTTGCCCTCCCCCAAGAAACGACTGGTCGTTCTTAGCCGACTCCACCACTAACACCAGCTCGCAAACTACTAGCTGTCCGCCCAGGGTTATGCGCCGGCCGAGCTCTACACGGGGCCTTGGGCGAACGTTCACCAGGGCCTCAATGGGCAGTACAAGGATATCCTGACGACATACTGGCAGCAGACGATCAACCACCTCGAGAGCGACTCCCACGACTACAAGCTCCACCAGCTGCCGCTCGCACGTATAAAGAAGGTCATGAAGGCGGACCCAGAGGTCAAGATGATTAGCGCTGAGGCGCCGATACTGTTCGCCAAGGGTTGTGATATCTTCATTACGGAGCTGACTATGCGAGCATGGATTCACGCCGAGGAGAACAAGCGACGAACCCTGCAGCGGTCCGACATCGCTTCGGCACTCGCCAAGTCCGACATGTTCGACTTCCTCATTGACATTGTCCCCCGCGAGGAGGCAGCATCGCACTCTAAAAGGCAGGCTGGCCAGCAGCAGGCCGGCCAGGGTGTGCCGCAGGCAGCTCAGGCCTTGCCCGGACAGCACGTCCAAGCAAACCACGCACAGCACCCCATGGGTCCGACGGACTATGGCATGCCCGGCCACGCCCTCGGCACGGAGGCCGACTACCGTCAACCGCCTAACATGTACCCTGGACAAGTCGCCCCCAACCCTCAGGCTGCATACGGTCAGGCACAGGCTCCTATGTATGGCGAGATGCCCCCCATGTACGGCTATGAAGCCATGCAGCCACAACAAGTAAGTCCCCCTGTCTCATCCCCCATTGTTTGTCGTTCGTTCGCCTAATCGTTGTCTTTCTGCATGCACCACAAATGCCACCACCTGAGGAATATAATTCTTAACATGCTTCGTCTCGACCAGAGCGCCTGAAAAGCCCGCCCCGAGAGAGAGAGAAAGGAAGAATAGACGGATACCCTCGTGTCTTGATTTTGCTATTTTTTGATGCTTGAAACAACAGGACGTTACCCCACCACCAGCCTGACGCGGGTCGATTGGTTTGGCGTACACGGCAGACAGGATCGGCAGCTTTCGAACATGATCTAAAGGTCAAAAATGAAGTGCCCATCGAGTCGCTACTGAACATGGCGTTATCTTAGTAGAGACAAATTGACGAATTTCTTTGCTTTGCGATTAAGCTGGGCATTCTTCCCCGTGCGAGTATGCCAACTGTCGTAACAGATGGACACACCAGACGGAAAGGTAGCAGTGGCCTTAGCCTGATTGACGAAATACCGCCAGCGGCAAGATCGTACATGCGCTCAGCTCTTAAAGCCGAACCGTGACGAGAAATTGGCCATTGTAGCCGCAGCGCGATTTGGCGCCTCGACCGTGTGCGTGAGCTTCTCGAGCAGGACGGGCCCGTTCATGGCGTTAACGCGGCCGTAGTGCCGGTTCCGCACTGAAATGTCGTAGAAGTCATCCGCGTTCTCGGCCTGCAGCAGCTTGACCGTCTGCTCGAGCTCCTGAAGGACCTCCATGAGCATGAACGAGTTATCGAGTCCTTGAACGAATTCGACCAGACTTTGCACGTCCATGGCCATGGCGGCCACGCCGTTGGGGTTGATAGTCTTGACTTCGGGCTGGAGGGGCAAGGCCTGCAGGGGCGGTTTCGTAAGTACTTTGGTCATGGAGAGAGTCCGTAGCAGGAACGGTCACAAGCTTTGCGACTCACCAGTATTCTTTCGGCGGCATGGTTGAGGGCATCGTAGTAGATGAGCTCCTTGATTTCCCGAGGAAGGCCGAGCAGTGTCGAGTTCATGATGTTCGATAAGTACCTAGTCAGTGTCTGGATGTAGTTGCTCGGCTCGGTTGAAGCGGTTGTTGACATCCTGTATCATCAATTAACACCACCGCGGGCAGGGTAGAATCAGCCTTCACAGTGCTTCTCCCGACTCACCAGTCGTATTCCGCCGTGTCTACCAGGTCGTCAATCTTGGAGTTGACCAGCTCAAAAATACGCTTCTCGGCCGTCTTCTTGTTGTTCCTGAACTGCTCAGTGGCGCTCAGGGTCACAGGCCCACCGGCCGACGTCGAGGATCGAGCCCTGATCAGAAGTTGTTCCAGTTCCTGACACGCGATCTCGAAATGCTCCAAGTTGATGAGAATCTGAACTATCTGACCCAGGTATTGGGAGCTCAGTCGCTCGACTAGCGACTGGCATACCTTCTGGGTCAAGAGCTCATCCAGTGACTGCGAAAGCGAGTCAGAAAATGAGACAGACATTTTATGTCAAGTAAGAATGTTTTTTTACCTTTCTCAACGTGTCGTCAATGACATTGGGGTGCTGGAAGTGGTCATCGGCAAAAAAGTAAAATTGATTGAGGAAATTCCTGATGTCGATGCAGCATAATGGGTACATTTGCGAAAATGGCAGCACACATGGGAAGGTCAGTTCCTCGACCGGCGTGTCCTGCGTGAACCAGCTGACGTTGACGACTTTTTCGTATTCCTCGGCACTGTTGATCGCCATTGGCATGTAGTCATCTGTTGAAACTATCTCTTGGAAGTCCTCACTGAAGCGGCGTTTCAGCAAGTCGGCGTAAGTGTCAAACAAAGTGAGCAGGAAATTATCCAGCATGGTGACTGTATAGCCCCAGCCTTCCATGGATTGAATGAAAAGCGCATAGACCGACTTGATCTTGAGCAGCACTTCCGCGTTGGTGATATTACCTAACGAACGGGATGTAAGAGTGATTGCGGAAGTGCACATGGAGTCCCAAAGCTCCTCCACGTCCACGGCAGACCGCAACTGAGGCACGCGTCGCATCGTTGCCTTTTCGATGACCGCGAAGCCCGCAATGCCTTCCAAGAGACTATTAAGAGACGGCTCTTCTTCACCGTCAACGTGGATCGAGGTCGGTATCAAAAGATCTTTTTGCTGTCGTCTTGTTGCGGCATAGTCGGCACGAAGTTTATCGCTCCGACCAAGAGCTTGGTGAATGTGCAAACATTCAAACAAGGGCTGGAAGTCCACTTGAAGCTCCTCGTTGTCGAGGACGTCGAACTCTTCAGCTTCGTCATAGACAAGTTCGATTGCGGAGTTGAGTTTAAAGTTGCTGAGGGTATCGTTGGTCTCCGATCGTTCCTTGTGCTTTGATCGCCTCATCTCTGTATGATAGAATGTTACCTCACCCAAGAACTGCGAGGTCTCGCGAATGCGAAAGAGCCACGTATTCAAATCGTTCATGACAGCGTCGCCTATTGACTTCTGGGAAGTTGGGATTGACTTTTGAATCATGTCTGCCAGTTGCTGCTGTGTGGCATATTTGTTCTGTATTATGGGGATCAGATGCTCGTTCTGCAGGTCCTCCAGCGACTTCAGGGCGGCGTAGTATCTCTTCTTCCGTATCAACTCATGCGCATTGTTCACTGCGTGCAGTATCTTGAGAGATCCATTCAGCGCATCAGAAGCATCCGCAACGTTCTGCCGGATGGCCCTCTTGTCGACCAGCTTCTGCTTCTGCTCGGCCAGCTCCTGGGTGCTGGACTGTATGGATTGGTTCAACTCGAGGATCTCGGCAGTCAGATTGATGGTGCCCTCGCGGACCTTTTGCAGTTGCGTAACGGAGCTCAGGAACTCCTCGTGCTTGGTCAAGCCGATGTTTTCAATCTCGGCCTCGCGGTCCTCGGCGTAGTGTGAGAGGCTCTGGGCCAGGGAACTGGTTCGATTACTGGTGCTGGCATCTTTCAGGAGCGGGATGAGCTGGTCGAGGAAGTCCAAGTCGGAAGAAGCCAAGATGATCTAGGGAAGCTGTCAGTCGGCAACTCTGGCCGCCGTCCGTCCCCCTGGGCAAGACGGGCCACTGACCTCCCCGACGGCAGAGCCGTAGTCATCAAACGTTTGAGCCCTCCGTGGCATACTGAACCGCTATGGCAGTCGTAGCTACGAGGAGGGAATTTGGATCGCAGGGCTGGCACCAGGTGCGAGGAATGAGGTCGGTCCTCTCCTGTTCAACAGGGAATGGTACGCGATCACAGCATCAGAGGTGCTGCATGCGTTGCGCTGAGGAAAGTATTGGGGGCTCGGGGACAAGTGGCTTGAGAAGAGAGTGGGCTGCTTTTTTATTCTCTCAAGTATGGCCCGCTGTGGTGGCCCTAGATGTTAGCTATCGGTTGGACATGCACTTGGGATGAAGGCACTCTGAGACGGATTCAGTTGGACTGGACTGTTGGCCGGTGCTGAGTACAAGCGCATCATACTTGGGGCGGAATGGACTCCAGGCAGCAGGGATTGATGGCCATGCAGCTGACAGGACAGGGGTCCGAGCATCACCACGGCCCCCAGACGGCTCCCAGCCGCTGCCAGCTGCCTCTGACTACAAGCCTGGCCCATCAGCATGCTGGATGGCCTCACCACTGTCATTTTATGAGATAAGCCTAGATCGAACTAAATGAATACTGTTGGCATTATCATCATAGATCATTAGCTATATGGTTTCTTTTTATGATCATACAAATTGTTCTGTATCGAGGTAGATGCCGGTTCAGCAGAGGCAGTCCCAAGCCGTACCGAACAGCTCCATCAGAATGACCGTTCAGCAACCTCCTTGAACCTCGTCCAGCTGGACTTCAAATAACATAATATACCCAGGTACAGATAACATACAGATCACAAGCTGATCAATGGATAGTTGGCATTCATTCCACTCCGTGATTCCGTCTTGAGATATTACTTTGCGCATCGCCGTGGGCAACAGGGTACAGGTTCTAATGTTCTGGGAACTCCAACGGAGTCCAATGCTTACTGTCCTGGGGAGGTCTATTTATGAAATTGGCACGTGTCGCTTGAATACAGCAGTTTCATTTCCCAGATTATTTGTCTCCCAGGCATGAAACATGGTGCTCACAGAATCCAGAATGCGGGCACCACCCAGAGTTTCGAGCCCACCCTGCGAGAAGAATCAACCATGCCTAGGTACCTAGGTAGTTTTCAACACATGTTCATGTTTGATTTTCAGGGCTGGTTCGAAGTACTGAAGCTCCACGGACATTCTGGGGGGGGGTGGTGGCTCTTACGGTGTTGAAGCAGGCATTCAGAGGGAAGGTGCCTCTGGTGACAGCCACAGTTCGCTGAGGCCGAGAACCAACGAATTTTTAGGCAAACGAGAACGGCAAGGCCAGCCAGCACATTGGCAGTTACTCGTCGATGGTTTTAACTTCCCTCAGTGAATCAAAGTTGGGCTTTCTGCATAGATGGCGGTTCTTTGGTGAATCACTCCTGCCCTTCTTGAGCCCATCTTCGAGCTCAAGCTTCCTTCCTTCCCTCCTTCCCTTCTTTCCGACTTTCGACCTTCCAAAATTTCCTCCTTTCCTTATTCTCTCACGCTTTCCCTGGTATTTGGACTGCACCACCATCGTGATTGCCCTACCTGAACCACCGACAGTCTGGCCATCTGCCTCTTGTTTTGCGTCCCTTCTCCGGTTTCTCTCTAACCTCCGTTTTTGGACTTTTGGATCTGGACCTTTGGACTTTTGGGCATCGATAGCACCACACATCCACCCCGTCTTCCCTCAGGTCTCTCCCTCGAGTGCCGTTTGTCGCCTTCACCAGTCACCTTCCACCTCTTCTTCCCCTGTCACCGACACAAGCACGACTTTCCTTAATCACCTCGGATCTCTCTCAAAGTACCTGCTTTTCTAGCATCACCAACATCCAACAACCTCTATACCACCCTTCGAAACTGCGCCCAACAACCAAGATCACTCGTGGCGCAATGGTTCAGCCGCACGAGGCATTCCATCCGTCTTCGCCGCCCAGCGAGGGCGGTGCTGACTCCTACAACCACGAGGGTACGCCAGACACCCGTCTGACAGCCTTCTCTCCCCTGGAGGAGTCTTCCAAGTCCTCCCGCCTCTTCAGTGCTCTCACCCTGAGCGATGGAAACGACAGAGGTCAGTCCATCGAGTTCCAGAGTCCCACCGGCACTCACCACGTCACCTCACCCACCTCGTTTGGGCCTGGTGCCAGGGACAAGGACCCCTTTGTCAGCTCCCCTCCCGAGAAGCGTCAAACGAAACTGTCAGCTACTGCCTCAACTTTCAAGCCTCTCTCCACCCCGGTTGTTTCCACGCCCGTCGTTGCCTACGGCTCGTCTAGTGTCACTCCCAAGCCTCTCGGACGCACTGTGGCCACAGTTACTGTATGCCCAAAGACCGGTCTGCTGTTGGCGCCGGCCTTGAGCCACAACACGGGCTTGACCCGTTCCTTGCGCGTCTCGTCGCCGGAAGGTGTGTCTGCAGACGCAGTCAGACACTACCTCGAGGTGAGTACGATTAGAACAATGGCTTAGTGATCGAATTTTTAACCTCTTTTGACAGACTCTCGAGGCGTGCAGCGCTCCCTTCCAAGGGCATCCTGACCTTCCGTTCGCCCACGGCCCAAAGGAGGTTTACATCCGTGCCACGAACATCAGAGATGCTTCACGAATTCTGAACGGCTCCAATCGCAAGCCTGACGACTGGAAGATTGAGTGTGTCTCTGCCGAAGACGTCAACAAGGTCTGTTCCTTTCTTCTTTTTTTCCATTTTCCATGTCACACACTGACACGACACCAGTCATGCGGGTATGAGCTGGCCAGCAAGCATGAATGCCAGCAAACCCTTACCATCCTACCCTCTGCTGATCTGAGCGAGTCTCAGATTGAGGCCAACATACTCACGCACTTCAAAGATCGCGGTATCTACGCCTTGGAGCCACAGACCTCCAACATTGCAGACACCCTTCACTGGATCATTGAATTCGACGACCTTGATCCCGCTTGGGTCACCGAGACTATGGACAAGGGCTGGGTCCCGGTAGGCTCTCCGTCTGAGAAAGAGACCGATTAAGCGCCGCTGACTCTATTTCGCAGGTTGCGGACGTTTTCTACATGATGATGTCGCCGTTCGGTCTGGATGGCAAGACTCCACCAGGTGTTAACTGCTGCGCCCAGCTGCACTCGCCCGCCGTGACCAGCACTGGAAGTTTTGATGCCCCGAACGGACTGGACAGCATGCCACTGATGAGCTCGCCATTGGCAATGCAGTCCATGGCTGGAGCTGCATTTCCCCCGGCTCTATCATTTGGCAACCCGATGCACATGACCTCCTGGCCAATATACCCATGGCCCAATGCTGTGCATTCACCGCAGAGCAGCTACCCTGGCTTCATGTCTCCTGGTCCTATTCAAACGGCTACCCCTTCGCAATTCCAGATGTCGCCGATGTCATCGCACCAGTCTCCAGGTGCGGCGTCACCAAAGACAAACATGTTCGGCCGCCCATCTCCGACCTTTCAGCGCTCTGAGGGACGTCGAAACGCTGCCATGCGTATCAATCGCACTCAGTTCAGCCCTCCAAGCCCTCATCACAACCACGTCGACATCAATAGAATCAAAGCAGGCACTGATGTCCGCACCACAGTAAGTCTGAAACTGCCCCATGTCAAGTACCGTATTGGCTTATGACCACAGATCATGCTCCGCAATATCCCCAACAAGGTGGACCAAAAGATGCTCAAGCGCATCGTCGACGAGTCAAGTTGGGGCAAATACGACTTCATGTACCTGAGAATTGACTTCGCCAACGACTGCAATGTTGGCTACGCATTCATCAACTTTGTCGACCCCCTCGACATCATTGATTTCGTCAACAAGCGGGCCAACAAGCGGTGGAACTGCTTCAGAAGCGACAAGATCGCCGAGATCTCGTACGCCAGTAAGCTTTTGTGCTAATTGGGAGTCTTGAACTGGTACTGACGCGCAATCAGCCATCCAGGGCAAGGACTGCCTTGTTCAGAAGTTTCGAAACAGCTCTGTGATGTTGGAGGCACACCACTACCGCCCCAAAGTAAGGCAACTCCATCGATGAGGTGTTGCACTTCGGAAATGCTAACGTAAGCAGCTCTATTACACCACGAATGGTCCCGTGCCAGAGTTGGCTGGTATCGAGGAGATCTTCCCAGTGCCAGACAATCAGTCGAAGATGAAGCGAAGCTGTGAGAACGCGGAGCATGTTGGTGAGTAGAAGGATTTACCATTTGTGCTTAAAGACCAAGTTACTAAACTCGTCCCACCCTGAAGGCCTTTTCACACCCAATGCTGGCCAACAGTTCCGTGATGAGCAGCGCCACCGCAGATCCCAGTAAGTTGTATCTGTTGAAGCATTGCATCTCCAGGTGGCTGACAGGTACAGATACGATCGAGGTACTCGGCTTGCGGCACTTGAAGAGTGTGACACTTTCGACGTGTACCCTCAAGAGGCCGTCCACTAGCTTGCCTGTCACCTGGGAAGCCACTCGAGCCACGGTGTCGTCAAAAGAATCCACCAGACTCTCTTGCTATTTATGGGTTGACGCTGAGCTGCGGTGCAGATTTTGACAAGTTTGGCAATGTTTTCAGCACCAAGAGTTATCTTTTGCTTCTCTGCCTTCCTCTTTTTTGCCAAATGCTTGTGTGACTCGATCAAGCGTTTTACAAATCTTCAAAATCTTGATGAGGCGCGCTTGCTCACACGCTCTGCATCTTCTTCTAATCGGTGTGCTACATAATGGCAACACCTGCAGAATTGAGTGTCTTGGCCTAGGAGCCAGTTGGGGGTTGGCGATACGTCTGGCAAAGCAGGAAAGACATCAACCCACGTGCGTCGTTCTATGTCGATGGCATCAGTTTCATAGAACTTGGAGGGTAGTCACCGCTGGAATGTAGCCTAGCTCAAGTCAATTTTCCATTGGCTTGCACGCAATAAATTCTATATTGCCCCGGATGTCTGTTCAGCTTCCGCCGTGTCGTGCTAGTGATCTCGCGCTGCGTCAAGAGGTATACGTCGTTGGCCATTCTGGCGTTTCTGCAAGCAACCGTGGTTTAGACTCGACCTTGCCTACGGTCTGGACGATGTCGACTCAGGGCTTCCATAATCCGCGGCAGGCGAGCGTACCCCAGCCTGACAAGCTGATGTGCATTACCGTGAATACCACGACAGAACTAGAAGATATCCAGGACGTCCCGTGCCAAGGTCGGTTGAAGTTTTAGTGTGTTCTCTCTCAGGAGCGAATCGCGAGCCTGATGATTCCGAACGAGCCTGTGGCTTATGGATCACACGTCACTTTGGGCCGGGTGATCCAGTCCCTTCTTCCGGTGGCCGTCACGGACAGGTCCATGCTTCATGGCTCAAATCGCAAACACAAGTTCACCGTCTTTACAGCTTGTCAAATCGAAGTAGTGGCTCCGGAACCACGACCCAGATTTCAGGGACGGGAACAACCTGAAATTACCGTGCGGTATTTTCACTTCCAGTCTCATACGCATTGCTGTATCAATGGGCTCCCAAAAGCTACCCCATACATATGGTCGGCTTGAAGGAATGTCCAGCGCTTATCTGGAGCATTTTATCTCCACAAAGAACGAGTGCAAGCAAAAACATTCCGTGCTGATTGGGGATGATAGCAGACGATTTTAATCCTCAATAAGTGCTGGACGCCGTGACGTACAGTTCTTTCCCATCATCAGTGTCTATGAAGACTCTGCAATAATTTCCCGTGGCCGGATCTCCGCTGCTAGACCCTCGGATTGTACAAGGTTTGTGAACCGAGGACACCCTATGAACAGCGGGACAGGCCCCTGTTCGAGGTGTCATTGTCCAAAGTCGGGGGCCATAAGCCCAAGGCGAAACCCGGGCAATATCTGTTGCCGTCCAGCCTTCGGGCAAGCATCACCAGCTCTTGGCTTGCGGAGCTGATCAGGCGGCCGGAAGTGGCATCCCCGGCACGGTTCTGTTTTGCCTTGGAGGGTTGAGTTATGTAATGCTTTTATTGAGTACCTCATCCTAAATCTCCATGCTGAGGAACATTCGACCCTAGATGACGTGACCGCAAGGCTCTCAATACTTGATACTTCACTCAGCCTCGTGCTTGATCCAGACTCAGAACCAGCGACTACAATTATTTTAAATGATGGTGATATCCTTGATCTCGGTATTAAAAGAATCATCCCAGTACATACTTTCCATCCATCCCACTCTCCTGTACTCATTTTCCCTGTTGCCCGTAGGTAGGATGGCCAAGCCTGGGCCATGGCCAATGCTCGCAAATTTGATGCAAAAAACAACCTCCACCCCTTCTCTGTCGTATTTCTCCTGGGGGGCATCGAAGTCCATCACTCCGACGCTCACTCCATCAGCGGTTTTCACGCAGTAATCGTACGAGCTGGTGGCCCATAATGCACCGGGAACCAGCGCCGCGGTACAAGTGAGAACGGCGTGCGTGACGGCTCCAAAAGGATCATTGGTAGATGTTTGGACATGGATGTCCAAAACCTTGAGCGCGTACTCGGCAGATTCTGCGCTCTCTGGGGCCGAGGTATGAACATATGAGATGGGGCCTGCCACCGAAGCCCACGACCATGTCGGAGCAACATACTCCGGATAACGTGTGTTCGTGATGGTACGTTGGTATTCGTTGAAGCCATCACGGCCTGTTCGCGAATACCATTGAAGACCCTCCAGGAAATCGTTTTCCCACAAGCCGGCCAAGTATCGGCAGTTGGCAGGCTTGTAGTCCCGTACAGCGGCAGCCAGACCAGCTAGAGCCGGGAGCTTGTCGGTGAATACAGTAAGATGTCTTGCTGAATAATCCTCCACGGCTCGACGCCAGGATCTGTCAACCCTGCCACTGCTGATTTCGTTGTCCAACATCCGGCCTGGCCAGGTTTTATCACCTGGTGTGTCCTCGTCGTCTGACCAGTATTCTACTTCCGGTATCCCGTTGGGGAGGCCCTCGGAAGCTCGGACTGTACGGCATTCCCAGAGTACCTGGGTCTCGGTGTAGTACAAAATGCGCCGAGAAATCTCTCGTTCCTGGAAACACCAACCGCGGGAGACAAGGGGGCTTTCTCCGTATGTTTCCTTCTGAGGTTTCATAACCACGATTTCCTGGCCCGACCCATCCTCCTGGGGGCCCCGCACACCAGGAAGTCTCACGGATAGGATATCAGAAGGATCACCATGCCGGAACAAGCCTAGATCGGGCTTTGTCGGCGGGACGGCAGCAGCCACAGTGAATTCGGCGTACCGGTAAATTTGGATCATCAGAGCTGCCTCGCGGTTCCAATCCTCCGGGTCGTCCTGGACAATACAGAGAGAATCAATCCAAACGTAACTGATGCCCATCGTGACTGCAACTTGGAAAACGTCATTGAAAATCTGGGGCAATCTAGAAATGCTGAGCCCGCGCATTTGTTCATGGATATTGTCCCGAGTTGACTTCGCTTCAGCAGGAAAATCTTCTGGCCAGCGATAGCTTAAGGCGATATATCCGCATTCCGAATACTCCATACCATTGGTAGACACGAGCCTCGGCTGCAAGTTCGTATCGACCTGATTGCTCAATGATAAGGCTCTCGACGTATCTAGATAAATCAGCCTGGTGGGAAGAGATGCATTCCCCAACGATGCCCGGCACTCTGGATGCTCATTCTTGCAAGTATCCAGCCAGGTACGGATCTGTTTATATGTTTGAGGCGACGATGTGTCTTCCGTAATGGGAACTCTGGAATCTATTCCCACATCAGCGTCCAGCATCCAATTTGTATCCATTGCTTGAGCAGGGGCAATGCTGCCCTTGACGAGATCTCACCTGAAAATGGAACTACGACAGGGAATTCTATCTCTATCCGAAGACCATTACGCCATTCTCCGTTCGGAGGGAACGGCTCATGCACAATACATCTCATTGTGGGTGGCGAAACGGGCCGTTTTGAGAATGAAACGGGCGACGGCTGAGGTATGGAGATGGACGTGATTGCCAGTCTCTTCGAAACGAAGCAGCAGAACGGGCAGCCTGCGGCGGCTGAGGCCCTGAGCGCTGTCAGAGAGGGATGCAAAACAGTTTCGTTTCCAAGTTCCCAGAACAGGTCAACCAGGGACGTCTTCCGGCACGCCTCACAGTGCGGATCTGTGCCACGGTCAAGCGGCTGATCGATTGGCGGCGGCGGTTGAGAGTCGAGGGCAGCTCGCACCCGGTCCTGAATATCAGCATCTCCGCTATAATCGGCAGCCTCTAGCATGGTCTGCCCCCAGTAGGCCGTTGCGTGGATATCCGCGCCCGCGGACAGGAGATATTCAAAGACTTGAACATGGCCACCTCGAATGGCGAGCAGAAGCGGTGACGCCGTCGCCCCCGTCGCGTTGACCTCGGCACCGGCGGCCAACAGCAGCTTCACGGCAGCCAGGTCGCCTCGTTCCGATGCATTCTGCAGAGCGGTTTGCTTCCAGCCTCCGGAAGGATTGGAGTTCACGTCGGCCCCCTCTGAGAGCAGCACTTCTAATATTTCCAAGTTGCCATCTGCAGCGGCCCTTTGCAGCAGGGAGAGATCTTCCACTTCAAAATACCTTTTACTATGGAGGTTGACGTCGGGGTGCAACTGTAGCAGCTGCCGTACGATATCGGTACTGTGGTTCTCTACTGCCTTCTCCAGCGCCAGGGTTGCGGCCCGGCGAGCATCGTGTAGAGGCATTATTGAAAGCAGTCGTGCCACGAGATCGGGATTTTTCACCTCGGCCGCAACCGAAAGGGCGGTCTTGTGCCCAAAAACATCCACATCCACAACGGCGCCAGCGGCCAGGAGCACCTCTACCATGGTCGTGTCGCCTGCTCGAACGGCGGCCTGAAGAGCAGTATCGGCGTACCGGCAGGGCGCATTCACGTCGGCGTCCGCATCTATGAGTAGTTTCACCACTGCCAAATGCCCACCAACAGCAGCTAAGTGGACCGCCGTGGCCCCGTCCAAGTCTGTCTCATTCTCATCGCTTGCATGGCGTATCGACTCATTAACATCGGCCCCCTTGGCGAGCAAAAGTTCCACGACGGCCTGGTGACCGTGGTACGCTGCTAACTGCAGGGCAGTGAAATCGCTCAACTCCTTCGCCCTTGACCAGTGATAAAGATCCTGAAGGCCGGGATCAACATCAACAAGGGCGCCAGAGTGCAAGACGAATGTCAGGACATCCAAATTACCCGCGGCTGCCAGTTTCCGGATGTCGATCTTTGTGGCATCACCACCTGCCTGTGTGAGAAGCTCGATCAAGGCCATGTTTCCCACGTCCACGGCTGATTGCAGCGCCGCGGTGACGGCAGCCGCGGGGAGGTTGCCCTGATCAGAACCAGCCTGGAGCAATTTATTCACCGCTTCCAGATGCCCCCGTGAGGCTGCAGCCGCAATGGCGTTGCCAGCACGACCAGCTTCGGCAGTTATATCGGCGCCCGCGTCCAGGAGTCTCTGTAGGACAAGCATATTGCTAGTCGCCGCCGCTTTGACAAGAGCGTTGTTGATGCTTGTTCGGGCGCGATCGAGAAATTCCCTAGTATCAAGCAGCCTCCGTGAGTCTTTCTGTCGGCCTTCGGCCACCGCATTGTTGAGGTCGTCCGGATCGAATTCTTTGGCCGTATCTTCAACGCGTCCCAGGAATAGCTCCAATAAGGTGGTGCTAGAAGTTTCTCCTGCAGCCTCAATGGCTGAAGAGGTAACGTAATTGACGGAGATGTTGTCAAAGTAGCGTTTCGAGATGCTGACATCTGCGCCATTTTGCAGGAGAGCCTTGCATATCTCTACATGGCCAGCCTCGGCTGCGGCTATCAAAGGAGTAGACTCCGAGCGCTCGCCGCCACAGTGATCGGGATGAGCGCCTGTTCCGAGCAACTTCTGGACGACGATAAGTTGGCCTTGCGCTGCGGCCGCCTCGAGCGCCGAGATTCCCACCTCATGTACTGGAGCATTGGGGTCCGCCCCAGCCTCCAGCAGCCGCTCCACGGCATCCACGTGGCCCGCAGAGGCCGCAACTCCGAGGGCTGTATGATGGTCGCAGCGAACGGGCTTATCGTGGGCGCCGCCGGTAGGGTCGAGGGAAGACGAGTTCTCATGCTCTTCGGCTTCCTGTGCCAGCAGCGAGGCCATTTCCTGGATGCTGCCGCCGCCACCGACGGCGAGTTGCAGCGCTCTGCGCCCACTCTCGTAGCTGGCTGCTGAAACATCCAGGGCCATTGCCGAAGGCGAGCGGGCACTCGGTTGTGAGTCTGAGGATGAATCGATGACCTCGCTCATCACTGCATGTCCCGGGGCAGCTGGTTTGATGGAGGCTGGCGTGATACGGCAACCAGTGTACTCAGCCCAAAGGTCGAAAGGATTCGAGTTGCATTGAATGCTGCTGGCTTTAACGAGTGGGTGCCGAGCAGGGGCAGTGGTAGGTGGGGGAACACCTAAACCAACACTTGGGCAGTACAGTTGGTGGACAACTTGAGGTCAATGTAACCCACTAAAGATAACCCTTCTTCTCCTCTCTTTAAGAACAACTGCCTCAGTCACTCCCAGAAGCCTTACAAAAAGACATTCTTACAAAAGAGCAAGAATTACCACAAACTATAAAATTTTGATGCTTCTTATGGAATTGACTAATCAGCCAAAGGAAACATCTTAAAAAGTGAGGTCGGATTCTACATGCAAATTAGGCCCGGTTATAAGCATGGACTATTGGTTGGCACTGATGCTAGCTATTAAACAGGAGGTGTCTTTGTGTTTGATATAGATTACCTAAGTAAGTCGGGATAAATTGGCAAACGGCTTTGTGATCTTTCTAATTAAGGCTTGCAAGTGATATCGCAATTTGCACAGTGGATCAAGTGTCGGCAACAAGCTATGTTGTGACAGCTTTCTATGGTATGGCAAGAGAGGTAGATACAAAATAGCCCGTTAAAAAATGCTGAACTCGCTAAGTAGTAATTGTGTCGCGGGTCTTCATCACAATCAGGAAAGATATGCTCGGCAATATTTTACCTTATACATGTATTCCTTTTGTATTTCTTCTTTATGCTGGTTTATCTTGACATTGTCCCAGCTGAAAGAAAGTTCTAGGGGAACTCCTCTGCTCGCATGAGAAATTCCGCCCTTTCGCGACTGCATCATGCTCACGATCTTTTCTCATCTTAGGGAGCTTCCGCATCCCGTTCCATATAACATTAATAATAGAGTTTGATGTCGGCTTTGGTCTGTGCAGATGCAGCAGACTGCGGCCAGTATCATGGAACAACATGCAAACCCGGGCCCGAATAACACCCAATCCTTGTTGAGTTCTACCACAGTATGCTATGTATAGATCTAAATCGCGGGCAAATTCTAGCCCAATACAAATTTGCACCAGCGACTCGGGCCTTGCCACTGTATACTTGTATCTGGCTAAATCCAACTCTGCTTCTTCCCAGGTGCCGCCTTTTCAGTCAGTTTATGTAAAAGAGTTTTGGAGAATAAACTCTGGCCTTACACGGAATGTTCCTAGAAAGTTCCGAGTCTGCCTTTGGCTTTGTAAAGCAGCAGTCATATAATCACATCCAGACTTTTTCCAATTTACGTGCCAATACACAGGCCAGGATCGAGAATGCATGCCGAAGAGAACAAAGATGAAGCCATCCGGCAACCAATTCGGCATCTATGATTTGGAAATATTTGTTATTTGACCTGGGACGTCGCTCTGTTGTGAGGCCACGTTTCCGATCTATCTTCAGCGAGCCTACTGCCATATTTGGAAAGAAGCTGTCAAACAGCGACCATTTTGCTTCTGTTCTTTCCCACACTGTATATCATGGAGTCTAAAATGGCCTGGGATTCTCGGCATATCGACGCCTCGGGTCGATTGAGAGCAAAGGCCCAAATTGTCCTTGTGGTAAGATCGCCTGATCCAGTCACAATAATGCAGAAAATCTCACCAGCCACGACAGTCTATGAGCTTCCTCACCGCAGCGCAAGATGATCGCCATGGTCGGTTCCGGCCTCCTCTCGCAACAGACCAGCGCCTTCCTCGGTGACGCGTCAGTCGCAGCGTGAAACAGCGAGATCCCAACCATCTTCACCCTCGCCCTCAGCCTGCCCCTGAGCCAGGCGGCGGACCACTAGGGCCGGAGGTAGATGATCATCGCCCCGTTGCTCCTCGCCATAGCGGGATTCCTCATCGTCTCGAGGGCACACAGCATTGTCATGCTTCCCGCAGGGCTCTGCGTCGGCGGCAACCCGGCGCGCTCCCGCATCTTCTGGTACGTCGCCGCCGCCGTGTACGCCATCGGGGCGGCGGGGGTCTTCTTCGGGTACAAACCCCCGCCGCGGCCGTGGGAGAAGATGCGCGAGCTCGACTGGCTGGGGTATGCTAAAGTCAAAGTATGAAGGCCCATAAAGGTAATTATCTACCTTTGTAAGTTGCTAGGAATGAGATGTTCTGGGCGGGCGGCCAGAAAGAGCTGGGTAGGCCGACTGTGGCTGGGTACCTGGGTTGGACAGCAGTTTGGTCAGCTGATGCACGTGGCTCCGGTCCTGTCAGATCTAGTCAGTTCATTCCCCGACAAAAGAAAGGTGAAAATCCATTGGAACAGCAACCGGCGGCGTCGAATGATGGCAGAGATCGGTGCTTGCCATTCGACAGTCATGGACAACTTTCGAGAGGACCCATACGCTGTTCTTGGCATCCGCCGACATGCAAGGCCGGGAGATATCAGAGAACACGACCGAGACTGGCTTCCGGAGATCAGACAACGCTACCGAGACTTGCTCCAGGAGATCCCTCCTGATGAAGCTTCCGACCCAGCTGTGAGAGCATATAGAGAGCGGGTGCAACGAGCGTACAAAATGCTCATAGACAGATGCAGTGATCGCAATCCCCCGCGACACTTCGGAACTCCCAGTGTAAGATTCTCTCTTGAGACAGCGTCTATACCCATGCGTGGACCTCCACCAGATGCAGTATACGGCAATTCATCTACAGACGAGGAACACAGTGAAGCTCGACGGCAGAAAGACCAATGACTTCAGATTGAAAAAGACATTGAGGAGCGCAACAAAAGGGTTCACAAGCACCTCAGTGAAAGCACAGGAGATGAACTGCCTCAAGATGAACCGCGGGAAAGACAACAAGACCCGATGCGACCGCTGATATTCATCGGGCATTGCTTCGGGGGACTGGTCATACAACGGGCACTGATCACAGCAAGACTTTGTCCCGAATCGGAAACTGAGGAGGCTATTCTGAATTCTACAGTTGGGGCCGTCTTCCTGGGCACGCCGCACAGGGGAACCGGGGCTTTTGGCTCCCAGAGCGCCTTGCTTGCAGCTATTGCGGCACAGTCTGACCTTTATGTATCCATGGAATCCGATGTACTGGACGCCATGGAAGCTGAAAGAGGCGAATTACTGGATGTATCCGAGGACTTTCTCAAACTGTCTGTCAGGGCGGATTTGCGTATAACTTGTTTCTTCGAACAAATGGAGTCCAACCTTGGCAAGATGATTGAACGAGATGATATAAAGGTAAGACACAGAGATGTCATATTCGTATGCAAGCCCAGGCTGATGTATGGGTGCAGCAATTCGTTGTGGACGAAACATATGCAAGATTAGGAGCCAACCGGGCAATCGGCCTTCCAACTGACCACTTCAAGCTCAACAAATTTGCCGCCCCCGAAGATGGAAACTATCTCGATGTGGCGGGCGAGGTTTCTCGGCTTTACACGGAAGCCCTGGAGCTGGCAATCGAGAGACGCTCTCGAAGAACCGACTCGGTAGGGGCTCTAGAGCAATATCAGCGGCTCGTAGCGAAACAGGAGCTGAAGCTCGAGGAGGCAGCAAAAGAGGCAGCTCTCAAGGAAGAGGACTTCGAAAGGAGATTCCAGGAGATATTGGAACAGAACGTGCTGCTGCCGAAGGATGATGTGATGACTGGAAGGCAGCAAGCTGAGCGCTTGAAGAGAAACATGAGGAGATACGGTCTGGACAAGCGTACTGTCCACAGAGTTTTGCAGGACAATCCAATTCCAAGCATGGAGGATTTCTCACACGATTGCATGCAGGAGAGGGACGAGTGGTACCAAAACTCGCTGAAAGAAGCACTCTCTGAAGCCGGGTTAGACGAAGGCAAAGTTGATGCAATAATCCACGATACTGGCGAAACGATGGTCATTGAGGGTATGCGAACGAGCGTCACGAGAATGTCAGAGAGGTGGCTAGATGAGCGCACGCTTCAGGAATACGACATCCCTTTCATGCGCGATCCGGTAAGCATGTTCAAGCCCAGAGTCCCATCCATTACAATTATTAAATACCGACGCAGGAACAATCATCAATCCTCGTTATCAAGCAATGGGCTCCTCTTCACGAGAAGGAGATTCTCTGGGACCATACCCAGGACCTAAGGGCTAGATGGGAGCCGGAAGACACAACATCTTGGTACGTGCCTGGTTCGCCAGAGGAGCTTTGGAGAAATCGAAGCGCAGAGTCGATTTTGTCGCCCCCTAGTAGCCAGGTTATAGCTCAGAGAAGGAACAGCTCTAGGACCCTACATGAGCAAATTCGCAGTCGTCAGAGCAGCATCGATTCCGTTGCTCGGATACCTGTGCTGGACCAAGATGAGGATGACATGGATGTTAATGCACTAGAAGAGGAGGAAACAAACACTATGAGACAGGAAGGTGGAGGAAAGGCATTGATTGCGAGGAAGGATAGGAAGACGAGGGAAAAAAAGGACATCAAGTAAGTTGCGGTTTTATAGCGGCCACTAAGGTGCAGTTAGATAATAGGTACAAGGCTTGATTAACTCTATGCTAGGGGTTCCTAAAAGGGCTTATTTAAGAGCACTATATGCCTTATCTAATTAATATATAACTTATAAGGCTAAAGCTAGACATTAAAAGGAAAGATGAACGAGGAAATTCCAGGGAGGCTAGAAAGGATAGAAAAACTAGAGAACGAAAGATGGAAAGGTTAATGAAAATTTTGAGATAAGCAGAGGATGAGGTTGAATAGTGTGAGAAAAATAGCAAGACACGTTTTTTGTCATGTATTGAAGGAGTCAAACCCTCTCGGCAGGTGCGAAACAAGGACAGTCCTCACGGTGTGATGGATATAACTACACAGACAGGCACACAGACAGGCTTATCAAAGTGAATACTTGAAATAGTTTGGACAGATCGCATTAAGCATGCAGTTAAACTTTCTCAAGAGTTTAGATTTCTTCAGGAACCTGATTTACATACTCTGAGTAATCCTAATGCATGAGGCACCAAATATTCATCTGAAAAATAGGATGCTACTGTCCTGTGGTATTGTTCATCCGAGCCTGGTACCCCTTGCAACCCGGCGTTGCTCTTGGCGGGTTTTGTGTCGTACTGTGTGGGCTACATTGAACACGAAGAGTGTAACGTATAACACAGTAACTACCAAAATGATGGCAGCCACTACTGCGAGGCAAAGTATGGTGGCGGCATAGGAAAGCTTCTGCACGGCCGCTGAAGCGCTCAGAGTGTCTGTAGCCAGGGCGACTTGCAAGGCCGAAAGAATTGTAGTGCAGAAAGCAAAAGCGAGGATGATCCATCGAAATCGCCTCTGGAAAAAGTCGCTGTACGTAGGGTGTCTGGCTCCTCCGTAGCCCCATAGTAGATCTCCCAGGCTAAGAGGAGGCATGAAGCGAATAATGTGATCCAGGCGATTTAATCGAAGCCCTCCGTAGTGAAACCTCTTGTGGACTCCAGCCAGACTGTTGACATCCATGCGGCCTGGATTATGAATGTCGAGTAGCGATTCCACCAGTGTACGCCATCGAGGCCAGCTCACACCCGGGGGGAGGAGATGACTCTGTTGTGCAAGCATCCAGTCCGTCTCCCTCCGGAGGAGCCACACATACGAAAGCAGAAGGCCACGAGCTGAAGCTGCTAGATTTTGATCATGCATGATATATGTCGTCCAAAACCAATGTGATAGTAGATATGCCGGAAGGGGCTTGAGGAATAGTCGAGACGTGGTCGGGCACCAGACCAGATGTAGGTCTGCACGTTCCGTGGGGCAGATTGTCCGTCCCAGGCTGCTCGCCTGTCTCTGGAGTGAACGGGCTGGGCCCTGGCGACCGGCCCACCAAAGATAGGGATACGCCTCGCTGAGTCTTGATAGATCAAGGTCTTGCTTGAGAAATAAGGGTATGTGTCGAGTAGTGAGGAGAATTTCGTCAGTGTCAGAATCGACGAAGACACAGGGAAGGCTGTCAGCTAGTCCGCCTGGATGACTCTTGGATGCCGGGCCCCATTCCACCAATTCAGCGTCTGGAGGGAATGGGACAGCCAGTTTAGGTGACTTGTGCCCAATCATGGTGACTGAAGGGCAGAGACACCGGCTCGAGACACGTTTTCCGGAATCTCAAGCTCCTTGAAACGGAAGCTGTCAGCTTCTGAGGTTCACCAGCTCATTCACCAGCAAGCTTTATTGAAAGAAAGTTGAGCTACCTGAACCAGTTTATTGCATGTAAAAGGCACTTGGATCACGTACATAAAGCCAAAGAGGCTGAAAGCTCGCAGGTGCAGGTGGCTGTATTCCAGAGAGCGTCACAGCTTGCTTTGAGGGGAATCACACATCTGACCAACTTTGCTAGGCATCCAAGTAGCCAGGTGCGATAGCTTGTCTATGGGTACTAATAAATGATGCTGGCCAGAGTGAATTCTGATGAGTCGATGAGCACTGAAGACAGAGCAGGAGACATCATGAGCATTAAAGACAGCAAATGCAGCATGTTATGCAGATGAAGACTCTTGAAATGAGGGGAGGGCTGCCTCAACGTCCTTTCTTCTTGACAGAAGGCTGACCTACCTGGTCGGGTTAGGGTCTGATGAGACCATGCGTAACTTGTATCACAATAAGTAACTTGTGATAGCAAAAGAGAGAGTAATGCAACAAGTATTTACGGCTTTCATGTAGTTCACTAAAGCTCAGACTGTAACTATAGAGCATGCCTCCACTCGGGCCTCCGAAATCCGGGGGCTATATCAACCTCCTCGCCTCGATCCATTCTCCGGTTCAGCTTCGCGAAGTGCACCCTCATCACCGCCGCCAGCAACGCCAGAAGCACGATGAAAGAAGCACAGGTGAGCAGGCCCCTCTGGTACACCGGCGCGTCCTGCGCTCGGAACGCAACAGAGCTGATAATACCACCGATCGGAATCGCAGTAGCGAACATGCCCAGCCGAAGTGCCCTCCCAGTGGACGTAGGGCTGCTGCTTGCGATCCACTCAGTCACGAGCGGCGGCGGCGTAAAAGTCCCAGCCATGAGGAGGTAAGTGAGGAAGTAGCCGACGTCGACCCCCCTTCGGCCTGAGAGGTCCAGCGTGGCCAGGAGGATCCACGCCAGGCCCGCGACACCCGCGAACGAGGCGATGAGCACCGCGCGCTGCTGGGTGCGGTTGTTGAGGAACGTCGCGCCGAGCTGGCACGCCATGGCGGTGAGGTGCGGCCCGATGGTGAACAGGTTCGCGCGCACCGAGTCCCTGGTGAGCCGCCGGATCATGGACGGCAGGAAGTTGGCCGCGCCCGTCAGCGCGACGCCGAAGCTGAGCGCCATGAGCATGAACGCCCAGCTCTCCCAACGCAGAAGGGTGTCGCGCGCGTCCGCCCAGCGGAACCTGTCCAGCTCCTCGCTGCCTCCCGCCCCGGTGGCGTCCAGCGTGCCCTCCTCGAGCCGCGCGCGCGCGAGCTTCTTCTCCTCGGGGGCGAGAAGAAGCGGCTCGACTCGACGCTCCGCGGCAGCACTACGAAGAGAACCACCGACATCCCCACCGTGATGGCCCCCTCTATCAGGAACAGATACCGCCACCCGCTGAGCGCGCGCCCGCGCCACTGGAACACGGCGAAGGAGATGAGGCCCGACACGGCGCCGGCGACGTTGACGGCTGAGAAGAAGCAGGCGATGCGCAGGCTCAGCTCGCGGCGCGTGTAGAAGAGGCTGCCGTAGTAGCTCGGCAGCGGGAGGAAGGCGGCCTCGAGGACGCCCAGGACCATGCGGCAGGCCAGCATCCCGCCGAAGTTGCGCGTCGCCGCGCCCGCCATGGCGACGGCCCCGAAGCCGAACATGGCCAGCGGGAGCACGCGCGACGGGCTGAACCTCTTGGCCAGCAGGGAGAAGGGCACCGAGGAGAGGGTCAGGGGGATGTAGAAGAGCACCAGGAGGAGCTGGAACTGGTTCCCCACGAGGTGGAGGTCGCGCTCCAGGGTGTCTGATTTTGCATTGCCGATGTTGGAGCGGTCTATGGCGTGTGTGAGGAGGCCACATGCTGGAGTATGTGTTAGTATGAAAGACTGATGAAACTATCGTCTGAGAGTCAGGAGCGGGTGTGTAGAGCATTCGTGGAAGATGCATACCGAGAGCTGGGAGAACGAGTATGTCAATCTTCCGGACGAGTTTCCTCTGGACCTTCTCATCGATACTTGGTGTCAAAGTAGAAGACGATGGATTGCTTTGCAGTCCCAACTCCGTCGCCTTCTCCGCCGCCGATAATTTGTTGACGTCCGGCATCGCCAGCGTGCTTGTGATCTCCAAAGCTTTTCGCCAAAGGAATTATTGGGTGAACACTGATCCAGAGATTTACATAGCTCCAAATTTCATCAGCCCTATGATCAGCCGAGGGGGGCTTTAAGCTTATAAAGAGCCCCATTAATGCCCGTTGATGTGTCAAAATGTGTCAGTTTCAGATCGGCAAGTCATGGACACAAGATCGACTGAATTGCCCGAGGGCTTGTTGGGAGCTTGTGTTTTGCCAAGCGTATCATCGTCGCTTCACGGGCCTATGCGTTGCCATGTAATGTACCGGTCGGTGCATTTGGGGTTGTTAAAACCAGTCTCTCATGTTGTGCCTTCTGAAGCATTATTATCCATGTAGTCCTGCTATTAGTACAACACGTGAGCTAGTCAAAACGCGGGAATACAGTACCCCAGATCCTCATTGTCGAAAAGGATATCCCTGTCAAGAAACGCTTCAGACAGACACGTTACACTTACATCCGCTTCAGGATGGGAATCAAACTCTTGTGCGCCGACTGACCGCAGACATTGGAGAGGAGAAGCACACGACCATTACACCTCGCAAGAAACTCCGCGATGCATCTCAGACGCACGATCTGAAACCTCTGTCGATTGTACCATTAGGCATCGAGGGCTACACTCCAGGGACGCACATCACTGGAAATTCACAGACACGGTTTACACTGCACTGATGGAGGGTCAGTACACTTTTCTCGAACAAGACACGGCAGTACCCCGGAGAGACATTGTTCAAATACAAGTTGCTATTCCGCTAAGAGAGTCATACAAGAAACGCTATCAAATCTGCTGTTATGGTGGATCCTGCTCCGGCAGGGCTGGCAGAGGTTTCCGCGAGGACTCTGCCCCCAAATCCGACAGCGGTGATCGTGTCAGTGGTGGCTTGCGTGTTCCCGTGATATCATCGTCAGAGTCATCTATTCGTTGCATGTTTTCCACCTCGACCGTCGTCTCTCTCGAGTCGAGATATGGCGCGGACGCGCTGTCTGAGAATTCATCCTCGTCATCCCCCTCCTCGTCCTCGCCAATCTCGATGGCCACCGATGACATCGGATCCGCTCGCACAGGCTCGAAGGCCTGTGGTGTTGCGGTGCTTGTCTCATCCGAGCCCTGATCATGCCTATCTCGGTCGAAGAACTCTTCATCTGGCGTGAGCTCATTGATTCTGATTTTTGGAGCCGTCTGAGAATGTGGATGCGGGCGCGGTGGTGGGGGTGTGTTGTTGTCGTTACTATCGAACTCCTCGGATGTTGGTGTCAGCGGCAACACCTTATCCGTGTATGACACTCTTCGGCGTGCGACTCCATGTCCATGCCGAGGTGCCGGGGCTTGCGCGCCGGCTGGGTGGAGCGCGCCCATGTTGCCATTGCGGTCGGGGGTATTTGATCGACTGATGGACTGCGGTGACCCGGGTGGCCATCGCGGTGAGCCGATATACGAGTTTATCAATTGCGATGTGGAACTGATCGGCCACTGGTCGGCGCTCATACCACCGCCACCGAACACGCCTCGGCTTAACACGACCAGGACAAGACAGCAGAGTAGCAGGACAGACTGGAATATCGCCATTCGCTTCTGGAAAATGACTTCGTCCCTAAGCGCGATAATGTCGCGTTGTGACTGCTCGCGTTGCGTCTCCAGGGCAATCACTGTAGACTGCCAGATCTGGTCATAGTCCTGGCGGACTCTGCGCAGCTCTGAGAAGACTGTACTGTTGAGATTATCAAGAAAAGAGTCCACGCGTGAGATTTGCTTGCGCTCCATTTTCTTGAGCGCCTCCTGGAGGAATTTGGACTGCTCCTCGATATATTGGAGGGACAGCGTGGTATTAGACTCGAGGAACTGAAGTCGCTTGGACACAGATTTGAAGAATGACTCTTGGACCGTTGGGGACGCTGATGCGGAAGACGAAGTGCCGGTTGCGTTCTTATTTTGTGAGTTGGTCCTCGAAGACTGTGGGGAGGACTGCCCGGCTGCAGAGTTCTTCGTGGCAGGTTTTGACGATGGCGAATTTTGCGTCTTGGACGAAGCCGACGGTTTCGGTGGCGTCACGGATGATTTCGGAATGTCCGCTTCCACAATCTTCTGGATGGTTTGTGTTGTGTTCGCCGCCGTATCAGCAGCTCTGTTGGAAGTCGGAGAATGAGGAACGGGTGATGTGGATGTATTTGAGACAACATTGGTCGATGTTGAGGAGCTCAGGGAAGGGGAAGAGGCAACTGTAGAAGCGGCTGTCGAATTTGCAGCGGCCGCCGAAGCACCGGCTTCCTTGGTGCTTGGGGCAGACTGAGAGGAGGATGGGATGCTGCTGTTTGGTAAGGCTGATGGGGAAATATCGAGCGTCTCTGTCATTGTGGGTGTGCTGATGCCGCACGTGCCGTACGAAGAATCGATGAAAAGAGGAGGGTACCACGGAGACAGTTCGTGCCCAGGAGACACTTCGCTGATTGCGACAGGAGCTGCCGTTTCTGCGGCGGTGGGCTCGGCTTCGGCCTCGAAGGCACTCTGATGCATGGACTCTTCCTCCGGAACCGCCTCAGGACCAGAAATGGTCTCGGCTGGTTCGTCGTCCTCAATACCGGCCTCGGCGTCCTTCCAAGAGTCCAACATCCGCGTTCCGTGAACTCGGAGTAGAGACACAGGGCAGTAATATTCGTTTCCGTAGTGTGACAATAGCTCGATCCGGATGTACTTTGCCCATATTTTGGGGTTCTCGACGAGAAATGACTGTATATCTCTGGAGTTTCTCGCCTGAAATGTCCCCAGGTCCTTCCACTTCTCCATCTTGACTGGGTACTTGTCACTCACGCTCACACGGAAACTGCGTATCATGCTGGAGAAGAACTCGAAGTTTGCCAAAACAATGGTGTCCACAAGAATGTCCTCGCTGAGCTCGACAATAACGAACTTGTTCTCCTGAGAGCATATGAACAGCATATAGGAATCCTTGTTTTCGACGAGGATGGCCTTGGAGTTTTGGGCGCCAGGGCTGGTTTTCAGCACCGTTGCACCGCCATCGAAGGACGAGTAGGAAAATCTCTCCTTGCAAGTCTTTCCGGCGTCCTTGGGACGGCGATAATGGGCAACGCCGTTGTCATACACAGTCGTGTCTTGCACTTCTGCGCTTGGCGCGTCGGTAGAGGCGGTTCCAGCCCTGGAACTATCAGTGGCCGTCATCTCCGAGATCTTGTCTGACAAAACGTCAAAGTCCAGCGAGATTTCGCCGTCTTCGCCCCAGCCATCGAGACCACCGCCCACATTGGGGTCCGCATCTCGGGCCTCACGTCGCTTCCTGTCCTTCAGGTCGGCTAGGTCTTGACCCGACTTCTTCAGCATCATAGCCTTCCACTCATCGAAGGACATGAACGAGCCCGTGGCCAGATCCTCGGCATCCTCCTCGACCTTCTTAGCTGCTGCGTCCCCGTCATGCGTGCCTTGTCTTTCCCCATGGGAGGTCTGATCGGTCGGTGCGTCGGCTTGTGTGCTGTTCTCCGCTGGCGCCTCTTCCCGATGCGAACCCTGTGTCGCTGTCGCCGTCGCCGTCTCGCTTGTCGAGCCGGAAGAAGATGATCCAGTGGCGGTGGCGGCGGTGGCATTACCCAGGGCCGTTTGTTGCGACGCAGACCAGGCTGTTGGCAGACATAGCTGTGGAAGACTGTGGGTGATGTAGTTGATTGTCCTGGCCTCGCAGAGTCCGGTGGAAGCAGCAAGGGAGGCGTCGGTGGAGCCCTGGCCGGCAGAAATGCCGGGGGGGCCAAGTAGGAGGAGGGCCCGGAGGGAGGGAGGGCTCAGGAGTGGAAGTCGCATCGTTGCTGTTGGCAATCCATAGTCGTAGTAGCAGAGTCGTGCTGTCGTCGGGAGAACGGACAGGCTCGACTTGCGCGAAGGAAACACGTCGTCGTTGAGGCAGCTCCAGCCTGTCGTCAAGACTGTTGAGAGGCTGGCAAGGGAACTCGAAAAGCCTGTTCTGGACCGGACCAACAAAGGTGTCCAAGAAAGTGCAAGCCCGTCGTCATTTCTGCAGGTCAGCGCTTGCCTTTACTCCATTGAGCCCCTAATCAATCCCAGACAGGGATCCAGCCCCAATTGCCGCCCGTTAAGCTCTGGCGGGTTCCGGAGGGTCCAGGCCCCAAAGACCCTGCCTGCTGCCAGATCATGCTGCACGGAGCGCCACGTGCACCGGGCATGCTGGGGGGATAGGTGGAATCCAGCCTTGCTGCTACTTCCAATCTGCATGACGGAGTGGCAGATCCACGAGATCCACTCCTAGAGCTCGGCGTTTCCCTTCAACACATTGCCTGCCAGCTGTCCTGACTAGACTGACTGTCTGTCTGAGTATTCACTCACCCTCGCCAACTCTAGAAACCGTCCTCCTCCTCCATGGCATAGCACCAGGCCGCCCGGATTCCGAACCCCGCCCCCCAAATCTCCCACCATGTCAACCCAGAGGCTGAGCTTCCTCTACCCGCACCTGTTTCGCACAGCCAGATTGGGCGAATCTGCCGCCGGAACCAGAGGCGGCCGCTGTCGGAGACGAACCATAGCCACTCCCACCAGCTCCTGCAACCACCCTCGGCATGCTACAGCGTCATTCGGGACCTCGACGACCTCAAAGAAGGCGAGCTTCGCGCCTCGAGTCGGCAAAGGTATCGAGCCCAAGCCCCTGGGCACCGTGCAAGGTGCCCCCGCCCTCGAATCGCACATGACCGGGTCCAAGCAGCCCTTGGGGAAGGTACAAGCTGCTCCCGTCCTCGAGTCGGATGTGAAAGGGTCAGCGCCGCCTACAGCGGGATCTTCTCCTCCCCCCAAGAAGAGCAGCGGCAAAACGGACCCCAGAGAGAGTACACCCGAACAGAGGAAGGACGCTGCGAGGGCTCTGGACCCAGCCACGGACCCGCCCAAAGAGACCCTCAGCTCGCCGGGCGTGTCCTCCTCGGAAAAGGCGAAGGAAGAAGGCAGTGCGGAGGCACAAGACCAGGATGGCGCCCATAAGGGGAAACGCGCGAGCGGGCCCATGGACGCCGTCCTGCACATGGAACCGCCCGAGGACAAGAAGCCCGAGGACAAGCCGCCGCAGCTCGCGCCCTCGCCCTACGTGCACCACTTCGACAGCTACTCGCTGGTCAAGCAGCTCGAGGTGGGCGGCTACACGCAGACGCAGGCTATCACGGCCATGAAGGCGGTGCGCGCGCTGCTGGCGCAGCACCTGGACACGGCGCAGGGCGGCCTGATCAGCAAGAGCGACGTCGAGAACGAGACGTACCTGTTCCGCGCGGCCTGCGCCGAGCTCAGCACCGAGGTCAAGAACAACAGGCGCGTGGCGGACGAGCAGCTGCGCCAGCAGCGCACCTTCCTGCAGCACGAGGTCGACAACACCACCCAGGCGCTGACGCAGGAGCTGGCCACGCTCAACGATAACGTCAAGGGCATGTTCAACGACCGCAAGATGGCTGTCAGGGAGGAGCAGAAGGCCGCGGAGAGCGCCGTGAGTTTTTCTTATCTCTCAACCTTTCCCCCATGGCTTCGGGTTTCGGTATACTGACATATTTGTAAACCGCAGACCCAACAGATAGCCTACAAGATCAGCGTGACGCTCAACAGCGAGTCCAAGTCTGAAATCGAGGCCGTGCGCTGGGTCCTGGCCAGGCGCGCCGTCACCGGCCTCTTCTTCATGGTCACGCTCTCGCTGCTCGCGCTGCGGGTCAGTAACGCCGTCTCGCAGAAGGAGAAGAAGGAGGAGGAGAAGGAGAAGGAAGAGGCCGCCGCCATCAAGATGAACGATGGCAGCAGGGACGTGGCGCCCTCGCCGGACGCCGCCGAGATACTGGCCGCGAACTAGGAACTTGTAGATATACACGCATAGATACATACACACGCTGCGCAATGCATAGAGATACCCCGAATAAGAAATACAGTAAACATCTGCCCGACCATAAAAACCATGCTTTTCCGGATTCGTGAGCAAGTCCCACCACTTGGAATTCTGCTGCGCTGTGCCAATTCGTTGGAAACTTTCTGGCGTTGAAGTGCGGTAGCCATCTGCACAACTTGGTTGACTTACATTTGCGGTCACTCTTGCGGGCATCTTGCCTAGAACATTCCTATCTCCGGGTCGTTTAAGAATCTACCGCTATGGTCATTTTCGTAGTGACTAAATTGCATTGTAAATTTGCAACTCAGAGTGCTATTTTATATATTTGTCTAAGCTATGGTATCACTTGAACACGTAGCAAAACGACCGCATCTAGCGGGTATGCGTCTAGGTTGGCGCCCTAATCAGTTGCCGCCAAAGTTCATCTTGAGCGCAATGGTGGGCTGCCCGGAGCCCGAGTCCGCATCCTTCTCGACGCTCTCGTTCGTCCTCCCGCTCTTGATCACCTCCTCCATGAACGCCTTCTGGCCCTCGCTCATGCCCGCCACGACGCCCCGGAAGCTGGCCGGCTCGACTGACGCCAGGTCCAGCAGCAGCCCGCTCGTCTCGCGGTAGATGTCCTTGTCTTCGGGGCCCTCGGTCGAGGCACGCGACAGCAGCGTCGGCACCACTAGCGACATGGCGATGGCCGTGTGGTCCTTGGACACGACGCCGACGTACTGCGAGAGCGTGTGCGCGACGAGGGGGCGCGCGTGCTCCGGGTCCTCGTGGTCTGTGGTCGTCGCGAAGGAGATTAGGCGCGGCAAAAGGAACCGGGAGATGGTTTCGTCGGCCACGGTGGGTTTGCCTCGTAGGAGGAGCGATCGAACGCAGTTGGCCGCGATCTTGGCAGTCTGGCTTCAGTGTTAGCAAGGACTAGTCGATGGGGCAGTTGGCGACACATACCATGCGATCCGTCAGACAATCCACCAACTCCTCCAAAAACTTGGCCACAATGGGGTCGTTAGCCGACAGGTGATTCTGCCCACCTGTGAACAGAATGGTGATGGCCAACAGGCTTCTCTTGACATTCGCAAGGTCCGTCGGCCTTTCCCGTTTCTGCGCGTGGAGGTAGATGGATAAGAAGCGCCGCAAGCAGCCTTGAAGCTGGACATCTGCGGGCCCGTTGTTTCCCTCCCGTGGGCCAGCCATAGTCGCGATGAAGCGTTTAAGTGTTGGCAGAGATTGCGGTACGACAATCTCCTGGCACAATGGTGTCGATAGAATAGTAGCAAAAATGTGGATAAGGCAAGCATGTAAGTCTGTCTTGATGACAGCGGGGAAGACCTCGGCAGCATCAACTAGGGCATTCAGGGAAGTGCGGATGAGCAGCACGGCCTCTTCGGTCAGGACATGGCGGACGGGTTGGTTTGCTTCTGTCAGGTTCGGCAAAAGCCCGGCCAGCACCAGGACAATGATACGCGTCAGCTCGAAGAGCTGCTCAATGTCCTCGGACAGCTCTCCATTGTCTGCCTCCGCAGACTTCCTGGCTGCGGGATGCGCAACGCAGAGCGCCCTGGCAATCTCAACAATGACGCCTTGCACGTCCAAGCCCTCGGTCAGCACAAGCCGATCCAGAAGATCCATAGTCTCTGAGAAGATGGCCTCTCTGTAGATGGCATGACCTGAAACGCTCGGATGCAAGATCTTCTTAAGAGCTTGGAGAATCTCGAGTGTTTGCTCCTGGCGAGCAAGGGAGTCTGCCTGGCCTGGTTTCGCAGCAAGAGCCTCGAACGCGATTCCGAAGAGAACGAAGAAGAACGCCAGCGGCTCATCGCGGTAGTTGATATCTGACCCCCTGGAATGGCCATTGGTTGCCGCGTCTGCAGTGGTCTTGCCGTCGAGGGCATCGAACACGAATTCACTGTCTTGTCCGATCAGACTCGCAATAGCATCTACAAGTTTCAACCACGAGTCCTGGTAAAACTTGAGCAGTGTCTCTCGGTTGAGCGCCGCGTAGATAGTGTCCAGACTGCCGGACAACGATGGTGGGCCGAGGGTCATCGAAATATCTGGCTCAAATCTCAGTCGGGCGAACTCCCTGAGTGACTCCAGCCACAGTGGAGTCAGCATGCCAATGTGTGCTTTCAGCACTTCGAGCAGGTAGGGTTGCTCAGTGCTTGCAACTTGCAACTCCGCCCAAGCCGAGAAGACCGCCATCTTGACCATGACCTGGGCATTGGAGCTCAACCCCTTCAGCTCGCCTATGCCGGCGTTGTCGGTTTCGGTGGCGAAGTTTTCGAGGGCGCTCACGAGAGTCTTCAGGATCCTACCCATTCGATCGACGTCCTTGACGATACCAGTGGCGATGAAAGCCGCACACACATTGACAGCCTCTGACGCCAGCTCAGGGGATGAATCAGCAGCGAAGGCGGGCGTTAGAGCCGAACTGATCTGAGCCTGGTACTGCTCCAAAAGCATTGCCTCATCGAAGTCTGGATCAGGAGTCTTTCCAAACATCTTCAACACTGCGCCGATGATTTTGAGACCCCAGATGCGTTGTTCCAGCACACCAGAGGTAGAAGCAGAAAACGCCATGCGGACTACATCTGCGATTCTGCTCTGCAGCGCCAGCTGAGCAGCGGACTCTCCGTTCGTCATGACATCCTTATTGATGAAGACAAACACGTCGTTGAGGAGGGTCATCGCAAAGGCGATGACTTGCCATCTCAGCGGTTCCACGTCGGAGCCCGAACCGCCCTCTTTGTCATCCTTGGCCACACCACCAGCTGCCGCGAACCCGGCCACCTCTTCGTCCTGTATGTCAACGGCTGCTGTTGCCCTCCTGGTCAACACCTGGATATCGGCGACAGCTTTGGGTCTTGTGAGCTTCAACACGCCTTGGAATCTCTGGAGCCAATCTGCCGTGTCCGTTAAGCAGGTCTGACGCATCCAATTCTGGATGATGTTTCGAATGCCATCGTGATCGGGGTTTGCGTCGAGTGCGAGCCACAAGTGGTCCTCCAGGCCTGGTTCTGCGGCTCGTATGACATCGTATGGGTCGCGCTTCATGATGTTGTAAATGCCGTCAATCGCGACGTCTCGGAGTGTAGAATGACCCGAATTCAGGTACTTCTGAAGCAACTTGACATAGTCGGCGAAATACATGTACCCCGGCGCATACAGGGATAGATGTTCTAGACAGCCAAGGCTCGCCGTCTGAGCTTTTGTGTCTTCTTCATCTTGAAGATACCCGACCAGGGTGAGTATAAGCTCTCTGGACTTACTGATGTCTTGCAAGTCTGGGCCGAGGACGTTGATCAGAGAGTCGACGCATCTTGTGATGGATGCCGTTGTGGACAGCTCCAACTCCAGGTTCATGGAGATCGCAGATGCGACCTCTGCATTGTGCGTATCTGACACGTAGAGCTGGGCAAGCATGCCAAGCGCGCTCGAGACATATGGAGAGAAACCCAGGCCCGCGGCATCGGCAGCACGCGCCAGGGCCTCTAGGGCCCAGAAATGCACTGTCGGGTGCGGATCGTTACAGAGTGACATGAGTATGCCGAGGATAGTCTTGAGATGATATCCAGCAGCCATGCCGCCAACTTTGGCCTGAATACAACCCAGTGCCATGGCACATCCTGCTCTGGCACTAGGCTCTCTGTTGACCACGATTGTGTCTACGAGGAACTTGATCTCGGAATTCGTGAAGGCATTGCCGCAAGCGTTGCAAAGGCGAGCAATAGCTGCGTAGCCCAAGTTTCTCACATACTGATCTGTGTCGAGCACAAAGCCCCTGATCGTGTCTTGAAGCAGCTTTTCGACTTGCAGATTGGTGACATCTCCCGGAGGCGATTTCGTCTCCTTGACGGCAACCTTGAGCGTTGACAGGAAGGCTGTCGCCACATTGACTTTGATGGCCGCTCTCCGCGCTGCGTCGCGTTCGCCTGAGCCAGCTGCCATGAACGAGGCGATTTGTTCCAAGATACTCTCCTGGACCTTGGCTGGCGTAAGAGGGAATGCGAATGCGAACAATTGGATGGCCATATTTACGACCTCGGTAGCCGGAGGGTTCGTCAGGCAGTTGAACGCTTCTTGTCCGCCAATGTAGAGGGTAGATGCGTCGTGCTCCAGGGCACCACACACAGGGGACAACAGAAGGTTTTCCATCGCATCTTCTGGGCTGTTGTCCTCTGTGAGAGACTGCTCCACGGCGCTTTCATGCTGCCCAGGTAGCCACTTGACACTGAACCCAGTGACAAGGCCGGTGACACCGTACCCCGAGTTGTCGCCGACATCCCAGATCGTCTCGAACGTGCCGGCGGAGCTCGCAATCGCCGCACTCAAAGAACTGGGGGAGTAGTTTTCGGGGTCCGCAAACAATGAAATCGCCAGCGTGAGGAGATTTGACTGCAAGAGTGCCTCACTACCGCCAGCTGGACTTGTGTTCACCAGTTTGATGTAACATTGCATGACGCGCCTCTGGACCATCATCTCGATGTCATGAAGCTGCAAAGCCGGGGCCAGTCTCTCGGAGATATCATCCGATATTTTCTTCTTGGGCAGTGTCTTCAAGAAGGCCGTCGTACTTTGCAGCATGGTCGCGATTCTTTTCGAAACGTCGACGGTCAAAAGTCGGCTATTGTACTCTAGAAATGCCAATATAGAGCCCAGAGCACATTCTCGCACGTGTGCGAGGAAGGACGCCTCTAGGTAATTTCGTGCCGACGTATTGTCCTTCGCAAGAGGCTTTGGCAGCGCGTTCTTCCAGAGGAGGAGCAACTGGGACAGATGAATCTTGACGAAGTTGGGCCCCAAGGACATGAGACCTCCGATCAGTGTCCAAGCAACTTGGATCTGCGTGCTAGCGACACGAAGTTCTTGTTTTCCACTGGTTTTCAGCAAGTTTGTCGCCATCGTGAGCACGCGGCTGTTGATATCGACAGAGCCGTACAGCGGCCGGGCCGGACTTGCACTAAGCGTGGCAGCTAGGCCGTGAGAGAAGCCAGTGCATTTCCGTTGTGAGTTGCGACCTGTTCCTAGCACACCAAGTTCCCTGCTCAAGCTGTTCATGCATACTGAAAGACAGGGAAGCAACTGCTGTGGACACGCGAGGACGAAAGTCTTGAGACATGCCGAAGTGTAGACTTGAACAGTGTAGCTCGGGTGCTGAAGGACTTGCAACAATGCATCCCTGGCGGATTCGGCGAAGCTATTTGACGCTGAGCCAAGTGAGATCATTAAAGAGCCCAGTGCTCCCATCGCGGCGATCAGCATGTTCTTAGTTGGCTCTGGTCGCTCCTTCAATGCTTGTGGGTAGTTCTTGAGGATGTCGTTGATCAAGACTTTTGCAGCATGGGACTGCCCAGTCTCGCCCAGTATTTTCTTGCCTACGACATCTTGAAGCAAGTGATCGACGATGCGGCGTGAAATAAGAAGACGATATCGGTTGTTTACGATATTGGGATTGGCGAGCAAGTCCAAGGTAAGGTTCTCAACAATGTTGTAGTAGTTGATTTCGACAGCCTTCTCCCCAAGTCGCTGCAGAAGCGTTGCGTAGCATATCCCAATGGCGGATCTGGCCTTGTTAGACGTAGCCATGCGACCGTACTGGGTAGACAACGATTTCAGCATGTCCCCAGGGGTCATCGCCAGGTTCGGGTTTCTTTTGGTAGGCGCGGGACTCCCAGGCCTCGACGGTATGTCATCCTCGTCCTGCAGTGCGCCAGGTCCCATTGACTGGCGCTTCGCTGCCTTAGACTTTGGTTTCTTGACTGCAACTTCTTGAAATGTCTCTCCAGCAGATGACTCCGAGTAGCCCCTGACGAAAGCCTCGGCCAGACACTCAGCAGCTGCTCGTCGCGTAGTCGAGGACGTATGCTCGAACGTCTTGAACATAGCCGTCTGGACCTTATCGAAGTCGTTCGAGTTCTTGAAATAGTTGGTATTCCGCATCAAAGACCGAAGACATCGACAGGCCGCTGCACCGACCAGCGCGCCCTTGTCCGTAGAGGCATGGTTACGGCCCTGCTTCCATATGTCTCTTGCGATGGATTCGTCCATCATGCCGGCCACCATCCTCGCAATTTTCCCAAGTGCCGTGAAGCACGCCGCGCGGAGGCCTGCATGGTTTGCCGAGCCCTTCAGGAGCTTCAGAAGTGCCATACAAGCCAGCTGGTGGTAATGGATGACGCTGTCACCCGCCGCCGCGAAGACGTCGCCGAGACAGGAGACGGCAGCATGTTTCGCGCGAACCTCGCCCTCGCCCTTCGATTTTCCGCTCGATATTATGGCTACGAGGTCGTTGACGGTCTCGACCAGGAGTTTCCGGTCTCCCTTCTCGAATATGTGGGCGAGACATTTCCCAATGCTGTTCCGTATGACACGGGTAGGCGGCGGTGTGGTGAGGTTTATGATCTGGAAGATCTCCTTTTTGAGGTAGAACTGCTGCGCAGTGCAGTCATCGGCAGTGAGAGAGAGTACATGCTTCGTAAGGGTCGAAACGAAGGTCAGCAGGAACAGGTCTTGTTGCTCTGTGGGCAAGGCCTGGAGCTTGGATAGCTCGAGCTCCGGTGTCGAGATGGCTGTTACGGACGGTCGAGGGGCATTCTCGGATATGGCTTGGGCAGGAGGTTCTGGCGCGGGCTCTGAGGACATGATGGGGAGTGAGTCGGAGTTGCGAGTTGTGTATGGGTATCAAAGCTGCGTTCTCGCCGAAACAAAGCATTCGGGATGGAGGACTGCAAGGAGACGGGCATGACATTCCAGCTGGCAGCATCCCACCCTGGACGGGGACTCGACTGCGGGTGCAGTTGATACCCCTGTTCTAGCGCCGCTGTCGCTCCAATGGGTTGTCAGCGGCTCCACCAGCGCGGATCGCCAGAATTATTGCATGTTCTCAGCACCCTGCTCGCAGGATGGAAAAGCTTCCAAGACGTCACCAAAATTTCCTGGGTGCATAGACTGGACTGCTGCCATTTACGTATAATTCTCAGAACATAATACCCCATGTCCAACATTGCCAATGGCTCTCCGACTACAGACTTTTAGGCTGCTCCCCCAAGTCACCCAACTTGCACGTCCCGCGACGATATGCCCAGAATGCCGTCGCGCATTCTCAACAACGACCGTTGCACAATCTGGGCACAATAAATGGTCTAAGATCAAACATACAAAAGGCAGGGCGGACCAAAAGAAGACCTCAGAGCGCACACTATTCGTACAAGCCATAACATTGTACTCCAAATGTCCGTATTCCTTCCTAGCCAGTTGTCTTAGCCTTGACTATGTCCTATGCTCATACAAATGTAATACAGTGTACGGCCCCGACCCGAACCTAAATGCTTCTCTGGCCAATGCAATAGCAATAGCCAAGAAGGCCAGCACACCAAAGAATGTCATCGACCAGGCGATCGCACGAGGCCAGGGCCGCTCACTGTCCGGCGCAACACTCGAGACGATGAAGTTCGAGGTGATGATCGGCCCCAACGCCTTCATCCTAGACGTGGAGACCGACAACAAGCTCCGCGCGCTGCAAGACGTCGGCGGCGTGATACGCAAGCACAAGGGCCGGACCGGCGCGACCGAGTTCTTCTTCAGCAGGCTGGGGCGGGTCGTCTTCGAGAAGCACGAGAAGGTCGGGCTGGACGAGATCATGGACGAGGCTATCGAGCTCGGCGCGGAGGACCTGGAGGCGGACGACGAGGGCAACATGATCGTGTGGTCGCAGCCGAGCTCGACGATGCAGATAGCCCAGGGCGTCGCGAAGACATTCGATCTGAAGATCCTGAGCTCCGAGATCATCTGGTCGCCCAACGAGGACACGCGGCCGACGGTCGACTCGGCCGAGGACGTGAAGACCCTATCGGACTTCGTGGACGCCTTGTCTGAGCTGCCAGAGGTCCAGGCCATCTATTCCAATGCCGCGAAGGGGCCGAGCGTGTCCGAGGACGAGTGGGCGGCCTTCGAGGACAACCTGGATTCGTAGATGACCTCATGACAACAATTGTATGTAAAGACGCATCTTCACCCAGCCAAATGTCCTCGGTTGGTGCACATTATGCCATTGCCCAGCCCAGGTTCCGCCTGTGCTTTTTTCCTAGTCCATGCGCCGTAAATTATTACACTGAGTGGTGTTTTCCTTTTTGCCCCTCGATCCGTATTGTGGCCCACGGTCCTCGACCCGTCGTTTTGCAATCCCTCAACTCCTCTACCACCACCAGCTTCTCTTCTCCTGTTGAGGCTGCGCCTGAGGCTCCTGGTCGTGTATCTGCTCTGGCGCCTGCAGCGGATTCAAGGCCTGCTCCCTCGCCTCCTCCGCCAGCCTCTTGTCCCGTAGGTAGAGCCTCCTTGCCCTTAACCTCTCAAGCTCGGTCTTGATCTCGTCGCGTTCTGTCGGCACTTTGTTCGCTTCTTCGGGCTTGGGCCAGAAGTCGGGGACGGCGAAGCGCTCGTCGAGGTTGACGCCGAAATATCCCATGAAGGCGATGGGAAAGAAGAGGTACATGCCGAACTAAATAAATACCAGTCAGCGATTGGGGGTTCAAAGGCTGCACAAAAAAAAGGTGGAGACGCTACCTTGAAAAGTTCGAGTCTAAAGCCGGCCATGTTGAAATTGTTCGGACAGTTTTGACGGTTATGAGATGCTTAGACCAACAACTCGAATTTCGCGGATCTGCTTGGGTAGCTCATTTGGATGTCCTGATGCTGGTTGAGCTCTTTGCCTCAAGTGGGGGGGGAGCTTTTGCAGCCAGTATTTGAGGACCTATTACGAGCACAATTACATAAGCTGATCTTGGGCTTTCCGGTCTAGGTTGTGAATTTGGACTTGGAAGGGTCCACGCTGCATTAATGACATGAGCATCGAAACCAGGAGTACTTGGCCTTGCCAGGAGATTCAATAGGTATTTCGTCCATTCGTGAAAAGGGAAAGGGGGTATCTCTGCGTATCTAATCCGGTCTTTTTCCAAATATTTTCCTGTGCTCATCGCTTGCATGATTTTGTTACCCTCCATACTGCTAAACCTCGTCTCCCAACAACCCTTTTGAGCGTGTTCCAGATGCCGTCTTCTGCGAAATCTAGATCGTCCAGATTTAAATGATGGCTGTGTCTCCATACCTCTCGAAACCTCAGACCCTCTAGACCCTTGTTCTCAAGATATGGGTCCAACCACGTAGCTGATGTAGGGGCGATGAGATAAGTTCCGTTGGATTCCTTCTTGTATTCTTGGTTTCGCCGGTCCGCCGGGACGTCGCACGTAGCGATATTTGTGAGCTCTGCGTAAAGGTCCTCGCCTGGCATACCCATGACATCGCGGGTTTCCAGTGTCTCAGCCTTGCCGTCCAAAAGCCAAATGGGCGGCATGTACGTCTTCCACCATATTGCTCTCGTTGCGTCGGATTGCTTGCTCATAAACACCTGTGCAGGAACGATGCCTCCTTGATGGTAGATGCCCATCAGTGTGCCAAAGATAAGATTGAATACGATCCATGTCGTAGTCCAGACCCGTAGGACCTTCTGCTGGTGTGGAAGTCTGACTGATGAGAGGATCAGTGGGATTGTGGGAAGAAGGAACCGAGCCTCCTGGTGCTGGAATACTGAAAGCACGGATATGCCTGAAATCGCGGAGTAGAGGCGTAGCGAGAGGTGCGGTCGAGTAAACAGCAAGATGGCCGCCGGTCCAATCAGCTGGGGGATGTTGAAAAGAATATGTTGATACCAAGGGTGGATTCCGTGTTGCGCCAGGTTCGAGGGAGATATGTTATACATGAGATTATTATAGGGCGTAATTATCGGGTGCCATATCAAGTCAGTCCATGAGATCTGCTGGCTGCTGTAGAATGCCGTGTCCAGAGAAATCGCAATGAATGCGGTGAAGAGCGCTGAGGATACTGTCGCCATAAGTGCGAGGGGCCTCCTCCAGAAGTAAGGGATCAACCGAAGGCCAGGGATAAGGAGGAAAGCCGGGAAAGTTATCCTGTTGAAGAAGCCGAACACCACCATGGATCCAAGCAGCGCGGGTGCCAGGAGAGGAGTTTGTAGCTACAGACAATCACGTCAGACCTTGTGCGACGGTTTCCATAAGCAGATTGTTTCCACGTACCGTGTTTACAGGCATCGCGATAGTCCGTTCTATCAGGACTAAACTCCAAGCGACAACCAGCGTCTCGATCGCATTAGAGAAGGTATGCGTCTGGTAGGTCCACGTCACATATGACGAAGCGACAAGCAAAACGGCGACGCGGCGATGCCGGGGCGACTGGACAAGCTCGTGGATAGCCCAGTCCTCTAGAACGAAGCTGAGTACGAACATGAGGGCTCGAAGAGTCCAGAACACCGCGATTGGAGGGACTTCGCCGTCTTTACCATTTCCTATCCATAGCCACCGGAGGAGGAGCATCGGGAGACCGTAGATCGGCCATAGGGGGAAGACGCTTCGGATCGGGTGGTCGCTCGTGAATTCCCAAGTCAGCCGAACGGGATACTTAAAAATCTCGCCTGCACGAATGTCTTGGTCAGCGTGGTTCGAGACAGGTCGGTCATTTGGAGTTCGTCCGCGTCTGGATCAGGGGCGCGCGAACTGAGTCGCGGCGTGACAATGTTGCGACGCGCGCCCAGGGGGCTAAGTGGAAGATCGAGTGAGGAACTGCTGTCTTACCTGCGATGACCTCTGGGCCTTGGAAGTTCTCGTCAGGGTGCAGATAGCTCGGCGACAGAGCAAACCACAGCCGGACGACCAGGAGAAACAGGTATGTGCGGCGCCACATGTTGACCTCGATTTCTTCCTAGAGATTCCAGCTGAAGCATCTGCGGGGCCTTGTCGCGGCTTTCAAGGGGGCGTTCTCGACCGTGGGCAACCGGGCTGCATACGGCATGTTGGGGAGGGGAGGAGAAGGGGAGGGTTCGAACGGTCAGGAGACGTCCCAACAGCCGTCTTTGCAATGAGTGAAAGCTGGATCGTCTGATCAGTAAGTTTGTTTATGAAAACGTCAGGAGCCCGTCAAGCGACGAGGCCACATGTTGGGGAGATAGGGTCGAGTGGACTGGACTCAGCTGGCAGCAGGCAGGGGTGGTAGCTGGACAATCAAACGCTAGCGAGCCGTCAGCTGGGGCAGGGGTCCCAGGAGATCACCGCTGGCAGCCCACCCAGCAGGGCGAGTCACCCTGAATAGGAGATTCCCGTGGCCCAGAAGGTTAGTGGATCGGTTGCAGAAGCCTTGGAGGTGGATCTGCACATCAGAGGTTCCCGATGCGGGACATTTCGAAGGCATCCACAAGGCTTTCTCCAGCCTCCTCTCCCAGAATGATCTTTGTTTGCGGACAGGGCTTGCAGGGCACTGTACTGCTCTGACTACGGTGCTTGGCCAGTCACAGGCACGCGGGAAGGAATTGCTACACCAACGCTCAAAGACGTGCATCAAATCATCCTTCGTGCCTGGTTCAGCAATGTGGTTTCTCAAAGGCTTCCTTTCCTCCCTGTCTAGAGGAGACACCTGGGTTGCCACCTAGGTGTACACAACCTGATCTGGTTGCTCTCACGCAAGCCACAGTCTATGCAAGAGCTACCCAACTTTTGGCAAGCATTTTTGGAATTTGGGTCAATTCCTGTGCCACCAGCAGGCCACGGGCCCATTGCTGCCAATTTTAGTATGGCTACTTTGAGATTCTGCCATAATACCCCAGCCCAAAAGGCCTCTTGGAGGTCACTGTGCCTTCCATTGCCTTCCTTCTTCGACCTCAAGTTCATTGTTGACCTGTTCTTGTACTGTGCATCCGTCTGCCCATCTGCCCGCCAACAATAACGGAGGTACACCGGTTCGGAACTAACTTAGGTTGTCTATTGTTCGGCGCTTTGACATTCAATAAAGTCAGTCCTGTCTTTTTGGAACCATCCTTTTCTCCGCTCCATTCACTTAACCTTTTGCTTTACCAACCCGCCCAAATCACCATCACATCACGGCTACTTAAACCCAAACCACGTCTACGCTTCGCCAGACTTCTCCATCCATCTAACAACAACGAGGTTGGCTAACTCACACCCTCCACTACCAGAAGATACCATCGGTCATCTTCGTCGTCTACACAACCAGGCAAACCTCAACTCATCAAGTGTAAGTCATTCCTGTTCTTGACTGGATCTCCTTTGTCATCCCTTGCCGTCTTTCCTGCCTTTCCTTGCACCACCTGAGCAGTCTCAGGCATTCTTGTCTTGTACAGTCTCTCTGTCCTGTCATTGCCTAGCAGCGCTTCTTTTGGGCTAGATTGTAAACGAGGAATTTGCCTGAGGTGTCGCTGCACTTCCACACCCCACATCACAGGCGGCTTCAAAGTCACCGGAGGAAGGACCCTTGCCTACCTGCCTGGTTTCCAGGCAGCGCCAGTGATTGGCCCCACTTGTAGCGCTGCACCACCTCCACCTCCCAACTTCCAACCCCACGCTGCCTGACTTGACTTGAACCAAACCATCAACGCTGCTTCCTCTTTTCACTTTCTCATCATCGTCAGCCACCAACCACCCACCCACTTCCTTCCGCAACTACAATCCATCCCTCAAGGTAAATACCCAGACATTCAGATTCTCAATCTCATATCTTCCCCAATCTCTTCTCTTCTACCCAGGCGTCACCACTTCTTGGCCACATCTCCTCTCGCAAACGTCATCACAGCATCTGACCATAAAGCTTCTTAGCCAATACACAGACAACCAGGCTTACCTCCACCAAACCTTCAACAATCAGCCAAAATGTCTGGAGAAACCCCCCGCGACAAGCAGGAGTTGCAGCTCAAGTGCAACGATGGCGGCATCGTCCGCGTCGAGCTGCCTGTTGCCGAGCGCTCCATACTCCTCAAGAACCTGATTGAGGATCTGGGTCTTGAGGCCGCCACCACTCAGCCCGTCCCTCTCCCCAACGTCACCCAACCTGTCCTTGAGAAGATTGTTGAGTGGTGCAAGCACCATCGCAACGACCCTCTGCCCACCCAGGACGACGACTCCGAGTCCCGCAAGAAGACCACTGAGATCGACGAGTGGGATCAAAAGTACATGCAGGTCGATCAGGAGATGCTCTTCGAGATCATCCTTGCTGCCAACTACATGGACATCAAGGCGCTCCTTGATGTCGGCTGCAAGACAGTTGCCAACATGATCAAGGGCAAGTCTCCTGAGGAGATTCGCAAGACATTCAACATCACCAACGACTTTACCGCCGAGGAGGAGGAACAGATCCGCCGTGAGAACGAGTGGGCTGAAGACCGCTAAACATCTGGCCGATGCTTGTCACCGGCGTCCAGTCAGCAAACGGTTTGACATTTTTCTCCTTGTCCTCAGTCCATGGCCGGCTCTTACCCTCTCGGCATCTCGCTCGGCGTTTGAGGTTGACTAAATGGTTGCTTTTTGGAGAGTTTCGGCTTCGGAACAGAAGTCATTCAGGGGAGATTCCGGTCTTGTTCAGCTTGGGCACGCTGGGAGGAGCAGCCTTTGAGCCCATGTGCTCTTACTCAACATTGGGCCGACTCAAATGATGATGAAGTTCGGCGACAGTACCCGACAGTGCGCTCAGTAGAGCACACTTCTTCCACAGTTACTTTATCAGCTGCTCAGTTTCGCAGAAAATAGATACTGGAATCCCCTAACAGTTAATTATGCTTCTGATCCTGTGACCTCATCTTCCGTGACTTCATTCATTCCTCCATGCTTGAGCTGGCTGTGATTCTTTCTGCCGACAAGACGAGAACTCATGGACTGGTGAGAAAATACTAGACTGTAACAGCCCTCACAAGCCACATAGGTAGGTGCTCATATAGAATGACTCCTATCTTAGGTCCTTTTCAGGCAGCCCACGGCCATATCTGGGCAAGCGCTCACAGAGAGCATCTCGGTAATAGCCAGCAAAGCTATCCAAACTAAATTTATGAGACTTGAAAATGCCACTACAGTGAGCAGCACTTAGAACCGGTAGGCAGCAGGCCGTTTGTATGAAACACGAAAGTCAACATTCGGGGTGTCAACAGCAGGAGAAGTGAAGGCACCCACCTGGGCGATACAGCCGTGCTTAGTAGCCGAGTGACATGGGGTATTGTGATTTGAAGCGGATGAATGAGATCATACACCATGGGCCATTTCACTTAGACGTGTCATTGCATGCTCCATTGGTATTTGCCGGCTCCTTTCCATAGCCTTGGCTCAGCCGTCTTTAATCACAGTTCCGGAGGCTGTTCTGAGGCGTCGTATGGCTACAAGTGGCAAGTTCAGCATCAGCCATGTACATGTCACAAGTCAAGGACACAAGTTCAGGATGTTGCTTGCAGCAAGAAGCATCCAGTTAGCAAAGACAAGGACAGTACGTCAATCAGTTGGCATTTCTTTTTCGCATTCTCCGAGTCCCTAAATGCAATGTGCGGCTGAAAAGAGCCAGCAAACCCTGCAAGACACCTTGTCCGGGACCAAGTTGAAAAGAACCCTTTTGTTGTTCCGTCATTCATAGTCCATGATGATGATTCCTCTCTCCCTGCCCTCACGCCATGTCACTCCAGCACTCTCGTCGCCCCTGCTGGCCGTGGATTTCATCCGTCCATCGTGGGTTGTGACAGCTGGTAGTCGGTATCGTGAAGAAAGTCTAATTGATGGGGAAGAAGAGCAGCAAGAGGCAGTCGCGTTGTGGGTGATGCATCTAGATGCCGAGACGAGTCTTGCGCCAGTGCCTCCGCTTCGCGTTGTAGCTGCAGAATCAATCCCGTTAGCCAAAACAGATCCTCTCGTTTCCCCGTTTGCACCCGTGGGCGCCCGTGCAGGCAATCCATCGCAACAGCCGATGCCGTGCCTACACGACACGCAGTACGATAGGGATTTCTCTCGCGGGGATCAATCGTACCGGATGGTATTGTCCGTTCGGAGGCGAATCCACTGGGGGATGGGACGGTTCTGCTTCTTCGCCTTGGCGAGCTTCTGCTTCGTGCGGAAAGACTTGTGGCTCTGTGTAAGGTCATGACCCGTCAGCGTCGTGGTCTCTCACGATGAAATCCCGTTTTCCCATGATCGCTCTTCGTCAAGCCGGCCCTGCGGGGCCGTGGTGGCCAGACCCAACAGTCGCATGTCCGTAGCCGATATAGAAATCGCCATGTTCCACCCTGATTGATTGAATCATCCATCATCTCGTACGTACCGGCATTTTGACTGATTGTCGTCGATGTCGAGTGGCTGGTTGTTCGTCTTCGTTGGTCGATTGGGGGGAGGGTCCAGTTGGACGAGAGTCGAGTTACGCTGATGGGATAATTTTTGATTTTGGTGTAGTCACGTGAAATGGTGGGCCACCGTCCGGCAAAACGGAGCTAGCCCGTCCTTGAGCGCTTGGACTCGGTAGACTGGCCTGGCTGGCTGGCTGGCTGACTGATTGTCTTGGCTGGCAGGCAAACCGGGCAGGCTGGACATGCTAGCAGCGTCGGCGGGCAACAGAGGCCAGACCGGGAGGGCCGATGGGGCGGATGGCCCAAATCTGGAAACCCTGGCCCCTTGGCCCCTCCCCCCTGGCCCTGGGTTTGGAGTTGGAGCCAGCTGGAAGAGGAGCCGACGCTCGTCAGCGGCACCATCGAGCTACAGCCCACGCCTCTGATGCAACCGTTGTGCCAAGCTTGGAAGCGAGTACCAGCGCATTATCTCGAAACTTTTCTTTGGAAATCGCCCATCTGGCAGCTTTCTTCCTGTCCATAATCTCTTCACACACGACCAGTCCAACATACCCGGCGAACCATCCATCATCTCTCCTCCCGCAACCGTTGTCTTTCACTTCCGCAAACGGTGAAACATCAACCTGGCGCGGAGGCCACGCCCGAACCGACGCCCCAAACTCCAGAACACACACTCGGCACGACCTGCGGCGCGGCCACACACTGGTTCCTAAACGGCGTTTCTCGGCGGAGCATAAGCGAAGATGGGTCAGGGAATGTCATGGCTTTCTGGCCTCCTGTGGGCAAAGAAGGAAATTAGGATATTGATCTTGGGATTGGTACGGAGATGCATGTGCCAGAGGCCGAGTTTCTCTTTGCTGATGCTTTCGATCCAGGACAACGCTGGCAAGACAACCCTTCTCTACAGACTCAAAGTACGAGACCCGCTTGGCTTCCACCTTCAGCCGGAGTGACACTTTGCTGACACGCAGTGCAGATAGGCGAGGTGGTCACAACGATCCCAACAATCGGGTTCAATGTTGAGTCGGTCACATACAAGAACCTGAACTTCAATGTTTGGGTACGCGCCCCCCCCCCGGTCCCACCGGAAACGGCCGTCGGAGCGAGAGGGCTGACGCTTGCAACAGGATCTCGGCGGTCAAACGAGCATTAGGCCCTATTGGAGGTGCTACTACGCGAACACAGCAGCCGTCATCTTCGTCGTCGACTCCACCGATATAGAGCGTCTACAAACAGCAGCGGACGAGCTGGCAGCCATGCTTAACGAGGAGGAGTTGAAGGACGCTGCGCTGCTGGTGTTCGCGAACAAGCAGGACCAGCCAGGGGCAAAAGGGGCGGGCGACATCTCACAGGCGCTGCGGCTGGGAGAGCTGAGGGACAGGAATTGGAGCATCATGGCGTGTTCGGCGGTTGACGGTAGTGGTGTGACCGAGGGAATGGACTGGCTGGTGGTAAGTTCGACATCTCTCCCGGGCTTCAGAACACTTGCGCTGACCAGAACAGCAAACCGTCTCCCAAGAGTAAAGGGCGCGGAAGCACACGCCAGTGCTCAAAAGCCCGGCCTTCATCGGCTTCACTTGCTTGGCTGCCTCCCAACGGGCGGTTCACACTAATAGGCAGACAATCTGGCAATCTCTGACCTTAGCAACGGCGTTCATCAGGCGGGCGAGAGTGCACTGTGGGTTGGAACAGCATGTACATACACAGCTTATGCGATAGTACGGTTTAATGAATACAGACGCGAGATCGTTCTTTTAAGCCACGGCGACGGAGTCCATAACAGCGACCTCGCAGGGGCAGAGGGAGGCTGACACGACAGCCAAGAAGAGACAACGACCTGCTGCAGCCTGCTGCAGGGGAGCACATGCCGAACCCCGAGAGAGGTCGGGATCAGCAGCCTCCAATAGTCTTTTACCGGATGGGGAGATTTCTCGCTGCAGATACCAGACCTGGTAGTCAGTGATGTGAGTAATCCGTCCAATATGCTATCACCAACTGGGAGATAGCAGGTCAGTCGGCGATTGAATGATTGTGCGTATGACTGGCTCTATCACCGTCTGGGCCTTGGACGAAGGACAAGGCTGTTCTGCATTCAACTTCATTAAACACTAGACACTGACGCCTGTCAAAATCCTAGAGTCCTGTCTGTGACTTTCATATGCTCAACATGTTTAATGGTAGGATTATGGCAACGTGCGGGATTTGTGTGAGGGATGCATGCTAGATCTAATGAGAACCTCGGACTCGAAGTGGCAAGAGATCGGGTCAATTCATACTTTATGAAGCTGCCTCAAAGTGTCTCTCAGTAGCCGTCTTGCACGTGCGTGTTGTGACTTACTTGTCGGACTGGAGGACAGGCACATCTATGGCTGATTGGCTGATTAGCATGACCTCAAATATGCATGGAACTCATACATGGGCGTAGTGTAAGAGCGTACATCTGTCTTGCTGGCTCAGCCGTTTATGACTTGATGCACACATGACTGGGGAAGAGGAGAGTCTATCACTACGACCAGTGACTTGAAGATCACCCGTAACGCTCATACCCCTCCTCGTGGCTGCTTGAGACTCGTCAGCGTTGGGATCCAGCCAAGAAGCCCGGGGGAGCAATTACGTTCGGAAAAGTGGCAACGGGTGGGTTTTTCCTGAATCGGGCCCACAAAGTATGCAAGTCCCAAGAACTCCCATTCCCAGATCTGTACCGTATTCCAATATCCGGCCACCCATTGGCCTGGGGCCCCCTGATTCTCGGCATTCTCACGGTGAGTAGACCTGCGTGACCTGCTCCCTGGTCAGAACGAACGGACGGAGAGCTGCAGGATGGGTACCCATATGCACCGGGCCAATGTAGATGAGGCGATGGCGGGGGTCGATATATATCTATGTCTACGTAAATAATTCCTTTCACCACTTAGCCAGCCGTTTTGTCTCCCAATTTCGTGGCTTTTCTGTCGAGCGTAGTGAAGTTTCCTTAACCCAACACTTACCTGGCATCACACATCTAGGACATAGACTACCTACCTTGACCAATCTCAGCATCTGTGAAGAGTTTTAACAGACAACCACACCTCACCAGACAAGATGGTCGCCGACGATAAGCCAACATATCGCTACGGCGAGAAGCCAGTCTACACGACATCCAATGGCTGCCCAGTTGAGAACCCGTCCAGCTGGCAACGGCTCGGCCAGAAGCCAGGTCCCCTGCTGCTGCAGGACTTCCACCTGATCGACCTGCTGGCTCACTTCGACCGTGAGCGTATTCCTGAGCGTGTCGTCCATGCCAAAGGCGCCGGTGCCTACGGCGAGTTCGAGGTCACGCACGACATCAGCGACATCTGTTCCGTTGACATGCTGAACGGGATCGGCAAGAAGACGCCGCTGGTGGCTCGTTTCTCGACCGTAGGAGGCGAGAAGGGCTCCGCTGATTCTGCCCGTGACCCAAGAGGTGAGATGTCCCTTGACACGAACACTGTCCTAAACAGATTGCTGACATCTAGAAGGTTTCTCACTCAAATTCTACACGCAGGAGGGCAACTGGGACTGGGTGTTCAACAACACTCCGGTCTTCTTCCTCCGCGACCCTACCAACTTCCCTCTCTTCATCCACACTCAGAAGCGCAACCCTCAGACTAACCTGAAGGATGCGACAATGTTCTGGGACTATCTCAGCACTCACCAGGAGGCAGTCCACCAACTGATGCACCTCTTCTCGGACCGGGGCACGCCATACTCCTACCGACACATGAACGGCTACTCCGGCCACACCATGAAGTGGACCAAGCCGGACGGCTCCTTCGTGTACGTCCAGATCCACTGCAAGACGGACCAGGGCAACAAGACCTTCAACAACGAGGAGGCCGGGCAGATGTCGGCCGACAACCCGGACTGGCACACGCAGGACCTCTTCGAGGCCATCGAGCGGGGCGAGCACCCGAGCTGGACCGTGTACGCGCAGGTGCTCACCCCGGAGCAGGCGCAGGGCTTCAGGTGGAACATCTTCGACCTGACCAAGGTGTGGCCGCAGGCCGAGGTGCCCCTGCGGCCCGTGGGGCGGTTCACGCTGAACCGCAACCCGCAGAACTACTTCGCCGAGATCGAGCAGGCGGCCTTTGCGCCCTCGCACCTCGTCCCGGGAGTCGAGCCCTCGGCCGACCCGGTCCTGCAGAGCCGCCTCTTCTCCTACCCGGACACGCACCGCCACCGCCTGGGCGTCAACTACCAGCAGATCCCCGTGAACCGCCCGCTGCGCGCCTTCAACCCGTACCAGCGCGACGGCGCCATGGCCGTCGACGGCAACTACGGCGCCAACCCCAACTACCCGTCCACCTACCAGCCCCTCACCTACCGCGCCGTCAACCCGACGTCCGCGCACGAGGAGTGGCAGGGCAAGGCCGTGACGGCCGTCTTCGCCGGCCTCAACCCGGACGACTACGCCCAGGCCGACGGGCTCTGGAAGGTCCTCGGCCGCACGCCGGGCCAGCAGGACAACTTCGTGCACAACGTCTCGGTGCACCTGTGCGGCGCGCGCCAGGACACGCGGGAGCGGACGTACGGCATGTTTGCGAGGGTTAACACCGAGCTTGGGCGGCGGATCAGGGAGGCGACTGAGAAGGAGGTAAGCCAGATACTCACCGTCCTCTTTCAGCTTGTGACGTGTCTGTTGTGCGCATCATCCACTGACACCTCGGGTTTCTTGTTTAGGTCAAGGGGAGCAGCGCGGCCGAGAATGCCGGCGCGACGAAGTCGAAGTTGTAAGGGGCCGCGAGTCTGGGAGGTCTCGAGTGGCTGCTAGGCAGGTCATCTTCGCACGGCATGAGCGGTGAGGGGGGGACTTTGGGCAGCCTGTGACCAGAACTGCGCTTAGGGAAGCAGCTGCTGGGCGCCGATCTCATGTGGGCTTTTTGGGGGAACAAGCTCATCTGGCGTTTTTGAGAGTGGTAGGTATGGTCACCGCCGTGGTGAGGATCGCAACGGGGATATGACGATGTGCAGACAGGACCAGAGTATGCGAGACTCAGAATGAGAGACGTGAAAAAGTGGAACTTGAGCTGGCTGACCCCAGCGCCTGTCGGGTGGCTGAGATGAGTCGCTCCCCTTCGCCAATACTCCGCAGGTCGAGATAAACTCGACAAGCTCATGGCACGCAGAGCCCCGAGATGCCGGCTGCGTCAAAAGCTTGTTCAGTATCGAAATCAACTGGCTCCTGGGCTAATTTTCTGTGACCGCGGGAATCTGGGCCTGGGAGTGAGATTGAGGTCTTCGCGTAGTTGCTTGTAGGCCTCGGAATGAGCAGAGTGTCCGCATATGGGGTACCGAGTGACCAGAATGGGATGGGTGTCTCCCACAGTAAGGTTATCAGGCGCGTGAAACCCTGTGCTCTTGCGACCCTGTCGCCGTGGACAGACGCTCGGGGTAACGGCTTTCAAGAGTGGAGGCCTCTTTCGTGTCAGCCCCAGGGCTCTGACAGCCCAAAGCAAAGACATCAACGGCACCGTGGACAATTGGATATAGTGCAAGTAAATGCGGGATGCAGATTAAAAGAAGCTGTCATTGAGCCATTCCAAGACCTATACGCCATCCACATCTAAACAATATCCCTGCCTAATCTCCTAGGTGACGTTGTACATCCCCGTGACGGCTCGTGGTCTCTCTCTCTCCATTGGGTATCCTTCGTCTCGTCTCGCACCGCATTCTACTGTCCCACCGCGGGAAACTCATTCGTTCATCTCCTTATTCGTTTTCTTCCTCGTGCATTGTGTGTTCAGAGAACGCGCTTAGAGGTTGTCAGCGACCTCCTCGGCGCCGAGGCAGCAGCAGATTGTCTCCAGGGCACAGCATCCGGCACAGCAGCAGCAGCACTGTTGAAGGGGAACATTGATCAGTCAGGCTGTTTCTCTTGGATCCGTCACAGATCTGGGGAGGGAGGGTTGTAATGACTCACGTCCTCGCAGAGACCGCCGCCACGGAGAGACATTGACATGGGCTCCTCAGCCTTCTACATATTTCAACTCAGTCAGCGATCTGATTGACTGTCGTCATGATGCCAAGTGCAAGCGTGATCGATTGGTGGGTGAAGATCAGCGCATTGGCAGAACGCCAAGAGCTGTCAGGGCTGGCTGCCAAGGCGGGAGGATGGCCAAAGGCCAAGAGACGGACAAAGCTTGGCCCTCGGCTGGGGATGTGATACGTACGGGCTGCTCGGTAGTCTGGGGCTGGGCCACCATGTTGTTGTTCATCTGGGGCATCTCCATTGACTCGGAAGGCATTTTGATTTTGGTTGGTGATTAAATTGGTGAGAGGAAGATGGGGATGTTTATGATGCGAGAAGTACGAAGACTGTAAGACGGTGAAAGACTGGCGATTGCTTGCTGGGAAAGACGCCGGGATTGGGACGAGGAAGAGGAACCGGGACCCTTAAATGGCCCTCAACAAACGGCTACGATGCGCTCAGGGTCCATGCAAGGTTTCAGCTGGGCCAGGGCAGGGGTGAGCAGGACAGCACGAGGACCACACAAACGCTGTTGCTGCGGAAAAGGGGTCGAACTAGAGATGGTGAGTTGGCTGTGCAAGCAAGTCAGTCAGCCAGAATCCGACCAGGTCATGGCGGGCGTTGGGCCCCGGAAAATAGCGACGCGAGCCCACGAGGGCAAGGCGAGAGGGCTGTGTCTAGCCAGAGAGGCCGGGGGGTTCGATGATGAATTATTAGCTGGGCTGTGCCTGTACATCCGTACGGTACCTCGCTCGACCTCGACCACCCGGCACCCGATACCCGGTCGTCGACGTGCCTGGTGGTCCCTGGCGAGGGTGAAAGGGTGGGAAGGCGGATGCAGATGCCACGGGCCCACCGAACACATAGTTTGCCAGGTATGCAGGTCTCTCACTCAGCACATGCCTGTTCGTTCAATCTAGCAATGCTGCAGGTAATAATAAGCCGGGCTTGCAGGCTGGAAAGAACTTCATGCGGCTCAGTTACCACTTGCCACGACTGTCGCCAACTCACCGTGATATCCCCGTTTCGGGGAACCCAACAAGCCTCTCATCACCAGCGCACGCTCAACTCTGCGGTCCTCAAGCCTAAGCGATCGCCCCAGCCCCAGGCGCCCAAGCGCCTCAACGGGACGGGATGTTAGTCGTAGATGGGTCTGATACTACCCACCTCTGCTGCCCACGGATCCTCTCCGTCCCCCAGACCATGTCGCGCTCATGGGCGCGGGAGCTAGAGAATCCTTACTAAAACCCCTTCCCTGGGTTACGGCGCAGCCAATTGCACGTTAGACTTCGACGCCGTCGAGTGCTAGCTGGTTTCTGCGTCCACACTGTGGTACGCAAGTGCGGTGGGAAGTTGGGAATTCGGTGTTCGGTGGGTGCTGGGCTCGCCAAATGGGCCGTCATGGCGCCAGTCGACCCGGCCTCGTCCTATTATTATTCGGATTGGCAGAGCGACGTTTCATCCCGCGGACGCAGACCTGAGGCCGCTGCCGCAGACCTGCATGCAGGCCGTCGCGCGTTCCTGAGGAATCCTTCCGACAATCACCCACCACCCCTGCCTTCTCCGACATTTTCTTGGCCTCCTGAAAATCCACACCGAGGGAAATCCTCAGAAATTGCCCAGCACAGGAATAAACAACCACTGTTCCCAATCTTCTCTTTTTTGTTTCCTCAATTCGTAGCCTCCACCCTCCCGAGTGGGAGACGTGCCGGTTAAGCGTTGACACGGGACCGTCGTCTTGGCTCTGCCCTTTTTTTCAGCTTGGCATGGATTGATTGAATAAGATATTGACCCGCGGATTTACATGTCCACTTCTTTGGTCATCGTGCTGCCCTTTCCCAGCAATAAGCATTGCCTCAGATTACTCTTGTTGCGTTCATCCTGCAGTCCCTGCATCGGAAATATCGCCATTCCCGCAGTCTCTTGGGCTCAGGGCACGTGTAGAGAGACAGAATCTACGTGATGGCTTCATTCAGCAGACCCCCCAAAAACCCTGTGGAACTTTACCATCGTACTAATTTCTTCTCTTGCTGGTGTTGTATGGATCGCAGCGTATCTGCGCGTGTCATTATTCCGATTTCGATAACTCAGGCTGTCCCGGACAGATCTGGTCAACCGGAGCAAGTGGTCTATTTTCAAGCAGCCCTACCAATCAGTACCCTGGCATATCGCGCAGTCCAGTTCGACTCGGATATCTGCTCCGAATTTAGCAATATCTGAGCTTGTTGAGTTTAAATGCGCTGCTTAATTCCATTTCGAGGTGCAACACGTCATTCGATTTTCTTCGCCGATGTGTTCCGCGCAGCAAAGATGTCTCGGCGCCGCGCCGACTGGCACGGCAAAGCCACCGCCACCTATAATCCCCTGCCTTCTGCCTTCTGCCGGCGAGCTGCCCGCTCTCTCCTGGGACCCCCCACGTGGTTTGTCTCCCTAATGGTATTCACGCAAGTCTTGCAGGGCCAGCCAAGCGGCCGGGTCGTCTCATTGCCCATCCTCGACCTGTTGACAGGCCTCAGGTTCGGGCTTGGGCCCGGGTCCCAAACCCATAGGGCCTGAACACATGGGTAAATACTGGCCAGTATGCTCCAACTCATCATTGGCCCAGCTGGTCGCCATTCCAGAAAACCTTGCATGTGTTTCCGACCCAGGGTAGATGAGGTCTGGTACTGGAAGATGACAGGAGCTTCGGCAGACATGGTGCTCGATGCTGTTTCACAAACAGGTTGATCCCCGGGTTGAGTCTCACAAGCCGTAGACGACGAGACGCGGTCAGCACGACCGGGAGGGCTGCGAGGCCCATGTGCCTGTGGTAGGAACATGCGAAATGGACAGCCTAGATATTGACAACGTATAAGCAGAGAGCTCTCGCTCCCGTCGTACATTCTAGGAACACCCCTGAACCAACTTCTTCCAACCTGCTGTTCTTCTTGACATCATGAACAACAAAAGCCCTGCAACCCAAACGAGCAAGGCCGTCGTGCCAGGCAAGGCCCCAGGCAAGGCCATCCAAAGCAAGGCTGTCATGCCAACTGGTCAGAATTCCACACCCACATCCATGACACAGGGCAAACAGCACACTGGCCTCGCGATACTTGCCGTGCTCGAGCTTCCGAAAGAGGATTATGACAACTTGTTGTTGAAGACACATGTTCCTCAACAATCTACAAACATCACAATTGAACAAAATATCATTAACAATACAACCATCAACAATACACAAATTAATAATAACTACAACGGCCAGCCGCCCGAAGCTCAGAATCTAGGACAACAAGGCGGGTCTCGAGACAGGCTTCATTCAGGTCCTCAAACGACTTCATCAGCGAGTCGAGCCATCGAGGATAAGGCTCATGTCGTGGGCAATGTGCCCTCGGCCCAAAAGTCGACGCAAAAAATCCAAGAAAAGTGTCAAAGCGGTTCTGGGGACAAAGTGAATAGCTCTCGCCCTACCAAAGTTCAAACACGCCCAGTTCCGGATAAATCTCAAGTGGCTCCCAGTTCAGCGCGTATTGCAAAACCCACCACCGGTCAGGTGTCTTCAAGGCCGGCCCAGGACGGAAGCAAGAAGCCCGAAAGTGCGAATGTCTTAGCTGTTCAAGTCCCAGGACAGGCCCAACGAGAAGCCTCTAAGCCCAAAAGCAGCCATGTCAGAGGAATCTTCGATAAGATTCGTCACCCCGGTCCACCGCGTGAGAATGGCTCTCACCCAAAAAAGACTGCGACTACCTCTACGACTACATCACCTGCCCGGGGCAGTAACCGCAACCATCCAGGCGGAAGCAGGGAGGGCTCAGATGTTAAACAATCACAGAGCCGAGTCAAACCTCAAGCCGCACCCCATCACTCTCAAGCTCCGAGTGAATCCAGGAGGCGTACGGCTCCTGAACAACCGGTGGTCAGATCTCAACACCAAGCAAGTCAACCTGCCAAGCGAGAAGAACCTGCTGGTAGTTCACACGGGCATTCAGCTGTGGCCAAATCGAAAGATCATGGGACTGGGGCCGTCCCCGAGGTCCCTAAAGAGCTTAGTGAGAAGGACATTAGAAAATGTAAGCAGAAGCCACGGAGAAGTCGAACATGTGAGAGCCTGAAGCTGACGAGATGATTTGATATAGATCTTGATGATCTCAATTCCCGACTTGGGAATTCCCGAAAAGGGACCAGCGGCGGCCAAGCCAGGCTGATACTTCTTGGGAAAGCCTCCGTGAAAATAATGGGGCTCGAAACCAAGGAAAATCCCCAAAAAGTCTATCACATCGACGTGATGCTCGAAGGCGGCCAGCGCGGGGAGCAGGTCCGCCAGTGCGTGGAGAGCATGAGGGTCTTCAGGGAGTTCGACAAGCAGGAGCAAGACACGACCAAGGCCTGCGAGACATTCTTCGGCACGACTGCACATCGAGCCGTTGTTCTGAACGACGTCTTCCGGGGGCGCAAGTGCGTGTCCAACAAGAAGCACCTGGAGGTGTACGTCATGGACACCAAACGTGCGCTTGAGTTTGAGCTCCGCCGCTGGGCAGACCCGGACAGTGATGATAGCATCCAGCACGCCAGCGTGAACATCGCCGTTGCCCTCCTTGGGGGCTTGATCAAGCAAGGCCTCAAGCTCCAGGGCCGCAGCAGCTTCCAGGAGATGAGATACATCAAGGACAATGACGGCATCCACGACAAAGCCATAAACGACGTCAAGAAGCGCTTCGACGCCGTTTTCCCAAATGAGGGTATGTATTGTTGATACGCGTCATTTCGACACCGAGGACGCGATGTAAAAAAAATATACGGTAGAGGGTGTGTGGAGGCCATTCCTAAAACAAAAAGAAGATATTCGTGGCTAAGCAGCGGGCATCTACAAGGACAATGAGGACGATTAATGCCAGGTTTCTCTTTAGTTGTACTGCTCCCTGCCAATGAAACCCGTGAGAAATTGGTAAAGACATGTCATTCAAGCGCTTATAGCCATAATACAGGCATTGTCTCCTAGGTTTTGGCAAGTCAAGGTTGTAGTCTTTACTGAGCCAGATGAAAAGAAGCTTCCACTGGATTCATCCACTCAACACTTCGTGATACTTTCGTTACGGCTCCCTAGATGACTCGCAACCTTCTTCACAACATGGGCAGCCTTGGAATTGAAGCTAAGCTTCTCTATTCTCCTCACGCAGCCCCTTTTGTCTAAGTAAGTACCCTGGGGCAGCATTCGTAAGGGTTGCTTCCTGGGCGCTCCTTTCCATCCTAATTCACAAATTGTCTCGAGGCCCATGTCTCATGTCAAGCCGTGTGGTTACCTAGTGCTTCTGATCAGGAACGTTTAAGCGTTCCGTCTGAGAAATGTTTCTTTTCAGCTGGGGTGATTATCGCAGTTCAGCATATTTCCTCCAGAGAGGATCGGCTATCAGCCTCGGAAGGTCCTCCTCATTAACCCCACAAAGCATCTCTCGACCACCATCTGGAAGCTCGGGCATCATAATCTGCATGCCATTCAAGATGCCGTTGCTCGGACACCTGATCGCCCTGATGCGACCTCCCAGCGCCGGGCCCCACTGCAAGCCGTACAGCTCGAATTTGGCCCAGCTGGTCTGAGAACAGGACAGCCCGGGACAGTCAAGGAACGCAGACGGCGACAAGAATCTCACGTCTTCGAGTCCGTTTATCAGCTTGATGACATCGTTGCTGAAGGATCCTTGAAACTCCACGTCCATGTTGTCAATCGCGTTCCGGAGTAAAAGCGCGATCTCGGCAACGCTGTCTTCGCCACCGTCCAACATCCTACGAAGAGGCATCTTGACCTCGATAAACTCGACAAAGCTCCCCAGGGTTCCCTCATCGATGGGAGGCCGGATGCGCAGCCGCCCGTCGACCGCCATGTTGAAGACCGAGACCTCATCGCCCTTGACCTTGTCCGGTGGGTACTGAGCCGCCATGACAGAGCGCCAGGCGAGCGCCGTCAGGGCGTCGTTGGTGCTGATGTACGCCGGCTCGCCCGGCTGGGGGTTTTGGGGATACGAGTCCTTCTTGAGCTGCTCCAGCGAGTCCTTGGAGAAGTAGAAGATCTGCCCGACGTGCCCTTCCGACTTGAGCACCTTGGCCAGCTGCTTGGCCGGATCGCTTAGGAGCACATACTGGGGGTGGTCTTCCAGCCTGCCCGCCTTTCCACCCGACGGAGCTTGGGGGCTGATCGCGTGGCGCCTATCGCTGACGATGCTCTGGCGCAGCTCGAAAGGCTTGGTTATCTCAAGCCCCTGCGCCCGCCGGCACTCTTCCGCCCAGATTGCCGTCCAGGTGAAGAACGTCGTGCCGTCACCGATCATGTGGAAGGGGTTCCAGTTCAGGATCAGGCCCCCTCGGATGAAGTTCAGCTGCATAAGCATGATAGGCAGCCGGTCTTCGGGAGACGGCCATGTGTAGCGGCGCGTGAAGATCTCCGGGTCGAACGCAGATACGGGGAAGTGCCTCTCTTTCAGCTCGGCGAATGTCAGAGGATATGCTCCAGGCGCCCGGAGGTCATTGACCGTGATCGGCTGGATCCGCTCCAGTCTTTCCTTGTCGTCGAGCAGCTGGATCTTCATCGCCCCGCCTTGCTTGGCGTCCGGGTCGGCGACGGCTTCGCCTTTCAGGACGGGGATGCGGCGGCAGGTGGCTTCCCAACCGTCCCTCAGGACCCGTGTCACCTCATCTAGGTCATAATTATCAGGCAGCTCAAACGGAAAAATCTGGGGGAGTATTAGTACCGTATGCCATCTGGGCCTGGTGTTGGACTAGGACTGGAGACTTGCATATCTTGGCCAGCCTCTCGGGCTGATCTGCTCAATAGGAGTGACTTGGAACAGGAGACCCTTGTCGATGAAGTCCATTGTGCCTGCTCCCTATGCTTTCAGTGCCCAAATGTTCAACGTTTGTGAGAAGTGCGAGGATGGTGAGTGGGTCGTTTTCAGGGAAGCTGGCACCGTCTTGAGAAGCTGATGAGGAAAGTCTGGTTTCGTCAAGTCTGAATATTTGCTTTTTTCGCCTTCCTTACAGTGGAATTAGCCCCTCGTGTTTCGCAACTGGTCTGGTTGACTGTTGGCCAGGTTCACCAATGGAAGCCCTTGTTATAGATGGAGCTTTGTGGGCCCTATATATGCAGCCAGGATCTTGCCAAGTCGCCATGAACGATGTAGTCTGCCACTAAATGCATACTCACAGGTGATTGGGAGCGTGATCGGCAATATCGTAGCGGTTTCGAGCCGGCGATACTACGGGGATTGGCAGGAGATGTTGCCGCACCCAAATGTACTGGCTGGTCTTCAGAAATTGCTAGGCATGACTATGCTCCACCTCAAAAACTGACATGTCGTTGGAGCCACGGGCAAAACGTCCGAACAGTTAGCCCAGCAGCACAAGCGGTGGTGAAAAAAAAAGCCTTAAGAAGGATTGGGATGTGACCTGTCGGTGCTATTGCAGAAACCCCTTGAATCCTTCCAAACAAGCAGAAGAACGCTGGTTCCACAAGACATGGCTAACTTGCCGTCGCAAAAACCAAATTTTTGAACTTTTCAAGTCTTTTGATTCTTTCAGCGCATTACAAGACTTCTCTTCATTAGATCAACTCGCTATGGCCGACATCGAGCCTACTATAGTCGCCATCTTCGGTCCGGCGCCGGCTGGAACCGATCTGAACGAGAATCCAATTGCCGGCAACGATTTCGCCGTGGCAGTCTTGCTCGGAATAGCGACCGTGGCCGTCGTGCTGAGACTAGTGTGCCGACACTTTACGAGCAGCCCCTTGAAAGCCGACGACAGCGTGATAATAGCGGCATTGATCTTGACGTATGCCACCGGCGGCATGTCGTTCGCAGCTGGACACTATGGTGCAGGGAGGCATGTCTGGTCTGTCAGGGCAGTTGATGTCGCCATGGCAGCCAAGGTAAGGTGGTCCCATTCACCTTATGTACGACTGATTAGCTGACATGCGGAAACCCATAGCTTCTCTATGCCTATAGTTTCGTTTTCGCGGCCGCTATCACCCTGACGAAAACTTCCATCCTGCTACTCTACACGCGCATCTTTGAAGTCTCCGACCCGAGGTTCCAGTTCCTGCTCTGGACGGCCGCTTTCTTTGTTGCAGCATATCCTCTAACGTTTGTTATTGCCATGGCAAACTGCTGCAAGCCAGTCTCGTTCTACTGGGCACAGTTTTCTGGAAACACCGACGGATACTGCCCACTGAACACAGGACTATTCTTTGTGATCATGGCTATCATCAACCTTTTCATAGACTTCTTTATACTGATCTTGCCTATACCGTCAATCTTGAGGCTTCAGATGTCTACGCGCAAGAAGGCCGGTGTCTGCGGCATCATGCTCCTCGGAGGATTGTATGTCGCCTCCCCCGCCTCTCGCGCTTAACATCACCTCCTGCACATGTGCAGCTTGCCAGCAATTGGTTCCATATGCTAACAATTTCTTAGTGTCTGCTGCGCAAGCGTCGTACGAATCTACTATCTAAACGTGTTCTCTTCCGCCATAGACGCCACGTGGTACATGGGTCCTGTATGCGTCTGGTCCGCCGTCGAGCCATCCATCGGCATTCTCTCAGCCTGTCTGCCCAACATGCGCCCGCTCTTTGTCTTCGTCCGCAACAAGGTATCATCATCGAATCGCAGCGAGGGCCAGTCGCGCCCAGCGTCAGCACCAGGTTTAGTTACTTGGGGAGGGAGTGGCGGTCCGGGTTCGAAGGGCGCCAAGGCAAGCCGCCGCCGGAGGGACGAGGACGAGCTTCGCCTGACGAAGAATAACTACAGCATGACCAATATTGTCACGGCAGGTGGACCAAGTGAGAGTGAAGCTAGTCAGGGTGAAGGAATTGTCGTCCGTTCCGAGGTAATGCTCCAAAGCAGCCAGCGGTAACATCATGAAAACAATCTTTTCTTTTTATGAAAATCTAAAATAACTGCATCTTGCAAGATTTGTTCAGCTTGGTATGGTCATTTATCAATACTTGTAATCAAGTTCCATGAAGCAGAATCTGTGGAAATTTGATTTTCGGTGTCGATAATGCAGCGAAGAAAAGGAAGGAAGATAACAGACGATCGCACATTGTGAGCGGGCACTGGCTTGTATATTCTCTGGCCAGATCCTGGGGCAGATTCTATGAATTTCCTGTAGGAGGTATACTTTCAGAAGCTGCCATGGTAAATCTTTGCGCGCGACAGCGGAATGGTAGCGTTCCAATCGCAAATTTCCTTGGGTGCTTCCTAGGCCACGGATGGAAGATAGTTTTTCATAATGTGTTTTGAGAGGTCCGGCTTCGGCCACACTATGTTTTTCAAATCAACTATTTATTAATTTATTTGCTGTCCGCTTAGCTTTCTAATTATCCCTCCCTAAGCTTATATATTAAGTTGCATATAGCTTAATATATATCCTTATTTTTCTCTTTTAAAGAAATATTATTATACTTTTTTACCCTTATCCTTTAACTTTCTTTTAATCCTTTTAAAAATAATTATATTATTAATAATAAAATAATAAATGTAATAAAGTATAATTTTATTACATTATTTATTTTTTTATAAGTATTATTTTTTTTCTTTAAGAATTTTATAATATTATTTTAAAAAATATTTTAGCATTTTAAAGTAAAATATTTCTTTATTTTAACTTTTATTAAAGTTAATAATTATAAAATTAAATATTAATTATAATAATGCTTTATAAGCTTATTTAATAAAGGTTTTCTTAAGAAGTTATATAAAATATATATTAATATAAGTAAAAAGAAATTAAGTTTTTAATTAAAATTATAATTATAAGATTATTATATTTTATAAAAATATTTTAATTTTTATTAAATATTTAATTACTTAACTTTTTAATTTATAATATTATTAAAAGCAGTTTTTATTAAACTTAATTATATAATTATTATAAAATTATTATTACTTTCTTAATTATAAGTTATAATTATATTTAAAACTTATTATTATTAATATTATATTTTTAACGCTAGGTATTTAAGCATTTATTACTATATAAAGGAGCTGGATGCATATTGCTTAAGAAGCATATATGTATAGATTAAAAACGAGACCACTTTTGAGAGGTTCTCAGTTCTTGGAGATGGAATGGGTTGCAGTCTTGAGAAAGTCTTCTTTGCCGCCGCGTCAACTTAGCCGTGGGGCCTAGTCCAAGACTTGACAATTCTTCAGCTAATTTTGTCCAATAACGACTTACTCGCCCCCATAATATTGTCGACCACTTTCAGCTGAATTAGAAAGAAGAAGAGAGAGAAACAAAAAGGCCAAGATCGAGATGTTGTAGTCAACGAGCTGAACCAAATGAATTGAAATGACAATGTATGTCCGCGGACCGGCATCCAAAACCTGCCAAGCCTCAATGAATAGTCAATGTTGGCCTATCACAGTCGCAAGACATTCACGGAGGAACGTTTGCCGAGCCAGAGTACGCCCACCCAGCTTCCACAGTACACCTACCTAGCTTTCAGCGTTGGCCCACTTAGTACTTCCTTTTCTTAGTATTATATTAATAAGATTAGGTACTTTTCTAAGTTTACCTTATATATAAGAAGCTAAGGTAGCTATTTTTTAATTTAAGCAATACTTTAAAAATATAAGCTTAAAAAGCCTAGAGCGCCCAGGAGCCCCTGAGCGCGCAGAGGGCCGCAGAGCGCGCAGAGGGCCGCAGAGGGCGCAGAGGGCCCAGAGGGCGGCAGAGGGCCCAGAGGGCCCAGAGGGTGCAGAGGGCGCAGAGGGCAAAGGGCGCAAAGGGCAAAGGGCAAAAGTAACTTTTAAGTCGCAAATAGAGAGGTAGCTATGGGACCCCTCTAGGATAGCTATAACTATACTTTATTAATAACCCCATAATACCAATATTTTATAATGCGTGTAGCCAATTTCCTTATACTAGGTGGGCCAACGCTGAAAGCTGGGTGGGCGTACTGTGGAAGCTGGGTGGGCGTACTCTAGCTCACGTTTGCCTCGTTCGAACATAATCGCTTTCCATCTCGGTCGTAAGTCCGACCAAGGGGCTAATGAAAGGACCCCTACAGTGGAGGGGAGACCGGATCTGCCGAGCCGCCCAGAGGGTCGGATCAGGGTGGATCAGTCTTTTTCGCATCCGCCACATGAACAAAAACAGACGATTTCCCATCCCATCCCACAACTCGACTGCGGAGGCAGTGTCAACCTCGCCCTTCCGAACTCGCAGCCAGGAGACGATGAGATTGCTGTCGTGTCTGGCCGCCTTCGTGACAGTATGTGCTGCCACCTTCGTGCCGAACCAGCGATGCGATAATTAATGGCCGGGAAAAGGGGGCCCCGGGGCACTGCCCACCAACACAGCGGTGCAGGCGGAGCTGAAGCCCGGGAACGGAACCAACGTGAGGCTGGCACTCGACACGTTGACTCTTCTGGACCGGGAGGACTGCGCGCAATGGGCTGGGGAGCTCACCAGGGGAACAATCGAACTCGAGGCCATGGGAAGGCCGACGCCGTCAGTGCACTATAAGGATAAAGCCCAGCTGTACGTCTCTTACGATCAGGAGATGCGCGCTTTTCCATCCGTTTCGACCATGAAAACCACAATTCACCTGTACGATGACAACTCACAGGAACGAGGTTGTCTGGGGAAGAGGACGAAGACGCGCCCGATCCGCAGCCCGTCGGGGACTGCCTCCAGTACCTTCAGCACATCTTCCTCGGCGCGAGCCTCAGCCTCTTCTATCCTGGTTTCATGATCCCTGTGGCCGGTCGCGTGTCCTGGTCTTCGCTGTTCAGCGGCGGTATACTGACGTATGGACATGCCGACTACGCGAGCATCTCCGATGGAATCTACGAGAGGAACGGCACCTATGGGGGCCCAGTCGCCAAGCTCGTGCTTCGAGTCGGAGCCGGGCCCCTACAGCGCCCACCGATTACGCCCGCCACAACACAGCATCCATTCCGCCAGCTCTAACCGCTTCTACAGGGCACCTAGATCCACGTCCCGAACGAGCTCCACTCTCTCTCCTGGGAGACTCGGGATTCCGGTATCACTGATAACAGGTTCTCCAGGGTGACCCTGAGCGGGAGCTTCGATGCTCTCCGCGGGCCACCGTTGCCGGCCATTGAGCAACCCGTGCCTTTCAGCCGGGCAATGTGCTCGAGCCCCGCCGCGGTGGACGAGTATCGCTCGTCGGACAAGGAGAGCGGTCCCGGGACGCCGGCCGAATCTGGGCGCACAGAAGCCTTGGGCCCGCGGTGGAACGACTACTCATTCCGCGAGTCGGATTTGTACTATGGAGGTCGCACTCGGGGAGGAGGGAGTAAAGGGAGCGATGACACCGCCGTTGAAAACACTCCGTCTTCACGGCAAGCATCTCGCAAGACACTCCGGCGGTACATGGAGAGGGAACATAGTGGTACGGCGGCTCCCAGCAAAGGCTTTGAGGTAATAAGAAGGCCTGCGCCTCCAGGCACGTAATGAAGACTGCACCAGGGCAGCCAGTCCAGGGAGAAAAAGCCAATGTGTGCAATTCTTATAAATCTCAAACACTTCATGATTATAATAATATAGCTGCAAATGTTCAGACAAAATTCTTAAGTTGAACCCCGTCCTTGCCCCAAAATCCAATACAGGTCCAACGCGGCCGTAAGCCGTGGTGTCTCATTTGTCCCAAGCGAAATGCAGCCCGCACCAACACACCCTCCTTATTAGTAAAGCATGGGGTCCATCGGCGAGTTTCCTGCAGCGTTGCCGCCTCCGGAGCGGTCCGGGTCATCTTCACTGGCCCTCCCGGATCGCGTCATCCGGCTCCCCGTCAGCCTCGGCGAGGAGTCATCGGGCGAAGCGGGTCCAAGCGGATATGATCTGCACCGCTCCGAGCCGTCAGGCCACAAATTGCCGTCGCCTCGGCCGCATTCAGACTTCGTGAGCAAATAAAAAAAAGGCAGGCCATAGCCCACATTGACCCGTGCCTGGTATTGGAATTGCTGTGCCGCTAGTCACAGGAATTTAGATTATTCGCCAACGGCGATTTACCTACCAGAAAACTCCGCATTTCCTCAGCTGTATTTTTTTTAACGGTGCGGAATTATGCAGCCTGCCTGTTCCTCCCCTTCCATCCTCCTGTAGCCGAAAGCACGGTTCTCACCAGTGCCTCTCGGTGCTCATACACACCCAGAACCCCCCACCACTGAGCCACGTCGCGTCCGCAGCAGTGTACATTGCCAGCCCAAGCAAAACCGGCCACGATGACTCTCCCATTCCCCATCCCGCCGGGCCTCCTCCACGCGGACTTCACCATGTCCCGCACCACCGAGGCCGACGCGGAGCGCATCGCCGAGATCTACTACGCCGCCTTCCAGACCGACCGGGGCAACACGTACTGGTGGTCCGCCGACACGCCCGCCATGATGGAGTGGATGGTCCGCCGCATCCGCCGCAAGATGCGCGACCGCTCCGTGCGCCACTTCAAGGTCGTCGACGCCCGGACGGGCGACATGGTCGCCTTTGCGCGCTGGGACGTGCCGCAGGGGTCGGGTGCGTTTGGCGAGTGGGTGGGCGGCGACGATAGGAACGGTAGTAGGGAGGTAGGCGTCTCGGGGCTGGTAGAGGGCGAGGGAGAGGGCGAGGCCAACGGCGAGGCGCCCGGGCCCCTGACCGGTGGCGTCGACGCGCCGCACTCGTCATCCTCCGCCGCTCTGGACATCCCCAGGGGCGCCGACCCGGAGCTCTGCCGCGGCTTCTTCGACGGGCTGAGCCAGATGTCTTCCAAGTGGATGGGCCAGGACATGTTGGGTAAGCAGCGAGGTGTCCTCATGGCCGTAAAAAGTGCTGGGAGGGGAATGTAGTACTAACCATCGTCAGGCCTCTCGCTGATTTCAACGTCAACAAAGCATTTCAAGAGGGGCGCCGCCAAGGCTCTGATAGTCCCTATGCTGAACATTGCCGACGCGGAGGGGATCAAAACCTATCTCGAAGCCACACCCGCCGGCAAGCCCATTTACGAGAAGCTGGGCTTCCGAGAGGTCGACGCCCTTGAGTTCAACCTGGACGAGCTGACCAAGGACCGCCATGGCGTCTACAAGCTCTGTATTATGATCCGAGAGCCGGCGAGGCAATAGTTTCTTGATCAACTCAGAGTTAGAGCCGATGATACGGGACAGTGCCGGAAGCCTCGTCCCAGTTTTGCAAATTCGATTGTTTGCCATTGGATGGCGGGTGACTTGAGTCGCCCTTGAGTGGCATCTACATTGGAAGCCTTCTAATCCTGGAACACCATAAGCAGCACCAATAACTGATCAGCTGCTGGAAAAGCCGGGGGGGTTTATAGTGGGAGTAAGAAGTGTCACTGCACACAGTGCTCAAAAATAAACCAGAGCCATTAGGTACATTTCACCACGGCAAAGGAACAGACGTCTCATTTAGTTATGACGCTACGATGGAAATCAGCTTGGGGGTACTTGGTGCCCAGCTGTCTACCTTGTGAACAGTAGCGGGACTCAGTGTCATATGGTCTCCCAAGTTGTGTCTAGCAGATCCTGAGACGGTCCCATGGGTTAATGGGTCAACCAACAGTGAGCATTGACTGATGGGAATATGAAGACTACTTGAGAGCTGTGATCCAAAACACAACATCTCAACAAGGGGGCTTGTACAATTGCATTTGACGGGCTGTATATGCATATGTATCATCTGGTGCATTGCAGTCTGTGCTTCTCAGTTCCATGCATCCACATGATATTACAGTGAGCTTTTCCCAACACGGGTTCCAGCCCTTTTAATACGGCAAGCTGCGGGCTCTTAATGTTGTCACCATGAGAAAAAAAGGTGCAACCTTTCCCAAGGGAAACTCAGTGGCCGGAACCCCCACCAGAGCCATGGACGAGATGTTGCCGCACCGGCTGGGGGAACAAGTGGTCAGAAATCACTGTCCCTGATGTGTCTGGTCCAGCTTAGCATGGGCCCCTCTCCATGTACCCCATTATTGTTCAGCCAACTGTGCTGCTGTGTAGCCAATGGCCTGCGAGATCCTGGACAGCCTGCATGTGTTGGTGGCAGTGCAGACTGATTGCCTGGTTGGCTCGATGAATGCAAGCTGAAAACTGGCTAATCTTGAGGCCCATGCAATGTTCCGACATTCTTGTTCAGTCCATCTGCCAAAAGGTTCTGCCTAAACTTGACCATCTTCAATTGCAATGCTTTCTAGAGACCCAGGGGCAGCGCCGTCGCAACGGCCGCAGCAGCCAAGAGGGATTGCACCCAACCCAGCTCTCTGCAAACAATGCAATGCTTCACTACATCTTGATGACAGTTTCTTGAAGCCACAAATGAAAGTATCAGCCACCGGAGAGCCATATCTTGGCGGATCGAATGCCCGACAAAGATTGTCCCTATTCAGCGTTTGGTGGCATTGATTACGTCCGATACGACCAGATTCCGACACTGCCAGGCCTCTCGCTCGCTGCCGAGAGTGGGTGCGCATTCTGTGCTGCAACAAGAGAAGGACTGAAAAAAGAGTACCAAGGAAGTCCAGGGTGGAAGCCTCATCCAGAACCGCTCACACTGCGCATTCAGTACAAATGGGATGTCCTTTGGGAAGCCACAAACCTTGAGGCCCTCGTGGTCAGCGTCCTCCATCCCGGGCTGGGAGAATGGGGGCACCTAGGATTATGGTCGAACCAAGTGCTTGAATTCCTGCTCTGCGCCGCAGGAGGTACGTCCATCCATCGTGCCGTCCACCATGACGGATTCTTGGATGCATGTACCTTTAATGTTACTGATCTGATATCTAACTGACAGACAAAGACCCGTGCACAACGTGGCTCGGTTTGAAAAGCAGACGATGTGAGAATCCATGGTCGCCTCAGAACATCGCCATGTCTCAAAGATGGATAAACGAGTGCCTCGACAGGACCGGTCCATGTCAGGAGGGGACAATGGAGCCTTATGATTCCGACGTGTGCCCAAGCAAACAATATGACAGCGACTACCAAGACGAGGCAAACGCGACCGCAGGTGAAGGACGCACGCAAATGTGTCAGCCTGCCGAACATTCCGGCGGTGCATTCCTCCCTACAAGGCTCCTGGACCTCTTTCCCGTTCCTGCCCATACTCCAGGCTGTATTAGCCTTGTGGAGAGCATCCATCTCGAGAAGGGTCTCAGATACGCCGCTCTCAGCTATTGCTGGGGAAATGTCAAGCCGACAATCTTGACTACTAAAGCGAACCTCGACAGCCACCAACAGAGTATCAAGTTCTCTGTCCTGCCGCAGTGTTTGCGAGATGCCGTCACCGTCGCACGCAGTCTCGAGATTCGCTCCCTCTGGATCGATGCGCTTTGCATCATCCAAGGTGATGGCGACGACTGGGCCAGAGAGTCAGCAACGATGTGGCAGCTATTCCAGAACGCCTACGTCACAATCGCTGCGGCTGCGTCGGAGTCTTTTGACGAGGGGTTCTTGGCCCGCCGGCCGTTTGAGTCCTTCGATGTGAATTTTATGTCGGCCTTGAACCCTCAGGCTGTAGGCACATTCACACTATCCACAATTCCAGATCCGGACGGGTGGCAGGTGTTAAATCCCCAATACATCAACCGGCTATCAGGTGACCTGCGGACTTGTAAGTGGAGCACACGCGGTTGGTTTTTTCAGGAGCAGGAATTATCAAAACGATTACTCGTTTTTGGAAAACACATGCTCCATTTCAAATGCGATCATTGCCAGCGCTCCGAAAACTCACATGATATGGTGCATGACGCGAACCCACTTGAAGCTTGTCGCGGATCGTGGACCAAGTCGTTATACGGATACCCGGCAAGACACTTCACTTTTCTCCAAGACAAATTGCCAGCCGTCTCCGGCCTGTCCAAACAAATAGACCAAGACTCCATGACGAGAGGAGAGGGGCCAGCACAGTATCTGGCTGGCATTTGGTATTGCTCGGAGAGGCGCGAGCCCAAGACAGGCTGGCAGCACCAGCTGCATTGGAGACTGAGAGCCCCGGGCCAGTCGTTCCAGGAAATGCTGGATGGGTTAAAGTGCGCTGGCCTTCGAACTTACACTGCCCCAAGTTGGTCCTGGGCCTCCCGCCGTGGAGGAGCTGGCTGGGATTATACCTGTGATTACCATAGCAACAGTGTGTGCCCCTCACGCTTTGAGGCCAAAATCGAAGACCACCAGATGAACTTGACAGGACCCGATCCAACGGGTCGAGTCGGGCCCGGATCTTACCTGAAGCTCTCAGGGCTCCTGCACCCGGGTCCATTGGACCTATCCGCGTTAAAAAAAGGACGGCTACCGGTATGACTTCGTGTGGACGCTCTCTTCTGAGGCATCATTTCTTCATATCAGTCCCGACTGGAACCATTCGCCCACCAACCAAGAGGACCGTTTATTTGAGTGCGATATTCGACTATTTGTTCTTTGGAGGTGCCAAGAGGAGCAGATCGAGGAACCGGATGTATTCCATGGCCTGCTATTGTTTCGAGACAGTGAGTCTGGGCTCTATTTTCGGGTGGGGTCATTTGAAATGGGCAGTACAGGGCAGAGTTATGCACGATGGGAACGGCAGTCTATTTACATCCTATGAACCATAAGCGCCATAAAATGATACGTGGACGATTTACATGTCTTCGCGGCTCGAAGTCGCGGCTTGGTCTTTGGAAATATTTCGATCTCAACTTAGTAGTATTGTTTAATCCAAAGAAGGCCATCCTGCAACTACAACAAACGGCGCCGTGACCGTCTTCTCCTTGGGTAGCATACTTCTATTTGGAATACCATTTAAATTTGGTTCTTCTAATCCGCTCAGGATTAGGAGAAACCTTGGTGTCACGCACCCCTTTGTCAGCCAGTCTGTATGAAGCAAGCCACGCCCAGATATCACAATATGCAGTAATTGAGCAGTGCACAGAAGGCCACTTGAAGAGCTAAGCTAGGTGGGACTGGAACCCAGGCTTCTTGGGACACTGAAGAACAGTATCTGATCTTTTTATGATAATTTTGCCTTGAGACATTCTCTATGGCTCACTGAAGATGTTGTGGCAATGACTACTCTCGGGCGGGTCCATGTGTGATGCTGCCTGGCCAGAACCACTTCTAACGTGACCCCGTGCTGGTATATTTGGCTCAACCCGCGAAAGTCTCCCGTTGTTGTCATGCGTCCATTGCTCAACGTCGACATCAGCAACCGAAAATTCGTCAGCATGGCTTCTGTAACAACGCTTCCTTTTCGACCCATACAACTGGATGCAAACAAGACTGACTGTACCGCCGTCCCCATTTCCCCGATACTTCTTCTCCCCCCTCACCTTCGGCGCCGCATCTACCTACATACTGACTTGCTTGTACGGTATGATCGAAAGGATACGCATGCTGTACTGAATCTCAATGGAGGCACTCCGGTACCTTCCTTTTACTGCCGTCCCACTTACGAGGAACATGGCCTTAACGGCATACATGGCTTCCACGGCCTACTCCTTTCTTGTCGGACCATCTACAAAGAGGCATCCGCCTTGCTTTACAGTCACAACAGGTTTATTATTCGGTACTGGGAGAAGGAATCCTTGGCGCCCCTGAGAAATTTGACCCCATCCTCGCTCTCTAAGCTTACGTACCTCAAGATCGTTCTCAACCAAGCGTCGTGCCACCACAAGAGCCCGACAGTGTGGAATGAGGACTCAATGGACGTCTGTCACGACAGCCGACGCAGGGATGACGAGGGCGGAACTGACCAAGCCTTCGATCCTGTGCTATGCAACGCCCCTCTGAAAATCGACCAGCCGAGAGCGAAGATTCTGTTTGCCGAATGGCATGGCACCGTCGCATATATGGCATCGCATATCAGCCCAAAGACCCTTGAGCTTAGTGTAGTTTGCGACGTCCACCACGACGACATGGAGGCAGCCAGACACGCAGCCGATCCGATCAGTCTCTTTCCAGAGTTGCGAAACTGTCATATCCGCCTGTGCCGAACATCTACGCCGCAGTTGCGGCGAATGGCTCACGACACGGTACTTGAAGCTCGCCGAATTACCAGCCATGGTCTTCGGGGAACGTTTCAGGCGTGGCTCGATCAGCCCAGCTAGAACATACCCGCCAGCCTCAGCTCCGGGCTGAAAGCCCAATGAAGCCCACGTTGGCGACACGGACCCGACATGGTTTACCGGTAGCATCTGGGAGGCAACATTTCGTAGCTACTACTGAGCGTCCAGGGCATCTATAAAAGAGGATCACTGCCATCTTCTGCAAGACTATCACCCCGAGCCTCTACGGGTCCATGCAGTAGTGCTGACAACGGGCCATCGAATGGCAATGCCCAGATGCATACGGCCAGGTTGATGATGGTCCCAGAAAACCGTGCCGCACAGTGAAAGCTGTTGGTTCACAGCAATCGAACCTTGGAAAGCAACCTTTTCAGTCGCTCCCTCTCTCCGGCCTCAGCCGCCGGCCTCAGCAACCGGACGTCCGTTCTATCACTGTCTCTCCGCACCCCGTCTGTTTGACACCATAAACCAACAGTAAGAGACAAGCTTTACATGCGTCTTCTCGCTGCTCAGCTCCGATGGAACCAAATAGCTGAATAGGTGCTCCAATCATAGTCATGGCAAGAATCACCCCATTTGTACTCCTTAGCGCTGGGGCCGTCTTCTTTGGATTAGCCGCGGTATTGCTTGGCCCTGGCCGAGCCTTCCTACTCACCATCGTCGCCCCTTACCTCCCACCAAACCTCGTCCCGGCACCGGTCGTCACCGATTCGGGCCGGGATGTAAAGTACATCGGCTCTCGCTCCGCCGACCTGGCAGTGGAGCACTTCCACAACATCTTGTACGCCGAGGACACCTCCGGCCCGAACCGCTTCGCCCCGCCGGTCCCGGCAGCGCCGACCCGGGGCTCCGTCATCGACGCCACGGCGCCCGGCGCGTGGTGCCCCCAGGGCACCGGCGATGTGCTCCCCTTCACCTCGCGGGTGACCAACATCAGCGAGGACTGCCTCAGCCTCCGCATCGCGAGGCTGCGCGGCACGGGGCGTCCCGGCGCCGAGCCCCTCCCCGTCGCGGTGTGGCTCCACGGGGGCGGGCACGCGCTGGGCTCGGGCGAGGAGGTCCTGTACGAGCCGGACGGCCTCCTCGGCCAGGCGGGGCTGGACGGCCAGCCACTAATATTTGTGGCGATCAACTACCGGCTCGGCTTCTTCGGCGCCACGGGCCCGGCGATGGTGGAGGCTGGGCAGACGAACGCGGGGCTGCGGGACCAGCGGGCGGCGCTGGAGTGGGTGCGCGACCACATCGCTAGTTTCGGCGGCGACCCGGCGCGGGTGACCGCCATCGGGCAGAGCGTCGGCGGGAGTGACATCGGCCTGCAGATGGCTGCGTTCGGTGGTGCGAAGGGCGTGCCGTTCCAGAAGGCCGTGATGATGTCCGGCGCCCCGGGGCTGAATTTCAATACCATGTCGGACCTCGTGGCGGACAACACGGCCATGGTCGCGCGGCAGGTCGGGTGCGTGAAGGAAGGGGCTGATGCCCACACCGAAGCGGTGCTGGCATGTCTCCGGGAGGCCCCCTTCGACATCCTGACGAATCTCTCCGTCAGTGCGATGCGGGCGGCGCGGCCTCCGTTCGGCGAGGGCTTCTTCTTTCCCACCTACGACGGTGACTTCATCCCGGATCGTCCGTCCAAACTGATTCGAGAGGGTAGGGTTGTCAAGGATATTCCCGTCGTCGCCGCCTGGGTGACCAACGATGGCGCGTGGTACGCACCGCCAACGACGGCTACAGACGACGATGTGCTCAGCAGCTTCACACTGTGGCTGACGCTGTCTCCGTCTACCAGGACGAAGCTGCTGGAGCTCTATCCCGTCTCGGACTTTGAACAGGTTGCTCAGGGGCAAGGCGTTTCGCCACAGTACTACCGTGCTGCGCAGATAAACCGCGACCTCTGGTTTGCGTGCCCTGTGCTGGACTTCGCGTGGCAGTACGGTCGGCACAACGCCCACAACACACGGCTATATGAACATAACTCCACACGGTTCGCGCCATCTTATGCTCTGATGGGCGTGCCGATGTGGAGAGTTGCTCACCTGAGTGACATACCGTACGTATTGAACAGCCAAAGCCTCGGGGGCGGCGCCGATAACTCAGCGGGCCAGCTGGCGCTGTCGGCGGCCGTTAGCAGGAGGATCGTGAGGTTCGTCACATCGGCAATACCTGACGAGGAGTGGTCTCCGGCGTTCGCAGGGGTGGCCGAGGACAGCCCCCAGGACAAGTTACCGGGCAGGATCTCTCTCCAACTGTTCGGCGGCCCACACGGAAACAGACAGGTGACAGTTCGGGAACATCCAGACGAGGACGATGCTTCAGCAACAGAGGCTGAAAAGGCGGTTGCGTGGGAAAGGCTGTTCCAGAGGTGCAACTTTATCAACAGCGCCGAGGTGCGGGACGAGACCTCTGTCTGAGCGCTCTGCACCGGATTCTATCTTGCGCATCGTGGTCTTCCCCAGACAGATGGCAAGGCTTCGTGAATAGGTATTTTGCCTTTCCTATGTGGTTATGCGCCGCCCGCTTGAATGTAATGGGTCCTGTTTAATATCACACCCCGCAGGATGTTACGATTTGAGACTGCAAGATATGTCATCTGCTATGCAGATGCCAACAAAGCACAATAGTACATCTGGTTAGCATCCGTCGAAAAGATGTCGGAAAGGAAATGCTGGCTAGCAACTAGGGAAGAGGTGCGAAAATACCGAGTTCCACAACGCGAGAAGCAGCCAATGTGTTGTCAAAGGAGTTTCCCGAGTGCACACAAGGAAGCATACGGGCGCTCTGACGGTCTCAGCGGTTTCTTTCACTTTGCTTAATACTTACAGGACTTGCAACACATCAAGAGAAGATTGGAAGTACTATGTGCAGCTTCAAACTCTCTTCTTTACAGGCAATTGTTATAGGGCATAGCGTACTCAAAGTAAAAGCAATGTTGGAACTTCTATCAAAATGTCTTGCACAATGAGGACTGTTTCATTCACATGGTGCTGTTATGATTATTTGTTGCAGCTGCTCATAATGAAAACTTCCACAGTTTATTCAATTACTTGACCGAGTTCTGCAGCTAGTGCTTTGATAGCCAGCTCGCCAATTCACCACTGAAGCTGACCCTGCCTATTAGCAGCCTTGCTGTCTACTTGCACAGAATTTGCGTTTTGCAGAAGACTCAGAACGAGGATATCTAGGATAAGACGCAATTCTGTTCCTTGGTTGCTCTCTGCCACGCCGGGGTCTACCGGTTGCTTGTCCAGATCTCGCCGCGGACCTGCAGCCCACAGCCTTACTACACACTCCCAACCGTTTTCGAATGGTGGATAAGGGATTGAGCGCCAGCGTCCTGAGAGTCCACTTATGGTGCCGCTACGCGGCCATCCAGGAGCAGAGGGGAGCTCAGCATATCTGGGAGCGGTTGGTGGCCGTGATGCAATGCGGGCGACAGACGTAAGTCGGGCTCAAGGAAGAGAAGAGCAAGGAGCACAACGATGTGCCCTTACTGTCTACTGTCGTTGCAGCTGAAATCGAGGAGCACACTAGCGACAGAGCTCGCCGATCCGGGGGTGCTCAAGCGGCTCCCGGAAGCGTAAGCAAGCTAGGGGGAGCGAGACGTGCAGATTCGGGCCTACGTCCAGTCTGCTCTTCCCCCAGCAAGTGAGATCGGACTCAGACGGAGCGTGAAGGGGCATTCCAGGCCGGGGCAGGGTGACGCAGACGCAACGAAGGGGTGCAGTGATTCCAGGAAGGCCAGGAACGGGTAGCATTCTTTCAGCTGGTTTGGCCTCAGATACCTGGCTGCCTGGCTGGTGGGTAACTCTTTTTTTCTGGTTGCCTTCTTTTCCCTGCTTGCTCTCGGCACCCTGCAGCGATTTGACACCATCCCAGTGCACCCACGCACAACGTGAATGGCTGGTTTGCCCGGGTCGGCCCATTTGGCCCCCAGGGTCTCAGTCGTGGGCCGATGCTACCAAGCAGGCAATCAGGAGCGTGGCCGAGAGACCTGCAGGGAGGCCCAGCAGATCAGCGTCACCCCGGAGTTCGAGTCTGTTGGCTTTGGCCTCATTGTCCAAGCGGTCGTCGCCGCCAGACATGCACAGTAGCTTGGCTGGCTAGCAGAAGCGGCCCTCAGAGCTGGGACACAGCAGCGTGGTCGAGACCGAGAATTGGGATTGAGCACAGGCGACAAAGCTGCCTCTTTGATGTTGGCAGTTTCTAGCCCCAGGTGCTCAAGGAGCTTCTGAAGGCATGGTACCCTGCGGGTTAGGCGAAACCCCCAATCAGGCACACCCCACCACACCCTATTCGACCTGGGTAGGAAGCACCCACCACATGGCATGCCGGCTTGCCCACGGCCCACAGTAGCTCGTCCCACCCATCCTTCTTCTCTACCATCTTCTGGTCCGGGCTCACCCTTCAGCCCTACAAAACTGTGGGAAATGCGTCTACCTGGGCCTGCTGGGTATGGCCCCCCCCCCTGTTGTCGACGTAGGACTGCCAGCTGGTAACAGGGATGCGCATCCTTCTGCCGCATCCAGCCTGTCATGTCCACCCTATCCAGGCAGTCACACTCACACTCACACTTGCACTCACACCCTGCCGCGCGAGGTGCCACTCGCACGGCTGACCGACCGGCGGGAATGGCTTCTGACATAGCTCCCGCCCTTGGCCGTTCTGGCCCTTGATAAGAGGAGCTCGTCCCGCCGGCCAGGTATGGGCCCGGGCAGGCTAGCGAGCTCTCAGTCCTCCTCCCTTTCACATCTCCAAGCGCCTCCCGAGCCATCTCGTCGTCTCCCTCTTTCTTTGTCCTCGACAAGCGCCTCTGACGTCCCTGCTTGCCGCACCAGGCGTGCATCTGTCCCACCTATGACCCTGACGGGCTCTTGTTGCTGTCACATCGCTTCCGTGAAGCTGTCACACGCGACCTGTCGTCAACCAGCCCTGTTCGAGGAGAACAAAGGAGCTTCAGCTTCATAACCGGCACACCGACAAAACGACCGGCACTCAAAGACGACATCGAGACAGCGTTTTTCCAACACCAAGCGGACAATACCCGAGTTGAAATTTCCAACAAGACAATCCAGGGAATCTCAGCAACTATGAACTCTACGTCTCGTGCACCAGCCCCAGCGCCGCTATACACGCTGGGCTTCGGCCGCAACACATCAACGTCTCCGACGTCTCCCACATCCCAAAGCGTGCGTTCCCAGTCCTTTCAACACGCTCTTGCAGTCCAACCAATTATTAGAGCACGGCATGACTGACCCTCACAACAGACACCGCGATCAGCCACAACAACAGACGGCTGGGCCATCCGGGGCGTCATGGACAGGAAGGACTCGTCAAACTCGGTGTCCTCGACCATGTCGTCGGCCTCGGCAGCCTCCATCCCCAGGAGGAAGAAGGTGTCGTCACCGTCGTCCAGCAACGTCAACCAGTACACGCACTGCGGCAGACACACGGACCAGTACCTGTTTAGCGGCTGGTCCAAGGTCTTCAACAGGAAGAACTAATTTTCTGTCTGACGATGATTGTTTCCATCCCAACTGGCAACAACGCAAGCATGATCTTCAGTTCAATCTCTGCTGTGTATCTGCGTGGGTCTTTTGGATGGTCTTGGTTCTCATGTATTATGACAACTAAGGATGGGCTCGCAAAAAAGGGTGCGTCCAAGACTGCACTGTACAATATTTATGTTCTTGATGTTTCGTTTCCTGTGGAGAGGGCGAGAGGCCTGAATCGGACTGGAATTTGGTTCCCAGGAAGCAAGAATGATAATGACGAAATGAATCGGTGTCGGGTAGAAAATATAATTTGTCTCTGAAAAGCACCATGATAATCATAAAAATTTTGTTCTTCCGATTGCCTGTCCATGATTTGAAGAGTTCTGCAAATTTCTATCCCACAGCGAGCATCCACCTAGGTAAGTCGAAACAAACAGTCTTACTGTCGCTACCGAAGCCTACTGTATCCATCTTGCCTGGCGAATCCGCCAGTTGCATGGCCCAGAGGACCAGCAGATTCTGTAAGTGCACATTCGCATCGCTCAGATCTCATCTAATCGATCTCTGGTAGGGCTGAGGAAGAAAGCAGTTCAATCCAAGCCAATCCAAGCCAATCCATCCAGGAACCAGACTGTCGGCACGGCAATCGACTCCAGCACTGCCACCCCCATCTTTTGCAACCCGTGGCCCTGATCCCTGCCAGCCGTCCAAAGCCCTTGTGGCCGTTCATGGCCTTGGACCCTGGCTCCTGGCTCCAGCGGGGCTGCAGGACCTCGGGAAGAAACATCGCCTGCGGGCCTAACCGATAAGCGGGTACTTTGCTCGGCGGGCTTGAGCTCGACCGAGCTCAACAAAAAAAAAGGGCTCGCTACACTGCCACCGGCCAAACTTACCTGCCCGTCCACCCACGCAGACGACTCAATCTCGACGAGCTTCTTCGAGCACAACACACGTGCCCAAGCCTTCCTTCCCCAAGGGAGAAGACCAGCAACCATGGCCCAAGAAGACGTCATCAAGACCAACGTGTCCCCGCGGCGCATGTCCGCCCCGAAGCGCGCCTACCTCGTCGCCTACAACGCCCTCTCGGCAATCCTCTGGTCCGTCGTCCTCGGCCGGACCGTCGCCACCCTCGCCGCCAACGGCCTCGAGACCGGGCCCGCCCTCGTCTACCCGGCCGTCGGCGAGTGGACAAAGTGGACGCAGACCCTGGCCGCCCTGGAGATTGTGCACTCGGTGCTCGGTATGCGCGCCCGCGCGGCCCCCCCCCCCCAATTCCTCCCCATTGACATGCGACAACCCTCCACAACCCACACGCGTGGAAGGAGAGAGAACAAGCAACAGATGATCCAGATCTGAGCTGAGCTGAGCTGACCCGTGGACCCCAAACAGGCATCGTCCGCGCCCCGCTCCTCACGACCCTGATGCAGGTCTCCTCCCGCTTCGCCCTCGTCTGGGGCGCCGTCCACGCCTACCCCCTCATCGCGCCAGCCCGGCCTACTCCTCCATGCTTCTGGCCTGGTCCGTCACCGAGGTCGTGCGCTACCTCTTCTTCGCCCTGTCCCTCGGCGCGGGAGTTGAGCCCTCCCCCTTGCGCTGGATGCGCTACAGCGGCTTCTTCGTCCTCTACCCCGTCGGCATCTCCAGCGAGCTGTGGGAGCTGCTCATCGCCGCCCGCGCCGCCGCCGCCGAGGGCAACACCGTGGGCGCCGCCGTCGCGGTCGCCGTGATGGCTACGTACCTCCCTGGCGCGCCCAAGCTTTACACGCACATGATCAAGCAGCGCCGCAAGGTCTTGGGTGGTGGCGGTGCTGAGGCGAGGGAGAAGAAGACGGAATAGATGTGCGAACGGAAGGGTCACCATGTAGCATTGTTTTCTGTATAAAACAAGTGCTATCCATTTGATTCTCGGGGCCGTTATTTGGCCGCTATAGGGGTATTTGGCCAAAAAGAATAGAGCGCACAGGAGAATCGCACCTCCTGTCTAATCAATGTAATCCTGTATCGTACCCAATAGAAATACCACCACAAAGGTAGAAAAAAAGCAAGAAACCCAAACGCGTAATGAAACCAAGGCATTGACGCCACACAACCCGATCAAGATGGTGGCGCAGACTGCACAACCTCTCCCTTCGCAATGAAGTCCTCATCACTGTCCGAAGCCATGTCAGCTTCTGGGGCTGTTTCGTTGTCCCGTGCGATCTCTCCCTCCGTGCTGCTTTCATACCAGTCATTGCTCGACCACTTCGCGATGAGGTCCGCCGCTGTACTGGAGAGCTTGTCGTACCCGGGGTTTTCCTTTGGTTCGAACATGGCTACAGAGCAAAGCAGGAGTTAACACCAAGCCTAATCCAAGATGCAGTTCGCAAAGGCAGTAAAGAAAAAAAAAATAAGAAAACTCACCCATGTGCGCAGACGTCTCGTCCCCAGCCTGGTCATTGACGGCCTCCTCCCACACGCCCAGCTTCTCAGGCCCGTTGCGCCTGCTGGGCAGGTTGCAGAAGGTCCTCTGGCCCCCGAGCACGGTGCCGACCATGTTGGTGCCGCCGATGCCCGCGACCTGCTGCTGCAGGGCCGTGGCCCCCTTCCCCAGGCGCGTGTACAGCACGCCGAAGCCGACGCCCAGCTCGTTCTGCGCGCGCGCCATGTACGCGACGCGCCGCCGCAGCTCCTCCCCGCGCGCGAGGCACCCCACGAACTCGAGGTGCGACGACACCCACGTCCAGCCCTCGGTCAGCTGGTCGCGCTTCAGGTACGCCGCCGCGGCGCTCCCGGCCAGCGCGGCCCCCGCGCCCGCATACAGCGCCATCTTGCCCCAGGAGCCCCACGTCGATGATGACGAGTCGTTGGCCTTGTTGCCGGCTGCCCCGCCCGTGGCCGGCGGCAGCGCCGCGACGGGCTTCTTCTCCTGCTGGCCCCGCTGCTGCGCTGCTTCAGCATCCTTTCCCGCGTCGGCGGCGCCCTTCGCTCCCCACAGGCCGGTCAGCGTGCTCAGCTGGGTGAGCGCCGCGCTGGCGGTGCTGTAGTGGGTCTCCGCGCCGTGGGCGACGACGCCGGGGCTGATGCCCAGGTAGGGCGTGTCGAAGCTGAGGACGCCCTGGACGTAGGGGAACATGAGGCCGTTGAGCTCGAAAGACTTGTCGCCCTCGGCGGGCGCGGCGGTGTGGTTGCCGTCGCCCGAGCCGCCGGACGCCGACGAGGGCGGGATGACGCGCTCGCTGGTCAGGGCGATGAGGGTCTCGGCGGCGACGATGCCGCCCATGGAGTGGCCGCACAGCACGACGCGCACCGAGGGGTCGACGGTCGGCGAGGGCGTGCCCTTGCCCACCTCGATGTCGATCACCTTCTCCTGCAGCCAGTCGCGGAACCGCGACACGCAGTCGGCCAGGTCGCCGCGCGTCTCGTACTTGGGGTACACCAGCACCTGGACGTCGAGCTTGGGCAGCCGCTCGGCGACGAGGTCGCGCAGGTGCTGGGTGAAGGCGTATTTGTGGCCGAATGTCTCCTCACCCCCCTGGATGGATCTCGTGTTAGTGGGGTTGGGGTGTGATGATGATGGAGTTGGGAACAGTCGATGGTTGCGATGGGAAGGAGAGAGTGTGTGTACTTGCCTTGAAGCCATGGATGAAGCACAGGATCAGTGTCTTCTTCATCTTGCGAACCCATCTGAGGTGGCCCAGGTGATGCTGAAGGGCTCAGTTCCGGGAGGATAGGGAGCGGGATGTTGATGAGGTTTAGGTAGATTGATAAAAGCTAACGGGCCCCTAGTTCAGGGTGGCGAGGCACATGTGTACCGCCTGGGTTGTGCTGCGCTGAGCTGAGGTGTGGAGGGTCGCACTTGCATACACCCCACCAGATACAGGCGGGTGATGTCAGCGGGGGTGCTGAGGGAAATTGGGATGCGGCTGTCAAATCTACCCCAGACAAGGTTTGGGCGGATGATCAGGGTCTTTAATTCTATATTTGGTCGGCACTTCGCAAGTTTGAATCTCGGATTGAGTAACTCGGCCCAGAGATCTGGCATACACTTACATGCATTTTAATAAAAGACGGTTGACCGGTGACCGGTGACCTGCTATTTAGTGGATCACAAAAGCCAATATTTATTTATTGGACGATCAACTCTAGACTTGTGCTGATCGGTCGGCGTATTCATCGCTGGAAGCTTATGTTGTGGAACAACGAACAGCACTTTTGCGGCTCAAAACAGTATGCAAATGCGAATGCCTATGGATCCCAAATCCGTTCACACCCCATGCAGCCTCAGAATCCTCGCAGCATTCCCGCCCATGACCCCCTTCGCCTTCTCCGAACCTTCGCCCAGCGCCTTATTCACAGCCTCCGCATTCATGCCCACGCTCTCCCACTCCCCGTCCTCGTCCGTGCCCAGCGGCGGGAAGAAAGGGTGATCCGTCCCGAACATCAGCCTGTCCGCCCCGCCGCTCGCCTCGATGGCCGCGTTGAGGCCCACCTCGCTGTAGATGACCGCGTCCAGGTACACCTGGCTCCTGAGAACATCCCACACTGTCCGCCGCTTGGGCGTCACCTTGCCCTCGCGCACCAGGTGCCCGTCGTGCAGCACGCAGCTCTCGATCCTGCCCGCGAGGAACGGCAGCGTCCCACCGCTGTGCGCCAGGATCATCTGCAAGCCAGGCACCGCGTCGAAGACGTCCGCCAGGTACATACGCGCCACCGCGATGGTCGTCTCCATGGGGAAGCCCAGCGCCAGCGGCAGCACGTGGCCGTATTCCTCCGAGGCGCGCGGGCCCCACACCTCGTTGGGCAGGCCGTAGTGAGGGTGCAGGAAGATGGTCAGCCCTGCGTCGGCGAGGGCCTGGAAGATGGGCAGGAGGTTCGCGTCGTCCAGCCCTCTGCCCAGGCCAGAGGTTCCCAAGATCACCCCGCGGCAGTAGTCGAGCCCCTTGAGTTGTGTTATGGACTCTTGTATGGTGGGCAGTGGTGCGGTTAGGGGCAGTGTGCCGAAGAAGAAGAGCCGTCCGGGGTGGGCAGCGCACATGTCGCTGAACTCCTTGTTCACAGAGGCCGCGAAGGGTCCTGCCTCAGACGGGTCTAGGAAGTCGAGCCATGGGTTGGCGAGTGAGATTACGGATATATCGATCTTATGAGTGTCCATGAAATGTATTTTCTGCGCCAGCGAGGAGTAGTGCTTGGTCAGGGGCCGCCCCGGCGGTTTGGCCGACGCATCATCGGCGCCGCTGAGAGACGGCACTTCGGCCTCGAGCAGGATCAGGCGCGGGTCCGGTGAGCTGGCAAACTTCCGGACCAGAGGGATGGTGGACCGTGACTCAAGGATCTGGACGTAGGAAGGAGGGTACATGTGGGTGTGGATGTCCACCACCTTTGCAGGCGATGGGGGCGAAGGATCAGCCATGATGTGTGTAGTCTGATCTCTTGGATGAGTGAAAGACTGACTGACTGGGCGGGCCGACTGACAAGGAACCAACAAGAGGCAGGATGAACGATTTAGTGTGAAGAAAATAAGGCCGTGACTCCGGGCAAGCTGCCGGAAGGATCGACAGGGCAGGGGAATGCTACCCCGCGGGCCCCTCCTTCCTGCTCCCCCTTCTCATGGCCAGGCCTTATCTCGACTTCCCGGGGGCGCCTGGTCAACCGGCGGAGTTCTTATCAAAGCGTGCCGTTGCCAAAGTGAGTTTTGGCACTTTCAATGCGTAGAATCTGATCGATTGGGCTGTAACGAGTCTCGGCTCTAGGCCAGTCGAATGTCAACCTTGTTCGCCTGCCATTTACAGCTGGCCTGAGAGTCGGAGACCGCCGTGCTCACAACGTCCTGCCTTCCACTTAAAAGATCAAGACTCCGCCGGGGATGGCCGCGTGACACTGTTGACACTAACAAGAGCCTGCTTGACCAGCCGGAACCTGCAGCCAGTCTATCTGCTTGGGCACTCCAGATCGCCATAACCCATTGGCTTGTCACAAGTCTTGAGTAACAGAAACATCATGGAGAAGGCCGCCGTTGACGAGCAAGGGCTCATGATCCCGGTGCGTGAGTGCTGTTGTTTTGGCCGTGTGGCTGAGTATGCTGAACAGTTCATCAGTTGATCGACCTGTCCAAGTTCCTGCACGGCGACACCACCCAGCGTCAAGAGACTGCAAAGGCAATCCTGAGTGGCTTCCAGAACGCGGGCTTTATCTACCTCAAGAACCTGCCAATCTCGCCCGAGACGCGCAAGCATGTCTTCGGCACCAGCGCCAAGTTCTTCGACGGGCTCAGTCAAGACGAGAAGTTGGCACTTGGATGGACAACCCCCGAGGCGAACAGGGGCTACTCGGCCCCAGGGCGTGAGAAGCTCACCCTGCTCAGTGAGAGCAACGATGTAGCCAAGTTGAAGGCGGACACATCCGACATCAAGGAGAGTTTCGAGATCGGTCGCGAGGGCGACCCGGACCACCCAAACCGGTGGCCTGTGGAGAAGCCTGGCTCCGAGGTAGACGGGTTCAAGTCGACCATGCTCGACTTCCATGAGCAATGCAAGTCCATCCACGTCGAGGTCATGCGTGCCATCGCCGTCGGCATGGGCCTGGATGAGGACCACTTTGACAGCTTCGTCGATGTCGGCGACAACACGCTGCGGCTGCTGCACTACCCAGCAGTCAAGAGCGAGGTGTTCAAGGTCAACCCAGGCCAGGTTCGCGCGGGCGCGCACTCAGACTATGGCAGCATTACACTGCTCTTCCAGGACGGCGCGGGCGGGCTGCAAGTGCAGAGCCCGAACGGGCGGTTCGTAGACGCGACGCCGATCGAGAATACCTGTGTCGTGAATGCGGGCGATCTTCTTGCGAGATGGAGCAACGACACCATCAAGAGCACCATCCACCGGGTGGTAGAGCCGCCAAGGAAGACGGATGAGCACCCGGCCCGTTACAGCATCGCGTGAGTTTCCTTCACGCACACTCCATTGAGAGCCGTTGGACGTGAGACTGACTGGCCTTTGTAGTTACTTCTGCAACCCCAACTTCAAAAGTCATATTGAGGCCATCCCTGGCACGTTTGCGGCAGAGACGGACAAGAAGTATGAGGGGATCAACAGCGGCCAGTATCTGGTACAAAGGCTCACTGCAACGTATTGAACGGAAGTCTATGAGTTAAAATGAAATCTAATATGTCTGCGAGTCGATAAAATGTATCGAAAAACAAAAGTTGTTACCATTTTTTAAAGACCGTTTGCTTGACTGCTCAAGGTTTATGTAATTGGCTGTATCTTTCAGGCGTAATTTTCAACGTATTTTAGCACCACTCGTAATCTTCGATAAGCCATCCAGTTAGCCGATTGCCTTCTCTCAGAACATCAACACTACCACCTCAACCAAACAACGATTCAACATAAGACCAAACAACATCACCCCGACCGAGCACAATCCCCGACGTACTCGCAGCCACACGAGGCCAAAATGAGCGAGAACGCCAGCGCCGAGCTGCTGGCCGCGGCCAAGGACGCCGCGGCGCGCGGGCCTCGACTACTACGCCCTGCTGGGCATCGAGCCCTCGGACGACACGATCACGCGCGAGTCGGTGCAGCGCGCGTGGCGCAAGCGGTCGCTCAAGTACCACCCGGACAAGGCGAAGGGCGCGTTCGACAAGGACAAGTGGGAGGAGTTCGGGCTCGCGCGGGACATACTTGCGTCGGAGGAGGCGCGGGCCGCGTACGACGGGGCGCGGAACGCGGCGCTGCAGAAGGCGCGGGAGAAGGACGCCATGAACGCGCGGCAGAGGCGGTTCGTGGAGGAGCTCGAGGAGGCGGGGCGGAGCAAGAAGCAGCGGGAGGAGGGCGCCGCGAGGCGGGAGGAGGAGGAGCGCGAGAGGGCGGTCAAGACGGCCGAGGGCCGCAGGATCGTCGAGGAGAGGCAGCGGCTCGTGCGGGAGGCCGAGGAGAGGGAGAGGCTGAAGAGGGCCAAGGACGACGAGGCGATGGACGACCGGATACGCGAGCTGCAGGACCGACTTGCGGAGAAGACAAGGCGGAGGGAGGAGAAGAGGGCGAGGAGGGAGGGGAGGAAGGGCGGTGCTGCCGTTGCTGATGAGGAGGAGGCGAAGAAGGCCGAGGCTGCTCCCGAGCCTCGTCATGCCGCTGAGCAGCAGCCGACACACGCCGCCGAGGGCAGGACCGCACCGATACCCCGGAGAGACGTGCCCAAGTCGGACGACCCGGTCAAGTTCTGGGAGACGCAGTGGCCCAAGACGAGGGCGAGGCTGAAAGCGGCACAGGTTGTCAAGGAGCAGAGGATGAAGGAGGCGGGCATCGCGGCTTGAGAGCAAAGGTAGTTGCCCGGGAGTCCGATGCTTTTTTTGTCATGATACCCAAGAAACAAGATCGAGCTAACATGATTGCTCTCTTCAAGACCAACAACCACATTCTCTACGTCACATCGGAATCTTAGTAACGGGCGTCAACAGACAGCTGCACAGGTGAGACGTAGCCATACCGTACGTGAGATTTCCAGATCAACTCCTTTGGTCCAGGGAATTCAACGCAGGAATAAGAAGTCGGTAAGTGTAGACACGTAGATGGGAGACAACTCTCAACACAGCCCTGCACATTTGTTCCGTCAGGGCATAGCAATGAAAGCAACCACGTGTGACGCACTTAACACAATGATGTTGCAGAGTATTGTAGCAGAATGTTGTACAGAATATCCATGGCTATATCTTCGTCTCACTGCCTATCATACACTTATCAAGACCAAAGTTCGAACATGGGCAGTCGAGCCGGACCATTATCATTGCTTCTGCTGTTCATCCAGCCCCTGCCTCAGCCACTCGGGAACGAAAGCCTTTATCTTGACCTTGAAAGGCTCCTCCCCGTTCTCGCCCGCCTCCCTCTCCATAATAAACTCGTCTGCAGGGGTATATGAGCTCGCAGCCGTCTCCCCGGGGAGCACCACGTCCGTCATGATCTCCAGCCGGCACAGCGCCAGGCCGACGTTGCCCACGCCCCGCAGCCACTTGCCGGCGCTGCGGCCCTTCTTTTCAAACCTCCCGATGCTCGTGTCCGCGGGTATGGAGCCCGCCGACTGCACGGCGCCGCCTGGGTGGGCCCCGGGGAGGTAATCCAGCTGCCGCGGCTGCTCCGCGCCGTCCGCGCCGTAGATCATGGCCGGCAGGACCCGCTTGCGCACGACGCCGCGGTGTTTAGTGCGGATGGTCAGCTCCTGGCCCACGTAGCAGCCCTTGCGGAAGTCGATGCCGCCCATGACGTCCAGGTTGCCCTCGAGCGGGAGCGCATTCTCGCGGATCAGCTCCGACTGGCCCTCGGGCACGCCCATGAGGTACCTCCTCACGCGGTAGACGTCCTCGTCGGCGGCCCTCTCCAGACCCACCGCCGGCTCCCGCTCCCCCTCCGTGAGCATCCGGTACCCCAGCCCGGGCGCCCTCGGGTCCCTCAGGTGCACGAGCTGGTGGGGGGCCTCGAGACCCGTGCCGGCTTCCAGCGCCGTGCTGTCGCTGCCGCTGTCGTCCCAGCCGTGCCAGATCGTGACCTCGCCCGGGTCGAGCAGGCGCACGGCGAACTTGGCGCGCAGCTTGTAGCGCTTGATGTGGCGCTCGAGCCTGGGCGCCTCAGCCGCGTCGACCTCGATCAGGAAGCTCTCCCCCGGGCTGCCTCGGGCGTCCGGGTAGACGAAGACATCGTGCAGCACGCGGCCCGTGGCGTTCAGGAAGGCGGCGTATGAGCCGGCGCCGGAGGGGTTGCTGCTGCTGATGTTCCCATTACTGACGGCGGGCGGGAGGATGTTCTGTGTGATGGCGCCCTGCAGGAACTTGGGGCTGTCCGGGCCCGAGACGGAGATGAGGCGCCTGGATGAGAGGGCGACCAGCCCCGATGGCGGTGGCGGTGGTGGCAGCGACGATCGGGCTGGGGAAGTTGATGAGAATGGCCGGGCTCGTCGGGGCCGCGCGACGGTGGCTGCTGCTGCGAACCTGCAGTTTGAGCAGATGAAGCTTGGCGCTGCTGTCACTGGCGGGTGGCCTATGCGCCTGGGGACGATGTTGCCTCTGGGCCGCATGTTTGACTTTGGACGTCTGCTTGCGGTATCGCAAGGGTGGTTTTTGTAAGTGAGTGGAGAGAAGCTGATTGATAAGTCTCGGGAGCAGTTTTGAGAATGACGTCCAGCCGGGGTCCCCGGGACTTCCGACCCGTTTGCTCTTGCAGGGTTGCTGCCTGCATGGGCAATTGATTGACCTCTTAGTCTACTCAGTACGGCCAGGCCACTTACACGCACTTACACGGCACTTACACGGCACAGGCTGCAATCAGAAAGTGGCACACAAACACATGGACTGCACTCACTGCGAAGCTTCAAAAGCATGCGAACCAGCCTCAGGTGGCTTCAGATAGCCCGCATTCTTTATATATATCTGAAAAGCTTCGAGTCTTTCGAGCATCGTCTGGTGAGATGCCCCAACCCCAGATTCTAAAGGGCCAAATGCTGAAGGTCCATCAAGCTGTTCAGCCAGGGAGGCCCCCCCAGGTCACTGATGGCCCCTCCTGGCGTGTGTCCGTCTTCGTCACCCAGTCATTGCCCACGCCTTATGCTTGTCACCTTCATAATTAACCATGTATCTAGAGAACGGTATTCTCTGACTGGTCTCCGATGCTTCTCCTTCGCTGGGCTGGCAGAGTGAGAATGGAGGCTATCATGAATCTGATTCTTGCCGAGCCCAGGACACCTGGGCAGCTTGGCATGTCCTCAGGGCAGAAGAGTGAGCTCTACTTCTGACCACATTATTCCCACTCAGCTATCCCACAGGCAGTCAAATCATATTCTCGAGGAGTCACTCAGTCATGGGCTGCGCAAGCATGCTCAACGGGCAGAGGTCCCTCCTCGGCCAGCGGTGACTAACCCTAACCCACCTGGGCACATTGAATGTTTGCTGACCGTCCAATCAGCTTCCAGATCACCTCGTCTTGTGATTGGACGATACCTTTCAGCAATATTTCCCTTGGGATTGTTTGAATCGCTCAAAAGACTGGATGACAATGGGATTGATCTTATTGTCGTCCGCGAGCGAATGGACGAGGTGGAAGCTTGGGCCTGGGCTTTCGGGAGCTGTACGGCTCAGTCAATCCACTTTGGCCGACCCTACCTACACTTCATTTCTCCCAATTTGGAACCAGGCAGACACCTCACTTCGTTTTTGCCTTCGTTTGACCACAAGTCGTCTTTCACACTCACTCCTCCATAACACTGCCAATTCACACATCTTCTCTCCCTGTACTCGTCCTCAGCACGTTTGCGCCGCGCGGACGTCTTGGCGACCTCAACACCCTCTTTCCCAGCAAGCCGATCAGTTCCTAGACGGCTTCAGCGACAACCCAGCTTCTCACCACTCGCTCAACGCCCTTCCAGGGCTCACAGCCACCTTTCACCATGGCGTCAACCCCAGGCGTCTCTGACCCCCCAGATCACCCCTCCTCCTCAGTCGGCTCGACCATCAACTCCGGCAGTGATGGCTTTGACACACCCTCCCGTTCTGAGTCGCGCGAGAGTAGCCCTGGCCCTCTCGTAATCGACGACGGAGTTAGTAACCCTTTTCCTCATTTTTTCAGTCTCACCCACGGTACTTCTACTTCCAACATCGGCGACGGTGAGGACATGACCGAAGAGGAATTCTTTGCCCAGCTCGGTGAGGAGGTTCCAGAGTGGGCAAAACGACCCCCTTCTGCCGAGCCACAGGTCCAAGACGACGGATTCCCAGATCTCCTCGAGGAGGACCTCGAAGCACAACTCGACGCTGAGCTCGGAGCAGCAGCCGGCAACGGATCCATGGATATCTCCGAGGGTGACCTTGAAGCACAGCTCGAGGCCGAACTCGCAGCGGGAGACAACGGCGGCCTCATAGAACTTTGCGAGGACGATCTCGAGGCACAACTAAACGCCGAACTTGAAGCAGAAGCCCACCAGGAGATGGCAGCTAAGGCTGCACGACGCGAGGCCAATCTTCAAGAGGAGATGCGGATCGCTGCTGAGAAAGCAGCACTGGCGGTTCCATGCGACCAGAGAGACGATTCGCCTTTCTCCTCTGAAGACGAGCTCCAGGCCGAGCTGAATGCAGGCGACGCTGCCGATGAATTTCTCAGCGATGTCAATGACAGAATCGCGGTAATGATGATGCTCAAATCAAAGGTTGACTGCCTCACAGTGAGACAATACTCCTCCAGACGACCCAACAAGAAGGTAAAGACGACTCCTACTGGGACGCCGAAAGCTCGCGTTAGTCGCGGCCAGGCACCACCGATGCGCAGGACGGACGAGCTGCCAGAGCTGTACCATCACGGTGCACCCAACTGGGCTCTTTTGAGGAAGCACATGAACCTGAGTATGTATCATCACGCCCCATCCTATCACTCCCCCCTCCAGTCTACGTTTCTCTCTTGCTCTGACATATGCTAATGACAAATTCCTAGGCACGCGTGTTGACCTGAACACCTGCTACCGGTCACTGGGTCTTGACGTCGGACGAGGCAAGGCAGTCTACGAGAGCCTGAAGGAATACTTGCGAATCCCCGGCAACTCTGTCGACCTCTCCGCCAAAGACGTCGAGAGCGAGGATGCCAAGAGAATCATCGCCACCATCGCCCACAAGCTCCTCGTCGACCAGCGCTGGGGTCAGACCTACTTCAACCGGCCCTCTCTGGCGGCTGACTGCAAGTCCATCACCTTCGAAGGCGGCTCCACCGAGTAAGTCCCCACCCCTTCTTGTCCCTTTTCACTTCCCGTCACTCCAACCCAGACCGCACCGCACCAGTCCGCTGACGTTGTTTCGCAGGGTCTTCCTCGAGTTCACCTCCCTTGTCTACAAGGCTATGAAACTTGAAGAGAAGCGGAAGAAGGGAAAGGCCAAGCAGCAGGAGGAGACGGCCGCGCGCGAGGTCGTCCAGCACCCGACGTCCGAGGCCTTCGCCACCTCGACATACCGCTCGCCACAGCAGGCGCCCTCCACCCAAAGCGCAGCGGAGAGGCCGCTCCCCGTTGTCATGCTGCACCCGCCGCCGCGGCGGAGGCAGGCGGCCATCAACGGTGTGGTCATTGCGCCCTGCTCCGTCGCGCGGGCGAGGCCTTCGTAGTCGCGGGAGAGGTAGATGATGGCGAGAAGGGGCTCTTGAACAGCTGGGAGTAGGAAGGAAAAAAATACATGCATGGATTGCTACAGTCATAGCGATAATCATGGGGCGTCTGAATGTTTGCAGATGCCCCGCTCAAAAGAAAAGTCACTTGGTAGTTGATACCCCCCCAATAAATGAATGTCTGGTCTCAAACAGCGTGCGACTCGACTTGGACAATGTGTAATACCCCAAGTGATAGGCTCCTATGGGACAATTTCCCATGCGAAAGACTCCTGTGGGATGACCTCCCGTGGGATAAGTCTTCTATGGCACTGCTTCCTTCGCGCTGTTGCGTGAAACATTTCGAACAGTCTAGCGAAGCTTTGGCTTGCACGAGCGGTAGGCATGACGGTCCAATGCTAGACGTAGGTGATGGCTGAAAACATCACTACCCAGACAGGAAGGGAGCAATCGAGGTGAGGTCGTGCGCCGTTGACGACGCGGGCACTAGTGAGTAGTATGTATGCAAGTTTTGTTGTAGAAGAACTAGTACAATTAGTATAGTATTACAAAAGTGGTATCGTAGTGGTACTTGTAAGAAGACGCCGCTTTCCCAAGTAGATTATGGTGGTGGATATATCCTTATAGTCGGTCTTGCACCGGCCCTTTTTCCCTTTTCTTTTTTTCCGCCCCCTAGGCCTTTTGTCCCCGGCCCCCTGGGCGTCCCCCCTTCTCTTGCTCTCGGTGTATGTTATTTTCTGGCAAACTGAGGGTATTCCCGCGACCATGCAGTGCCTGATGAGATTAAAATCAGTGTATAGACGGAAATGCCTGTGATGTAACGATAGTGGTGATGATGATGATGGTGGTGGTGGTGATGCCCTTTCTATACCCTCCTAACCGCATCTCCAGTTCCAAAACGCCCCAAATATCAAGACGCCTTAGCCCGCAAGCCAGCCTTTTTGTTTTGTCCTCCGGTGTGCCGTGTCAACAAACCGCGCGAAGAATATGAATAATCCTGAGCGGGTAGTTAGGTATGACAAGGTATAGCCCAGCGAAGACGAGGGGCTTCCCAAATCAGACTCGCTGGCAAAGCCTGCCGTTGCTGAGCAAATCTGACAGAAACGATGGAAATATCAGCCTTGAAAGCCCAGCACCAACAGAAGAAAAGAACGCCGTGGCTTTTATAAAGTATCCCTTTGTCGGTTGCCCGCACTAAACGCGTCTTCTAAGTGTAGTCGAGAGAAAGAAAAAAGCAATGAGGAAAGTCGTCCCAGAAAAGATCGTGTGGTGTATGTTCAAGTTGCGAAGAGGGTATCTCGAGAGTCGATCCTGGGTCTATTTGGTTATGTATGATTGAACAAGAGTGGTCGGTGTGGTCAAAACGTGGCAGTCGGCGCGTCAGACAGGTTCGAAAGGTGAATCGACATATTCTTTCGCTCCGCCACACTCTTGATGTGATAAATGAGATCACCGTCTTGAGGGGTCCTGGGATTCCCGAGCCCCCGTTGCCCATCCCATCTCGTGTGGCGGCGGCCGTCCGTAGTATTGTGTCTGATGAGGCAGCGGTGGCGTTTGCGATTCGAACCCTGGCGGATGCACAGTCGTCGGAGAAGACGCAGGCTGGTCGAAGCGCAGAGGAGGGAGTCTCGCGCTCGGAGGAGCTGATGATATCGGTCCCGCATATCCCTGAGTGACGATAGGGGGCAAGGAGCCAGGGGGCAAGGAGCCCGGGGGCTGCGCCGGACGCATTGCGTAAGGGGCAGGCGAGAAGTCGGCAGCAGTTGGGTCTGTTCGGCGCCGCCTAGTCGGCCTTTCGAGTTGCTCTTCTGCGTACGGCGGCGAACGTTGCTGATGGGCTAGAGACGGAGACGTCGTAGAGGAACTGCCGCCTGCTGCGAAAGAGCCCGTGAATGACCCTTCAGCAGCTCCCCCGGAGGCGGCAGCGCGCGGCTGGGGGCTGGGAGGTCCTTGCTCCGCGTGCTCTCTGATGCTTGGGGTCCGTAGGATCACGTCTCGCAGCCGGTTTCGTTCACTGCGATAATAGTCGCGCTCGGCTTGCAAATCGTGGTTCTGTCTGCCCAACTCCCGATTTTCGTTCTCCAGCCGCTGCATGTTCTCTCTCAAGTCCTTGTCCCTCTCCTTCTTCCGGGCTCGAAATCGGGCAGAGGCTCCTGCATTGCGATGTCGTTTTTCATCAGCCTGACGCGAGCCTTGATGAACATCCAACGGTACGGTAATATGCTCTCCCGTGTTAGTCTGCAAGGTGAGGTGAGGCTGCGAATCAGGGCCTCTCGTCCCTCCACCACCACCACCAATTTGTAGAGCATTCATGATCGCCGACGACAGATTCGCCTCCGCTGGCGGACTACCTTGGTGGCCGTAGCCCCTCCCGCTCCCTTGTACTGATTCAAACTGCCCTTGCACGTACGCAGGTGCCATTCTCTGCGGACTCCCCGCAGCCCCAAATTGCGTAGGGCCTTGCGGGAAGTGATGGCTTGGTGTATTAGGGAATGCTGCCTGGGAGAACGCACGAGGGTCCATGGTAGTGGACGAGGCAGCGGGAGTGGGCGGCATTGCTCGCGGAGACTGGCTAGGCATGCTCGAGGGCGGCCCGGGAGGTCCGGAAAATGGCATCATTTCCTGCGTCGCTCCGAATCGACCAACGGTCGGTGTCGAGAAATCAAATGGTGGCTGAGTATCACCCAGAGCTGATGGCGTCGTCACGCGACTAAAACTGAGTGAACGTGGTGACCTTGGCGTCAGAATCCTTCTTGCTGCTCCCAAGGCAGGAGGAAACGGTCGAGCTTGGTTCGGAGATTCTCGTTGACCGGGCGGTGGAATCGAGGTCAACGAGCCAAGGGAGGCTGTAGGCCCTGGAGGAGCACCGTAGACAGGCGCCGCGCCATATGGCTGGTACGGCGAGCCAGAAACGCCGTACTGCCTCGTCCCTACGCTCGAAGGAGAGCTGTCGCCGCCAGCACCCGCCCGTTGCAGTGACGGAGATGTTCGGCTCTGAATTTCCCTCGGCTCGGATGGGTTGAGGATGTTGTGCACTCCTAGCGTTCGCGGAGTGGTTTGCCGTGGAGGCAAGTCGTCCGGGGCGACCAACACCCTGCTAGGATCTCGGGCGGGATCCACTCCGCCGTCATTGCTGTATGGATGCGCCGGTTGCAGAGATGAAGGTGAGGCGTTCGCACCGGTCGAAAGTGACTGGGAACGACGGCGAGAAGGAGGGCGAGAGGCAGCGCCTCTCTGCGACATCGAGACCTGTTCGCCCTCGCGTTGAGGATATTGTGGTTCCGGACATTGATCACCGCGACCGCCCTCATACGAAGAACAAGATTCCGGCCTTGGGCCGATTCCAGTCGTTTGGACCCAGCTGCTAGGTCTCTTTGGTCTAGAAACCACGGACTGTCGGCGCGATTCAGCAGAGTGCCTCTGGCCGTCTCCGTCAAGGCGGCCTAGAAGGGGGCTGGTGGGACACCAAGAAAAAGATTGGATAGCCAGGGCGAGAACGTTATCCAAGGATTGTCTCGTGAAGCGCAAATGTTGCAGTCCCCGGGATCACAGGACCGTTTTCCGTCTTTCCGGTCATACAAGAGGTCGTGTAAGATTCTTAGACACCGTGGGAGCTAAGGGTCTCGCGTTTCCGTCCGGTTCAAGGACCGCAGAGATTGGTGGAAAGAGGATTGGCGAATTGCTGCTGAAAGCTGAGTAAATCCGTGAGTAATTTTACCGGTCTGCTCTCACAAGAGAGTGCTGAAGAAAGAACGGTCGAATTGACACCGCCCGGGGCTGGACGGTTGGACAGTAATACTCGTTGAAATTCTGCTTCGAAAAAGATGGACTACGATCTGTGGCAGGCGATGAAATGGTCTTAGCTGATTCGAACGGGATGACGGATGTAATATGCATGTGGGATAGATATTGGGAGCAGGACAGCGGAGGTGACTGGTAAGGATAGGTGCAGTGCAGCCCACCAACCATGATTCTCATACCAAACTCTGTGACTTGAGTGGCTATCTCGACCCTCCTGCGCTAGAATGGGTCGAAGCGTGACTGGCAGATTTCTGCCAAGTGTGTCTTCGCGGGCCTCTCTCTATGGGACTACTCTCGTCCTTGGGTCCTTCGGAGTTGCGTCGACAAACAAAGAAGCGCCTGAGCAGCTAGGAATATTTGTCAAAGACTGATGTGTCTTATGAGCGAATGTCGGACTCGGCCACGGGTAAAGATGTCAGGTAGTCGGCTTCGGGCGGCAAGAGAGACTCACGGTGTGTGCTAAGTCGCCTGTTCCGGGCACCAAAAAGATCCAAGGCGCGCAGGCGTCTTGCGTACCATATAACTGCAGGATACTTCGTGGATGTGGGTGTCTTCCGTCTGGCGCCACTTCGCGCAATAGACCGGACTGGACTGGTCAAGCTCTGTCTTGGAGAAGGAAGTTGATACAAGAGGGAAGATTTGACACCAGGATATTCTTTTGGGTATTCGTGCTTTCTATCCTCCTCCGGCTCGTCTTGCTGCTCCCGCGCCATTCTTATCTGGGAAACAGGTACTGGCTGGGATGGGGCACGGGTGGAGCCAAAGGAAGAGGTGTTGGGTTGTGGGTGTCTGCCGGGGTGCAGCTGCAGGTCAGGGGTGGCCCATGCCACGCTTTGTGTGGATGCTGGGTGGATGCTGGGTGGGTGCGAAGACCACGACAGGGCTTACGGATACAGCCTGGATGGGCCTCTCTGGCTGTCGAGAGTGACTGTCGCAAAACCGATGTTGCTTAATGGTTTCCAACTCCGCTGAGCGCGGACCCTCCAGCACGCTTCTTCACACCCGCGCAGTAGTGCGCCATACCTGACACTGTGGATAAGCTGAGACATCGACACAACGTGCTGGAGTCGCCGAAGAGAAGAGGTAGGTAATGTCCACCCCCCTCCTCAAAGGTTGGTCAAGTCATCAGCAGCTAGATTTGATGACCTGCGGCTACCAGGCTAGCAGGACCAACGTATGTCGTACGTGCCTGGTGACATGAAGTTATATGATGTATTTGCACATCCCGTGCACAGGGTCGTCGGGATAGCAGGCCGGAGTGAACCCCAGCGTGGAGTACTTGGACCAAGTCATCAGATACATGGTCAGCCATCGACCCTGTCAGCCGGCCAGGGATTCAAGCGATGGAGGCGTTGCGCAAGTCAAAATAACGAGCTTGGCTGTGCGAGTGATAGCATCACATCATCTTAGCCCTTCTTCCCGAGATGACGGGCATAGGCGAGTGATTAACTTGTAGGGATTCTGCCCTAGATCGCGAGGTCTGAACGATCAAAATTTCACGGCACATTCGCGACGCCCAGAATTAGAAATAGTGGATGATACGAGTGGCAAATGATATCTCCCAATCCCCCTTCCCAAGAAGAGCCATGGAACAGTGATGGAAGGCATGGGGACGGTGTGGTAGGAGCTAGCTAGCGCCTCGAGGCTCATCGCGGAGATGGTGGAATTTCAAGGTCAATCTCGGACCAGTGAATTCATCGACCCTGCGTCCCCGGGGAAAGGTCGCAGTCATGATGGGGTGAGTTGTGCTTTCATAGGTGACAGAGCCAGCTGCGCCAATTTAGCAACAGTCGGGTTGTGTCTAAGCGAGCCACGTCCTGGAAGAAAGGTAAGACTCCGCGAATTCGTCAACTGCTCACGTCTGCATCGCGGCGGATGGCTTGAGATTGAGCAGACACAGTGCCAAGAGCCCTTCGGACAGAAAGCTGTGAGGAGACTCGTGCCACCGAATCAGCCAACGCGGCAGTGGCGACGCGAGGCCGGCGGTGTCATGAGAGTGCGAAGATCGACCATTCCCTCAGATTGGGGGGCGGTGCCATGCATGATACCATAGTCAATCTAGCTGTGCATGGTGGCAGGAACCATCAGATGCCATGAGCTGCCAGCTGCCGGGTGATATCAACGCTGATACTGGCGAGTGTCTGTTCACATGGAGAGCGACAGCCGAGCAAGGAAATTAGCAACTTTGCAACTTCACATTTGGGGCGTGGGTCTGGAAGACATGGAAGGCAAGGGTCCGGACTAGCTGACAGGGTCCGTTCTGATGCCAAGGCACAGGGATGACGAGCTTCCAATGGGGTAGAGCAAGTGTCGAGAGATCCAACACGGGGACGCATATAATTATTACTGTGTATCCGTACTGCGGACATGTGTCTGATGCAGGCAGGCCGGCCGGGGGGCGGTTGGTATCGGTACTTTGGGTTCGATGTAACACAATTCGGCGGTGATTGTAGAAGGTAACCATTAACGCAATCGGATTGCACTAGACGACACCGGTGACAAAAGAGCGGATCACGATGGCCGCCGATGTGAAGAGACGGTGAAGTGTCTTCTGATGAGTCTACTGCAGACCTGGCAGACAAAAGAGCAGCTCGGCCGCGGCAAGCCGGAAGAAACGACACGTCAACCAGGCCAGGCCGACCCAGAACAGACAAGTCCAGTTGAGCCCAGGCGCGCTTGAAGAGCCGGGCGGAGCCCAGGGCGCAAGGCAGGGCAGGGCAGGGCAGGGCAAGGTGGCATGGCGGTCGTGGCAGACGTGCATGAAGACGGTGAGTTGAGGCTTGCCTCTGGCTGCAGCATCAACGGGGCCTTGGGCCAAGGACTGCAGAAGAGTGGAGCCTCGAAAAAGGTAAAATCTGGGTGGTCTCGTGGGCGTCCTTGGGCCTGACAGGACGCGTCGACGAGCTGGCGAGGAGAGGTGACCGGAGGGCCGAACACACAGATCCATCGGGTGCTGCAGAGCTGCAGAGCTGCAGAGCTGCAGAGCTGCAGAGCTGCCCATCGTTCCAACAGGGTCCAAGGGCTGCAGTGGCTGTCCTGAGTGTGTCTCTCGGTGACAAGGGACCAGGGGGTGGGGGTGGGAGCGGAGTGGAGTGCGTGCTGCCAGGCCAGTCCAGGATGGGGTCGCCATGCACACCTGCACACATGCACAACGACGTCGACGGACAATGTCTCGGTACGGCACCGTCGACCAGATCTGCGGCATGCGACTGGTTGCGGTGAGGGTGAGGGCGGGCGAGGGCGAGGGTGAGCAGCAAGAGCTGGTGGGCTTGGCCTGGAGCTCACCATGGCCGGGACAAGGAAGATGCGGTCTCCAGAGCCCCAGAGCCCGTGCTTGGGGCCAGAGCTGGGAGCTCGGGATGGGGACGGGGCTGGAGCTATCGCACAGCTCTAACACAGTACCGTCGCAGTTGCAGGCCAGGGTAGCAGTATGGGGTAGATTGTTTGGTCTTCTGATTCCGGGCTGGACGGTTGCAAGGTTGGAAGGATCCAGTTCGAGATTGATGAGTTCCCCATGCGCATGCGCCTAAAACATTGGACGAACAAGTATCTGCCCGTACACGGCGTGCGTGCAGCAGGGCATTGCTGCACGAGAGGCACGAGAGGAGGCACGAGAGGAGGCACGAGAGGAGGCACGAGAGGAGGCACGAGAGGAGGCACGAGACAGGAGGCAGGACCAGGACCTGGGCAGCCGCGGATGCTCGAAATAACCTGTCTGATGATTAGACTTTGGCGCTCCCATGGGACCTGACACTGCTGTCAGAGTGTGCGCGTCCGTGGTGGCGACGGGACGAGCGGGTGGATATCATGAAGCACGGCAAAATGCCGCCGTCCACCGTGTGTGCCGCGCTATGGTCGACATGTACTGTGCGTACATGGTCCAGCATCTCCATCCAGTACGCAGGCTACATACCTGTACGTGCAGCCGGCCAGACAGAGTGACGGGTGGGTGGGTGACGGAGTGACGGATGGAGGGATGGAGGGATGGAGGGATGGAAGGGTGGAAGGGGTGGGTAGGTGCCAGGTGTGGCTTCCCAATGCGACCTCAGCTAGGGAAATCCGACGAGTCGTTCGACGTTGTGCCATCCCACCGCCCTGCTTATCTAATCCAGACCGCGGCCCACCTGCGCATGCATGTGCACTTCCTGCCTGCACCGCACCTGCGCCTGCGCCTGCGCCTGCACCTGCACTTGCACCTGGGTCTTCCCGCCGTCTCGCCCGTCGCGTCTACCCCAAGGCCCAACGACCTCCTTCCCGGCAGCCCAGAGAGCTGTTGCACTGCCTCCCCGTCCACTCTCGTCTGCAACATTGCATATTTCCAGATCCTCATCTGTCGCCGGCTTCTGCTTCTTCGTCCCGGAATGGCAATGCTAGTGCTCGCGGGCGACGGAACGACTTCCTTCTTTCTGTCTCGGCCCTGGCCCTGACTGTCTTTTCTCTCT